AAGCGAGATTTAGATTCAAGAGTATTAAAAGCGAGATTTAGATTCAAGAGTAGCAAATAGAAAATCAAAAGTCCTCGCAGATTGGGTATTGTTTTTTTCGGATTTTTTCGGAAATTTATAATTCCCACGAAGACGTTAGCGGCCAGTGATGAAAATAAAATGAGGCTAATCGGGAAATTCGGGAAACATGAATGACAGAGTAAAAAGAAAGGGGAAGGAACAGACGATTGTTTTTATTTTATCTTGATAGGGTAGAACCCTTTTGATGTCACCTTGTAATTTTACAGGCGCGGGGTTAGGCATTCAAACGGTGTTTCATTCTTTCGTTTTTCCGACTGAACAATTGAAAGGCAAGTCATAGCCTCGACAATCACTTTAAAAATTGAAACACCGTAGCCATGCGCAACGCCTAAGCAGGGCAGCGGGGGCGTGCGCGGGGGGTTGCGTCAAAACTGTAAACACCATTATGTTGTACGTCTAAATTGATAACATCATTGTGTCTGTGTTTCTTTGGTTTTTTTGGTGCAAATGCCGCTTTGACATGTTCTATTTTCTGTTTTTGGCACCTCGCGTGTGTTTACACGACGATCAGCGGCTTGAGAAGTGATGTCACCAAAGGTGAGGCTACCAATTTGTTGAGTGTCAAGTGTTGAACCCTCCTTGAATTGTGGTGTAAAATATATGCACAGAAATCCACCTAAAGAAGGTTTGAGAGCAAGTTTAGGTACACATGCATAAATCAAAATTTAGGTACCAGAACAAGGGAAATCATAATGACTTTAACCAAAGAAAAGGTTAAAGTTGCCGTTAAGGTGCCGAACCTGGTCGAATAGTAACACTGATGATCCTCTTAACCACTTCCCCGTCCCTACCCTTGGTGTGCTCACATCTTCAATCTGAACAGCCAGCATCTTACACATCTTACACATCTTAGATTTCCAATGCGCACCTTAAAAGTATGATGCACCTAATGATCAGACGTTCTCATGATTTGTCTTGTAAAGCGAAAAGCTCAGTTCATATTCAATCCGATCAAGAAGTGCAGATGGAAAAATATCGCGTTCCTCCTCAATGCTGCGCTTAAGTGCCTCATTGTTGAGAGCTTATACTTTGACTAAAACATTCGTTGGCAAATAGAGACTCTATATGTTGTGTAGATCTCGATAGAAAGTATGGAAATAAAAAACACAATGTCATTGTCCCTTTGATGTAATCAATGCCCCCCAGTCCTGTGTCCACAGATGTAGTGCCCCTTCTACGTACCAAATTGATGGAAGTCTCGGAAAAGGAAAGGCACACAACCACAAAAGCTTGGGTATCATGCACGTAAATTGAACTAGAACGAAAACAGCCTTATCTTGAAGCCTCTTTCTCCGATCATAATTCTAACTTTTAATTGTCTTTACTTGTTCCTTCAAATGCCGACTTTTATTCCTGTCACGCAACCATCTATGCATTTTCAAATACTCGATCGATCATTGTCTTGACCTTTGCAGAAGAAGTCAATTTTGATGAATTCGTTCATGGCTTTTCAACGGCCTCTTATACGCTTCTATCCGGTCAACTCTCAAATCGTCGGACCGCTATCGAGAAATACATACAGGAACGCCACCTTGATTCAACCATCCACGCACCATCACCACCACTTCTCAATCTAAACTATTCATCTAGTGCCGTTGAAGCACATGGAAAAATGATCAAACTTTACCAAAAAAGCTTCCTCGCTTCTCTTTAAAACGACAAATAAAACCAGACAACTGGTTTCGCCATACACGACTGTCGAAATAAGTCTTGGACCACGTTTCTGCCTTTTTCTGTCATTATACCTTTTTCAAAGGTGATTCATAGAAGCTTTCCTTTTATCTACCTAAAACTTATTTCACATTTCTTTTCTTTTGGCCAAATATGGGTTCTCGTAAACCCGAATGGAAAAGGCAAAGATCAGCCTCGATGTTTGACAATTCACAATTGGCAAATGTTCAATCAACTCAACAAGGAAACGAAATATTTGATTCAAATTTTCCACTTTCACAAACTTCTATAAATGCATTGTTTTCCACCGATACTGGATTTAATACGTTTCCTTCAACATCCGCTCAATATACTTCTTTTGTTCAACCGATGCAAAATTATATGCAACAACAATCAAATTCACAACAACAACAACAGCAGGCACAACCTCAGATAGCCAAACCATACCATTCAATCATATCGCCTTTTCCGCTTGAACTTGATAAGCGATATACAAATCAAGAGAAGATCGACATCTTGGGAAAACGAAAAGGTAAACAAAAGAATCCATCGGAAAACGTACAATGCTGTGAGTAAGGAAAGTGAGAATTCATTCCGTTGATACAGACACTAATTCTTCCTTCCTTCCGTCATTCTCATCATAAGTTTGGGCTCTACTATCTATTCGTCCAAAAGATTTCTCGAACTTTGCTTTCCTTCATCTCGATCCGACGTTGGAAGAATCATTGGGACGCAGTTTTGAACAATTGATCGGTACCAGTGTGCTTGACATGATCCACCCTAATGATGCAAATATGATCCGATTCAACATCCTACAATACGCTTCAGAAAAAGGAAACAAAGGTAAAATGGTTCGATGTACGATGAAAAGCGCAAGATCGATGGGTAAATACGTTTCTTCCTCTTCGCAAGATGAAGTAAGGATGGAATCTTACAGTTTTGATCAATTAACAGATGTTCGAATGGAGTTGATCGGAGATGAAATGATTTTATGCTTCTTTCATGCTGTTGAAGACCGTTCGAGACGAGGAGATGATCGATTGGCAAATTTATGTGAAACATCTTTGGACTCTTTTAATGATCAATGGTGTCAATCTTTGTGGCAACACGTCTTTTCGAAAAGGATGGTAGAACAAAGTATGGTTGAAAGACTTCATAATGGACATCCGATCAAAGTCTTTCAAATCTTGTCAAACGTATCAAAACCATCGATGTTATTTTCGTGGCCGCCACCAAGATTGTTCGATTCAATGATTGATGAATCAAACAAATCCGATACAGAGACGTATAGAGATGGAAGTTATTTTGCAGATGTGTTTGCCCGTTCGGCATTCGAAACAGATTTCAGAGAAGAAGATATAGGCTTATCTCAACATATGAACGCTTGCAATAAACGACATCTCAAAGCAACCACAATCACAGCAGACGGATTAAGGATCGAATTTGAAATTTTGGTCATTCCGCGCGGTGACATTAGGTTTGCCGTCTTTTCAATTTTCAAAGCAGAATATGTTACCGAAGAAGTTGCACAATCAGCATTTCGTCAACCTCAACAACCATCATTCGCCACCACAACTTCTGATCAGAATCAACAATCTCCAGCGCAATCATTTTACCCACAATTACAACTTAATCAAACGCTCCCGACGACTATTCCTTCTTTTCAATCAATGCCAGCTGCATCGAATCCATACTTTGTTCAAATGTCACAAATGTTCTATAATATGCCCTCAGCAAGGATGATTGATAATGCCGATTTAAGTGAATATGGCAGAAGATCCAGTTTACAAGTCGATCCCATCACAAGCCAGCCTTCTGCTTCTATGGCCAACAACACTTTTTTGCAATCGAATCAATCACGAGACGAACAAAGTCAACATGTTGATCTGTCAGGATATAGAGGACGACGTCAAGATATCATGCCATCTTCTCATCCAGTCCAACGTCCAAGACACCAATCAATCTCCTATTTCGAATCACCCGGAAAAAAATGTTTAACATGTGGAACGTCGAAAAGTCCAGAATGGCGCAAAGGACCTGATGGAAATAAGAGTTTATGTAACGCATGTGGATTAAGATTTTCCAGAAATGCTTCAAGGGTGAAAAAGAAAGAAGAAAAAGCAAGAAATGCAGCAGAAGTGGCAGCAAACGGAGGAGTGATTCCAGTTCATTTACGTAGAAAATTTGAAGCTGAAAGAGATCGAAAAAAGATTTCTATACAAAAACCTTCTCAATCAACATCACAACAACAAACCCAATCACAATCACAACAACCAACTCAAATGGACTTAGCCGGATTGAGTGCTTTTGCCAACATTTCACCGGAATTGGATATACAAATACCATCTTCTATGCTCGCATCTTCGTCAAGATTGGATAGTGGTCTGACAGAAAGCACAAGTTCAATTGAAGATTTTATGACAGACTACGAAATGGATATCAAAGATGAATTCGGCTCATCGTCATAACAATGAAATTCATTTTCAATAACAAAACAGTAGAGAAAAAAGGGAACTGAAAGGATTGTACTAAAATTCGTCATAGCATCGAATCGTTTCATCGTCGTCATCATTATGTATCGTTATGCATGCTCGCTTGTCATAATTGTTGTACAAATATTCGTATATTTTGTATCACCTTGTAATCAATCATCTTTCAACACATTGCATTGAATTGTTTGACCGCTTAAGCCGTTGAGAGGGAGAGAGAGAGAGTCACGTGCTTGAGTGTGTTCTGTTGCCTCCACAACCACCCTCCTTTCACGCCCAATTATGCTTCTGCATCTTTTCGTAAGAGGCAGAGAATTCAATCCATTCTCCGCTTTTGGTCTTTTTCCCCCGGCAATTCCATAGGCTGTGTACTGTACGCCCGCTGTGTGTGAACTTGGGCGAGTAAAATCAGTGCGGGTTCAGACGCGTGTCAAAAAGTAGACACACTACGACTGTGTATAATTGAAATGCCCTCTTTCAACTTTCCCGGCTGACAGCTTATTCATCTTACCCGATCATCTCTGTCTCTTGCTCTACCTGAGACAAGAGCAGAACACCGCATACATCTACCCCTCATTTTAACATTCGACGTTCCTTTCTCACAAACCACAACCAACCCCTCCTACTTCCACCTCATTCAATTGCCCATCATGACTTCGGGATGGAACAACACCGAAACAATGGCCACAATGGCCAAAGAACGTGAAAATCCTCCTTTTGACATTCGTGCAATGGCAATCGCACATCATGGATCAAAACGCGATTTAGAACTGAAAGAAAAGTTCATGTTGGAAATCTCTCGTGATCCTGCTTATTATGCAGTTGATATTCATGATCTTACAAAAGATCAAACTCGTCAAAGAACAATGGCAAAAATTGGTTCTTTAGTTCATTGCGTTACAAATGAATCAATTGAAATTTTTCAAAAACGTATGGAAGTAATTGGACTTTTCGATCCTGGCTTTTGGACTCGTTTTGGTGTTCATTATGGTCTTTTCGTAGGTGCAATTCGTAGTGCCGCAACTCCAAATCAATTCAGCTATTGGCTCGAAAAAGGTGTGATCGGATGCAAGGGCATGTTTGGATGTTTCTGTATGACAGAATTAGGACATGGATCCAACGTTGCCGGTCTATTGACAACTGCAACTCTAGACTTAAACACAGACGAATGGATTATTCATACACCCGATCTTCTGGCTACCAAATGGTGGATCGGTGGTGCAGCTGAATCCGCTACACATGGTGCCGTTTTTGCTCAAATGATTATCAAAGGTAAACGTCATGGTGTAAAGACTTTTATTGTTCCTTTGCGTGATCCTAAAACATTCCAACTTTTACCCGGAATCAACATCGGTGATATCGGTATGAAGATGGGCAGAAATGGTATCGATAACGGTTACGTTCAATTCACAAACGTGCGCGTTCCACGTGCATACATGCTGATGAAACATACTCAAGTTACACGGGATGGTGAAGTGTTTGAGCCACCGCTTGCACAATTGACATATGGTGCTCTGTTGCAAGGTAGAACTGCCATGGTTGCCGATGCTGCCAATTCCGCAAAGAAGGCTTTGACTATCGGTGTTCGTTATGCTGCCGTTCGTCGTCAATTCAAGAGTTCACCCGATGCAGAAAGAGAGACGCAATTGCTAGATTATCCTATCCATCAACGTAGATTGATGCCTTTGTTATGTCAATCAGTCGCTTTCGGTTTCACCGCATTGCAAATGACAAACTTGTTCGAAGAAACATCTCGTGCATTGGAATCCCTCGAACCAGGAGACCCAAACTTGCAAGCAACAATCGAACTACTCAAAGAAACCCATAGTACTTCTGCCGGGCTAAAGGCATTCTGTACTTGGGCTACCCTTGAAGCAATCGAAAAGACCCGCCAAGCCTGTGGTGGACACGGTTACAGTTCATACGTTGGCTTGGCACCAATGGGACAAGATTTCGCCGTTCACTGTACATGGGAAGGTGATAATACCATTCTGGCACTGCAAAGTGGACGTGCATTAGTTCAAGCATATCAAGAAGCAAGGAAAGGTAAAGAGATGGGCGCTGGAATGGCATACATGAACAATTTGGATAAATCCTTAAAAGCAAAAGCTTCAGAACAAGATTTGGACAGCCTTGAAGGCATCGATCAAGGTTGGGCATGCGTTGCTGCACATGCTGTAAAGAAAGCAACTGAAGATTATGAAGGTTTATTGAAATCCGGTAAATCTCGTGATCAAGCATTCGAGGCATGTTCGCAATCTCGCTTTGTCGCTGCAAGCGTTCATACAAGTGGTTACATTTACCGTCAGTTCCGTGCAGCTGTTGAAAGAGTTGAAAAATCTGACGACGGCGTACGTGAACATTTGGAATTATTGGCCAAATTTTACGGTTTATGGCAAATGGAAGAAAAAGCAGCCTTCTTTTTGCGTTCTGGATGGTTGAGCACAGATTTGTTGGATAAAGTACAAGAACGGGTAACTGATTATTGTGCAGAGACACGTAAATTTGCCATTCCTTTGGTTGATAGTTTCGTCTTGCATGATCATACGATCAACAGTCCATTTGCCAAGTATGATGGATCTGTTTATACATCTTTGTTCCGTGCTGTCAAACGTAATAACCCACAAGGAGGACCTCACAAGTACTTGGATACAGTCAAGGGTCTCTTGTTCCGTGAAGATGCAGAATTAGAAGATGTTGATGAAGCAATTGGAATTGATGATGAAATTCAAGAAATTCAAGAAGAACGGGCTGAAGCTGAAAAAGAACAAAATGAACAAAAAGAAGCAGGAGTAACGAAAGAAGCAGCTGAGCCTGATGGAAAGAACAAGGAATAGAGAGTGCTATTCTTTTTTTGATTTTGTTCAAAGTATTCCCTTTAATGTTTTTCGTCTTTTTATCTTTGCAAGAATGTATATGCTAATAATATCAATTTTACCAATTTTTTTGAGTTGTTGTGATAATCCCGGTAGCGCTTTTAATTTTCTCTCCGTTGATCCGACTATTAATCGGCGTTAAGAAGAAGTTTTGCAGATTCACTTATGGCGGTACTGCGCTTAAGCACTGCATCTATCCTTAGCCCGATTGCCAGACCGCCCGCCCTGAGCCTGAGCCCAGAGATATTCCTGAGTGGGCTTATAGGCGGCAGACACGTTTTGGGTGCGCTTTGTTATGGATCAGACACTGGACAATAGCCGCAAGCGTGCGCGTCTGGGCCTGGAAAAAAAGGGAACAGACGATTGGTTGCACTTTCTCTTTAACACGCGAGGGCATGATTGATTGACGGATGATCATTTTATTTTTAAAAGAGAACATCTTGAAACACCGACAAGCAAACAAAATTCCCACTCTGTTTTTCTTTCCCGACATTATACTACGCCAAACACAAAGAAAGTTCTTGTGAACAGAACATCAAACAAATTCGATCGATCAGGAATTGTGTCGACAGGAGAACGAGCTATGATATAGAAATTGTGCAAAAGTAAAAAAAAGATTGAAGGACAATGAATGCATCAAAGGCTTCCACATCTTCATCGATGCAAAATCCAGCTGAGAGTTCGACAACGCGATCACCCAAAGGTACGGAAGAAAGCAAATCGGCTGGTCCTTCTCATTCTTCTTCGGCTGGTGTTGAAACAGAAGCAAAAACTTCCACCCCTAACAATGCAAATGCAAACATACCCAGACCTTCTTCTCCAACCAGTGCATCTTCTAGACTATGGTCATCATGGATATCACCATCCACTTCCGCCTCAACAGCAGCCTCTTCAGCTTTTGAAGAAAGGAAACGAAGAAGAAGACCTTCTTTTGAAGAATTTCGCGCACAAGAACCGCCTCAAGCAAGATTGATCAGATTACGCGGATTGTTTGACGTTCTATTGGATAAAGATGATGAACAAGCACTAGCAGGAGGTAGGGCAAAAGAAGAATGGACAAGAAGTGCAATGCGTGCTAGATATGGAGCAGGTGGAATTTATGCTCGGGGTAGTTTAGCACCTCAATTGGAAGAAAGCAAAAGTGGAAATCGTGATACCACTTTTGGTTTCTCATCTCAACCACAACAACAACAGCAGCAGTCAACGTCTTCCGCCGCCTCCTCATCACGATCTTCCACCACCACCACACCTCCACCACCTAGACAATCATATGCTAAAGAATTGCTCGCTCAATGTCGCGAATGCCGTGCTGAATTGGAAAAGGAACGGGAAGCCGCAGAAAAGAAGGGAAAGAAAATCTTATCACAACAAGAAGGTGAATCGAAGGGATGGTACGCATGGGTTCCTTTCATGGGAAATGGGTCAGAAACCACTACAGACGAAGACTCAAGTTCGAATACCGAATTCATCACTGATAAATTGGCAGGCCTCGTGGGTAAAGGAAAAGATTCATCTCAACCGGGAAAAGAAGAGAAAGCAGACGATTCGTCTTCCATCTCTTCGATAACATCGTCCGTTCTATCAGCCTTCAGCAGCGATTCTTCAAAATCCAATGATGAGGAGGCAGTATCCGAAGCCAAACGTACATCATCAATGCATTCTGATCACGAAGGCGAAGCAGGTTGGATAGGCTCTGGTGTATGGGGTCTATCTGCAGTCGGAGCCAAACAAAGACAAGCAGATCGTGAGCGTGATCGACGGATAGCGAAAGGACATGTAGAAGATGACGGAGGCCGCAGGCAGAGACAGATTGAATGGGAAGGGTTCTTGCGATATGCCGATCAGAAAGAGCGGGAGCTCTATAAAATCTTTATCGAATTGGACAAGAATGGAGATATGCGATTAGATACGGTAGAGATTGCAGGTGCTTTAGATCGTGCGGAAATTGAATTATCAAAAGATGGTTTGAAGGACTTTGTCGCTAGTCTCGGATCTTCTTCGCGTTGGCAAGGATCAGGATGTCCTTCTTCAGTCACTTTTCCGGAATTCCGCGACTATTTGTTGCTCTTACCTAGGAAACCTTCGGTGAATGAAATCTTCCGATTTTATCAAGTACGTAAAGCATTTGGACTTTTCGGATCCCAAGGTATTTTTGGCGAATTTAGCGATCGATGGGGAAAGACGGAAAGGCATGGTGCCACCTCTGTCACACAGGATGGAGATGTATCCTTGGCAGGTGAAGAGAGGAAGAAGCTCGGTGAAGATGAAAAAGAAGCAAGACGTGAAGCAAGAAGGGTGGCGATTGAGAATGCTGCGACAGAGGTCGTCAGTTCTGACAATCATTCCGATTCAGAAACAAATGGATTGTCGGGCATTTTGTCAAGTAGAAATGATGCAGCATCTTCTTCAAGCGGAGTAGTAGACAATAATCAAGATCATGGTGACGCAATTGCCGCAGAAGAAGAGGAAGAAGACTCAGATATGATCCATGGTGATGTTGCTCTTAAATTTCTGCTCGCTGGTGGTATAGCTGGTGCAGTTTCTAGAACAGCCACTGCTCCTTTTGATCGTTTGAAGATCTATTTGATCACTACAGCCCGTGCCCAGCCAGAAGCACTCAACTCAGGATCTACGTCAAAGATTGCAACACGTGGAATGAGTATGCTGACAGAAGCTGTTCATGCACTCTATCGCGAAGGAGGAGGCCTTAAAGCTTTTTGGGTCGGTAATGGCTTGAACTGCTTAAAGATCTTTCCTGAATCAGCAATCAAGTTTTTGAGCTATGAGACTGCAAAGAGAGCATTTGCCAAGTACGTTGATGGAGTTTCAGATTCTCGAGATATCAGTGGAACGAGTCGATTTTTGAGTGGTGGTTTTGGTGGTATTACAAGTCAATTTGCAATTTATCCTGTTGAAACGCTCAAAACACGATTGATGGCTTATCAAGGATCGAGTGGTAGTAACCACGCGCCAGCAGGACACCAAGCACAAGGCAATCGACTTTTATCCACAGTCGCGAAAGATATGTGGAAGAATGGCGGGATGAGAACTTATTACCGTGGTCTAACGGCAGGTTTGATTGGAGTTTTTCCTTATTCTGCAATTGATATGTCTACATTTGAAGGAATCAAGCTATTTTACATCAAGTACACTGGCAGAGAAGAACCGGGCGTTTTAGCACTCTTGGCATTCGGAAGTTTGAGTGGAAGTGTTGGAGCAACGACTGTTTATCCGCTAAGTTTGGTTAGAACTAGACTTCAAGCAGCCGGAACGCCTGCTCATCCTCAACAATACGATGGCTTTTGGCATGCATGCAGGATCACGTATAAACAAGAAGGCTTTGTTGGATTTTATCGTGGTTTGGTACCTTCTTTGGCAAAAGTCGTTCCTGCTGTTTCAATTTCTTATGTCGTTTATGAACATTCAAAACGTCGTTTAGGCGTACAGTAAACTTATCATCATATGGACTTTCTTTCTTACGTTGTTGCAATTTGCTCTATCTTGTCCCTCTTTGTACATTGACATTAGAACTTTACTAGATTTTGCATAATTTACATTTTTCATCATCCAAGGGAAGGTAGCATAAAGAGTAAGTTGTAATTACGCGCCTATTTCCGAAAAGTGCGGACGCCAAAATCAGGGAAAGTTTCATGCATACATACACTTTAGACCAACACCAAAAATTCATATTCATTCCAATCATTACCAAAGGACAGGAGAAGGGGATGAAAGGTTAAGGATATCGATGCATATACCTCAACCTCTTGAGTGATGGAAGATATAAACCAGAGAAGCGATGTGGAGGGAAAAGGAGGTGAACATACATCGAATCCAAAACAAGTTGTCTCGCCAAATGAAAGAGTCAGGAATGTGACACCTAATCATTCTGAGGCGGCTATAGCATTGTCTTCTGCAACTCTCACTACACCATCTCGTGTTCGATTAGCAACAATATCACCTATCGGATCTTCTGGCTTGCTTTCACCTAGTGCCAAAGCCAGCAGTACGACTTCGGATAGCGAATTCTTTAAAACGTCTTCAGATGATAAACAGCACGGCGGCATGAGAGCTACTACGGCGTTGTCTAGAGACGAACAAGGTACAGCCGATCTGACTTCGTCACGAGAGCTGGAGCTGGAGAGCGAGCAAGGAACGTCATTGTCGGACCATAAAGTGGAGAATGCAAAAGGCAAAGAACGATTAGACCATGCAGAGGAAGTGCCAAGCATTACTGTGAGCTTGAATGACTTTTCTTCTTCAAGTAAAAAGGATCAAGAACTATCCAGGACCAGTGAGCAAGCACCTTCTGGGTCAAAACCCAAGAAACCTACAGAGGCCGTTGATTTTCTTACCAAGAGGCTAAGGAGTGCCATAGGACAGGAGATTCTGCTGCAAGATGATGATGATGATGATGAGGTTGATGAAGACGGGGCAATGAACAAGTCAATCCATGTTGAAAGACCTGCTCGAGCTCGAAGCGAGAGCAAGGATAGCAAAAGCAAGCTGACACGCAATGGTACGAAGGAAGCCGCACCGAATAAAGGGAAAGAGGCAGCATCTCCCACCTCAGCGGCATGGGGATGGTCGACATTGACCACATTACCGGCGTCTTTACGTATTGATCAGGCTTTGCAAAGTCTGTCATTGCGGGGTGAGAGTAACGGAGCTGTCTCTACCTCAAGGATGGAGAATCAGAAAGCGAAAGCATCATCTGACCCAGATGCAGCATCAGTACCGGCTTCGACTGACGCTTCTTCTTCACTCTCGATGGGCACGCTGGGAAAAGGATTCGTCTCAGCTGTCGACCCTCGAAATTGGTTCGCTGCTGGAGAGAAGGAAGGCACAGCGAACGTACAGAAAACCACTCCTGACCCTACACAAGCGCAATCTGATCCACCTCCATTCAATAGAATACCTACAGGATCATTTCCTTCTTCTAGTAGCGTGGCAAGCAGAAAGAAGAAAGAACGTGAGCATGCAAAGGCAAAAACGCAAGAGATGGAGCAAGCTACAGCTGCTTCGATTGCAGAAAAAGAACGTAAGCAAGCGGGCGGCAAGGTGGATGAGCATGACTTGAGAGAAGAAGAATTTGGAATCCCAGATGAAGACTTGGAGAGATACGGAGGTGAAAGATACCCTGCTCATGAATATCTGATTTTGAGTACAGCTGGAAAGCCAGTCTTTTGGAGCAAAATCAGTAAAGCAAGGCTAATACGCACCCGACACATGAGACAGAGAAGACGGAGACAGCAAGCCGAATTGGAGAGCAAAAGAGCAAAGGGAGAGGATGTATCGAAAGAGGCGGAAGATATACAAGCTCGCGAAGAGCGCTTCTCAAAGGAAGAGCAATCTATCCAGGATGAAGAAGATCAGATGGAAGCCACTCGAGTAGGACTGTTACAGGCCATCATATCTAATTATGCAGAGAACAACAAAAAGAAACTGTATGAGACCAGTGCGGAGGTGCTGGAATTACCAAAAACGGGAAAGACGACGTTCTTACTTCGTCCACCGTTGTATCTGGTGGCTGTCTCATATTGGGACGAGCCTAATTCTACTCTTCGAAATCATCTGGAGTATCTACACCAAGCTGTCATTAGTCTTGTTTCGGCTTCGAAGTTGAACAAACTCTTTGATCGGGCTGCAAACTTTGATTTGAAAAGACTACTGCAGGGGACAGATAACATTCTAGACTCGCTGCTGACCCGACTACAGCTTGAAACAATCGCGATGCGGGGTGCTTTACAACCACTACGTCTGAATGCAGCAATACGACATGACGTAGGTGCAGCATTAATACCGACACGCAGCAAACAAGCTCGCCCTCAAGATGCGCTGTATGCAGTATTGCTGACTCGCAATGGTATCGTTACCTTGGCAAGGAGACGAAAGCATAGTATTCACCCTGTGGACTGCCACTTATTGGTCAATACCGTCCTGTCCACTAATGCACTCAAAGAAGGCGGAACGCAGAGCTGGGTTCCGATTTGTTTGCCAAAGTTTGCACCTCAAGGGTTCTTGTACGCTCATGTCAGCTTCCTGGATGATGAGGGAAAGCAAGACAAGAACGAGAAAGTAAAGGGCGACACAACTGCAGCATCTGCCAGTAATCGTCATCCTGACTTGGGACTTGTTCTCGTGACTGCAAATCCAGACGGCTTTGATGATATGAGTGCGTGGAGGGACAGGATTGTCGGTCTTTTACAGGAGAACGAGATGTTCAAAAGCCTTGTACGGACAGCTAGATCGAGCGAAGACGAAAACAGTGATTCACAAGACGAAGCTGCTACCAGAAGCACTTCTACGAATGCTACTACCACTTCGATTCGGTACAGCGCGGATGAATTGGGAATAGCTGGACTTCGTCACTTTTGCTTCAAATGGCGTTCAAATGTTCAATCAACTTCTTCTTCGTATGAAGATCCATACACGCCAGGAACGGATGATCATAGAAGACTGTTGTATCTTTATGGTCTAGCATACGAATACGTGACCAAAAGTGCAAAAGAGAACGCAAAAGCCAAGAAGGCAGGAATTGATGGAGGTAGCACTGATGATTCACCTGCACTAAGTGAAGCTGAATCTGCTCCCAAACAAGACGGAAAGTATGAAGGCGCAAGTAGCGAGACAGACGATGCGTCTTCCGTTCAAACGACAAACACGTCTGGTCGCAAAAGTGTTGAATCGCAAAAGCAAGCAAAGGGTAGACCTGCTTCTAGCAATACACCGGCACGACCTTCATCACCTCCGATCGTACCTCGTAGTGTCTTATTGTCTCCTAAGGCGGCTGCTGTTAGTTCACAAACATCATCTGTTGCTAGCTCAGCTGCTGGACTATTGAAGCAAAGTATGGGAATTGGAACTTCTCAGGGACGTTCAACAACTTCAACGCACGTTATAAGAACGCAAAATGAAGCAATTTTAGCATGGTCAACGCCACCATTTGAATTATACATTTGCGCAAGTCCACATATTCCAAATTCAACTTTGATCAATATGGCAAAATCTGTGGTAAAATGGGTAAAACAGGAAGAGCATCAATTATTCATCGTTTCCGCACCAATTTTCTAAAAATCGTGTATAGTAATGATACCCCTTTCAATGGAATGAAAATCTCTAAAGAAAACGATCAAAATTCATAAAATGATAATACAGCAAGACTAGCCTAAACGATAGAGATAAAGCGAAAGAGAGAAATTAAAGGGTCCATAAAAAGTGTGAAAGTGCCAGGGTTAAGTTGAGAAACGGAAAGATGACCATGTTTGCGTTCCTCAGCGTTCAGTGGAAGAGCACTGTAACGTGTAAGTGTTGGAGATCGGCTTGACAAGTGGCGATGAAGCTGCATACATTCCATTGAAAGTTTCACGCATTGCTTGTTCTTGATTATTACGTTGACCGCCTTTCCAACGATTGTGATTTTGTTTACGTGATTTATTGTTCGTACGTTTTGATTTTGAGTTGTTCGCATTCGTAGAATCTTGAAGAACGGTATTGTTTGCTTGCAAGGGTGACAAGATTGGCGATGAATTTCGAGGAAATGTTCGAACAACATCCGTCGGGGAGAGGTGTCGCCCTTTGTTCTTCCCTTCCACATCCACCGTCAAGCCGCGACTTCTGCTACCTCCAGTAAGGCGATCATCGTTGAGACTGTTTGCTCTTCTCATATCATTGATCATTGTTGAGCTTGGGTGAAAGTCACTTAAAGAAGTGAAATCACTATTTCCATCAGGAAGTTGGAGTAGGATAGATCCCTCGCCTCCGCCATGGTTTGGAATCGAAGGACTTCGCTGATTTGAGAATTGCTTGTCATTCTTGTAATTTTGCGCACGTTTCTTCGGGTCATGTTTCTGCTTTCTCAACCGTGCCATGTTCTGATCAAAGTTTCGTGATAATACTCGATTTTGAATACCGATATAGCCATGCATGGCTTGAGCTGCATTTGTCCACAAAGAAACATATTGTTGTTGACCGTACGCTTGCCACTGTAAGGCATGAGAAAGAGCTTGACTATGTCGACGATGGAGTTCATCCAAAGATGCAAAAGCTGTGTATTGGTCTTCCATCACCTGAATAGTATCATGACGATCTTGTTGCTGTTCATTGGCAACCATTGACAGATGTCGTTGAAGCTCAAGTACGCGACTGCGTAAAGCTTCATTTTCCTGTTGGGCTGATTGGAGACTAGATTGTTCGTTATACTCGGTCGGTTCGAGAACATACTGGGTAGGTTCTTCATAAACCACATTTGGATCAGAATGATTGATGGGAAAAAGTGAAGGTGAAGATGATTGCACGATCGAGAAAGGGCGTTCGCCATCACGATCATAGCTCTCCACAGAGCCTGCATGACCGCCAAGCCATTTGCTTGGAATGTCTAGCGCACCGTTGGTAATGGAAAGCGAGGAGTAACTCGCATTAGACAATCGACGACCCCTTTGGTCGTTTGAGCCCTGACGATATACCTCACCTTTTACACTACTCATATTCCCTGTAGCTGTCTGGGTTTGTGGATAAGGTAGAAGCTTGGATTGGTACATTTGGCACGTATCAGTATGCAATCCACCACCCTCAGAAGTACTTTCCAATGTCTCACCCTGATGCCTCAGCATTTCTTCTTCCAACTCTGCCATCTCTCCACTAGATAATGCTCCAAAATCTCCATTCTGCAATGTGCTGTCGTAAGCATCATGGTTTGTGATTGTGGTATCGGAAAACCATTGGTCTGCTGAAACAAAGAAGAAGTTACTGATTGCCGCCTTTTCTTCATCATCAATACTCTCAAGTTGTTGCAACCAGCAATGATCATATGATTGTTTCCAAAGAGGATGACCCAGTCGCCATAATTCATCTTGTGCCCATGAAACAGAAAAACGATCATTGTCGTTTTGTGCTTTGGATTCCATTGACAGCTCAGCTTCTGCGGAATCGACTTCTGCCGCGCTTTCTTCCAGAAGGCGATTTGTCTTTTCATCGTTCGAGTCTGTTGCTTCTTGTAAATCAGACGCCGCAGTTGTGGGAGGTGAGCGAGAAGTGATACTGTCTATTGCTTTCTTGCGCACTGCGAGTGCAGCGTCTGATTGCTTTTCTTGGCTAGCACTTCTGTACTTCAAGAAACGTGCCGAGTTCTTGTTCGTAAGCCAGAAAGATGTTGGATAGATCAATGGATCTTGTCGCATTGTTTTCGCTCTGCAGGATTCATATCCGAGTGGGAAGGCTGAATGGGAGATCCACAAAGTCTCTGCCATGCGTTGAAATCGTCCGTATTGATCTCGTGATTGGATTGCGTGTAGGATTGTCACTGCGTACTCTTCCAAATTGATCCAGGCCAAGCGTTTTTCCATTTTCCTTCTCTCTTTCCTATCTTCCCGCGTTTTTCTTGGATGAACATTGTCGAATAAGTGTGCTTGCTTGAGCCAATCCTTGATACAGTCCCGAACATTGTCCAATAGAGGGGCATCATCAACTTCATCAAAGGCTATTGATTCAGCAATGGAAGGAGGATTTTTATTGAAATCATTACAAAGTTGATCTTCGGGGAGATGCATACCATTCAAATCGACGCTTCTGTACGTCGAGAAGGGGAAAGCTGGCTCGAGGTCAAAGTCTTTGCTCTTTTCCAGAGATGATATTGTCATTGGTGTATTTGAAGACCAATCAGATGCCGGTGATGGTGGTGAAGTTGAAGGTGATGGTATTCTCAACAAACTCAAAGGCGCACGTTTTGATCGGGTGCATTCGATCACGTTCGATTGTGTAGAAAGATTGTTTTGAGTAATTTGGTCCCGAGACCCGCTATGACAAATTCTTGGCTCGCTTTCTTGTTCTTGTTCAACAATTGGAGTAATTGGATAAGAAATTTGTGCTCCTTCATTTTCGCACATTTGATCGATTTGTTTCAATATTTGTTCAGTGAATGTTCCAATTTTGTGTTCTGTGAAGATGTCTCTTTCTCTACTTTCTTCTTGAAAAGGTGTAAGAAAAGGCATTTGAACGAAACCTCCTTTCATGATGATTGAAAAGATGGTGATGAGGGTAGAATGAAAAAGCATATTGGAGAATAAGAGAGTCCATAAAGTGTGTTCCATCACAAGAGAAGAGTTCGTCGTATTAAATAGGAAGTATTGGACGGCATATGTCAATCACAATTACAGACAACAAATGCATATTTTATGCGCAAAGAATATCACCGATTCTCACTGTAGTATATACATTTTGCTATATCACCCTTTCCTTCTCCGAACGGGTAGTCCTCTAATTGGCACGAGCCATCTTTCGCTTTTCTTCTGCGTGAACAATTCGGCGGCTTCGGCGTGGTGAAGTATTTTGATCAGGAACGAAATCAAAAAGAAGTACTCCAACAGTACACCAACTGCATCTAAGATACCGAAATTAATTCAATCACGGTACCGGCTTCTGATTGATTGAGCTTAAAAGACACGTGCTGAACCTCAAATATCCTGAGGTGGCTTCAATATGAGATTTAAAGTCAAACATTGTTTATTGAATTGATTTAAGCATGAATTGATGACCGTGACCTAGTCATGACCGTCTTTGACTCTATCATGCATTGCGCTTGTTAATAGCAATCTTTCACTGCATGCTGATTGGGTGATAATCAAAGATTCGCTTAGTAATGCATTATCACCCGTTCATAAATATAGGGCTTCTTCGGCTTTGGAGAGAAGAATAAAGCTGTGGCGCAGTGCTAAACGTGTCAATTAGCTAAAGTTTTCAAGCGCGCAGCTGCTGCCTCTTGCTTGGGGTAACGGAGGAGCCGAGAAGGAATAAAGAAAGCCGGCCAAGCCAATCCAATCCATTCATTTCTTTTTGACGCATGTATGGCGTGCTGGCTGCAGGTAGACAGATCTGCAAGTACGCTTAGAAAAGGTTACCTGTACAGTCACACTCTCAATGTGTACGGCCAAACCCTCCCTTTCGGATTGGTTCAAAAAGAATTGATTGGGAAAAAGATTCCCCGGGCATAACGGCGCGAATGATTAGGAAAGATTACTTTAGATGAAATGAATGCAAGAAGAGAAAAAAAAAGATTAAAATATTATAGGAATATCTAAGCTTGAAGAATACTTTACTCATCACCATCATTTTACCTTTCATCAAAACAGATCAACAAGGAATTTCAATCCTTCTGATCATCTGGTGAAGTTGACTGATCCCTCTCACCTTTTGCGGTCATTTCACAATCGCATAGAGTGGGCTCTGTCATAATGTCATCTTCAGCTTCAAGCTCTTCCGCTTCGGCTGTTGCTCGGGTGGCCACTTTGGCTTCATCTTCAGTCTTGCACGTCGAGAGAAATGCAGACGTATCACCATTCAAGCAAGGACTCCAATCTGCCAGCTCATTTACAGCAGATTCAGCTCCAGTCCTTTCCGTACAATCTCACACCGATCCAGCAAGTCGTTTGAGCAGCATAATACGTAAAAGTGATGATGCATCACTCATCTCACTTTTAGCACAAACAGATTCACACCTTCTCACTTCATTTGTTCCACAATTGGCCAACATTGTCTCAAAGCCGGTCGTCTTACATATTGCCACCTCTGGAGATCAATCCGATGTTATCGCTTTACGTTCTTCTGGTTTGGTCATTCTTTACTCTTCTACACCAACACAAGCACACGATCACGCATTACTCGCTTCCCGATTGGCTTACAGTCGCTCAACAGCAGTTTTGCATTTCTTTGAGAACGTAGAAGGCAATGTAGATGAAGAAATCACAACTGCTGATATCCGATCTTTATTGCAAAAGGGCTCAAGCTCACAAGCTGGTCTTACCAATGGTGCCTCAAACGGCAATGGTGTCAATGGACATGACGCTGTCAACGGGAGTGCTAACGGCGCAAAAGAAAATGGCAGCAGTCACTCTCAGCCTCCCGCCACACCTGAAGATCTATCTCGAGCGATTGACGAATCATTCAAGACTGTTTCAGAGGTTGTCGGACGTAAGCTTGAACCTTTCTCTTTCTTTGGCTCAGAGAATGCAAAGGATCTAGCTGTTGTTCTAGGACCAGGCGCAAAGTCATTGGCAAGCGATAAGTTGGCCGTCATCAACGTCAATTTGGTTCGCCCATTGGTCGATGAAGCATTCCGTTCTCTACTACCCTCTTCAATCGAGAAGGTGGCAACTCTCGATCAAAGCACACGCCGTTCAACAAAGATTAGTCCTCTTTTCGTTGATGTTGCTACATCATTCCAAAGAGCGAAGGCAATGGAAAGTGTGCCTTCCTCAGAACAATCACAATCAGTGCAACTTCCCAAAGTTCTCATCAGCGGTACATTGGGATCTTTGGGCAAGAAGGCCGCTCAAAAAGCAGCATCTGCAGTCTTGTCTGCACTCGAAGCAGGCAAGAACAACTTTGTGATCGGTAAGGAAGTAGAGACAGATGCTGCTATCACTCAAAAAGCTGCCGCATTGAACTTGGCTAAACCACCAAAGCATGAGGAGGCATACCAAGTGATTCTCGATCAATTGTTCCAAAAGCGCCTCTCCGTCGTCAACTCGCCATTGAATGAGACAGATCCTAGTCCGGCCGCTCGTACCCCAGAATACGCATTTGGTCAAGTCGTTGCTCAATTGGAAGGAAGAGATTCATTCGATCAGGTTGCACGGGAGGTACTACGTGGCAACACTGCAGCCCTTCCAGCAGACCTTTCGTCAGCCTTGAAGAGCTACACACAAGAAGGCAAGAGAGGTGATGCAGAAATTGAAAAGATTCAAACACTTTTGTCTCAACAAAAGAACACATCTTCTGCCGCCCTCAAAAAGCTCGTCTCATTGGCCGGATCGATCGACGGAAAGAGCCGCTGGATTATCGGATCAGATGCTTGGGCATATGATGTCGGTATGGGAGGTGTGCACCACGTCATCGCAAGTGGAAAGAATGTCAACATGCTCGTGTTTGACAGTCTTCCATACACTCAAAGAGATGCAGTCGAGGCTGAAAAACGCAAGAAAGATATTGGTTTGTACGCAATGAACTATGGTAATGTATACGTTGCTAGTACAGCAGTGTACTCCAACTACACTCAAGTCTTGCAAGCTTTGATGGAGGCCGACCGATTCGATGGACCTTCAGTCGTGTTGGCATATGTTCCCTTCTTGACACAAGATGCACCTGCACTTGACGTTTTGCGAGAGACCAAGCTAGCCGTTGACTCTGGTTATTGGCCTTTGTACAGATGGGACCCTAGCGCCGAAAAGAAGGGTGAAGACGTTTTCCGATTGGATTCTTCACGTATTCGTGAACAATTGAAAGACTTCCTCGACAGACAAAACCATTTGACACTTCTTGCAAACGCCAAGCCTGAACTTGCCTATGATCTCGTAAGCAGCCAAGGTACCGGTCTACGTGAACGTCAACGCACAAAAGCCAAGGAAGCATACGATGCTCTCTTGGGAGCTATGGATGGACCCCCTCTTTTGATTTTGTACGCAAGTGACGGAGGTAATGCAGAAAAGGTGGCAAAGAAGTTGGGCACTCGTGCAAAAGCACGCGGTCTTGCTGCCCGTGTTTTGACAATGGACGATTTCCCAGTCACTGATGAGCTCAAGGGCGAAAAGAATGTCGCTTTCATTACCAGTACTGCCGGTCAAGGTGAAGCACCTCAAAATGGTCGCGAGACAATGAAGACTTTGAACAAGTTCACTGAAGGAAGCTTGAAAGCTGCCAATGAAGATGACACAATGCGCTTCACTGTCTTTGCAATGGGAGACAGTCACTACTGGCCACGTCCAGAGGATGCTCATTACTACAACAAGCCAGGTAAGGACTTGGATGCTAGACTTGACGTTCTAGGAGCACAAAGATTGGCACCAATTGGTTTGGGAGACGATCAAGATGCAGATGGCTACCAGACTGGATACAAGATTTGGGAACCTCTATTGTGGAAAGCATTGGGAGTAGACTCAATCGAAATTACTGAAGCTGAGCCGGAACCAATCACAAACGAGAACATCAAGATTGCCAGTAACTACTTGCGAGGTACAATCGTTGAAGGTCTTGCAGATAAGAGCACTGGTGCGCTTGCTGACAGTGATGGTCAGTTGACTAAATTCCATGGAACATACCAACAATTTGATCGTGATACAGTTGAAGAGCGCAAGGCTGCTGGCCTAGAGCCCGCTTATAGTTTCATGATCCGTTGTCGTATTCCAGCAGGTGTGGTTACACCTGCTCAATGGGTGCAATTGGATAAGGTTGCTGGCGATTACGGTAACCAAACGATGAAGATCACTACTCGTCAAACAATCCAATACCATTGCGTCGTCAAATCAGAGCTCAAATTAGCCATGCAAGGAATCAACAAAGCTATGTTGGACACAATCGCAGCATGTGGTGACGTGAACAGAAACGTCATGTGCTCGCCAAACCCTCACTTGAGCAACTTGCACGCTGAGGTGTTTGAATTCAGCAAAGGAATTTCCGAGTACCTGCTACCCAGAATGGATGCATACCACGAAATTTGGCTAGACAAGGAGACTGAGAGCAAGAAACAACTGTTGATGGGAGGAGCATTGCGGGATTATGAACCTCTCTATGGACCTTACTATTTGCCACGTAAATTCAAGATCGCCATTGCTGTCCCTCCACGCAATGACACTGACTGCTTTGCCCATGATATCGGTTTGATTGCAATTGCCAACAACCGTGGTCATTTGGTCGGATTCAACGTTAGTGTTGGTGGTGGTATGGGTGTAACTCATGGAACAAAGATCACTTACCCAAGATTGGGAGACGTGATTGGATTTGCTACCACTGAACAAGTCAAGGACGTTTGCAAGGAAATCATGTTGACTCAACGTGACTTCGGTAACCGTACTAACCGTAAGCAAGCACGTCTCAAGTACACAATCGATAACCACTTCAAGGGTCCAGACAACTTCAGAACTGAAGTTGAACGAAGATTGGGCTACAAGTTGGAGGCCGCACGTCCGTATGAATTCAAGGCAAACACTGATGAATACGGATGGCGCAAACAGCAGAATGGTAACTGGACATGCATGTTATGGCTAGAGAATGGTCGTATTCGTGATGCACCCGGAGAACCATTCAGAACTGGTGTTCGTGAATTGTGTTTGGCAGATTGGTTCGATGGTGAACTGCGTATGACTCCTAATCAACATTTGGCCCTTTGTGAGATCAAGCCTTCTATCAAAGAAAAGGTTGAAGCACATTTGGAAATGTACAACATGGTTCTATGGAAGCAAAGTGCAATTGCCACTTCTGCATCCTCTTGTGTTGCTTTCCCAACTTGTGGTTTGGCAATGGCAGAAAGTGAACGTGTCTTGTTCCCTGATTTGGTTGAAAAGTTGGACGCAATCGTTAAACGACTTGGTTTGGCATCTGAAGAAATCATTACCCGTATGACCGGATGTCCAAACGGTTGTGCTCGTCCATGGGTTGCTCATATTGCCTTTGTAGGTAAAGCACCTGAAACATATTTGATGTTGCTGGGAGGAAACAAAAAAGGAACGAGAATTAACAAAGTTTACGCTGAAAGTGTTACTTTGCCCGAAGCTATCAAATTATTGGAACCAATTTTGGAAAGATTTGCCGCTGAACGTGGACCTGATGAAGACTTTGGAGATTTCATGATTCGTGCTGGAATTATTGCAGAGACAAAACAAGGAAAAGATTTCTGGGATAGCATTAGACCTTTGCCACTTCCTGTTCTGGCCACTTCTGGTTAGAACGGTACTTGCATTCTTGTTTTTGCAACTTTTTTACTTTCAATTTATTTCTACTATCTTTTCAATGTTATTTATAGATGCCCAAAATTCGGATGAATATCAGATTAATATTATACAGCTATGATGAGACGACTGTTATTTTACAAATGCTAAGGTACAGTATTTAGAGATCATGAATTTGCGACTCGAGAAAGTGTTGGATTCGAAACGTTGGCATCGCCTTGAGTTTGCTGGTGCTCGGCGAGCATGATCGGATTAAATTTACGAAACCGGTCAAAATGCCGTACGATTGCAATACCGACAGTCATTCGAAAGACATCTACATTGATTACCAATTCGGGTGAATCAAGTTTTGCTCTTGCAAATGTAGGCATTCGTTTTGCCAGTGTTTGAATGATATCCGATTTGGACAATTTATCGTTCAATCGTGTTTTAATATCCACCTTAAACGTGAGCTCTGAAGAGTCGGTAGAAGACTCGGCCGGGGCCACAAAGTTCTCTTGTTTGACCAAACGATCGATCAATTCAGTCAGATCCACCAAATCGGCAAAACAGGTATCCGAGACTGGTGATAGACGATGCACAAATCTACTTCTTGCAATGCCTGTCTTTTTGACATCTTCCAGTAAATCATATGTCAATTGGATCGGATCGAATGGTGGCTTTACCTCGATAAAAAAGAAACATTCCATATCTGTGAAGACTGGAACAAATTTTTTCGCTTTTGATCCTTTTTGTATATCTTTGGCTGATGCAGGTGTTTTGAATTCTTGTAATTCAGAGGCTATCTGTGACTCAATATCATCATCATCATTGCGCTTCGATGTGTTCGTCTCTTGCTCATTCTTGGCTGAAGAAGAGCCATTTATGCCTTCCTTCTCCCCATCCTGATGATCCACCAGCTCTTCCAGGATATCAATCAATTCGAATGCTGCCTTTCGCTCCCTTCCACGCACACAGCTCACGAATATTCCAGGCCCTTTGATCACCGCAAATCGATTTGCATGTCGTGAATTCGAGGTTCCTTTGCCCTTCTTTTTGAATGATGAATTCGAGTGAGGTTTTCCATCTACATCATCCCTCTTTCTCTTTCCTCCATCATTCGACATCGCTTTGGAGGTGGTGAAGTGGGTAGAATACATGCATGCTCGAATGCAAGTGTTGTTCTTGATATTCTGAAGATCACGTGCAATGCAGCCAAAAGCCAGAAAATTTCTTCCAAAAAATAAGTGCAAAAGGCGGATGCATGAAAATGTGTGATTGCAAAGCGCGGCGCTTGAGCTGTCAAATTTGGCCCGTTTCCCAATAAACGATTTTAAGAAGAAATCATGTTCATTCTCATTTCAATATCATTTCCAACATACAATCAATAGCCACAAAAAATGACTGAATCAGCCGGTGCTGTGATTGGTATTAACCTTGGACAATCATATGGATCCATCGCATGTATCAATCAACATGGTCGTGCAGATGTGATTGCAAACGAAGATGGTGAACGTCAATTGGCAACAAGGATTGCATTTGATGGTGATCAAGTCTATTTGGGCAATCAAGCTACACCTCAATTGGTCAGAAATAGCGCAAATGTGATTGATAAATTCATCAATTTGCTTGGACGTTCTTACAGTGAACTTTCTGACGCTGACAAACAGAGGAATTCTTCACCTGTCGTTGATGTGAACGGAGTACCTTCTTTCCGCGTTCAAATTGATGGAAAAGAAACAGTCTTGTCTGCACACGATGTTGCAGTTCGTTATATTCGATCTCTCTTTTTGACCGCAAAAGATTTCTTGTCAGGTGTTCCAATCGCTGGTGCAGTTTTGAGCGTTCCATTGAATTATTCTCCTAAACAACAAGAAGCTCTCAAAGCTGCTGCTACCGAAGCTGGTTTGATCGTTTTACAATTGATTCCTGCACCTGCCGCTGCATTGACTTCATACAAACTCACAAGCCCTCAAGGATCTCAATTGCCAAGCCATCCTGATGGTGAAGAAGGACAGGCCTATTTGCCAGGATCTGAATTGGACCGTACTGTACTTGTGGTGGATGTAGGAGGTACATCAACAGCCGTCACTTTGGTTCATGCAAGAAGTGGTTTGTACACATTGTTGGCTACCGAAATCAATCCTTCGGTTGGTGGAATCACGATTGATGATGCATTGGCAACATATCTATCCAAAGAATTCACAAAGAAGACGAAAGTTCCGATCGAGGCAAGCAATCATCGTGCTTGGGCTAAATTACGCAATGCTGTCGAACAAACGAAACGTACATTAAGTGCAAGTAATAGCGCACAAATCAGTATAGAAAGTTTGGCAGACGGTGTTGATTTCAGTAATCCGGTAAACAGATTACGAATTGATATTTGCGCAAGAAAGGTTTGGGATGAAGTTCAATCTTTGTGCACGAAAGCATTACAAAAAGCTGGACTGCAATCTGCTCATGTTGATGAAGTGATCTTGGTTGGTGGAACATCACGCTTGCAAGGCTTGAAGGATAACCTAGAAGCATACTTCCCCGAACGAACGCATTTGACGGATTCCATTGATGCTGATCAAGCAATCGCTCGTGGTTGCGCTGTTCATGCACAAGCAATCGCAACAACAGAAGAATCTGCACCGGAACATCGTCATTTGACAAGCCTTCCATTGGCCCATCCAAGCGAAATTAAAGAACTTCAAGTTCGCTCAATCGCAAAGCCAATCGGATTGGTGGTTAACGATCCCAGCACAAGCGGCTCATCTTTATCAAACGGAAATGCCGAAGAAGTGAACAGACGTGTGATTGATGGTAAATTGTTCGTTCCTCTCATTCCAACCGGAACACCTTTGCCAGCAAGACGTGCATTCACCCTTTCCGTTCAAGGCAGCAGTGCTTTGATCAACCTATACGAAGGTGAAGAATCCGTTCGAGTTGACAAAGTTGAAAGACCAAAAGATGAAGATGAAGAGGAAGATGATGAAGATCTTGATGAAGAAGATAAATACATCGAAGTTCGTACAGTGGTCACCAAACCATCAAAAGAATTGGCAAAAGTCGTCGTTCCCAAAGAGGCTATCCAAAAGAATTCTGTTCGTGTCGAAATTCGTGTTTCGACAGAAGGCAAAGGTTCCATTTTGCTCGGTGAAGCAAAGACGTTAGCATTGCAATTTTAATTGCCCACTTCCTTATATAGTGAACTCTTTATGTGTTCGCACAGCAATGTTATGATGTAATAGAAATATGATGTTGATTTCATCATGCTGTCAAGCTATGAAGATCTGGAGAGAAAAGAAAAGATATAGATGATACAGAGAAGTATATGACGAATGACTTGTGATGGTCATTCCATTTAAGCACCGAAACCGTACAATGTGCGGCCTTGACGTTTGAGAGCGTAAACGACGTCAAGGGAGGTGACAGTCTTGCGCTTGGCGTGTTCAGTGTAAGTGACTGAATCACGAATGACGGATTCCAAGAACAATTTAAGAACACCACGGGTTTCATCGTAAATCAAACCTGAAATACGCTTCACACCACCACGACGGGCCAAACGACGAATGGCAGGCTTTGTGATACCTTGAATGTTGTCACGCAAGATTTTACGGTGGCGTTTAGCACCGCCCTTGCCGAGACCTTTACCGCCTTTACCGCCTGTTGGGGAGATAGGGAAAGATGAGCTTGTCAGTATGCTTGTTTTAAACGCAGTGTCAATGTATGAGAGGTGTTGTACAAATGTGTCTGTAGTATCATGTTCAAGCACTACGCCATCATTTTCGAATTTGATGACTGGCAAGCAAGATATGCTGGCGCGCGCTGTGTACACACGCTCTAGGCGCGTATAGTGCCATGTCAACATCCACGCACGCCTCTTTTGGGTATAGAAACGCGCTGAGCCAAAGTCAGACAAGTTTTGCGCGGCGCTCTGATTTGCGCGCGCGCACACTGGGGTCCAGTGATCGCCACTGCTTTCGCCATTCGTTGCTCCCTCCCAACACCCTCTCAAAGTCGTCACATCAAAAGATACTCACGTCCAGACATGTTGTTTGATTAAAGTTGCTGATGAAAGATTGATGTAGTTTGTTACGATTTGATAATGATGATCCTTGACTTCTTATTTGAAGATTGGATCAAGAAGCAATAGTTTGCGTTGATGAGCAAAACAAGGAGATGTTGATGGTGGTGGTAAAAGTTCAAGAAAGGGTAAGAGGAATGCTGAGCAATGTCAAAGGAAATGTGTATTTGAGGGGGGCGCGCATTTGAAATCCTCCTCCTCGATCAGAAAAGATGACTTTTGATTATTTATGTAAGGCTGCCTCAAGACCCGCCCTCGAATAAATGTCCTGCTCCTCTGTATTCATTCGTTCTTTTCTTCGGTCCTCCTCAACCCGTCTAGACACTTTGTCCATTGGGCTGTGTATCAATTGATAGAAAAATGGCTTTTATTTTAGTCAATTACTGTTTCGGGCACAATTGCCCTGTTTCACGTTTGGACCCCATCAACTATTCCACTTTCTATTCACTTATCAATGCATTTGTGTATTTCATGATTTGGAGAGGAAAAAAGAACAACACCTCCTTCCAATATTCTTAGACCCGAATAATGTTTGCACCTTAGCGCGCAGGAAATGCGATTCTTTTACGCGTTAATTAAACCAACACCATTTCCGTCCGATAAGAACAAGGATACCCTATAGAATAAGCATGTAGATCCTTTGAAGTCTGACATTAATATTTTTATTGAATGTCAATACCAATTGACAGCTTATTGAGCTAGTTGATAGGTCTCTGTAAGTCACCATTGCAATCTTAACGACAAGGCAGACAGAAGAAACACACCTGGCCTCAAGAGTGGCGCGTGAAGGATACCCCTCAGTCAAACAGTTATGTGCACGTGTTCAACGCGTCTAAAACACCCCGGGTAAATTATGCAAGTTGCTTAAAGTGTTGGTCTGATTGTTTAACTTTAATACTTCATTCTCTCCTTATCCTCGAACGCATTTACGGACTGTATGCAAGATGGCCATGGCTTTTGAATCACCAGGTCATCTGGAAAGACGGATAGCTGCCAACATGGCTGCTGACGTATCAAGTGATTCATCTTTAGGCATAAGTCGTAAAGGTCGTTCGATCGCTTCACTTTCCATGTCAACTACATTTGAAGATGAAAATCAATCGTATATGGCAGATTATGTTCGAACAAACATGCAAACTCCAAACGTACGCGTTCAAGAACAAATCAGAAAATCAAGGACACCCAGATCGACCAGAAAACTTGCAGAGATTATCAATTCTTCCTCCACTTCCTCCTCGACTTCCAAATCCGATGTGAAGTCATCCACGTTAAAGGTAATCCAGCGCACACCTGCCAGAAGTGAAGTATCTTTTACCACAGAATCATCCACAAACGATCTTTTGGTCTCCAATCAAGCAGCATTACGCCCTAATTCCAGCTTTCCGGGAATTGGAGCTGCTCAAACTAGCTTATCTGCAAATCTAAGAGTGGATGGAAAGAAGTTACACATGTATTTGAATAAAGTCAACGAAGGCTTACAACAAGAAAATGTACAACTTACAGAGGAGAGAGATTCGATAAAGCTGGAATTTGAACGTGCCTTACTCGACAATGAACGCTTACGCAAACAGATTGACTTGAGAAATTCAACTCCATCGACGACCCCTATGGGTAGCCCCAACGTGGGTAGAAATTCGGAAGAAATGGATGAGCTGCAACGAGAAGTGGATTTATTAAAACGAGAAGTGGCACAACAGGAATCAATAATTGACCGTCTGAGCAACGATCGCTCTGAGAAGAGCGCTGATCAAATGTCCCTGGTCGAGCGAGAGCATCTACGTGAAAGGATTTGTGAATTGGAATCAGACTTGCAACAGGAACGTGATGCAAGACAGGATGATGAAGATCACTATAGCATTGAAATGAAAGCAGCTGTCGATGAATCAAAAAGGCTCAAGAAACAACTTGAAGATGAACGCTCAACCGCTCAAACAAAGATGGATCGCATCCGTACGGAACTCGAACGAGTAAAAAAGGATGAATCTGGTCCGGACAACGAAGTAGCTGATCTACGAGAAGATCTTCGAATGGCAGAAGCAAGATTGGATGAATATAGCGAAAAGATCCGTGAACTGGAAAGTGAGATTGAAGAATTGCAAGAATCGCGAAATGATATGGAAGCCGAATTGGAGGAATACGATCGATTACGTGAGGAGTATGATTTGCTCGTCAAAGACTTTAATGATCGTGAAGCCGAATCGGAAACGAAACAAGAAGAGTTGAACGCAGCCAATGATAAGATTTCCGATTTGGAGATCATTGTGAGCGAGAAAGAGAATGACAGATTGACTCTGGAACTCAAATTATCTCAAGCGAAAGAATCGGGTGAATTGCAGCAGTTGAAGGAAAAGATTGTTTTGTTGGAAACAACTCTCGCAATGACCAGAGAAGCAGCAGCAGCAACGAAAGGGTCACCGTCATTCTCCAAGTTCGGCAAAGGTGGAGTTTCTGAAGGTGACATTACGCCCTTACATCCAAACGTAGCAGCTTTACGCAAGCCTGTCGATACGCCTAAATCACCTCCTGTCTTGGCAGAATTGAGTAATGCATCTTGGATGCAGAGTGAGGCAACTTTAGGCGAGAATGATCTCAAAAGAGAGATCAGTGTTTTGCGACACGAGCATGAAGCAGCTCGTAATGCAGTTGATGAAATGCTTGGAAATTTACAGGATGCAAATGTGTTCAAAGATTTGGTAAAGGCGAACGAGAAAGTGAAAGCTTTGGAAGATCAACTTCTTCAAATGCAGAAAAGCGAGGAGCGTGTCATGAGAAGATTGGAAAAACTTCGATGCAAATCTTGCAAGGCACATGTATCATTGCCGGCAGACTTGGACAAAAGTCAAAATATGTCAATGAACAGCAGCGTAGGTGAAACATCTTCTCTTGGACGTAGCGTTCGTTTGACATATCAACAAAACGAACAAGTTGTCGAAAAAGTCAATCAAGAGCTCAAAGTGTTGAAAGAACGTTGGGCTTTGGATATCAACCGTATCGATGAAAAATCCAAAGCATTAGACGCTGAAAAGAAAGAATTACTCAAAGAAAAAGAACAATGGAACAAAAATCGACAAGAAACCAAAGAACGTGTGATGAAGATGCACGCCAATACGCTACATGATTTGGGCAGGGCAAGAAGGATGATTGGCGCTTTCGGTGCAGATCTTCAACAAGAAAGCGCACGATTCAAAGCACTCAAGTTGAACCGAAGCGAAATGGATCAAGAATCATCTGACGTCGAACGTGAACTTGAACGAACGCGAGTACAAATTGAGTCAATCAACACCGAATTGAAGAATAAATTTGCGGTATTTGAGAGGCTCAATGAAGAATTGCGAGAGACTTCAATCGTTGATGATTCTCTTGCAATGCATGTTCATTCTCTACAGGTCAAGGTGGATGGGTTTGCACAAGTGGTGGAAAGATTGCGATCCGAACGAACATCTATCTTGCAAGAGCGTCAAGAGCTGTACAACCGCAGACAGCAAAATCAACAAAAGCAATTGAGTACGCACGAAGAGTTACGCACTACACAAGAAGCCTTACTAGCACATCAACGTCAAATTGATGAGCAAGTTGAAACGATCGAGCGATTGCATAGTGAATTACGCAAACAAAACGGATCGTCGGAAAAAGTACAAAATGAAAGAGATCAAGTGTACGAGCAAAGACGTGAAATTTTGGATGATGTTGCTGGATTGGAAACCATGTTGAAAAAGGTATGCGAACAAAGTCGACAATTCGGCATTGAATTGGAAGATTTGCGTGGAAGACGTAATCAAACTGCTAAGCAATCTACGCAGGCTATTGATCGACAAGTTCATGAAGAATTGGAAGCCACTCGCAATCGATACGAGAAAAGATTGACGCGCTTATCGGAAGAATATGGCACTCTTCAACATGCAGCTACTTCTCGACACCAATCAGAATGCCGAGGATTGCTGTTGCAAATACGATATGAAAAGGCAAAGTTTATGCGAGAAAGCGATTTACGTGCAGATTTGATCCATCAAAAGAAGTATTTGCTAGGATTAGTTGGCGGTTTAGAGTTGAGTGAAGAAGCAACAGTACGATTTTTGGCCGATTTAGAAAAAAGTCGTGGAGAAATTCAATCACGGTTAAAAAAGCAAGAGAATCGTTCAACAAACAATCAACAATCCGAAGCACTCAAAAAATTTAAATCTGTTACTTTTGCAATTTTGGCAATTTGTCGAGCAAAAAAGATGGCGGAAAATTGGCAAATTTCTTTGCAAATCAAATCTTCTTTACGTCAAGCTCATTCTATGGCTAAAAAAGCTCGTCTTAGTGCAGAATCAGAAATGCCCGCATCGGCCAACGTCAAAACTGTCAAAGGATAATCTATTTCGACTCTTACAAACACCTCTTATATATCATCAAATACGTTTCATATTTTCTATTTACCCCATCATTATTGTATTTTATTCACGCATCACTTTTCTATTGAATTATTCAAGGACTTTTCTCATTCTGGACGTTGCTAATCGGTTGAAGTGTATTTGCATATGCACAAGAGTACATGAGAGAGAGGCCAAAGAGCAGTTGATGGTAAATTGAAATCTTTTCTAATCAAAGGTGTTGAATGGCTTAAGAAGAAGGCCCGTTTTTTGTTTCCCAGCATGATGCTAGAGTGAAATACGCGCGCATATACTGATCAGATCGGGGGGCTGGCCATTGTCAAAAGCCAAAATTAAAAAGGAAAAATTAGATGCCATAACTTGCTCTTTATCAAACTAGACTTGTTTTGCGCCTTTAGCGTTAAAAAAGGTTTGATCAAAAATAGTTTTCATTTTGTGCAGTTTTTGTGCCTGATCAAATAGACGACAGGTCATGAGGTCTTTTTGAGGGTGACCATAAATTGCTCTCATACGCATACATTTTTAGACATGGAAAAATACCATTTCTCCGATTATAGTTCCTTGTTTTTCTTGTAATACATGCATATGTAATGCATTTACAGTTGTCTACTTTTATCATATAAGCATATGTTCATAACTCTTTAGTCCTTCTCTAGACGGCACACACGGCCAAGAGAATTTTAACCCGATTTCTACCTGAATTTCACTTAACCATCCAAACCATCAAATCAGAGCGGGAACTGAATCTTATTTCCTCCTTGGTAGACTATCTTTGAGCTTTTTCCGAACAGAGAAAAAGGAGAAAAGACTGCACTAATGCACAAATGATGTTCTTTCCCACTCATGACGTTACTCGAGATAGGCATCTCCGTTCTTTTTGAAGATGTGTGAATGTTGTTCTCGTTGGACAGCGGGGTTTGATGTTTGTACTTTACAAGTGTGCATTCGATGATCTAACCTCGTACAATGCACAGGTCTACTCTTGTGACAAAGTGCAACAGGCGTTTCTCCAGATGAAATGATTCAATCTGACCGAAATGAGATTGATCTGAATCCACATCTCGTGTAGTAAGAATTGTGCAGCATCCTTTTCACATACAACACACTCGAGATAACGTCAGTAATGTGCATAGAAAACAGAATTGAAACTCATCTTTTGCCGAACGTCATTCTACCGAAGCAAACACGGAAGTTGTGATGCATCCTTGATGGATGTTTTAATCGGGACCGCGATTATAGTTTCTTTGCAAGATGTATGCAGCATTAAGTGCAGTCCCGGCAAAAGGAAAAAGCAAACCAGATTAGAAAGTAGGGTTACAAGTCTCATGCATAATACACAACGAGGGGGGGTCAAAGATCTGCATGCATGATTCAGAAGTACTAACGCGCTATGCTTACATGTATTTGACACTCTTTATGCTTCTTACAATAAGAATTCTATCTGCTTCCATCATCCATACGACCTCTTCTTCGATGATTGTGTTGATAGATTTGTAAGACTTTGCTTTCATTGATTTTCGCAGATTCCACTGATCTAACAGGAAAAGGGGCTCCGAAGACAATTTACTCATAGAAGCATTCTGTGACATTTTCTCTTGTTTTCGTGCTTCCGCGCTTCCGAGTTGGAGGAAGATGCAAGTCTTGGTCAATCTTCTGGCTTGATATAACAATGTTCTAAACATTTTATCAATACGAGAGGAAATACTCAAAATATCACGACAATCATCTTGCTCAAGCATACCCATCAAGACTGGAACACCGCCTGTTTCTTTCTCTTTCTCTCATACATGCTTAGAAAGGAAGAAAAGGTTCATCTTTCCGATACATAACTTTATTCTGCTACAGCTCCTAATTTATTTGCACCCGCTCTCTTGATGCAAACACAAATCTAACCCAAACTATTGATGAGACGGTGAGTAAGTTACGCCTCGGAGCTCCTGATGTTCGACAACTTGCGGATAGTTGCGGAAGTCCTGCACTGTCGCGTTTCCGTGACTGCTGGTTTCGCCATCCTTTTTGTCCGGAACAAATCGGATAAGGAAAGTCTTGCTCCGGCTGACTACCAAGTGCTATTCCATGAAAGGCTCTAATGATATCGATGAAGTCAAAAGCAGAAGTACTAACATTTCCTCTTCTCTTGTTTCTCTCAATCGACTTAAATTCTTAATGCCTCCCTTCGTTCTCTTTACTCTCATCAGCACCACCATCTCTATCGCTCTCTATCTCTTCGCAACTTTTTCTACTCCCATTCTGATTCCCTTACTTTAAGTGAAGCGCTCAAATTCAAGACCCAATCCAGCGCGCTTCAACGACCATCATTCTCTTCACTGTAGCATTTGCTCTGCCTTAACTGCATAAACTCAACCGACAAGAAGGACAAGGTAAATAGCCTCATAAAAAGAAGGCATCTCTCTTTCTTTTGGAGAAATCGGTATCGTGGGAGCGGTGATCAACTTGGCTGCTGATCGCGCGCTTCCTTTCGGTCGCAGAATGAGACCTACTAATTGGAAACATTCTAGGCAATCAAGCATCACTGATGCAAGCTCTTCTACAACAGGGAGCTCCAATCAGCACTATCGAACCGCCACACATTTTCAGCCTAACGTAGATGTCAGAGACAGACATGTGTTTCCAAGCAGTTATGGCATGCAAGACCCACAATCGTATGCGAGTAATGCAATCAACGCAATACCTGATCTCGAAGCACAAAATGTGAGTACGAGAATAGGGAGAGGTAGTCATGACACCTCTTTCAGCCAAATTACCGACTCGAGCCTTCCGACAAACGATATCTATTCAACAACCAATCCTCAGCATTTATTTCCGACTGGCTTCAATCAACCACCGAATGATATGTATAGTCAATTTATGGCAAGCCAAGCTCAAATGCCCACCCATCATTCACCACAAACACATCTCGCTCATCCAACCAGCACATATCACCATAACATGCAAGCCTCACAGTCATCCCAATTACTGTCTCTCAACAGACCCACTGTATGCGTTTGCGGTATGATGGGTCAATCCCAATGCATTTGTGGTTTTGCAGACTCGTTGAACCGTGGCCTGTCGAGACTTAATGCAGAATCGTCGACTTTCAGCAATGTGCCTTCAAATCATACTGCTTTCACTCCAGCTGCTGCTCCTCAAAAGCGATCAAGGGGACCAAAAGGACGTCAAAGCAAAGCGAATGATAGTAGCAGTAACACTTCTACCGCCAGCATCGCTACAGGTAGAAGACAGAGCTCAAGTTCAAGAGTACGATTGGGACATCCAGGTTCAGTTTATCTCAACGAACAGCCGTCCTCATTGTTAGGAGAACCAAATGATCATCCATGGCAACCAGGAGGCTTCAATGAAGTCAGTCGGCGTCTCTACGACCCTGCAGCGATGGAAGATCTATCCCGGATGGCAAGCACAAGCAGTTCATACCATAATCTTGCATCGTCGAGTACATCCGGCAGTGAAATTGCAAATAGTCAAAGTCATAGTGCAATTGATTATCAATCCGAAGAAACCAGATGGAATGCGATCGTGCGGAGATCCCACCTTGCCGACAGTCATTTCGTTTATGGATCCCATACAACACGAATCTATTGTCGTCCTTCGTGTGCATCCAAGCAACCGGAACGTACAAAGGTGGTATACTTTATGTTTCCCGACGCGGCCATCAAAGCGGAAAGGGCAGGTTATCGAGCATGCAAACGGTGTAAGCCTGGAACGCAAGGTGTAGCGGATGCATGTGTGTTGGCAGTAGGCGAATGTTTACGACATATGACCAGAGCGGCAATTTTGGGAGAATCAGAAGATGTTGACGGAAGGATGAAAAAGAAAACATTGAAACAATATTCTTCTGATTTTGGCGTAAGTGCGTTTCACTTTCATCGAACGTTGAAAAAAGTTAGCACGATGACCCCTGGTGAATATGGACAAGTATGTCATGCTCTTGTTTTACAAGATGAACTTGGAATCGACAATACCGGCATACCTTTGGAAACGGAAGAATTGCAACGTAAATTGCGAGGTTGGAGCGCAAGAAGGGCAAGGAGAGCTCTTGGAAACGTTTTACCAATGATTTATGCTTCAGGCATGTTGGATTTGCAAATCGTTTACGTTGTGGCAGAGAATACGCCGTACGGTTGCGTTGTGGCAGTGTATGGAGTTGAAATTAGAGAACGTTCTGATCAAAGCGAGGCTGCACGAGAGAATGGTCAAATTTCCGTCGTAGGTTTATTGATCGGTGAAGATGCAGTCAGGCGTGCACGATTACGTTGTCCTCGTGCAATTCATGATCGTAGCAGATCAGAATGGCTACACACGATGATCAATGACTTACATGCGAAAGGAACTCGCGAAGTACAAATGCCAGCAGAGGTTATACCATGGCTTCGTAGAGCTCGTGCTTATGTGGCAGTGAAAAAAGCAATTGAGTCGCTTTCATCACAGAGAAGAACAAACAATCCTCTGTTTCTTGCGTCTTAAGGAGGAGCAATGGCTCAAGTACAGCCTCTTCAGACAAACAATTACATCACGGGATATGATGTAGGACAATGTACTTTTATTTCCGGTCTACTGTAAACCCTCGCAATTTGTGTACGAAACATACCCTAGCAAATGTGTACGAACAATAAATTTCTTAACATTTCACATAAGCAATACTATTCTGACAACTTATTTGCAAGCACTCAGCATTTTCTGTTGTGATTTGGTTATCTTTGTCCGGGTTTTCTAGCCTTGCTCCTTTGTGTGGCTTGATTGAGCTGATGCAAGAATGCCAATTCTTCAGGCGTAGCAGTTTTATCGGCAGCTTTTTGTTGTAATTGTAAGATGAATTTACCTTGACGAGTAGTTTTACCTGAACGTAATTTTCGAAGGTGATAAGATTGTCTATTCAATTCGTTGTTGCGTTGTTTGATCTGCGCCTTTGTTCTTTCATCAAGTTTCTCATACTTTTCTCTGCTTCGAACGTTCTTCCTTTTGTCGTATCCTTGAAGTCGCTCTTTATCAACTTTTTTGAGCATAATACGATACTCTCTTTGATATTGAGCTCTCGTGACTTTGTCCCATTTTGGTGGACTATGCAGTTCTACTTGTTGGTTCGCGTTCGGCTGAGGGTTTGGTGAAATAGCTTGTTGGACAGTTTCTTCACTTGAAACTTTTTTGCTCTTAGGACTTGGCCCAAGACGAAGACTGAGATCGATTCCCTCATCGTTTGATTCTGGACTGGATGATTGTGGAGACATTGCATGCGAGAATTGTTGATGCCATAAGAGCACCAAGAGCAAGGATACAAAGATTGACATCTTGGACAAGTTCTTGAACTGAAGAGAAGAAGCATGCTGCTTCTTGACCTAAAGTTCATGAAAAGCTACTTGTCGAGTCTCATTCTTTCCTGCCCCGACATATGCAATTCTCATTTTGATGAATCAGCTTCGGACAGCCACATTCTTGCTTACGTATTGGAATCATTCTGACTGTGTAGTTCTTTCTGCTGCTGCTTCTGCCTATATCTTCGATTATAAATTGACTTCTTTTCTTTTAATTCCAAATACTGTTTCAATTCTTCCTTTGTAGCTTGCTTACTTTTGACTTTTTGACCTAATTGAGAATAAGTTGTATTTTGAATACGGCCATATCCTAATCTTTCTTTACGACGACGATATTCGTCTCGTGATCTTTCTCTGATGGCTACTTTTGATTTTTCATAGTTTCGCTTAGACCTGGCTATGATCTCAGGTCTTCGTCGATAGCTGCGACAATATGCTGCCTTTTTTAGCTTTCTATCTTCTTTGTTTGTAGCATGAAGTATGTCGTGTACTGGCTTTGAAGTTGTTGTATGCAATTCCGTTTTATCATGTCTGTGCTCTGATTCTGGAGACAAACCTTCTTCTGGTATGGAAAGCATAGAAGTCCAATCGAACTCATCTAAACGATCGGGTGAGCCTGAATGAATAATGGTGAAGAAACGTTGAAAATACCATACAAATGCAAATAGATATATAAAAGGGGTGTTGTGCATCATGCCTTCTCAAGATGGAACATTTGATTTGGTTGTTATGAAGAAGAAAGATGATAGATTTTATTTGTCATGGATACAAGATAGAGCGCCCCGAAGTTGCTCTTTTCCCCACATTGATTCAACCCTTTGTGCCGGCTAAATCAAAGAATTGTGTTCAATACGCAAATCCAGGGGATTGCGTCCCGCGGATGTGAATAAGTCCGATTAACAGTCATCTTGCGACTCTCTTTCGCTTGCTTGAGAAGCTTCTCGGAGTACTTTGCGTTTGTATCTGCTTTTGGAGCAAATCAACCGTTTTCGAACGAAATAGGCATGATGTTTTAACCTATCTTCGGGAGTGGCAGTTTTATCATTAATCTTTTGTTTGATTTGCTGTATATCTTGAAGTTGTTTTGTTCCATGTCCAAAATTTGACTTTCTATCATGATAAGCCTTTTTGCTAAAATTTTTCCTTTTATCTTTGTCTGCTCGTTTTTCTTCATCTGTTTTTTGTGATAAAATTTCTAATCGTCTTTGATATTTCTTTTTTGCAAAATTTGGATTTTGTTGCATTTTCTTTTGATACCATAGTTTCATATATTCACGTTTTCTTGTCTTACGGTCAAGTGGCGGCGGTCTAATCATGTGGCGCTGATCGGTAATAGGCTTTGGAGGTGAAGCTAACTGATGATCAGGAAAAGGAAGCTCTTCATCGTCAGATGGAAGGTTCAAAAACGAATCAACGTCAAAAGCAGGAGAGGTTTCCCGTGAAGGTGGAGATGAATCAACTAGAAAGATTCGAAGCGTGAAGAGCAACAGTATGATCCAATACTTCATTCTGAACAATGGCGAACGAAAGCAGTTTCAAAAGATTTTGACAGTCACTGCTTCTTAAATAGTCCTTTGCTGATGCTGTGCATTTCTCCGGCTCGCGAGAAGAGTGCTTTATGTAATGTACTTTAATGTTCAAACATTGCTGTGCAAACATACCCACATATCTATATGCAAAACGGCAAACTTAATCTTGGCATCTACAAGATCGTATCTCAGGACGTGGTAAGAATGCATTTCAAAAAGGTGACTATAAAGCGAGAGTCCGAGATAGAGAGAGGTAAGAGCTATTTTGTTGCCTTCTTCTTAGGTGCTACCTTGTTCTGTGATGCTACCTTTTTCTTTGGTGCTACCTTGTTCTTTGGCGCTACCTTGTTCTGTGGTGTTGCCGTGTTCTTTGGTGTTACATTACTCTCAGGTGCTGCTGCTTTATTCTTTGGTTCAAATTGTTTGTGCATCTTATTGACTCTTCGTAAAGCAGATTCCTTGTCCCATCTTAATGATTCGACTACACGTTTGGTATGCCTCTTGACTGGAACGTTGACATCTCCACCTTTTAATCTTTCGAAGCAAGTGACCCTAACGATTGCCACTAAATTGTACACTGGATCAATGTTGTGCTTTGGATCATCATCTGGGAAACTTGCTACCCGTGCAAGAGTGTTGTTACGAAAATGTGCTTTTGCAGAAGAATTACTTACTTTCCAGCATTCACGTTGTAAGATCTTGTTGTAATGAACAGATGCTTTGTACAATAAATCTTTTGCTTTTTCCGGATCCGTTTTTGCGAGACTACGTAAAGTATGTAAAAAAGTTGCATTGAAAGTCCAATAAGCTGTTCTGAAATACTTTTCGGCTGGCATATGGTGTAAATCACCATCAATACTTGGCCATTTGTAGGGATAAGTATGTTGAGCGCGTTTTGCTAAGGATGCATAATCGATTGGCTCGATGGGCAAAGAAACATCTCGAATTCCAAATTGAACTTGAGCAAAAATCAAAGGTGATAACAAAAAGGCGGAAAGCAAAACATGTGCAAAGGTGAAAAAGAAAGCTTTCATGCTGACGAAAACGAATGTGTTGGCTAGACGAAAAAGAGCGTGGCCGGTAGATGAGAAATTGGGATGGTGGTAAGAAAACAAGAGTTGGACTTTTTGAGCTCACACGATCTTTCCCAATAAACATACTGATTTGGTAACCCCATCGCGGAGGCCGAAATGAATTCCACTCTTGGCGCAAGAGTGTTCTCAGAGAATGTTCGTTCACAAGTTAAAAACGGAAGCCGCCCTATTACATTTCAGACGTGATTCATGCCGCTGGAATGGTACCTATAGAAAGGAGGCCGCTTTGAAAAACGGAAAAGGAGCAAATGAATTTCAACTCCATAGCGAAGTTCACATGCATCAGACCTTTCCTCGATATAAATGAAGCTTGGCGCTATCCACTTACCTTTCACACGCTTACATACACATTGCAAATCAGGAACACAATGGTTCCGCCCTTTCATCTGGTATAGCCTCGTTCTATGTTTCGTTCTATGTTTCAAAAACCATGCATTGATGATATTCGCTTAAGCGACAATCCTTTTTTCACGGTGGCGAGTGAATGACGCTCACTAAATCACCTTGCGTTTGAAAGAGTAGATTGAATGTGCAACTCTGATTGTATATGCTGTTGACATCGGAAACTCCTTTATCATGGACTTTGTGCACGTGCTGTAGTCGAGCAAGGAAGTGGCAAGAAAGGATGGACACTCTTGCTCATGTGCCAATTCCGGTCAATGATCAAATAGGTAACGCCAAATACCAGCCGGATGCGATTCACGCGGAAGAAGACGCATCATCAAGACACCTTTCACTTCATCATCAAGAGGAACGACATTATCGTTTAAACCCTCACCAGGAACCAATGGCTTATTAAAACCTAGTTATTGGTCTATATATAATGCAATGGAACCCATGTGTTGTTCTGGAATGGTTTTCGCGGTGATGGTAGTCGCTTGAGAGGGTTGCCATACACTGAGATCTTTCTAGCGTTATTACGCCTGCAAGCGCTGCGTGTCAAAACTTTAATTCGCCTTTGTCTTAAGGCACAAATTATTATTTAACCGAATTCCGAGCCAGCCAAAAAAAAATAATTAAATTTTGTTTTATTTGTTCCAACATCACTTTCTTCCATCCATAGGTCGAAATGGTACGTAAAAATGAGCAGAGACAACGTGGAAAGAAGCACAAAAGTCGCAAAGAAGACAATCTTAGCTCACAGGGTCAAGATGAATCAATCTTTGTAGAAGATCGTGTTGGTGCCCAAGGAGAAGCTAAAGATGGATTGGAACAACAAGATCCTTCCACATCTTCGTGGATGATAGATCGATCATCTGGTACGATTGGAAATGGTGATTCTACTCCTTTTGGCTTGGTTGATCCCGATTTGAAAGCATACTTGCGAAGTGCACATGTCACCTTGCAAGAACACATCACTGCCGCAACCGAAGAAGGAAAATTGTTGAACAAGGATGAAGATATCAAAGCATTACGCAATGCAATGCTTGATGAAATCAAAGGAAAAGAGCTGGTCTTGGCAACTGATACAGATACAAGTGTAATTTTGGAAGATATGATGAGCACTTTTGGTGGTCGTCAATTAAGAATATTAGCAGAAGCACTAACACAACAAACTGTTACGCTTGTTTGTCATCGATTCGGTTCTCATGTCATTCAAACACTCTTGTCAGCTTTGCAGTATTTTGCAATGCAAGACGATGTAAAGGAAAGCAACGAAGAAGGAAACGGCCTCAGATCATGTCAACAATTCATCGTCGATATCAGTGAAGCAATACGGCAACAAGTGGGTGACATCTTTGGTGATCAATTTGCGTCTCACGTTTTACGTTCTCTTCTACTGATCTTGTCCGGTCAACAAGCAACAGTGGAAAGTGTACGATCAAAGAGGAGCAAAAAATTTCATCAAAAGACACAACTTACCACATCTCGACCTTGGTCAGAGGAATTCCAAACTCATCAATCGGTAGACTTCAAGAATGCACTAGGCGGAATGTTACATACGCTTCAATCAACTTTGAGTGATGCTCAGAAAGTACGCGAGATGTGCATCAGTCCAACGTTAAGTCCAACGATTGCATTTATTGTAGAACAAGCCGCTAAATTGGACACAAGTGCGATCAAAAAAGGCAAAGGTACGATTGATTTCCTTGATGCATCATTGGCTGGTCTCGTCTCAAAAGAGCCAGAAGAACGTTCGGCACACATTGAAACATTGTTGAGAGATTCAGTAGGATCACACTTCTTGGAAGCAGTCCTAAAGGTAGCGCCACATAGTGTTGTCGAAAGATTCTGGAAACATTATCTGGCTGGCAGGTTGGGAAAGCTGGGAACACATCCGACTGCTAATTTTGTCATAAGTGGAACAATTCGTCTTTTGGATACGGCTACTCTGGAACAGGCATGTGAAGAAGTACGGGAAGAAGGGGAAAAGTTGGTGAAAGCACGTCATTTTGGTCCACTTATCGCCTTGATAGAAAGAGCTGGTCAATTGGCATCAAAGACGGATCCTTCCAGTGTCTCTGCGAAGGCAAAGAAGAGCAGTGTATGGAATGCAGCTGGGATTGATGCAGTAGCTGTTCGATCAGTTCTCACCGCGTTTGGAATATCAGAAGGTGATGGTGATGATAAAGATGGCGAACCTGCAGTGATTGATATTCTACTGAGTGCCAAAACATTAAAAGAGTACAAGAAAGCAGCCAAAGCCGCAAAGAAAGCAAAGAAGGATGCCAAGAGGGCAGCAAAGAGGAAACGTGCTGAAAATGCAGAGGTCGAAGGAGAGGATGCAGATGCGCAAAATGGAACGAAGGAAGAGGAGCCAAAATCTGCTAAGGCCGAATTCAACTTGCAAGGCAGCTTACTTTGTCAATCAATTTTGCGTTTAAGTGAACCGGCTCACTCGCCTATTCTCGACAACCTGCTCGAAAGCGAAGATCGACTTTTTCTAGCTATCGCCTGTGATCCGATCGGAGTGCATGTTCCATTGGCAGCTGTGCAATCGTCCAATTTACCGTTTGCAAGCCGTAGTAAGCTCAGTGCAAAGATTTTGACTTTGCTCGTACCTCTTCTGAGCGACAAATTCGGCAGTCGATTGATGGATGCAATCTTTGATGTATCTGATTTGTTCTTTCGCGAAAAAGTTGCTCGTGCTTGTTTGGCAGCAGAGCGCACTTTGCTTTCAACTCCTTATGGAAGATACTTTTTCAAACGGATTCAAATTGCCCTTTTCCGTAAAGATGTAGTCCAATGGAAACAACACTTACGCACGATTCAAGAGGAAAAACGGAACAAAGAACAAGAAGTAAGCAAAGCTGTTGAGAATGCTCAAGAGCCACCGGTTGAAAAAGCTCGCAAGAAACAAAAGCGATCTCAAGTGGATGAAGATCTAGATGCAATCTTGGCCGACGTCGACTGATTATAGATTGGATATGTATACATTGTATTATAATACATCAATTTTGAAGTAATCACATTTCAGATCACTGCTTCGATACCCTTTCTTGACAAGGCTCTCTGACCTTCCTCTGCCCAGAAAGTTGGTGTTCGGTCTCCCACACTGACTTGTAAGCGAGGACCTTGGTCTTCTTCCGTTTGAGCAAGATCAAGGGAGAAGTATGCCTCCCATTCCTTGAAAGCTTTCTTTTCATCTTCTTCCACATCTCCTTCTGCACATTTGCGCAATGCTTCTCGGTATGGGTGCTCGTCGCTAACATTACCCAAATCGCCAAGACCGCCGAACCTGATCCAGCTAGAAACATTTTTCTGATAACGAGCATGCTCTAAAACACCAATGATTTGCAACAAGATATCCTCTGGTGTTTGTACTTCTTCGTCCTGATCTGTTTCTTCTTCTTCTTCTTCTTCCTTTTCACTTTCACCAGCTTGCTTTTTCTTGTATTCTTTCACAACTTTTGCCCGTTCTGCATCGAATTCAGGAACGAGAAGATGATTGAAAGGTTGTATCCTTGCTTTTGAAACACTATCGTCCAGAAGCAGTGTATTGTGCGGTCCATATCCGAATCCATCAGAGTACACGCCTGTCTTTTCGTTCTCTTTCGGCAATACGATCTCTTTGTTCCACAAACCATGCAGTTTCTCGAGCGCAGCTTGATCTTGTTGTACTTGTCTGTCTTCTCGATCCCGTGCCTCAGCAAATAATCTTTCTTCACCTCGTTTCTTTGCTTCATCATTGCCCATTAAATTATTCAAAGCTGCCCAAAGAATTTCCAGATCTTTTACACTAGGTGATTTGAGCGAATAAAATTTACGTGTAACCAGTGTATCTCTTGCATACACTCTCAAAAGTTGTTCAGCTTGGTTCGGGTTTAGGATCGCTCTGGCCATATGATCGACATTTTGCGGTTGAGCAGAAGACCACAGCAAAAGTCTATACGTAGCACTTGGCAATGGTTCCGGTTCAGAGTTTTCTTTGGGCCAGAAATGTGTTCCGTGCGTCTTTGGATGCGAAACGTTCTCCGAATCAGACATTCTTGCGTCTTTGTCACCATTAATTTCACTGTCTTCTACAGTCTCCTCTTCGTTATCCTTCGTGCGATCTTCTTGCCATTTTCGCCAAGCATCTTGACTTACGTTTGGATCTGGTTGATGTTCGGCATCAACGGCAAGACAGTATTGCAAAAAGCAGGCAAGATAAGGTCGCAAAGTCGGAAATTTACTACGTTCTGCAGCAGTACCAGACGATCTAGAAGAACGATAGACCAAAGTTCCGTTCAAATCGAGGACAAGCAATGGCAGAGGCTTTGGTGTTTGTGAGTTGATAGGGTAGTGTCCCGGCTCTTGCAGACTTTGTTGTAAGTAATGCTTCCTTGGCTCATTTATCACAGGATTGGAAGCAGGATCTTGAAATCGATCACGCGATGCCCACCTTGATTCGGATGATTGATCGTACCGCATTTCGTCGTTCTGATCGCGATAGCTTCTCTTACCTTCTTTACCAGGAGATGGATACCTTGAAGATCGTCCAGAAACAGGTGTATGAATGTGTCGATTTCCTTCGTATCGTTTTGGTTGATATGAGCTTGGATAATAGTCAAGAGAGTAATAACCTCCGTTCCAACCATTTATCTGTGGTTCTTCTCGATATTCACCGCCCCAAGACGAGTTATTATAATGCGATGGCCCAACGTTTGCATGCCCAACAGAATTTTGTGCTGAGTAGTGGGTTCCATACCAATCGTTTTGCCAATTTGTACCATAATTTGAAGCGTAATTTTGCTCAGCGTTCCAACCGTTCGGCACCGGATACGGTTGCTGATATTGCTGATAATAATGTTGGCCTTGGGCATACTGCGATCGTCCGTCATACTGATGTGGTTGCCAATAATTTGATGGAGGTGGATTGTATTGATGTTGTTGTTGATTTTCTTCATTTACGGGCCGAGAAGTTTTTCGATGTCGCGGCATTTTGACAAAGATTTCTCCGCAAAGACGTGATTGAGAACGCCAAAGTCTTATCATCAACGATCTTTCCTTATGAGCTATGCCAAGTGTATATCCTACCCTGCAGCATACTTGATGGATGATGATATCCGATATCCCATGTAATCGAAGTGAGATAAAGAAGAAGGTTAGCAAGCGTTCATCTTTTTCTTCTTTTCTTTGCGTGAAATTTGATTTCTCATTTCGGCGCCTTTACGCGTTTTTCATACACAGCGCAAACGGGGGCCGTTAATTGCGTAAGTCAAATTGAATGGAACCTGTTCTCTTTATGATCATCACCATGACTCGAGACACAGATACAAATGCAAATCGGATAAAGATAGTTTAATAAAATTGGCTTGAAAATGACTTCATCGTTCACCCTGGCTTGTATATAAACTTTATCGCAATCAACAAGATCTGTGCTATAGCACTCGCTACCGCTTCGGTATGTGAGCAGTAGCGAGCATTTGGTAGGCCGTGCTACATTATCAAGCAAAGCAATACTCTTTGATTGAGTTCCCGAACAAATTAGTGCCTAATAGATTAATTCAGACGATGAAGAAGACGTGCAGCAGAAGTAGAGGAGTAAGGACCGATCAATTCTGTCAGAAGTCGGAATGAAACAAATAGGCCTTCAATCCTCCTTCTCAGCTTTCTTCTTTGCTCAAATTCTTGCCTTACTCTCCTTTCCTATTTTTCGTGTTCTTCGTATATATTCTGATAATTCTTGGATTTGTTGATCAGATGCTTTTCCTTCTTCTTTCAAGCTCTTTAATTCGTGATAACGCTTTAATTGTACACTAGGAAAGCCTGTTTTTTGTTTTAAATTTGTGCGATACTTGAGTTGCCTTATCGAACCTTGCATTCTAAGTTCTTCTTTATGTTCAGTAGTTGCAGACTCTCTCTTTTCTGTTCTTCTTTTGTTCTTTCGTTTTCTGCTCTCCTCTCGAAGTCTTTCTCGCAAGGCCATTTTGGATTCCTTTGAAGTATCAGCTGAGCTTGATACCTCTTTTCTTGTTGAAGGTGGTGAGTTGTGATCACTTTCTTCTGCGGCCATTTCGTTCAAGTCTGGTACCTCATGACTTCTACCGCCAGAGCCTGTTTTAGTGATTTCATGACCATTTGAAGTACTATTACCGTTGGAGTGCGATGCTGCACGGCTCGGTGAAGAGCCTGTTGGAACAGCTTTCAGGCAAGGCACCAGGAAGAAAAGCGTGAACAAGAGGTAGTACAAATGCGGGATGCAAAGCATCTTGTTAAGGTGATAAGAGCGAAAGTACATTCTAGTTCCACGCATTGGATAAAAGCAAACGCAATTCGCCTTTCATTCTCTGAAATCGTGAACGCCCCGCCGTCATCGCCTTGTACAGGATGTTAGCTACATTATATAGGAAAGAACTATCTTACTAACAAGTTCCGAAATTCGATTGTGAAGCAGCTTTATTAAGCCTGCTGCACTTTGAAGAGAGAGGCAGACGGGCAGGGCAAAGGAAAGAGGAATGATCGATGGAAAACATGAGGACTTACAATAGTGCCAAATTAGGGAAATTACCTCCTCTTCTCTTTTCCATCTTTTTGGCTATCATACCGTTCTTGTTTACGTTGTAAAGCTTTTCTTTCATCTGCAGCTTTTTTCCACCTACGTTTTCTAGCTCGATCTTCGTCCAAGATTTTTTGTTGATGAGCATTTATTTCACCGGTCCTTTCTAATTGACGAAAATGATACATTCTAGCGTCTCGAGTACTTGAAAAGCCTATCTTTTCCCTCAACTTTTGCCTGTGTCGCTCATGAGTCTCTCTATTGGCTATCCGTCTTCTTTCTTTCTTGAGACCCTTTAGAAGGGATTCATGTGTTGAAACATCTTTTGTGCGTTCTTGAGGTGGTGCTGTGTCTCTGGAAGATCTGGTGTTTGTTCCAGATAACAATATTTCCTTTTTCGTGGGATATAACGAAGTATGTGGCGTGGGTTTGTCTACAACCTCACTTGATAGTTTCGGCGAATCTACAAGAAGCTCTCTCCAATTGAACCCTCCAGGGGATTGTGATCGGGTAGGAGACTGAGAGGAGTTCACCTTCAGCAGAACGTGCAAAAGTATATATGAGACAATAGTATACGTCATATACATGTTGCATTCAACGGGTCTCGAAAGAAGGAAGGTGAAAGTCATATTTCCCTTCAATGTAGGCAGAGTGAAAGTACGTTTATGAACCACCTCAAGCCCCACTTAGATAGGAATTCGACACAGCATATACGACATATGCAATGACGCAATCACTCTCGCTATTTGGTTGCAAGGCAGTGCTGGTATCAAGATAGTAAGCAAGAACGTCTGCGCACCTCACGAATATATTTTTGAGAGTGACAGACTACATAGCTCCATGAATAACAAGCAATTCACATTCTACGTACATTTTACAGCTTGTCGGTAGACTTAGTCTTTTTAACTTTCGGTGGGCGCCCTCTTCCTCGTTTAGGTATACTAGGATCATTTGGCACTTTGAGGATTGGCGGGCGTCCCCTTTTCAATTTAGGCCCAACAGGACCCAGGTTTTTCTTTTTCAACTTATACGTTTTCATGTGGCTACGCATTTTCTCACGATAACCATTCAATTCAATCTGTTGATCTTGTGAAATTTGTCCTGTTTTTTCCAATGAACGAAAATGGCTCAAACGTGCATTAGCCAGACTTGTGAATCCTACCTTTTCTTTCATCCTTGTTCGATATCTTTGAGATCTATTACTGACTTTTAATCGTCTCAATCTCTCTCTCTCTGCAAAAAGTTGCTCGTAATTCACATTGGCAGACTCTCCTTCGATCATATGGAGGTTTCTGCCACTTGGATCTTCACCTTGCTTATTGTTTGTGTTGAATTGATCTACTTGCAAAGCTGGCTGATTGTCATCTTGATGGTGAAGTCTCGGCGACAATTGAGCTGATGCAGGTTGGCCATGGTTATATACAGAATGCTCTGGAGATTGACTCAAATAGCTAAGCCAATCAAAATCCGTCGAAGCTTGTGAATTTGTGGGAGAATTACCGGTGGCTTGCACAAAGACAGGTGCAGAAAGAAGCAGGCTGATGAAGACGACATATAGCACAAGCATCATTGCTGATGTGGTTGCTAGAAAGGAAACTGTTAAGAAAATAAGTAAAGCTTAGGAAGAATACCTTTTTAGGTTGTATAGCCTCATGATTCGGCCAAAAGCACGGCGTTGAAGTCTACTTAGGCCATTGAACCCGTCCCGTTATGTGTTGAGCGCACGCCATACTACTTAATATGCATTACGAAACGGAATGTTGACACAGCCCACATGCAAAACTCGATACCACCGAAATGGTGTTTCATATGCATTCTTTTCCACATTGTGTATCTCAATATGTACAGGATTCTCATTTCAAAGGCTGAAGAAGGTTCAGCTGACACACATTTCATGTTTAACGTCTTGACTTTTCTGTACACAAACGCCTTATTTATTTGCTTTGTGCCAGCTCATCGGGTACGTATTCGATCTCATTCTTTAGAAATGAAACGGTATTGCTTACAAAGTTTAATATGCCATTATCACGGTCTTTATATGTCAAAACATGCTTCTTCGTCCTTTAAGGCTTGGTTTTATCAAGCTTTGCTAATCGATTCTTCAAGCTTTTATCTCTTCTCAATTTTCGCTCGGCACGTATAATTTCCAATTCTCGAGCTTGTTCATCGGTTGTTTCACCCAATCTATAAAGCCTGAAAAGTTCTCCTTGATATGCTGCTTTCTTGGAGCTAAAGCCTGTTTCTCCCTTTATTTTCGCTCGATATCTTTTCTGACTACCCACTTGCGTCATTTTCTTACGAATCTGTTCATCAGGAGCCAACTTGGCTATACGTTCTTTCTCTTTTTGATAACGAAAGCCCCTTGGTTTCTTGCGTGTTGCAGACTCCTTCCCTGCCTTCTTCGTATTTGGTATACTGTTCATTTCTCCCGCTTTTGAAAAAGATTTAACTTCATTTGAAAGCATGCCTTGCGATTGGTTTCCTGCTTTTGTCAATTTTGATGGCGATGTAAGTTCTTGTTCCTCTGTTGTTTCCTCTGCTGGGAATTGAAGCAAAGCACGCCAATCAAAACTTCCCGATGAGCTTGAAGAGTGAGCTGCTCTTACTTGTTGAGTTGATGTCAAGGCTGCTAGAATAAGAGATACAATAAATAGGATAAAGTCATAGCGCATAATGACGCTATTGTAGAGAATGGTAAATTGTAAGTGTCGCAATATTGCAAGTATGAAAGGCAACACTCTGAAATGCACGATCTAAAGTATTTGATCCCACATCGTGCTCAGCCCCGAGAAAACAAACTTTTCCATTGAAGTGTCATCGAATAACAACATACATCAAAACGTTTGCTCATTTTGGCTTAAGCAGACCTTTCTTGCTGCTATTGCATCGCTGAAGACAGAATTCGGACATTAAGCGTCTTTGTAGCATTTATCGCCTATCACAAATTTCAAGGATGACCAGGAGTCTGTACTTTACGCTTTTTATTGCTACCGCTCTTCTCTTGCTCTTCCGTGCTCACAGATGCAACCTTTCGATTCTTCTTTGTTTCGTTGTATTTCCTCTTTCGATTGTATTCTTTTTGCAAAAGTTGTTTTTGCTCTTCGGTCAGAGTTCCAAGTTCTTTTGCCAGTCTAGCTTGACCAATTTTTTCTTCTCGTCTAGTACTAAATCCCGTTAGTTCTTTCAATTTTTTACAGTGCCTCCTTTGATTCTCTTTTCTGCTTTGTCGAATTTTTGCTTTTTCAGATTCGGGCAGATTGTGGAACTTATTTTTGCTATTTTGATGATAAATTCTCTGCAGATCTTTTCGTCTTTCTCTTCTCTTGATCTCGCCGAGTTCTTTCTTGTTCTTCACCGAGGCTTCTTTTTCTTTGACTTCCTTGATAGAGTGCTGTGGATCAGCTGAAGTATGTGATGACTTTACGTTGGGGTCTTCAGGAATATCTAAAAAGCTCATCCAATCGAACTCTATTGATGAGTCCGAATGTGATGGAGAATGAAGCATTGCATGATTTATCTTTGATAATAGAACAAAACCATACCAAACGAAACAAATGATGCCAAGCTGCATTTTTGAGGGTTGGAAGATTGATAGAGGCAAACAATGAAAGAAGTGATATGCACAGGCTAAAAACAAAGTTTGTTCTATATCAGATTGCGCAATGGTAGATTCAGCCCCGTCTATAGAAGTGTACACGAGGCTGCTGTGCTTGGCGAAGCAAATGATGTACGGCCAAAATTGCCTTATAAGATTCAATAGTCAGAGAAAGAAGCTTATCGTTATTGCTGTCTGCAGGTCAGTCAATCATAGCTGATTCTGCTTGCAAGATCGTCTTGCTGTATCGATCATTCTTTCTTGTTCCTCTGCGACAAGCGCATTGCCCTCCTTCGTGCTTGAAATGCTTCTTGCTGCTTTTTAGATTTTTCTTGGTACTTTTTTAAATATGCTAATTGTTCTTCACTTGCTTGACCTTTTTCTTTTAAATTGCGATACTGGTGTAAACGTGCATTATGATGACTACTAAAACCAATTTCTTCCATCAATCGATTACTATACCTTTGTTGCCGTGTTCTTGAATAAATCTTTCTGTACTTCTTTTGTTCAGGTGTCATGCGTTCGATTTTGGCTTTTTCTTCCGGCCAAGAATAAGGCTTACGATTTTTTCTCTTTTCAGTCTTCTTTGGATGTTCAGGTAAGTAGCTCCCGGCCAGTGAAGTGGCATGAGAAACAGCTTGTTTATCCTTTTGATGACTGCCTGATTGATCAACAGGCTGAGTTTGAACAGAGCTACCAATTGGTGACATCAATGGATGGTCTTCTGTATCAACTAAATATGACGTCCAATCAAAGTCAGTCGGAGTGTTCGGAGAGCTTCCATTGGAACCATTTCCTGCTAGTGAGTAGCGAGGAATGAGAAAAATCATGAAATACCACAAAATCAGACGCATCATCTTTGAGAAGATTAATTCTTATGAGATGGCGTGGAAGAAGATCATCTTGTTATCAAATATGCGCAACATACCCAACTTTAATGGCGCCCCGAACAGTAATAACGCAATATACACAATCATCATTACGTCACTGACATGCAGGATATACAATCCTGAAGCATGCAGATAGAAAAGCTGTGAAGTTAAGAGCCCATCATTCTGAAGCATTGAAATTCAATTATTCGGATCTGTGCGACTATTCAGTCTTACTTTAGCTCGCCATTTCCGATGGACTCTACTTTTGTGTTCAAGAAATTGTTCTAATTCTAAATCTTGTTGTTTAGTGGATTTACCTGTTTTACGAAGTGCTTGTAACTCTTGAAAACGTAAAACTTTCTTACTTGTAACGCCGGTTTTCAATTTCAATTTTTCTCGATATTTTCTGGACTTGTTTACCGCTTTTACTCTGGCTTCTTCTTTTTTATGAGCTGGCAAGCGCCTAAACTTGTCGCATTCTTCTTGGTATTTGATTTTACGTTTTTGCTTCGCAATCTCTTTAATAGAGAGGGCAGAAGCTGCAGTCCTATAGCGGTTCTTCGTCAAGACCCGCTTCTTCCTTTCCGTGAACTCTTCTGCTTCACTTACAGGAGGAGATTTATTCAAATCTGGTAGCTCTTTGCGTTTCTTTGATGGTCTCGCTTGTGACTTCTCTAAGTGTACCCCATCACTGTTTGGCTTAAAAGTAGATGTTGCATCGTCATGCAAAGCTATATATGGTGGATTAAATGCACCAGTAGATGTCTCTGACCAGGCAAAAGCCACAAGTGGTATAAAGACCAAAGATAGCAGAAGGAGGAGTAGGATTTGCATCGAATGATTACTGGTATGGTCTACGGAAGGAAGGATAGCATCATTCTCAGGAAAATCGAAAGCATGCACGGCAATTAGGTAACTTTTCAGAAAGAAGGCTTTGTTGACGCCCCGTAATCGCGTATTCAGAATTGAAAGACACCAGATACAATATTATACTTTCATGATAGACTTTACGACTCTGTAACTGAAGAGTTTGCTGCTCTTGCCTGGGTCTGTCGGGCTTTCTTTCTCTCTCTAAATGCCTTGTTTCGTCTACGATTTGCTTCTAAATGCTTTTCTCTCTCTCGCTTTTGTGCATCAGTCAGCTGACTTGTTTCTTCTAAGCGACGGTAATTTTGCATATGGACAGTCGTAAACTTGGTATGCCCGATCCTTTTTTTAAGATTTTCTCTGTAACGTTTATCGGCTTCTTTCTTTTTAGCTTTAATATTCGCTTGCTCCTCAGATGATAATTGCATCATTGCTGCTTTTCGTTTTTGATATCTTTGTTTCTCATATTCTGTAAATACTTCCTTGTTGGTTAGTTTCACCTTATCCCTATACTTCTTCGTGCTTATACAGTTTGCTATTCTCTGCTCTTCAGTCATTGCAGCACCTCTTTTGCGCTTTCCTGGCTTGCTTGGGTTCGTCGTTTCTTTGTTCATTTCTGCAGCGTGACGACCTGCTATGTTATGTACTTGAGGATCTACAAAGGTGGAGCTTGGCGCTAAATGTGAGGAAGAAAGAGGCTCATCGTTAGGAAGATCTGATAAAAGAGATAGCCAATCGAAGTCATCTGAAGACGATGATCTTTGAGGAGAATTATGCACAGACTGAGCTGCAGCTCGTAAGATATGCAATAGGAGAATAAGTGAAATGAAAACAATCATATATAACTGGATCGCCTGCACGTTGAAAGTTTTAAAGTCAAAGAGTAAGGACGGTACACGTACAAATGTGTTTAAAAAGAAATATGAGTCGCTTGTTTACCGTACAATACCGCATCCTTACGCCCCTTTTCTACGCAGATAATGCTGTGAACAACTGGAAGATGAACGTGACATTCTTGCTAATAGACTATATATTTTGACATGTATCAGTGCCTCTGATTAATCAGGGTGTTTCGTGACGTCACCCCTGAGAACCTTCTCCTCACAATGATACCTCTCTCTCAAGACTTTTTATCGGGTTGTAATTTTACCCATCCTTTGGTCTTTCGCTTGAATCCTTGTGCTACTTTCTTTGACTCATACTTTAAGTTCGTCGCTTTTCTTTGCAAGTATGCTTTTCTTATTTCTTCCTTTTGCTCATCAGTGGCACGGCCTTCAGATTCCAATTGCTTGAATTCAGCAAGTCGTGCTTGCTTCAATTCTGAGAATCCAGTCTGTTCCTTAATTCTCTTTCGATTCATACGTTGTTCTTCGTTTCTCTTTTTCCTATACATTTCTTTCTCATGCTCGGGTTTTGCGTTGTGGATAAGCTTTCGACGTTTATTTCGCCTTTTTTGGTATTGTTGTTCTGTTTCTCCTTCCATTCTTCTTACAACAGGTATGTCTATTCGACTTGCTTGTGGGATCGAGCTTACAAGGTCTGATCTCGCTAGTGAAGATGCTTGAGGAGTAGGGGGTACAGTCGACACAGGAGAATTTGCACCTGCATCAGGAACATCTGGATCAACAAGAAAGGACATAGGATCAAAGTCGAATGAGTCAGTTCGTTGGTGTCGATAGTGCTTGTCTCCATGATCGGCTGCGAATGATACCACTACAAAGGGCAAGAGGAAGACGAAGATTGTTGTCTTCTTGCTCATGTTCATGGCCGGCTAATTGATAGCAGGATGATACCAGAGAGTTGACGGAGGTGAAAAGCAAAAGAAAGTTTTCATAACATGTCTACCAAGCAAAGCCCCGTTACAATTTTTCTTATGTCAGACCTATATTGCATTCAATACAATATTGTTTGTTGTGTAACGCAAACTTTCAAAAAGTCGTCTAACTTCCGATTCTACAAATGCTATTGAAAAGATTTTGATTCCGAAACAGAAGATTCTTATTCATCGTTTGCCGATTCATGCTAGTATTTTGATTCTATTGATTTCTTCACTCTTTCCCAGTCCTTCGTTTAGCGATGACACCTCCTTGTGCACTTTGCATTTTTTTCTCTTTCTCCATTCAGCTTGTCTATTGTTCTCTTTCTCCAAGAGTATAGCTTGTTTTTTGATTACGATACCTCATTTCTTTGATGACCTGCATGACCGAGCTTTGCTTTTAATTTTGCGCGCTATATTTCTTCTGTGCAACTCTTTTGAGCCTTAAATGGCGGTCTTGTTCAGATTTTGGGGAATTGCTTTTATCATTTCTAGAGTTCCTGATTGCTGTGTTGGTTCTTGTGCTCTCAATTTACCTTTACATGTAGAAGATGCAACGCAACGCTTTAATAGTGAGAAAGATGAAAGAAGGCGGCGTATACAAGAGCAATGATAACTATGTAATTATGAACACATGAGCATTCAGAGCTGAAGGACAAACTGGCATCGTGATGCAAAATTCATAGTCTCTTGTCCATCGCTTCAAAGCCCCAGTGGCTGCTTCCATTTGTATGCATTATATTTTTACCCTAATCTCTTTTGGTTAATATTTGCTCTTGTACTTTTTTACACCTTGTGCTTTTCGTTTGAAATAGTACTCATTTTGATACTTCTTTTCTTTGTCCAATACCGCTAGCTGCTCAGCAGATGCTTGACCAGTTTTCGCTAATTCGCGAATTTGCGACAGAAATTCAGCATGCTTTGTAGGATAACCAGTTTTCTCTTTATTCTGTCGATAGTATTTCCTTCCTTTGGCTCTTTTGTACTCTAATTTGGCAAGCTTCTGATCATATGGTAAAGCATCAAATTTAGCCTTTTCAACTTTGTACTTCTGTCGTCTTCTCTCTTTTATAAATGAATCGCTTAGCTTGGACGTCTGAACTTGTTCGGTTAGTGCCATTCTATTGGCTTTTACGGATGATTGAGCAGTTGACTCATGGTGTTCGTTTAACGATTGACTGCGATCTGATCGGGAGCGGTCCGGACTCAGATTAAGAAATGTCTTCCATTCATCTCCACTAGGTGATACTTCTCTTGTAGAAGGGTGCTCAAATGTTTGCAATCGACAAGCTTTTGCCAAGAATAAGATCACAAAGATGCAATGATAAGAGAATCGCATTTTTGCGAGCTACGAAGGGTGACCGGAGAGAATAAGAATATGAGACGAATAAAGATACAATGTCCCGCAAACGTGTCAAAATGAAGAACGCCCCACTTTTCTCTGATTCAAATCACACAAACAGGTACAAGTATATACAAGCACGGACTAATAAGCTTTATGAAATTGTTACACTTGTGAAGAACTGTTGGGTCCTTCAGGGTTTTTATTTTCTGGTTTCTTCTTGATAACTTTTTGCTTCACTAGTCCACTGGCATGTAGCTTCAATGTCTTTTTCAATTTCGATACCCTTTTCCTTTCACGATCTTTATTCAGATATCGTAATTGCTCATCGGACGCTTGACCAATACTTTCCAATTCACGGAAATGACTAACTCTTGCGTTATGTAGAGTTGTGAATCCAGTCATTTCTTTTGTCTTGATGTGATTACGTCGTTGCTGTTCTCTTCGTTTTATAAGATCGGCCTGTTTCTCTTCCGGCGTTTTTGATGCTTGTTTTGCTTTGTATTTATAGTAAGATTTTTTCCTTGAGATACGTCTTTCCTCGCTCATCTCTTTTCTTGGCTTCATTGGCTTTGATTGCTGTTCAATCGTTGCTTCGGTATGATGATGCGCACCACTGTGGTCTTGTTGGGTGGGAACATAGCTTATATATGATGGACCTATGTCTTCCATCAAATAGGCCGTCCAATCAAAGTCGTCAGAAGAAACTGCATGAGGTGAAGAAGGTCTAGAGGTCTTTCCTGCATTGGATAGGCTGAGTGTACAGATCAGCAAGATCAATGTTGCAAGCAGATACCTCTCCAATCATCAATGAGCAAAAGGTAAAAGGAGAAGTGGATCAATACTTCGTGAATTATTTGGGACATCGTGTTGCTCAGATCTTGCATGAATCGATGCGAACATGTTTCATCTTAATTTGGAAAAGCATTTCGAGCCCCGAGAATAAAAGGGCACACAAAGCTCATAATTAAATCATTTCACATACAAAGCAAGTCCTCCAAAAAGACCACAGCCTTGGTCAAGAAGCCAGCAAACATGTCTCACTTATAGTGGATTGTCTTTCGTATTAATGCGGTGCCTGTGGGACTTGTTGAAGTGTATTATTCCCTTGATTCTCCAATCTGAGTTTATTCCGACGGTTTGTGTCATACTTCGCTTGCCTTGCCCGTTTTGAAGCCATGATAAACTCTTTCTCTTCTGGTGTGGCAGCTTCAAATCTTGCTTTCTCCTGTTGCCATTGCCTCTTATACTTCTGACTCTTCGCCTCGGCAATGATTCTGCTTGCATTTGGACTTGTGCTCTTCTTTGCCACGGTCTTCTTTGCCACGGTCAAGGGAGAGGAATGCTGCTGAGTGTTCGGCGGGTTTTCTTTTGACGTTCGTTTGCTTTGTCTTTCTAACCTAAGTTTATCACGTCGTCTATCTCTCTGCCGTTTCTGATGTACACGGTTTTTGTCACGCTCATTTCGAAGGTACTCCAACTGTTCTTCAGTAGCAGTTCCCTGTTCTTTCATAATCCTAATTTGAGCAAGCAGAGCATCACTTCTACGTGTATACCCAGTCAATTCTTTCAATTTTCTTCTATGTTTCGCTTGTCTTGCATTTTTTGATGCTAACAATTCCTCTTTCCCTTTTGGCGTTGCAAGTTCAAATCGTTTCTTTTCTTGTTCCCATACTCGCTTGTATCTTTCTTGTTTGACCTTCTTACTCGTTTCGCTTGTGCTTAAAGGTGCGCTTGTTTGTGACACAGGTAAGCCAGCAGAAGGTAATTTTGGAGAATGAGGATGTAATTGGTTTATAACATTCTGAGATGGAGAAGTAACCAAGAAATTCGTCCAATCAAATTCCGATGAAGACGAATCGCTTTCGTCACCTGCACGCAAGGGCTTCGCAAAAAGTAAAAGGAGTAATAGTAAAGATAAAGTGTTCATCAAGAGAGAGTATTCGTAGTTCAAGGCATACCTCGATAGAATGCCTGAAGCGAGAGTATTTTAGCAGATTGACTGCCCCGAATGTTTTGGATATACGCAAATCTTCTTTTATTGCTCCTTCGGCTATAAGATTTGATGAGCATTGTGTGTATGTCAAGGTGATTTATCCTTACGATTTTTCTCTAATCTCATCTTAGCGTGATATCTTCTTGTCCGTGAATTCTTCTTTGCTCTATGTTTGTTTAAAAGTGCCAATTGCTCATCTGTACCTTTTCCACGTGCCTCTAAAGTACGAAGATAATGCATTCTAGCTTCATACATACTAGAATACCCCGTCCTCTTCTTTACACCAGCTTTGTATCGTTTGTAGCGCTCTTTTTTCAATAAATTAAGACGCTTTTCCTTCTCTGATAGAGTGAGGTGGGATTTGGTTTTTGCTGTCTGTGGAATGATTTGATGCGCAGCTTCCATTGAACGTTTAGGCTCTGCTTGTGAGATCTTGTTAGATGGCTTTACTGCTGTGATTATACGGTCTGGCGAGCTGTCCTCTTTCGTATTGATTGTGCTTCCTTCTTTCCCAGTTGAAGGTCGATCAGGAGAAGTCGCCAACAGAGATTGCCAGTCGAATTCTTCTGTGGATTGCGAATGTGTGGGAGAGTTGTTATCCGAGGTCTGACTATAGATTAGAGGAAGCCTACAACACCAACAGATCATCAACGTTTGTAAAAGGACGACGAGCATTTTATAATGTCAAGTGATTGAGATGGTGTAAAATACAAAAAATCATACCTAGTAACGCACAGCAGTAATTGCGTCGCAATCAATTGCATTACATGCCTTTTCCCAAGCTTTCGCGGCCAGATGACTGGGGAAAAATAAGATAACTCCTAACCTTAGACGAAAGCTGTGCACTTTCAAAGCGAGGCGCTGCCATCTGCAGATATGCAATTCAAGATTGCATACCACTGTTTCAGCTCAGCCCAGTGCAAGCACCAAAAGCCAAGAAAGAAGACTGTATCATTGCGGTGGTTTAGATGCGTTTTGTACACTGCTTTTCTCTGCTCTTTTCTTTTCTCTGCATTGCTGTACACGCAAATAGTTGGCTTTACGGTGATCTGAAAGCTTTTTTCCTTGTTCGTGTGTAAGTCTGCCGGACTTTTCCAAAAGGATCAATTGATGCATACGAGCATGATTCCAACTTGTGAATCCAATCTCTGCTTTCATTCGCTCTCGATATCTTTTTGCATGTCCATGTGCTCGATCTCTTGAAACCCTTCCTCTTGCTTTGTCGGGATTTGGTTGTCCAGCTGATTTTTTAGCCTGTCTCACTTCATCAATCAGCGAAGATACTGCCTTTCTTCTTTCTTGTTTTCTGTCTAAAAATTCCACCTGCTTCATCGAAGGAGTTCTTTTCCTTTTCGTTGGTACTGACTTCAAGGATTGATGCTCATAGTTCCCTTCCCTCTGTGGATTTTCACTTCGAATTCCTTCTGATGAATGTCTATTGATTGAAGTAGGAGCATCGGGAGCAGGCATATTTGATGAGCTAGCCAGATTGTGTGTATCATGATCAGGAGAATCCAACAAAAACTGTTTCCAATCGAAATTCTCAGGAGATCTTGGTGAGTGATGAGGAGGAAGAGTATTGGTCATTATTACGAAAGCCATCAGATCGAATAAGAAGATGAACTGAACGATGAAGGTTCTAGAGAAGAGCATTTTTAAATGATGGATGCCTTGATATCTATCTGACGATGTACAAAAGTGAGAAAGAAATCGTATAAAGGAAGTGTGCGGGTATTGGATATACGTATGTACGCAAACATCGTCACGAGATCATCTTTCACAGTGTCAAGTCGCCCCTTTTTGCGTAGAATGCATATAACCACAGTGCTTGCATTATACCAACCTAGTTCGATTCTTTCGGTAACGAAGAAAGGAGTTTTGGTCTTTCTTTGCCAATTCCACTTGCTCGTTTTTCCTCTCTTTTTCTCCTGGCATAAATACGTCTTACGTTTCTTTCTTTCTCCAAAAGCTCCAATTGTTCAACACTTGCCTTCCCAATCTTTTCCAATTTTCTAATTTGATGCATGTTTGCATTACGTTTTGTGCTATAGCCGATCAAAGTTCTCATTTTTTTACGGTACCTTCCATATTTTTCAATCTCTTTAGCTTTCCGAGAGGCTTTCTCCTCTTCTGGTAGGGTTTCCTTTTTCGCTTTCCAATTCCGATAGTACCTTTGGCGTTGGGTCAATGAAGGCTTGTAATTATCTTTGTGCTTCTCGGTAGCCTTCTTCTCTACGACTATCTGCGATAGGAAAGGTTGCTTCTCGTGACTTGCTTCTGTCGGTAAAATGGGAGATAGCTCTTTGCTCATATGGTGCTCTTCTTCAGAAGGTAAATCTTGCATAGGCATGTGCTCCGGGCTGAGATTGAGATACGATCTCCAATCACTTTCTGGAGAAGAGTGCGTAAATGTTTGGGAGCGAATTGAAGGAAAGGATAAGAGGAAGCCGCCAAAGATCCATAATATTGAATAAGGAATCATGCTCACAATAAGCAAAAAGAGTGGACGTGAAGAGGATTGAAGAAATATTTTTTTGACTCCAAAGCGCTTTCATACGGAGCAATTACGCCCCATCGGCAAGCCTGTTCACAAATTGCATGCTCCGAGACAAACACATTTTCAATAGCATTCTGTGAAAAGGGAGTCTGATGAAGGTACATGAATATGAAAAGAAGCGATAATACGACTAAACATTAACTTACAAGCACTTATGACAATTGGTGCATCACCCTCGCGAAAGTGATGATTGTACACTTTTTGCTGTCCCATCCTTTGCAGAACCAGCTGCTTTTTCAGATAGAATCTAGCTACTTTCTCTTTATCTTTTTGCAAGTACTCTAATTGTTTCTGAGTAGCTTTACCATTCTTTTCCAAAATTCTAAACGTATTCAGTCTTGCATTATGAATCGTTGTAAAACCTGATTGACGTTTATTTTTATTGTAATGCTTCTTTTGTCTTGCTTTTTCAGCAAGTCTTTCTTGCTCTTGTTCTTCGGGTGACATTTGTTGAAGCTCTGCTTTGCGTCTGAGGTATCGTCTTTTGTTAGCTATCTTCATCTTCGCTTTCATCTCTTCAATAGGACTTTTGATCCTCCTAAGCGGCGTGAATTGCTTTGGTCCAGAAGATTCATCCTTATGTTGACTTGACGAGGTGCGTTCATCATCAGAAGAGTCCAAGTGACGTACGGGTGAATGATTCGGTAGCTCGAAAGAGTATGCGGTCCAGTCAAAATTATTGGCTTGTTCTTCAGTTCCGCCCAATGAAAGACGGTAAAGAGATAAGATCAGAATAAGAGTTTTCAGAAAGTTTTTCATTTGTCTCATGGAGAGGATTTCTGAGGAAGAGGATACAGTACCTGTCCGATTCCGTCTTATCGTTGATGCAATCATCATCTTTAGTCATCAGAGAAGTTCGAGCCCCGTGACTCATAATACGCAAACACACACGATCATATCAGCCGGTCATTATGAATTTGAAGCAAATATACAATCTTTCTCAAAAACCAACTCAGTCCTCCCGAATCAGAAGACCGGCAGCTCCCATTCCTGTTCCGATACACATGGAAACGACTGCAACTCTTTCTTTTCGTCTTTCCAATTCGGCAAGTGCTGTAACGACAAGACGAGCGCCTGTGGCACCTAAAGGATGACCTAAAGCAATTGCACCTCCATTGACGTTTAATTTTGAAGGATCTAATCCTAACTTTTCTTCACAATACACTGCCATACTTGCAAAAGCTTCATTGATTTCAACTAAATCAACATCTTGCATTGTTAGTCCAGTTTGTTCGAGTAATTTTGGAATGGCGATCGATGGTCCGATTCCCATTATTCTTGGTGCTAATCCGCATACTGCAGTTGAGACATACTTGCCCAAAATATGTTTGCCCAATTTGCGTGCCAAACTTCTTCTCATCAAAACAACACCTGCTGCACCATCTGTGATTTGACTTGCATTTCCACCTGTTGTTTGTCCAGGTGCCCATTGTGGGAATGCAGGTTTAATCTTTGCTAAACCTTCAGGTGTTGAAGTTGGACGAATACCATCATCTTGACTGACGGTAGTGTAGGTTGTCGTTCCATCTGGCAGTTTGACAGGTGTTGTGATTGGCATGATTTCAGCATCAAATTTACCCGATGTTTGCGCTTCATGAGCACGTTGATGCGATCGAGCAGCAAATGCGTCCATCTTTTGTCTTGAAATATTAAAATCTTTTGCAACATTTTCTGATGTCCAACCCATTGGCATTTTGCAATCTTTTGCAGCTTGACTTTGATTTTCCACTTCAGGTGAGAAACCCGTAGGGGCAGCATCAACAAAAGTCATGCTTTCACAACCCATAGCTAAACCACAATCGATCTCGCCTGCTTGAATTTGATTTGCAACACTTCTGATTGCCATCAAACCTGAACTGCAGAAACGGTTGACGATCAAAGAAGGTGTTGATTCTGCAATTCCAGCAGCTAATGAAGCAGCACGAACGGCATAAGGTGCGCCAGGGTTACGCACGTTTCCCACGACGACTTCTTCAATCAAAACAGGGTCGATTGCGGCTTTTTGCAATAAACCCTTCAAGCATTCCATAACCAAAATGTCAAAAGGTGTATCTTTTAAATGACCTTTCTTTGCTTTGCAAAATGCCGTTCGTCCAGATGCGATAATTACTACATCATCGTCATTCTTCATCGAATGAGCGGCTAATCCTTTTCCACTCCATGTACGAGGATCTAAGTGTTGAGCGATTTGTCCAATTCGTTGTGTTGCCATGGTGAATGTAGGGTGTGTTTGATGGGATGAAGGTAGGGAAGAAAGAATGTTTGATGTCTCCTTTAAATGAAAAGGGCCCCTCCCCTCAAACCCCGCAAATATACTTCAATAATGTGTCCGGTTAGTCGGGCTTAAGAAGCCGATTGGCGTGCCTAAGGGCAGGAGCGGCAAAGAAAAGAGGCCCAGCGCGTGTAACTTTTATGCGTCAATCTTCTCTCGCACGCCGGAAGAAACGGAATCCACTCCGGTCATCAATCAAGCAATCAATCCTACGGCCGGTAAAGAAAACAATGAACTCAAAAGAATCTATATTTTTATTTCTATATACAACCATTCAATTCTTCTTTTCTTGACGTATTTGTTGCGCAAACTCTTGCATCACACTTACGAGCAATTGGGTTTGTTCAACCGAAACGGCATTGTATAAACTCGTTCGAATTCCACCAACGCTTCGATGTCCTTTCACCTGTTCGATACCTTTGGCAGAGCATCTTTTGACGAATTCATCTTCTAGACTAGAATCAGGTTGATCTTGTCCTGCTTGACAGATTCTGAAAGTAACATTCATTCGACTACGAGCAGACGCTTGCTTAACGGTAGGTTTAAAGATTCCATCACTTTCATCAATCACCTTGTAAACAGCCTCACTCTTTGCTTTTGCACGTTGGGTGGCGCCATTCACACCTCCTTTATTGTTGAGCAAGTCAGCAAACACCAAGCCAGATGTATAGATGCTGAACATTGGCGGCGTATTGTATAGGCTTCCGTTATCGATTGCATTCTTGTATGCCAAAGTGCATGGTATTCTTGGTCCACCGTTGGGAACACCTTGATCGGGATCCACGTCGAACAGAGAGCGTCTTGCAATCACAATAGTTACACCTGATGGTCCAACATTTTTTTGTGCGCCAAAGAAGATGATTGAATGTGCACGAACATCAATCGGTCTACTTAAGATATTACTAGAGCAATCGGCAACGATTGGAACATTCTTACGATATTCTTCCGGGAGGTCTTGGATAGGGAATCCTGGCGAAGGGAATTCCACTCCGTCCACTGTTTCATTATCACAATAATACAGCATTGCCGATTTATCAGCCTTTGCATCACTCAAAGTCCATTGGGACACAGGTGGAATCACGCCAAATTTGCCATCATTGTGCTGTCTAGCATCGACAGCTAGCCTTGCATTGATGCCTAATCGCTTTGCTTCTTTGATGGCTTTTGCAGTCCAGCTTCCAGTAACGACATAATCGCATGGGGGTGTAGAGCCCTTATGCTTTGAGACATAATCGGGATTGGCGATTGCATGATATGCTAAAAGGTTAAGAGCAGTTGCAGAGAATTGTTCCGTTCCACCACCTTGTTGAAACAGTACACAATAATCATCTGGAATGTCCAACAAAGAACGTAAATCTGATTCTGCTTTCTCAATCACTTTTTTAAACGTTCCTGATCGATGAGATAATTCAATCAATCCCATTCCCGTTCCGCCAAAATCGAGAATTCCTTGTGCCGCTTCTAAGAGCACATCAGTCGGCAAAGCTGAAGGACCGGCGCCCAGGTTGACGGTCTGGTCTCGTTTGCTGATGTCCAAGGTGGTCTGAGGTGCCATCTTGAAGGTGTAGTGAGGGGTGTCAAGAAGGTGAACGTATGCAAGAAGAAAGTTGATTCTGTTATTTCTTCGCGCTGTTTAAAAATTTAAGCTATCCCAACGCGTCAGTGAGTGATGACTCAATCATGACTGTATACAATCTAATAGATCTTATGCATACACTCTTTGTTCCTGAATTTCAGAATGACAGCTGATAATTGACAGTATGTGTCTTTGATTATTGATTGTGGATGCGATGTGCATTTAATTGAGTGTGAGTATAGTACAGTAAGTGACGAGGTAGAATATTGTGTGAGGAACTCTCGCGATTGATAAAAGTGTGAGAGACATAATCGACATAATCAGGGCTTTGCAGATCCTAATGGTACTCCAACAGGTTGTCCGGGTGCACCAACGCCGAGTAGCTTCTGGACGATGAGCAAGAATATACTCAAAGAAGCAAAGATCAATCCCATCACCGGTCCACCAGTTGCGTTTTGCGCCGATTCCTTCTTGGCTTGATGTGGTTTATCGTGTGCATTGTTTGCTAGTGCAAACAGTAATCCTGCGAAGGATAAAGTTGGTAACCTTGTAATCATTGCTGCACCACTCATCATTGTTGCAGAGGATAATAAGAATCCATACAAATCGGCTGAATCATCTAGCCATGGATCGGGAAATTGTAAGGGTTGAATCCGATCATGTCTGCGAGGATCGGTGGTATCAATGCGGCGGTAGTGATTTGACATCGTAAATGGTTTGCGTACTCTTCGTTGATGGTGATAGAGACAATCTTGAATGGTGTAACAGGTCTTGTCTAAGTCTAAGAAGGTATGTAGTATGGTACGCACGGACGAGAAGATCTGAGATGCAATACAATCCCGACAGGATTGAATACACTAGCTTCAATACAATTTACACTGCAAGTTTGTATTGTCGGATACAGTCGGCCAGCCATGCGTTTAGGCTGTCTCTTTTCGCGCGCGCGCACGAGGGCTAAATGAATATCAACTTTACGCCCGCTTGTAGAGAAGGAAGATGAGTTGATGTCCATCACTTTTCTCATTTCCTTCCCATCACCAAACTACTTATACAAACACTTGTCAAGATGTTCGGATTCCGTGCGTGAGTATCATATTCAACGAAAATAACAATGATCTCAACTCTAGATCGGCGACAAATGCACATTGTGCGATCTTTTGATTTGGGGAAGGAGCGGAAGTATTGACATTTGACACCTTTCTTTTTCACATTCAGTTATCCTACACCAATCTGGAGACCTTTGGCTCCTTTCTTTGCCGCAAGTGCAATCGTCTTCTACGGTGTCAACAGACTACAAGAAGCCGGTGTCTCAACCGATGAAGCCCGCAAGGATCCTCGCAACCCTTACGCATTGAAGAAGGCTAGCCACTAATTTGGCAATTGGAAAGATCAAACAAACCATACACACAAATTACATTTCACCGCAACTGCATTAGCAAGCAAGATTGTCGTTCGATTCCAACGGACTCGGTTGATATTTGCATGATGAAATGAATAAATTTCTAGAAGCGCTCAAATTGCATCGAATGATAATACAAAATCTATGAGGGTACAGTGTAGTCACTCAGAGCTTGGAGGCTTGTCTGTACGACTTGGAGGAGGGTATGCTTAGGGATTCTGTGATTCTTTTCCTGGCAGATTGATCACCTTGTCCGCTTTCTATTGCCAGTATGAGAAATTCGGTCAGATGGGTCGTCCAGTCCTTGTCGAAGACATACGTGTCTTGATCGTATACGACGTTCTGTTCTAATTCTTGGGCATAGGGATTAAGTTTGCTAGGATGTTCGATTGCGAGGCTATGATTGATGAAGGAGTCGGCGCTTGTGTTGATTTTGAGAATGGGCTGCTTTGTGGTGAGCCAGGATCTAACTCGTTCCCCTAATATTTCTGCGTCGGGGTGATATGCGATGATTGCTTCGAATGGCTTTTGAGCTGGTACATAATCTTTTGTCAAATTCTCTGATCCTAATCGGCTATCATCCGGTGCTGGTGGCTGTTCTTCCCATCCTCCCATTCGTGGCATACGTGAGATTCCCTTGGGTAATTGAGCAAAAAAGGTAGGAAATGCTTGTGTGGAAGAACGTGGATGTGATAGCAAGGCTTGAACGAGTATAGCGAGTGTACTACCGGAATCAAATCCAATCACTCCATGAAATGTACCTTGTTCACGCATATAATCACCAATCAAATCCAAACCTACATCAACGCCAACGGTTTGTGCGTTTGGTAGCTTTACAATCCAATCCCTGCACATACTTTGTGCTACTTTACTGCTGATCAAGGATTCTACTGCATCTGCACCTCCATTCTGATGTGCTTCCCAAACAAGTTGACCTTCTTTGCTTTTGTTGAGGGTTTGCCATGATTCACTGCGGATCTGTTGCAGATTGTCTCTTTGCTTGTTATCTTTCGCGTTGTCTAATTCTGCATCAATGGCAGCAGCCTGACTTGTCAGTATAGCAGCCTCTGTCCATGTGTCTGTGTCCTGTCGTTGCGAAGGTGTGGAATCGGGATCTTGAATGATGAAAGGAGCGTCTAAGAAATGAAATTCCCAATTCCTATCCATTCGATCACAAATCGGTTTGAGCGCTGCTCGAAATGAGGCGGCTGATTGTGTTGGTCCATGTAGACATAGGATCCTGTTCCTCCTTCTATATGTTGGTTCTGTCATCTTGTCTAAAGTGTTTTTGTGGTAGGAAGTAGGATGTCATTCGAGTATATGCGGGGTACGTTATAGGCTGCTTATGATGATTATGTCAAGCAGAGCATTGCAGTATATTCGGAAGCCGGCTTTCATTCTTCTAAATTTTTATTTTAAAGGCTAAGCAGCGCGTTATGTCAATTCTGTTCATCAAGAATATTTGCTTCCTTCTAATAACTTGACTATCATTAGCATACGAACAAATATGCCGCCTCGTCGATCTTCAAGAACGTCGCAGTCACAGCAAGATGAGAGTGCTGAAAGTGGAAGCAATGATCTGTTTCGAGGCGGTGAAGATGCAGCGATGGAAGAAGGAGGCGATTCCCTCAAAGCAACAGAGGTTGAGGCAGATGTCGGCTTGACCGGAAATGAAGAAGCGACAAAGGATGAAACTCCTCCCAATCCTGTAGAGGATGTAGACATGCAAGATGCTGCTGCTCCTCAACCCGAAAGCAAGGAACCAAGTATCACTAAACAGCAGGTCGACATTCCCACCGAAATGGAAGATGAAACGCAGCCACAAGTAGCTTCAACATCAGAAGAGCAAGTCGGAGCCGATGCTTCAATCGAGAAGAACGATGTAACCTCAACACTTTCTAGAGATGAGCCAGTCGCATCCTCTCAATCTGGTGAACTGTTAGCATCCTTACCCGTCTACATGAGCAATTCCTTGCCCTCTTCTTCCACTCTGCAAATCTTTCAATATCCAACATACCCGAGAGGTCAACCTCTACCATTCCCGCAAAGCGCTCGTGAGAGAGGATTACAAGCTGCAATGCGTACCAGACCACGAGCAAAACGAGTAGAAGTTGAACTTCCTCTTGATCTTCGTCCTCCGGTATACAACACAGACCGAGGAGAAGAATTTGGTGAAGGCGCCACAGCTGCAGGACCTATCGGACCCGGGCCCAAAGGAACAAATGCACCATCTTCAGCAATGAAAGGCAGTGAAAAGAGAGTCAAGAGTGAATTTGGCGGTTTTCAGTCTATGTCCTCCTCTTCTTCTGAAAATCGGAAAAAGTTGGAAAGGACTCGCTTGGAAAGTATTTTGATGCCTCATCAAACAAAGTATATGCTTGGCGTAATTCGTGATAAAGCCGTTCATCTTACACCTGTCGATAGCGTACATCAATTGCGACCTTCGATGCATTATATTGACGCTTTGGAAGCTTTAAAAAGACAACAAGATAAAGCTGCAGAAGAACAAAATCGAGCAGAAGATGAAGATGAAGAAGATGCGCGACCGAATGGAGCACAAAAAGCTAGAAAAGCGCAAAGTTTGAACGTTAGTATTCGTAATGATGGTAGTTCTTCATCTACCGCTCGACAAGGCGCAGGTGTTGGCGGTGGTGGTGCCGGAGGAGATAGTCGTGATTATCTCATGCAAGCTGAAAGGGAAGCAGAAAGTGAAAGATGGATTTCGCTTGATTGGAAGATGGACGAACGATCAGATGAAGCAAGAAAGACGTTTGATAGTCATTTGTTTGCCGTTGATAAAACGACAAGATTACAATGCAAGACCAAACCGAGAGAATATCTCAGAATGTGATCCAAATAGAATTTTGTACAATGTATATTAATCATCATCATGGTAGAATGCTAGAAAGAGTGTGTTTAGTACACGTGATTGTTTGTGGCCTTTATTTGCATTTGGCTTCCGATTATAGGCGGGCGTTTATACGCGCTAGAGTGTAAAGAGACGCTGGCTGGAAGTGCGAATATTCTGAATGAAGGCACAAACACAGTGTGCATTACACATGAACGCAATCAATATCAACAAGATTCTCATCTTCTCATTTCCTCCATCGCGACTACAAAGAACGATCACAAAAAATAAGCAGGAGTGTAGGGTCTATAGAGTAAGGATATAATCCACATATAACCACACAACAAAAGATGTCAACAGAAGCATCTGCAAAAGCAGGTGCAAAAGCCGGTCCAATAGAAGCCTATCATGAAAAATCCGCATTGAATAATGGATTCAAAGGAGCAATACAAGCAGGTGCATTTGGATTATTTGTTTCTGCAATTCAAAATAGTTTAGGAACCCATAAACAAGGTGCAATGGGAGTTTTTACCAGATCAGGATCTACAATCGGTTTGTTTACAGCTGTTGGTGCTGCTTTTGGTCTTACGGAATCTTTCGTTAGCAATTTTCGTCAAAGAGATGATTCGGTAAACGGTGCAGCAGGTGCATGTGCTTCTGGGTTCGTCTTTGGTGCTAGAAGTGAGTAGTTTTTCCAGTTAAGTTGCATTTCAATTCGCAGCACATTCTGACCCCAATCCTTCTCCTCCTTCAGCTGGTTCGGTTCCTACAATGTTTGGATCTTGTGCTGGTTTGGCTGCTTTGGTCGGTACTTTTGGCGCTGCAGGTCGTTCATTGACAGGACCATACTCGGCCGGTCTGGTTGATGCTGCAAAAGGAGACAATGCTCATTCCGATAACCCAAACGGACCAGGTGAAGCAGGATGGCGGTCAGAACGTGAAAGGAGGCGGACAAGCTTCTTCAAGGTGAGTACAGAGGAAAGCAAGTAAGAATGATGCGGTGATTGCTGACGATATGAACCCCACACTCTCATAGGAGAAGAAGCCAGTTGCAGAAGCCGAAGCAGAAGAGGAATGATGAAACAGCTGATCAAAGGTGAAACAGACGAACTCTGGTTGAGGGTGTAACTTTGGTTGTATCTGTTTGACAATACATAATCTCAATCATTGGAAATGTCGAGGGTGTGATTCGTGTGGTATTGCATACCGTTGCAACAGGAAGAGTATGAAATAGAAGAGAGTCTTTGATGGTCGGTACCTAGCTAGGGTCAGTTATCAGTCTCTCTAGCAAGAAACCTAGTTAGGGTTAGGATATAATCCTAACCCTAACTAGCCCAGTGGGCTTTACAATCAATACTAATCACTCCGACTACAAATATAACAGGCTGAGGAAAAGCAACTATAGGAATTCTAGTGCTTCTGCCTTTTACGCTTTTCTGAGTCACATATGCATCGTACATGGCCTGCGTTTAGCTTTACTCATGACCGTGATCTTATTGCGTCCATAGACAAGATGTCTTCACCTCAAACGACTGCACTGTTCGTCATAGATGTTCAAGTCGGCCTTGCCGATGAGGCTGACAGTGAAGTGCCTGATGCTGCCGCCATACGAGAAAGCATTAGATCGTTTGATTAGAGGTGTTCGCGAGTATAATCGTTCTCGTATAGTAAATAATACCGAAAAAGTACGATTAATCTTTGTATAACATAACGATCGTGATACTTAAGACCCTTTAGCAAAGGGAAAATCGACTTGGGAGCTAGTCTACAGGCCGAATGAACATGAAGGTTATTGGTACGTCAGTAAAGATGTCCGGAATACTTTTGAAGCCAATTCGGATTTATCGGATCGACTTAAACGAGAAGGGATTGAAAACTTTGTCATGTGCGGTATTCAGACCGAATGTTGTGTTCGATCGACTACCTTGGGGGCCGTAAAGAGAGGCTTCCAAAATGTCACACTTTTGTCCGGTGCTCATTCCACCTATCCTTCTCCCACGCAAACTCTCGATCAAATGAAAGAGACTGTGGAGATGGAAGTAAGGCAGAAAGGCGTGAAGATTATACCGTGGGAAGAATGGCTATCAGATCTCAAAAGACACAAATAAACAACAACAACGATATGAGGAGATATTAAATTGACTAATAAAACAGATGACAGGATATATTCATTACATGGTCGTGATCATTAAAGGGAGCATTCTTTCTCTATTGTTGACGTCCAGCAGCGGCCAAAGCAGCTCTTCGGCTTAGGCTGTTTGCATCAAAGTAAGGACGCTCGCCAACGCTGCATGCTCTTGTTCCTTCACGTGTAGCACCATCTAAATCATATGTTGCAGCATGTAGGGAAGATCGGTTATCCCAGATGGCCAAACTGTTTGGTTCCCAACGGAATCGTGTATGTAAGTCGTGGTTTGCGGAAATATGTTCGAATAGGTAATTCAAAACGTTATCACTTTCGTCAGGTGTGAGTTGATTGATGCGTTTCGTGAATTCCTTGTTGACAAACAATCCTTTCCATCCTGTCACGGGATTAGTACGAATGACTGGGTGAACGGCTGAGAGCGAATCACCAGTGTTTTCAGGTGATCCTCTCTGTTGACGGAATTTGAGGTTGTACTTTCTTGCAATGTCGGTGAAATATTGTCCTGTATGTGTGGCTGTCATGCCTTCCAAGAAACGTTGGTAAGCAGGACTCAAGCGGTCATATGCTTCGTATGCGGATGCCCATAGAGTGTCACCACCTCCTTCACGGGGGAAAGTACGAATAGACAAGCAAGCGTAGTCACTTGGAACGGGTTCAAATGTGATGTCTGTATGCCATAGATTCTTTTGCAATGGTCTTGATAGAACATCTCCAGGCTTCAAGTTAAGGATAGAATCACCATCACGTTTTGCATCTTTGTGGAAATCGAAATGGTTACTGACGACTGCGATTTCGTCACCGTGTTCTTGTCCTTCGTTGCTCAAAGGATGTACGTGAAGTGTGCTTGAGGCAGGTTTATGGGTAGACTTGCCCAAAGCATCAACCAAATCACGTTGTTCCTTAGCACTGATTTCACCAGCACGGAAGAATACAACTCCACGTTCAGCGATCAGATGTGCCAAAGCACGAATTTTTTCAGAATCTTGCATTACTTCTTGAATACTCAAGACTGGTTTGCCATCTGTAGAAACAGAACGGAATTCAGTTCCCGTGGCTGGAGTTGTGTCAAAGTTGGAGAATGTGCGTAAAGTATCAGAGATAAACGGCTGTTGAGATAATTTTTGTTGTTTTGCAAATTGATGGGTTGGTGGTGGTTGATGATGAGTTGAAGGTACATAAGCAGGCTGTTGTTGTTTATGACCGTGTGATACTCCTGATTCAACAATTGCAGAAGATGATTTTGTTGTGGAGATAAACCTTGTTGACCGTAGTGCAACGTTTGAAGAACGAGCAGAGGTTGATAATGCTGACCGTGAAAGTCGCAAAGCTGATGTTGAGGCAATCATTGTTGCTATGATATGGTGATCGTCAAAAGGATGACGATGTTGTTCTATAATAATTTGTTGTGGTCAGGAAGAAAGATTGGAATCGAACATAGACCTCCTTTCAAAACATTAACGGCCATCCGGGGAATGATTTAGATGCCCTCCATACAATGCACACGGCCGTACTCCTCCTCCTCAATCACACACCGCATATAGTCATACCGTGCTGATCAAATTCTCGATCTTTCGGGCAGTGAATCTTCCATTCCCTCTTTTACATGCTTCGGAAGCTGGGATGCGTTAGTCTATGAAGGGGTCCTGGTCACGCAATACAAAGGTAAAAATGGCTTATGGCCGTATGTATACTTATAACTCAGCCCATACTCGCTCTCCACTTGCATGACTTCTCCTTTGTATCATCTCATTCATCAGAAGCCATTATGACAACATCTCTGACCAAAAGCCATAAATTCACGCTACACTCAGTACCTGTAAGCCGGATTGATAAACAATACACTCAAAATTCGTAATTTCTTCTTCAAATCACGCAATACTTCAAACAAAGCACGCCTTATCTCCGGCTTCAGACGCCTTTGACGCGCTCGAAAAATCGATTGCGTGATTTTGAATTTTGATTGCGCAATTTCTCTACTGGCCGTTGTCGGCATTTGCTAAATCATGATTACTAAGCAAACCGTGAGCCGATGAAATGGTGATCGTCCAGAAGGGATGACCTCCTCTTCATGTGTGATGGTATATTCTATTCATAAGCCGATGTGGCTGAAATGACCTTTAACTCAGTGTCACTGTAGCAAGAGGTTGGACCTTACCACATCATTACTAGGCTCCAAGCAAGTTCAGACATTCATATTGATAAAGGATCTATTCTTGATATGAGAAATATTAACACATGATAAGATCAATGAGAGAAACTGAAGTCTATGTATATTAGGATTGATAATAAGAGTGAGTATAATGAGGGTTTCTAATTGCTAGTCTTCTTGCCACGATTAGTCAAAGGCTTAAACATCATCTTGAGACCTTTTGATGCAGGTCCAGTGATATAACCTGTTCCCAATCCGTAATGACGAATGCTGAAATACCAATAACAGAAGAATGCCAAGAAAACTTCGAAGAAAGTGAATCCCAAAAGAATGCCGTAGTTTTGCCATCTGAAACTGTATTCCGAACTGACACTTGCGGCAAATTGATCACCAACGGTAAATTGACAGAAACCACAATTGGACATTGCATCGCCATTGACCAATTGACCTCCGCTTGTTTGTGCCCATGCACCTGCATAAGCATCGCATGTTTGATTTGGTGGTGGGTTAAACCTGTACAAATCTTCTTCGCGGCACACAACAGGTTTATCGTGTAATACCGTGGCGATTTGACCTTTGACGTAATATGCTACTGGGTTGACATAGTATACGAATGAATGGAAAGGTTCTGGCATTTGCGATTGCGGAACAATGATACCTGCACCAATGAACAAGATCGGAAGGATGAAAGGCAATAAGTTTGCAGCAGTGACCGGCGTTGGACAAGAAGCAGAAAGCATAAAGGCGAATAAGAACATCCAAAATTGCATGGTAATAACGTTGAGATAGAAGAATCCTGCTGACCAAGAAGGTTGACTGTAGAACGGAATGAAATAAGAAGGCAAAAAGAATAAAACCGAACAAACAAGCGCAATCGGTACGGAGATCACCACAAAAGAGAAAACCAGAGCGTACCATGCGTAAACCTTTGATTGATTCTCTCGCACTTCGAATAACATTCTGATTGTGAAGAATTTGCTCAAAACGGTGTTGACCATAGCAGGCGTATTCAAAAGTACCAAAAATGTAATGAAAACACGATTTTGAAGATCTGTTGGCGATGTACCAAGATGTGCGAAACTTCCTCCGGCAACCAAACCCGTGACAAAGTTTGAGAACAAGACACCATAAGAGAAACTTGAATCTCTCCAAGCATCACGAATCTGACGGATGGTTACTTCCCTTAATTGAGTCATGATATTGGCGGAATATTGCGAAACAGAACGTGGATCAGATCGAGCGGGCCTGCTCTTGCGCTCTTCAACGATTTGATCGACATGTTGACGAACCTGGTGTGATTCGGGTGATTGTTGCCAGATGTTTCCCCAATCTTGATGTTTGCCTTTACCACCGCTTACGACCTCAAGGATATATTCGGCCGCATTCTCTTCCGGTGGACAAGCAGGTGCACCATTACGTTCAAAGTAATCACGAATCATCTCTGAACCACGACCACGTTCTTTACCAATTTGACCAAAGTAAGCAGTTTGACCTCCAGGTTTGAGTAAAAGAGCATTATCAAACGCTTCGAACAAAAGTGAAGAAGGTTGATGGATCGTACAGATAATTGCTTGACCTTCTTGTGCAAGTTTACGTAACAAACGAACGATCGAAGAAGCACCTGCGGAATCCAAACCAGAAGTAGGCTCATCAAGGAAAAGTAGAAGATCAGGTTTGGCAACCAATTCCACACCAATTGTAACACGCTTGCGACGTTCGACACCTAATCCTGCCCCTGGGGCACCGATCAAAGCATCTTGCAAAGGTCGTAATTCCAAAACGTCCAAAACATGTTCAACCGTTTTCATCTTTTCTTCATCAGAAACTTCAGCAGGTTGACGAAGACGGGCGGAAAATTCAAATGCTTCACGAACGGTGGATGTTGCCAAATGAATATCAGCTTGCAAAACCAAACCTGTTCCTTTTTGGAAACCTTGATCGAGTGGCTTTCCGTCGATCAAACGTTCACCAGAAACAACGCCTGCTACACCACGATCTGATAAAGCGCTCATCAATGTAGTCTTTCCAGCACCTGAAGCGCCCATCAAAGCTGTCAGTTCACCAGGTTTTACCCAACCGTCAACGTGTTGCAAAAGTTTACGTCCGTTGGCTAAATGCAAGTTAATATCTTTCCATGTAAAGATTGCACGAGATTCCATTGCTTCTTTGGAGAGATCGTTACTTGATTGTTTACTTGCGTTGACACCTTTTGTTTCTGAATCTTCTCTGCTTGGAGCTCTTGTTGAATCGCCTTGACCACCAGATTCGAGATCATTATTCTTGGGAGCAGCAGCGGCTTCTTCACCTTTGATTCTACGGCGAGCATCTGGTGTGTTTGCGTAAACAGTCACACCACCGCCTGATCCACCCCAATTGATCATTTCACTGGCCAAGATTGTTGGGATCAAATATAAAATCGAAAATGCCAAAAGGACTGCCCAATCATATGAAACATGATAACGCTTATATCCGAACGTTGTACCGAGATAATCCGCTGCTGTAACGACGATCGAACCTGGTCTTGATCCCGTCAAAGCACATGTTTGATAAGCAACATCGCGCACTTCGTTGAAAGGAACGATAGATTGAGCCTTGCAAGGAATATCGTATGCGATTTCATTTACCAACATACCCTCGAAAGCATAACTGATACCGTTTGAGTACGAAAGCCAAATGAGCCAATTCATTTGTGGTCTGCGAATAATATAACCAACAAAGATGATGATAATATTGAGCGACAAAACACTGAAACGAATTGCTTCGTTGAAACTTGGCGAAAATGCAGCAATCATACGATATAATGCTGTCAAATTGTAAGCAGCAAAGAAAACGTAAACGTAATAGATAAAGAATGCTCCTGCCGTTCTACGTAAATCAGCAATACCCCAAACGATGATCAAAGAAAGGAAACATTGAACCATCAAAAATGGAATATCAACGATTGCACGTGCTACCACAACAGCTGAAGGACGATGGAAAGCGAATTGACGATGACGCATTAACATTGGACGACCGGCAACTGCTTCAAAACCTTCGGATAATTGTAACCAACCGTTGAATAAACACATGAATAAGATCACACCACCTCTTGTGAAAACACCGGTAGAATCATAACCTTGACCGTAGAATAAAGCACTGATGATCAAACTTACACCAACGATTGTGAACAATTTAATTTGCATATCTTGTCGAGAACCCCATTTGATCAATAATTGACGCCAGATGCACGCTTTGATTTGTTCCCAATAACTGACAGTATAAGGTGATTTCTTGTTGACTCCAGTGTTTTTGTTACCTGCTGAAACACGTTGCAAGTTTTGTGCTTCTTCCTTTTCGCTTTGTTGAACGAGTTGATCGTAATTGGTAATTTCGTTCAAGAGGTTTGCATATAATTGACTGTTCTTCCAGTACTTTTCACGTTCTTCTGGTGTTTTTGGAACGGGTCCTTGGAAGTCTTTACGGATGACGGCTTGGTCAGGGTCAGTGACACCTGTAACGAAATCGGCAGTTGTTTCTCTGCTTGGTGCATCGTATCCCATTTCATAGAAAAATTTGCGTGCTTGATCACGGGGACCGTAATAGATACACCTTCCTTCATCTATAACAGCAATTCTATCGAAATAATCAAAGATAGATTCGGAAACTTGGTAAAGCGTTGCCATTGTTGTACGTTGAGAAAGATCGGTCATGATTCTCAAACTTCTGACGTAATCCAAAGCAGTAGAAGCATCTAAACCACGAGTACTGTTATCCCATGCAATCACAGAAGCAGATCCAATCAAAGCTTCAGAAATTGTAACACGTTTACGTTCACCACCTGAAACACCACGAACGAATGCATCTCCGACGATCGTATCACGAACGTGTGACATTCCAAACATCTTCAAGACTACATCTGTTACGGTATCGATGAATTGTTGACGTGTTTCACCTGATGGACGTTTTGATCGGGTGGGTGCTTTGTTCTTAAGTGCGAATTGCAAAGTTTGTCCGACTGTTAGAGTGGGGAAATGAATATCATCTTCATCACAGAAAAGTACTTCTCCACGCAAATTCTTTGAGATTTCTTCGGGAGTTAGACCACCATAGCTGATTGAACCAGTTTGTGAGACGTTGGTATGGTTACTTGCAGTCAATGCACGCAAAGCAGTCGAACAACCAGAGCCAGGACGACCAAGTACGAGTAACATTTCACCTGCGCGCAAAACACCATCATGACCTTGAATGAGAGGAGTAGAGGTGTTGAATGCTTTTCTGTTCATAAATCTACCAAAAGGTGGAAAGAAGAATGAAATTACGCCAAACGGATCTTTTGCTACTGTATTAAAGATTGCTTTTGGTAATGTTTTTACCAAAACACCACCACCTCCTGCACCCGGTGCTGTAACCTTAAGATCTTTCCATGAAACACCAACGGGTTTTGAAGGATCGATATTTTCTTGTTCTAATTGATAATAACGTGCTTTGATAAATGTTGCTAGATCAAATTCATCATCGGACGCATTCATTGTTTTTTCACTTGATGAAATTTGACCTTCTTCTTCTGAACTTTGTTGTTCGGCAATAGAAGCATGTTGTGTACCTCTACTTATAGTTTGTGCAAGTTTACGTCCGCCTGCCAAAATGCCACTTTGACGATCGGCACTTTGACTTCTGCCATGCTGTTTTTGACTTTGTCTACTTGTTTGACGTGCAATTTCGAAATCTGCTCTTGCTTGATTCACATTGACGGGTTCACCACGTTGTTCTTCACCCCATGTGCCCGTACTTGATTGTTGTTGAAGAGGCTGACTTCCGGCAACGTGCCTCTCTTCACTCATCACTTCTTCCATTGGTGATTCAACTTGAGGTGCAGACGTCATGATGGACAAAAGGGATTCAATGCCCTTCTGATTGCAATGAGAGGTCTTTATATGGAAGTTATAAAAGTGGGTTCAAGATCAATCGGATACAATTTCCGTAATCCATTTAAAAACAATTCACCGTATCAATCTCACACTTTCTATCCGATCTATATAGAAGCAATTTAAAATTTTTGTGTTGTTTCTATTTTATCTTTTTCTATGTATTATCGGGGTTAAAGCAGTATGACTGTGTCCGTGGATGTATGTAATGCTTCGTTAGTGGAGTGCGATTGTTGAATTTTATAAGATGCCGAAAGGATAGGGTGCTGTATGATTTGAATTGAATTTCGAAAGCAGGCAGGGTTGATGCAAAAGAAAGATTTACAGCGCAGTGGATGCATACAGAATAAAATTCATTGTTTTGATTTGGACCTGGATTCTCTCTTGCCACAGATTACGGCACAATATCCCATCAAGTAAAATAGAATCGGAGTTTATGCGGGAACACACACACAACATTCGAAGCAGATCGGATTTAGCCAAAACTCGGACGCGCGTCATTTCACCAACGAGGCACTATGCTAGCGTGCTGCAGGGTGAACTAAACTCCGCCAACGCTTTCGTCCGTATGATTTTGATGACTAGTTTACCCATCCTGCCAAGCAACGAGAATGCGGCACAATCAGTTAGGCGAATGAACCTCTTTTGGGTGCATTCCAAACGGGCCAACAACACTCTATCTCCATTTCTATGCTCAGCAATGATAACAAAGGATGTGATCAAAGCTCACACACCTAGTCATACCCACAATCTCCTCGGACCCATGGAGGCTATCATACTGACATTAATTTGATGCTAAGCAAAACTTTAAAAAAATGTCCGAACAAAGATGACTTTCTTTAGCTTCCTTGTCATTCATGCAATTACACTGAATACTTTTCTATAGAATACAATCATATCTGTGTGCACGTGCATCTCTTACAGACTGGTCGCCTGCTTCGTAGTCTCTTCCGCATCACGGCCACCATCTTCGTCAGAAGGGAATGAATCTTCGCTAATAAAAGCAGCAATGACCGTCCTTCCTGCAAATTGTCTACCAGCGATTGCTTGTAATGCATTTTGGCAAGCTTGGGTATCGTCAAACAAAACATACACTTTTCCAACACCTTCACGTTCCGTTGAACTTTCTTCTTCTTCACGTTTGATTTGTTTCCATGATTGTGCTGCTGATCCTTTACTAGCCGCTTCCGGTCTTGGAATACGCATATCCACCACTCGTCCATACCGAGAACATTCATCTCGCATATCTTCAACGATCTCTTGATATTCTTGTGCATCGACAAGCTCTTCTGCTGTAACGCAATTGAGCAAGACCATAGCTTTCGTTGGCTCTCCTGCACCAGCAAGATTTTCAGATGCTACACCTGCTCCAATTCCATTTGCGCCAGTCATGAGTGGTGCAGCATTGGCTCCAGTGATTGTTCTTTGACCGGTACTCGTTCCACCAACGCTTGCCCTTTGCACTAAAAGCTTTTTATCTCCTAGCTCCATATCATTCAAACCTTGAATGGCAAGATCCGTAATATTTGTATCGACATATTCACAAAATGCGAATCCTTTACTGGCTCCGTTTACGCCTGCTTCTCGTACCAAATTGAAACTTCGTAAATCACCAAATGATTTCAGCAATTCGATCACTTGGTCTTCTACCAAATAGGTCGGTAATCCTCCAATATAGATCTTGTTGGGACCATCTGGAACATTTGTAGAAATCACACCTGGAACATGTTTATTAGCGGGAGGATGTGGGTCCGGTCCGATATAATCCTTTGGTCTGCGAATCTTGATACTTTGACCTTGGTAGATAATACCGTCAAACGACATTGCATTCGTTGCTTCTCTCGTATCGCGCAACTCAATAAATGCATACCCTTTCTCTCCATTCACCTGCGCTGCAATCGCTGGATCGCCTTCTTCGATGGCAAAGTTCATCTTGCGCATTTGGTCGTTGAAGAATCGAAGTAGACTGTCCTCTGATGCATGCATACCGATATTTCCAACATACAATCTTCTAGCTTGTCTATTAGCTTGCGTTGCTCCCGTCGTGGCAGCGCCATTAGTTGATGCATCTCCTCCTGCTGCGCTGCCTGCCATGGGAACAGCTGTGATGCCACTTGATGCAGCTCCCTCCGCACCTCGGATCAAGCTAGCACCTTGCACTCCAAGTGTTCTTGTCTGTCCTGGAATGCCAAACAATCCCGTCGCTTTTGCTTGCATAGGTGTCATGGATTCGTATCCATCCGGTGGGAGATCCCATTTGCTATTCTTACGTACCCTTTCACTGATCGGCCTTGTGCCTGGAGGGGTCGGACTTCTTCGGATGCTAGAACTTGCTTCTTGTGATGGTCCATCTCTCCATCCTGCTCCACCTCTTCCTCTTCTATCGTCTCGCCGCCCTCCATAGCCTCTATCATATCGATCATGATGGTATCCTCCACCATTTCCGCGATAATCGTAATAGTATGGATCACGATCACCTCTTCTTGAGGAATATCCATTTCTACTTGATCTTCTATCTCTGTCTTCATCATAGTATTCACCTCTATGCCTTCGTGAGGAATGTCGATCATCATCATCGTATCTCCTTCTGCTCTCCCGATCTCCTCCTCCGTTTCCATTGACGTTCATGCCATTATTTCTGCTCGATTGTCTCTCTTCACCACGAAATTCTGCTTCAATCCCTTGCAAGAATGCTTCTGTGGCTTCATATCCGTTACTCATTTCTTATTCAGATGATCGAAGTTGTTACCATAAGAGAGAGAAGGTTTAAAGCTGTGTATGGCTAAATGCATGAATTGAATGGGCGGAGATTCTTGGCGCGTCTTTAAAAGTTGACAGCTATCACGTGTTACTAAATTTTGTTTTTTTAGCAGAAAGGCCGGCAACCCGGATTTGTCATCTGAGAAGGAAGAAGTGATGTTTGCTTACATCAAGTTTATGAAATAGCATACATTTAAGGTGGAGCCAAGAACAAAGACTTTGACAGGTTGATATTATATGCTATTCTCACAATTCCATCACCTTTCCTAAAGAACACGAATAATAAGATGGCATCTCTACGAACTGTCGGACCTTCATATCGGACAGCTATGTCCATGTCAGCACCACTACTATCAGCTGGCAGGAGGAGAGCATTTCAAACAAGTGCAAGAATCTTGGCCGAACAGGTAAATGATACAAAAACACAGAATAAACCACAATCATCAATCGTTTCGCCATCTCCCCTTTCACCTTCTACACCTCCACCAAAGGCACATAGTAAGACTACCGTTTTCTTTGTCACCTTACTTGGTCGCTTGATGGGTTACAACTCCACAACTTCGAGTGCAATCCGAATCTCGTCAGAGTTGTACGATAGATGTGCTGAACAGGCAGAGAAAGAGGCAGACTTCTGGTATGGAGGTGAGTATGGCTGTTCTATAAGTATGACGTCATATGTGAGCTAACATCTATCTATCCCTCTAGAATGCGGACTACCTCGATCTTACCAAAGCTGGTTCCAAATTACAAATTTACACGTTCACCTACTTCTTACCCGATTCCGTGCCTTACAACCCCAATCTACAGCACATGCCTACTCGCAAGAATTGATCAATCACTACTTCATCGATGCAGAAAGTAGGATGCGTGAAAGATTTGGCGTCCAGACATCAAGATTGGTAAAAGGTTATTTACGTGAAATGCATTCACAACAAAGAGGTGCAATCTTGGGAATGGATGAAGCATTGTCGTACAGTATCACAAAAGAAACCGATCGTGAACGATTTGCAGATGCAGATGCCGCTTTGGCAACCGCACTTTGGCGTAATTTGTGGGGTGCTGGTGGTTGGGGTGAAGGTGTTGGTGGAGTGAAGAGAAAGATTAGAGGAATTGATCGATTCTCCGAAGAAGAAAAAGCAGCACGTGAAAAAGCCGGAAAGAGTGCAAAAGAAATCGATGAAGAAGCTGAACAAGGTGTACCAGAATTGGCTTTAGACGTTGGAGCAAAACCATCCGAACGGGAAGATTATAGTCAAACTGCCACAAGCCAACTTCCCTCTGATAATCTGCATTTTGCCGTCGCACTGCAGCGTTTGGTATCATGGTACAGACGGGAAACGGTTCGCCTAGGCAAGATTTCTAATGAGGATTTGGAACGTGGAAGGGTAGGTGCCGAAGCGGTAAACCAGAAACATTCTAATAATATGCCACAAATGCTTGAAGAGCTGAAGAGACTGCCAAGTGTGGCCAACTTTTCAAAGATTTGATGGGAATACTTGTACATTTTTTGTTATGATTGAATGGGATGATTTAGAAACAATGATGATGATGATTAGTAACTTTTTTAGTCTGTGCATTTCGCATTAATCAATCTTCCTAATGCCGATCAATAAGTGAGGCTATACACGCGTATTAATGGGCGTGTTCGTAATTGTCGCGTGCATCTAAAGCCAAAATGCATTCTTAGAACTTTTGACCTTAACCCCATCAAGAAGGTGATCAAGATGGCAAGTACAGCAAAGACAAATGGCAGCTCATATGCTGCTGCAGAAGGCAGCAATGGAACAAGCCACACCATACAATCACATCCAAGACATGCATATGCAAAAGCAATTCTAGGCAAAGAATTATTCGGAAAGATTGCATCTTCACGTATTTTAGTAGTTGGTGCAGGTGGAATTGGATGTGAATTGCTGAAAAATTTAGTCTTGGTAGGGTTTGGACATGTGGAAGTGATTGATTTGGATACGATCGATCTTTCGAATCTCAACCGACAATTCTTATTCCAAAAAGTACACATCGGAAAACCTAAATCTTTGGTTGCTGCCGGTACCGCTCTACAATTCAACCCTTTGATCGACATCAAACCTCATCATTCGAACGTAAAGGATACAAGTCAATTTGGCTGGGAATACTTTGAGCAATTTGATGTGGTCTGTAATGCTTTGGATAACCTGGACGCACGAAGATGGGTGAACAAGATGTGCATCATGACTGGAGTGCCATTGGTGGAAAGTGGTACGACAGGATTCTTGGGACAAGTACAACCGATCGCAAGAGGAACAAGTGAATGCTATGATTGCGTGACAAAGCCCACACCAAAGACTTACCCTGTCTGCACGATTCGAAGTACACCTTCAACGCCTATTCATTGCATCGTTTGGGCAAAAACATACCTATTCCCACAATTGTTTGGCGCTGAAGAGGAAAGCGAAGATGCTGAATTGGACAAAGCTTTACAGGATGGGGAAAACGCTGATGAAGTCGCCAACCTGCGTAGAGAAGCAAGGGAAATGCGAGCTTTACGTGATAGTATCTTCCAAACGATCAACACAGCTGAACAAGAAGAGGACGATCTAAGCAAAAGAGTGTTCAACAAGGTCTTCAAGGCCGATGTAGAACGATTGCTGAGCATGGAAGATATGTGGCGTAAACGAACAAAACCTGTGCCGCTTGACTTCGACGCGGCAAGTCAGCAGGTGATCAATGGCGATGCTGCATCACAAAATGGAAATGGGGCTGCAGCTCCTCCTTCCTTGCGCGATCAAAGGGTTTTGTCACTGCAAGAAACTGTTGGGCTATTCGATCAAAGCTTGAATCGATTGGCCAAGCGTGCAAGAGATTTGGATTCGCTCAAAAAAGAAAGCTTATCTTTTGACAAAGATGATATCGATGCTATGGACTTCGTTACCGCCACAGCAAATTTGCGTAGTCGAATTTATCACATCGCTCCACAATCACGCTTTCAAGTGAAAGAGATGGCTGGAAACATTATCCCTGCGATTGCATCTACGAATGCAATCATTGCCGGGGCACAAGTCCTGCAAACGTTGCATGCTTTACGCAGAAAGTGGAGCGATGCCCGATTCGTTTCTCTGAACCGTACAAATGCGTCCAGACTGATAAGCAGTACTCCTTTGGAGAAGCCCAATGCAGGATGTGGTGTATGTCAAGATGACTATGTACGAGCAAAGGTGGATATCGATCGAACCACATTGGCGGATGTGAAGGAAGCAGTTTTGCAATCACGCGAAGAAGGCGGTTTAGGATTTGAAGTAGAAGGTATGGAATTATACGAAGGAGCACGTTTGTTGGCCGATGAAGACTTTGATGATAATTTGCCAAGAACGCTTGCAAGTTTGGGCATCACGCTTGGTATGATGATCACATGTGCAGATGAAAATGGTATAAAGGCAAATGTGAACATTTACATGTCTGCACGATCTAGCGGCGATGCTGAAAAGGTAGACTTTGGCGATGTGAACAAATTGCCAGTCTTACGGGCTAAGCCAACACTCAAAAGACCTCATCCAGATTCGGATGATTCAGATGATGTCGTGGAAGAAGTACAGGCGCCTGAAGGTTCGAGTTCCGCACCAAAACGCAAGAGAGAAGATGAAGAAGCATCTGCCGAACAAAAGAAAGTTCATGCTAATGGCGATTCAAATAAACGGGCAAAAGTAACACCACACACCGGGGCTAGAGAAGAAGAAGCTATCGAGCTAGACTGAGACATAATAGAATTACTTGATTGTACATTTCCGAAATCTTTCTACTTCATACACATTATTGTACAAAACTTCATCTGTTGTAACCGATCATTTCAATTCATCTTTGAGAACTTCTTTGTTTTCGCATTGTGATGAATCGCATCTCTGTTCCTCCGATCACTTGTGTGCCAGTTTTATTTTGCTGTGTTGATTCTGCTGATCCTGTTCGAACACGCTTTGCCATTCCTAATCCTCTTCCCCCAATAGCAGGCTTGACATTCTCCTTCTCGGTTATCGTTGAAGGCAGATTTGTTTCTTCATTACGTAATCGTTTCATACCGATCGATTTGTTTTGCATTTGTGGAGTTGATTCATACATTTCCGATATCGTTGCCGGTCTAGAAACGTAATTGAAGGTTGTCTCTTGGCTTTCATTGCCTGGCGCAGGATCATAAGCAGCCGTTCTAGAAGAGTCACTGTGAGCCATCATATGCGGGTTACTCATGACGGAATTATTGATGGAAAATGAATTACCTGCCATACTTAACGAATGTTCCAATGTTTCTTGTTCACGTTGTCTAATCATTCTTTCACGTTCTTGTACGATCGCTTCTTCTTGTTGTTCTAGCGCTCTACAAAGCTCCAAGTATCGTTGTCTTTGCTTTTCAACTTCTGCCATCTGTTTACCCCGTTCTTCTGCATCTTCACTCTTTAATGCGTCCATACTTTGTATCTCACGTTCATATTGATCGATGTGGGATTCTAGCTGTTCGTTACGTTCCATCGCCTGGGCCAACAAGTCCTGTAGCTTGTTCAACTCTTCTTCGTCCACCACACTATTGTGAGCGATAGCAGTCACCTCTCCTACAAGATCACTTTCGTGTAGTGTAGAAGTAGAACGTACGCTTTCGTCTTTGGCTGCGTTCTCCTTTGTGTTGATTTCATCTGTTGAAGAGATTGACTCACGCATCCTTCGACGTGCTTCTTGAATACGTGCCCATATCCTTAATGATTTGCCTTGTTTTAGCTTTCGGACATGCGTTTCGATTGTATCGTTTGTTCGATTCAAGACCACGACTGCTGGATGCATTGGCACTGCTGATGATCGTGTTGAACTTAGGGCCGCACTATAATCAGCCTTTAGCATACCAATGCTCAAAGGTGGGAACAGATCTCGTTGATACAAAGGAGCATCATCAAGCTTTCCAGTGTTGGTCGTTGCTGAACCATCTGCATTCTCTGCCACCAAATCTTCCATATGTGAAGCTGCCCTTCTGGCCAAATTGATACATTCGGTAGCCATTCTTTTTAATCCTGCATTGTAGTCCATCAGCTCGCGTCTGCGTTGTTCAAGTTCTTCGATCTGTCTTCTTCCGATTGCAGCATCATCAATTTCATTGTCCAATCGTGATCTGCGCGATGGCCCAGTCGAAGAACCAGGTAGGTAGACTTTTGGAAGTTGTGTTCGCAAGCTCTTTATACTCTCTTCTGTGAATTTGGCTCGCAGTCTTTCCATCTGTCGCTCTGATGCAAGCTTTTGCTGTGCAGCCTGTTGTTTGATCACAAGAAGATCCTTTCTTGTCTTTTGTAGTTCTTCTTTTGTCTTTCTCAAGGTGGTATTCGACACTTTCAGTTCCTCGTTCAAGGTTTCAACATTGGCTTTGCTGGCTTCTAATTTTCGTTCGCATTCAGCCCGTTTCTCTTCATCCTCTCTCCAAAATTTCTTTGTCCTTTCTACTGAGCTTTCTAGTACACGATTCTTGCTTGCTAGCTCTTCACGAAAGTCTGCATCTTTTTGTCTTTGTGAAACGAGAGAATGCAATAAATTTGCAATGCTCTTTATACTTGAAGAAGATAGTCCGTTTACATCTAATGGTTTATCGATCAATCCTCTATCTACTAGTAGAGCATTCACTTGTTCAAAAGCTGCTCCTGATTTCTCATCGTTGTTTCCCGTCATGATCGGTTGAAGGAGATGCTGTTCAGATGGAGGAAGTGAAGTGTTGATCAAGTGTTGGTTAGATGCAACACGTCTTCTTTCTCTTTAAGCAGAGCGCGTTTTAACACCTTTGAAAAGCGCGTTATGTCACGCGGCGACGCAGGAGACTTGACTCCCAGTTTCTGTGTAAAGTATCATTTTATGCGCCGGCGATTGATAGCATATCATTGCGGACGTATGCCAATAGATGAAAAGATTGGCAACTCGGAGCTTATCATAAATGCAGATCAAAGTCAAAAATAGCACAATTGTGCCGTGTAACTTGCTCCGAATGCATGCACAAAAAGTCGCAATATGCTCAATCTCAGCAATAAACACATTTGTAAAAATACTCACGGAAGCGACAACCCACTTTTCATCTTCATCACGACCATAACCGCACTCACACAATGAGACGATTATTCAGTAAACGCACAAATGAAAAAGTTGATGCTGTCATCGATCCGTACACTTTTGATGAAGACAACAGCAGAAATGATCACACACAAGAAATACTAATGGGTCACACAAATGGCTCCGCATATCAAGACATCTCAATCGGAGCAAGTAGAAGACGACCTGTACTTCGACGCATGATGAGCTTGGAATCGGATTTTCGCATTAGTCGTGGTGAGTTGAGATTGCAAAAGTGCTTTTAGACCTGCGTAGCTAACATTTATTTCATTTCCTCAGTGGATCTTTCACCTCTTACGCAAGACGATGCAAAAGTGCCAGCGCAATCTGAAATCACGAATGTTCCTCATGAAATCACAAACGATCTTCAGAAGCCTCACGAGCCCATTCGCCGCCAAAACTCGACCATCTCCTTTGCGCACCCTTACGCCGCTGAATCTGAGAACTTCCGTGATATTTCTTCTGCAGCTAGAGCTTATTTGCCCAATAGCACTTCCTTTCTCACAACTACCACAAGTGATGCTCGATTATACAATGGTCAGATGAGCAGCAAGCCATCTTCTTTTCAGCTAAGTAGCAAGCCTAGCGGAGAAATGAACTCGTGGCCATCAAGTATTCTCATGCACCCACTCAACACGATATCACAGAAAGCAAATGCCAGTTCTCCAATTCGTCGAAAGGTACCACCTTCCGACCAGATCAGTTGGAGAGAATCGCTAGAACAACAGCTCGGCTTAGAAAGTGAGATCGATAAGCAGGATTCATTTTACAACTTGGATCATTTCTCTGACCATGACATTGTTTCAAAAGATGCTGTCAGATCAAGCACTCTTGCTATGCACCGAAAACGTTCGGTTCCTGTTTTGAGAGGCGTATCACATGCAAACCGACAACGACAGTCTATGCTCGTCTCTTTGGCACAGAATGAGCCAGAAGTTGACGAATTTGGACAATTGATTACACCGCCCGCCAGCAGACTAAAACCTTACTCGACCAAAGTGGTGGCAAAAGCTGGCGTATCTACCCAAAATGACCCGGAGCCTGGTTTATTTTCTTCTCAAAGATCCGCAAAAACTACCAGAGCAAGCAACAACCGTGACACGTTTGGCATTCTCATTGGAGGGCGTAAAGAGACTTCGCCAGATCTACCGTGTAGCCTGCCACAAACGCCACCGAGGATTGGCGCCATGGCTTGTCCGCCCACACTTGGCTTAGATACGCCAGCATTGATTGGCACACAAAGCACATTTGGTGAAACGCCTCAAAGGGAAATTAGAAGAGATTTTCTGCATACGTCCATCTCTTCCTCAAGATCAACGAGGAGTAGATTGCGCATGAATGATGCAAAGGAGATCGTTTTACAGCCTTCTCCACATTCGAGCACATTTCGATTTCCTGCTCTGTGTATAGCTGCAATGGACAGAGCGGAAGCAATGGCAGAAGCTCTTGCTTCACCACATTATACAGATAGAGCACAGCTAGGTAACCATTCACCTTCGATTTCTCTCGCCTCAGCTCGTTTTGAACGACCGTCGACTGCTGCTTCACAAGTATCGGAAGAGCAAGATCATGCTATGCAAGTCTTACTTGGCTCTCCTATAAAGCTGACGAGCGAAGAGCCTGGAGGTGCACAATCAAATTTGAAGAGCAGATTCAGTTCTTCGTCGGACTCGTCTTTTGTACATTGTGAGTCCTCTGATGAAGAGAGCAAAATTGAAGCTCCCGAAAGAACTTTGATGAAGGAAGCAAAAAGTGATACGCACATCATCATGATGGACAGGTCTAGAAAGCCACGCTCGCTCTTTGAGAGTGAGAGCATGCCGACTGTCAAGCTGGAAGCGATTGATCAACTCCCAGTGACGCCGCCAAAGCGAGCGGTAGAAATCGTCAAGGCGGACAAAGAGGAAGCTCAAAGGCCAGATGTTGAACGCGCAAGTCTTGCTGTAACAAAACCAGTTCCAAAGAGTAGTCTTGTGGTTTCAAGCATTATCGAGCAGCAAGAAGAGGTAATGCAAAGATTAAGGAGGAGCAGCAAATGGAGTCCCGCTAATATCAAAGGACTTTCCCCTACCTTGGAAGCGAGATCACGTTCTTCTTGGACATGGGCTGCCTCCACTGATGTGGAACTGGACTTGCCGAGTGATCAAGAAGTCCAAGATCCCTCAAGCATGGATAAATGCGTGGATTGGGATTGCAATGCTGTGTCTTATGACGCAAATGCAGCTCTCAATCCGATTGTAGATGTAAATCGCAAGCCAAGCTCTTTAACATGCAGTGAATCGCAGACCAAAGCAAGCTCAGACGGAAGCCATGACGCAAAAACTCAAAAGAAGTCATACATGGTTGATAAGGCCGTACAGACAGACGCTTGTCCACCTCCACGACCAGTTCGTAATGAAGCACGAAGAGTGGACTCGAAAAAGACTCAGAAAGCTGTGACTCCAATCAAGCCTCCAGACATTTGCATCTTGCTTGCTTCACCGCGAAGAGGTGACGATCAGAATCCACTGGATGGCTTGAGCTTGAACGTTGGGTTGGGCATTGTCTCAAACGAAGAGGATCCCAATGAAGGCACAATGGATGAATCTTTATTGACACCTAGGGCTATTGAAGATCCAATTCCCATACACGAAGGATCAAATACGACTCTCGAGATTTTCGATCAAGAAATGGATGCGTTAATTCAAACACTTTCTTCAACATTTACGCCAATCGCTAAAAAGTACAATGGCATTCCTCTGACATCGGTGAGTGAAGAAGGTTCGACGGAAGTACTCGATTCTCCACCTTTGTCATCATCTACTACCGTGACAATCTTACAAGCACCACGAGAGAGCACAACAACGGCCACCATTGAAGCAATGATTGAGCAATTGCGAGTTGCACAACGTACGCCCGAAAGATTGGTATTAAACAAAGGTGGAAGAAGACACGAAAATAGAGCACAGCAGGATTAGCATGCGATTTTCCATCATTAGTAATGTTCATCTCACAACGATTGACACTGTAGCCATAAAAGCATTTTCTTAATCCATATCAAATACCCCAAATAGAGATACCGAACACGGGCAGAAAAAGACCACATTTCAGAGAATGAGATATAATTAATCTTCCATCAAAGGATGCCTTCTTGCACTCGATTGAAACGGGAGAAGCAAACGACTGTATTGTCGTTTACAACTATTCAAAGAGTGTTTGAATAAGGCTGAAGATGGGTATGTGAATTTTCACATATCAACTCGATCACTATCTTCCCTTTCTTTAAAGCAGTATTGTAATAGATTAACGGATTTAATAATACGTCCTAGCGTATCAAGATGTACAAATAATTTTTTCTCCGGTCTGGCCGTCTTTGAGCTCCATATTGACCTTTCTATACACTTGCCGATCTCTTTTTTCCTCTTGCGGCAGAAGCCGAAGAACTTCCTTTTGGTGGAACGGCAGCAATTTTCCTTCTCTTTCCTTTATTGAAAGCGTTTGCTGCAGGAAGTTCTCTACCTAGAGGATCCTCTTTCTTTACTTCATAAATACGAACGATCCAATTTTCACTCGTGAAAGCTTCATCAAGATAATCCAACGTTGGCGAAACGCTTGCTGCTTGTGTTCCACGTACCCGGTCCATTCCTGGCCTTCCGTTGAACAAATCATTAAATCGATAATAACTCATCTTGTACATCAAACTTTCTCTCATCGTCTTTGTTGCACCATCATCAATTCTATATTGACCTTGTGGAGTGAAGAAATCCACTTCACGAATCTCTTCTGGCCAGATACCTTGAGCAATTCGAATCATCCACAAGAACTTGTTGATATCATCACCACTGTAACCCAAAAGACCACCAAACATCACCAAAACATAATCTACATCATGTTTTTGCATGATCGAATAAGCCTTATCTTCGGGAGAGGACATTGCTTTTCCAACAGTGGCGATATGGGTATTGTTCCAGGTATTGTTGTCAACCAATGTTGTACGGTCACTGTACAATGCGATTTGATATCCATAATCCCACCAAGACATAATCTTAGCATCAGACGCTGTATTGCGTCGTAGCCAATCATATGCTTCCCGGAAGTCATCGATGATATGTTGACTGCCATCAGGGTTACGCGAGGCCAAAACGATTGAAGGTGATGAATAAGCCGTTGAAGTGACGAAAGTGCAATGCAAAACGTAAACAAACAGCATCAAAGTTGTGTACACCACCACAACAGCACGACTGTCTAGACCGTATATTCCCAACATTTTTGGTGACTGTCTAAAGGACCAGGGCTTGCCTGCTTCTTCAGAAGGAACAGCAGATCCGTTGACATGTCCGTCAATAGCGCTGTCATCGGTAGCATCGGTAGAATCAACAGACGAAGAAGGTCCTGCCTTGTTTGATTTGCGTCCTGACTTGCCCTTGCTTCTTGTTTCATTCTCAACGAGCTCCTCAGCAGTTGACTCAGCTGATTCTGGCTCTTGTGGATCCAAGTATGCATCCAAAAGGGCACTGATGGTGATTGCCGCTGTAACACAAACGACTGGTGTAAGAGTCAACATCAAACGAACCATGACGGATGCGAAGTAACTTGCCATAACAGCGTAAATGATGACGAAAATATGTTCATCGCGCAATTCACGGAACATCAAATAGACTCCCGCTGGGAATAACCAAACCAACATTTGCAAATCGAAAAAGAATGCTGGCCATGCTGGTGGTTGATGTTCAGATACGGAAGAGATGATTGGAATGTGCTTGCGTGCATAGCCTGTATCCCAAAGAGAGTAGAATCTTCCTGACCATGGTGCAATGTAACCTCCGTATGTCAAACCAACGAGAGCGGCAAAGCTGGCAAGAAAGACAAACCCGACAAAGAAGCGTAGCAATAGAGTGAATTGCTTTGAAGGAACGTGCGATCGAACCAGTTCGACAAAGGCGACCAATTGAAGCAAACCAAACACTCCCAAAGCGGCCATATGTTCACTCGTTCTGAGGGGTAAGAAACCGACAAAAGGAATTTGCATACTTGCCAGTGTGCCCACGATATAGAAGGAGCTGTATGCGACATACAAACGTGTGCTAAAGCGGCCCATCAAGACCAAGACAAACGCATGCAGAGGCAACATGTTTGTGATAAAGACGTATCCACCCCATGAAGCGACCATGTAAAAGTAAAAGATGGCGGTTACCACACCCCAGACGGCGGATCCTTCCTTCAATGCTTTGATCCAGAGATAGAAAGTAATCATGAGCAAGAAGATGGCAATTGCTTCGTTATCGTATGATCCAGCAACTGAACGAGAAATGTAACCTGGTGCAATAGCGATAAATGCACCTGCCAATAATCCTGCCGATTCATCTTTCATCGTCTTTGTGAACATGTACGTTGACCAAGCAGTCAAACCTGCAAAACCAGGAGCCAAGAATACACAAACATCACGAATATGGACGTTTATGTTGAAAAAGTGTAAGAAGTTATGAATTGCACCGCTTGTAGCCATCAAACCGGGGTAGAGCGTTCCACCTGCAGCTCTTCCTAAAGGATACCAAGCCGTTGGATCGAACCAATTCCAAAATCTATAATAACCATCAATTGTTAAAACACGAGAAGCACGATAATTGAATGCAGGATCGAATTCGTGAATGATTGATTCATGTCGAATAACGGCAAACAAACGAGAAGCAACTGCAGCGCCAAAAACGATGGCAAAGATTATTCCTTTTAAAGAATAGTCAACTGCTGCAAATGTTCCAAATGACCAATTTACCGGAGTATAAGCAGACCGCATACTTGTGTGTAAGTAAGTGTCTGATAGTTGGAATGGTAAGAGAGGGGTTATCCCGTTTGCATTTGATGATCTGGAAGCTTTGTCCGCACGAGCCTTAATTTCCAGAACATCTGCTGGCCTTCAATGCTTCAAATGCAAGTCGGCACACTTTTACGCTAGCTGGCGCTTATGAGGGAACACGTGCAAAAGGTCCGTGCGGGCAAGCTCTTCATCATGCTATTTCCAATGACGGTGATCTTTCGAACATGTGGGGAACATTGAAGATGTCGTACGATGCTGATCATCAGGTTGTAAAGAAGGATGGGTGATTCTTTGAGGCTGTTTAAACTTATGATTCTACAGTATATACCCTACTGAAATAATATTATAGGGCGGGATGCTGGCAAGCTGATCACTTTAATGAATACAGATCAACATGTGTGATATTAAGAGCACGTCACACTCACACCTCTTCAAACGATCATTCTCCTCATCAAGATGTCTTGCTATTTGTCCTCGGGTAAATGGCATCCTAGCAAATGTCTGTGCGTTTAAAAATGACCTGACGATCTATGTTGCCCAGTCATACGCGTGTGTTTACACCCCAGCATGCCAGGCTTAGAACATGCCCTTACCGATTTATCATTGTACAATTGCTGCTTACACAGAGAGTGCGGCCGTAGCCTTGTGTTCCGTTTTGGCTGCTGCACCGTGCATTCATGTGTATATGCGTGTGTGTGTGTTTTGTCGATGCTGTCATATTCCAATAAGGGGGAGCAATCAATTCTTCACAACTCCTATTGCCATCATCAACCACAAATATCTGCTTCAGTCGATTCTGACTCCTTTTTGTCACTGCAAGCGCACAAAGAAGGCGTCAGGAAGAACTATACAATCAATTAAGCCTAGGGAGAATTATTCTCTCTCAATTCGTATCTTCTGGGCTATCGGCGATCAAAAATAATAAAAATCCTTATCCGAGAACAACGCGAGAAAAAAGGAAAAGACAAATTTGATCGCCAACGAAAAAACGCCCGCTGAGCTCTTATTTACGCCTTTCTCTTTGAAAAGCAGGAAAAAGGGTGTTTTGTTTGGTTAAAGTAAGGCACAGTCAAGAATACCAAGTCTTGTTGCTTTTGTAGTCTTATCTTCGTCAGGAAAACATCTGTCATTCTACTATAGGTCAAAGACAAGCAAGCAGACCAGTTGACTCTCTTTGCAAGACCAACTTCAGTACTTTAAACTCTCAACATACTCTGTCAACATGGAGAAAGAGGGAGATCCATCCGGCGGATGGCGATTCGCACAATGCTTTGGTGATAAGGGAGAGGTGGAGGAGATAACAGAGGGTGAGTAGAATGCTATTTGAGTTGTGTTGGGAGTATGGGCTGGTGTCAGAGAATCATCTCTGATGCTGCAATAGTGTGTCCTTTGTGGTAATGCCAAATTGTACGGAGATCAAGGCTCTTGCCCGCAGTATCTAGCGAATGCATAGCATCACTGAACCTACCAGTACCAATCTATACTGGAAGCGCCGCACGTTACACACTCTTGTTTCACGCATACTGATCCAATCTTCCTTCTCTTCCTACAGCCGACATTATATCGACCGTTGAGTTCGACCACACAGGTGACTATTTGGCTACTGGAGACAAAGGAGGGAGAGTCGTATTATTCGAGAGGAATGAGTCGGTAAGTATCGATGCATGTAAATGCAATATTGTGAAAGTTTGCTGATCTTGTACACCATTCCAATCTCATAGAAAAAGGGCTGCGAATACAAGTTCCACACAGAGTTCCAAAGTCACGAGCCTGAGTTTGACTACCTAAAATCACTAGAAATCGAGGAAAAGATCAACAAGATCAAATGGTGTCGGAGACAGAATGCAGCACATTTCCTATTAAGCACAAATGGTGAGTAGCAATGCAATGTCGACATGAAGCGCAGTATGCTAACTTTCTTCCTTGCAAACAGACAAAACGATCAAACTTTGGAAGGTGTTTGAAAAGTCTCTGAAAGTGGTGTCAGAAAACAATTTGAGCAGTGATACGTTCCGGAATGCATCACATGCTTACAACCCGGAAAATGTTCATCCTAGTCTACTACCGACCTTGTCTCCGATCGCAGGAAGTGGACAAAATTTGCGTCTACCTAGCCTAACACATCACGATACCATTGTCGCAGCAGTTCCGCGCAAGATCTATGCTAATGCACATGCATACCACATCAACTCCATCAGCGTCAACTCGGATGGGGAAACATACATCAGTGCAGATGACTTGCGGATCAATTTGTGGAACTTGAACATAAGCGACCAAAGTTTCAACATTGTCGATATTAAGCCAGTGAATATGGAAGAATTGACAGAAGTCATCACAGCGGCCGAATTCCATCCAATCAACTGCAACAACTTTGTATACTCAAGCTCGAAGGGAACGATAAAGTTGGCAGATATGCGAGATTCAGCACTTTGCGATCAACATGCCAAACATTTCGAAGAAGATGAAGATCCAGCAAGCAAGTCCTTCTTTAGCGAAATCATTTCGTCGATTTCTGACGTCAAGTTCAGCAGAGATGGACGGTATATCCTTTCGCGTGATTATCTCACCTTGAAGATTTGGGATATCAATATGGAAAGCAAGCCTGTGAAGACGATACCGATTCATGAACATCTACGTGGAAAATTGTGCGATTTGTACGAAAACGATTGCATCTTTGACAAATTCGAAAGTTTGTGGGGACATGACAACAAAAAGATCCTTACGGGAAGTTATAACAATTATTTCCACATCTTTGATAAAGACGATGAAAGTGATATCGTTTTACAAGCTGACAAGAGCGCATTCAAAGCAAAGAAATTGGCAGGACACAAAAAAGGCAAAGGTCAACATAACAATAGCGCAGCCGCTGCACCAATCAATACGGACAATATTGACTTTAACAAAAAGATTTTACATGCAAGTTATCATCCACGCGAGAATACTGTTGCCATTGCGGCCACGAATAATCTTTTCATCTTTTCGGCCAATAATGCAACGTAGTTTGGGGGATTCAAGGATAAACAAATGAGGGGGGTGGAAAAGTGGTGGACGAAGAAGGAAAAGAAGAAAGTGTTGGAAAGGGGAAGAGGAGGGAAGAAAAAAAAGAAGGCCAGCAAACATTATAGACATTGCCAATTCGCAACAACGTTATCCGTATTTATTCTTATTTTCTCTTTTTTCAAAGAATTTGATTCCTATCAATTACGCATTTTTTCATTCATTCTCTTTTCGCTCTTTTTCATCTTCTTCTTCAACCTTCTTTGCGGCATATGTCTTACAACGTTTGAAACCGACCAGAGAAAAAAAAGTACCAAATTGTATTCGCATAAAGAGATAAATGCTATGTATTAGAAAGGAGAGAGAATGGATGTAAAATTGGTTAATTGTTGGGAATGATTGTTGAAGGAGCGGTTAGGCCGATCTCAGGCACAGACAGGTAAAGCGCGTAATCTTAGAATCAAATCAGGTCGTCAGACATTGACAACGCTAAATGTGAATGAGTGCATACATTGGTCATCCCCTGATTGACAATTCTCTTTTAGCATCGATCAAGCACCAGGCAAAGATGGCAGGTCCAGCTATCATTGATCCAAAACGACACTATAATGGTGGGATGAGCGATTTAGAACGAAAGATGGCAATGATGCAACAAATGATGGGGACGGAAGATGATGATGTGGAGGAGGAAGAAGAAGAAGATGTCAAAGGAAAGAATGTTGTAGGTAATTCTTCACCTATGGCCAATTTACCAATCGAAATTGTTGAAAAGATATTGGAATTTGCAACCTTACCGGAATCATGGCAAAAATCTCAAGTTAGCAGTACAGATGCCATGTTACGTGCTTCTATTCGATTATCGAATGCATACAGACTTTGTTTGATTTGTCGTCAATTCGATCAATTGGTTAGGCCAAAGATGTACAAATCCATTCATATTGCACATAGAAAGATCAGACCGCTCCTGCGAACGTTGCAAACTTCTGCAAAGCTGGCAAGTTTCATCAAGGAGGTCACGCTTAGCAGTCATATTTGGACTTCGGACGTGAACGAAGATGTGATCGCACAATTGTTTATTGCCATACGACCGTATTGCATTCGCTTGACAGTAGGAGCGAACGAGAGCGGCTTGCTGCCTTATCTGTTCTATGGTGAACCTGAATCTGAGGAAGAATCGGAACCAGCCGCAATTCAAGTGTTGCACATCACATGGAGAGATGAGATGGACTACGATCCAAGAATGATTCGAGCAGAAGAAAGAGAAGAAGAAGAGATGCTAGCAGAAACAGGAGAGGCAAGTTCGATATCTGCACGACAGAGTCTGTTGTACCTGTTCGAGCACGATCCACAGCGGATACTAGAAGCTGGAAAATTTGATAATCGTGCCTTCAGTCATTTGCAACATCTCACCTTGAATGTCTATTCACAAGCACAGCTTGATCAACTGTTCACGCATTCAGGATACTTTGTGGAGACTATCTTACCGCTTTTGACCTTTTTGCGAATCGAATTACCGCTCAGTACATTACAATGCGGAGTTGAGGATAGCAGAGGAGGAAGAGGCGCAATCGCACGTCATTGGCCTACACAACGATTCTTGTTCCACGGAAGACGAGCCGGTGGCGATGGTGCAAGTGTTCAGCAAGTGGAAGAAATCAAATCCGTCGTAGAAGAATTTAACAGGAAATTGGAACGTGAGAAAGACACACTCGTAATGAATTCCCATACCAGCGAAGAAGAAAGGATCAAATCAGAAACGATTGCATTGATGCCGTGCGTGAGCGTCTTGCTTCGATCTCTTTTAACCAGACTAGCACTCAATGTTCACAGAAACGATATGACTCTATTCTCACTCCTTCTGGATGGGTCTTACGCTCGAGAATCGAATTGGTCTACTCGTTCAACTGTAGCAGCCTCTATCCTTGCACAATCTTTACAGAGACATTTGAGCACTGGCAAAACGGATTTCGATCCTTTCGACTCGAGTGAGCACGGGCTGAGAACAGCAACATCAATTACACCAATCACCTTCCCTCTCCATCAGCTTCGAGGGAATGGAATTGACTCATATTGGTCAGAGAATTGGGAGGAAGCCGAACGGGAGTCAAATAGACATCTGCCTATCATACTAGGAGGCATGCAAGAGACACATGATGTTGACCAAACCAATCATATCACTAAAGAACAAGAAGATAGAAATGTGAAAGTGTCGCTCTTACTACGATGGCCCACAGCACTAGATGCATTCTTTCGGTATGCAGCAATGGTTTAATTGTTCATTTGATAGAGAAAAACGAAGAGATGAGACTCATGTACAACATTCACTGTATTACTAGAGGAACACATAAAAAGAAATGTACAACAACAACAAACAAAGTGGAAGAATGCAATCAATGCCAATCTCTTCTAGGTTGCTGGTACTGATGCTGACGATTGTGGTAGTTCTGATTCTCTAAGCTTTGACGTGGTTGGATGGGTCTTGCATTGACTTGCCAACGATCAGCGTTGTATTCTGCTCGCATTGGTTGGGCTTGCTGCCATCGATTGAATTGGAGTGGTTGATTGGATGTAGCAACACGCAAGACAGGCTGCCATGATTGGGCTGTTTGATGTTCTGGCTGCATTCTCGGTGGAGATTGTATCCTATCATAATGATGCCAGCGAGGCTAAGAAGAGACGGAACATGAAACGTTCTCAGTAGAGCTAAAATCAGCGTTTAGCCAAAACTTGCACTTACCTCATTTGACATGCTCTGGAAGCCACTTGAAGGTTGTTGAACTGTACCTACATAGAATCGCGGATTGTAGTGACCATGATTGCGTGAATGGACTGGCTGTAGTGGAATACTGTATCTGGAAGCACGTTGAGCGTTTGGACTTGGGCTTTTTGATCTATCGCGTCGCCTTACGTCTGCTTTGATGTGAGATTTTGCATTTGTGGAGATGGAGTAAGTTGGCGATTTACATATATTGAGTTTGTGTGAACGTACCATTGTCTCTACGAGGACGAAGAGGAGGACCAGAAGTCATTCGTGCGACCAAATCAGACTCAATAGGATCGCTCCAAGAAGGTTCTTGTTTTGGTGAAGAGTTCTTACATGTTTCCTCCACGACAGCATCAAAGGAAGTCGGATCGCTTTGTTCATCATTTCCAGTATGGTCATCATCCTGCTCATTTGCACTTGTCAAAGTATCACAAGAGCTTTCTGCTTGTGATTCGTTGCCTGATGTATGCGCGTTTAAAGCCTCCTCTTCACACTTTTTGTGCAAAGAAGCCGATTTCGTTCCGTCCAGCGCCAAAACGGGAATTCTCTCTCCATCTTCATCATCCTCCCATCCATCTCCCCAATCGATCATGTCTTCTTCATAATACATGCTGTCGTTGAAAATCACCAATGGTGTTGTGGTATTGATCAAGATTCAAATCACGGGGTATTCATATATCACTAAAAGGCTTAAGCATAGCTCTGCCCGATGAAATCACTTTTCATGCCCGGCTATGTACTTTTCTCCGTTCGATTTAATGCAGTGAAATGAATAGCATATTCACTCAACTCAATCCCACAAATCAGTTATGTCTTCATGTTTATTTTGTATGCGATGGCGTTCGCATTGCAATCGAGATTACAGTACATTTCTCAATAAGCGGAGCACCGCGTTCAGCTGTGCGTTCAAACCTTATTACACCAACGCAGTGCTTTTGCTGTTGTTACTGCTTCACGCTCTTTAAAACGGACTCAAGCAGGCCGACGCATCCATCCATTGGCGGGTGGAGACCAACACACTTCAGAAAAACGCGTGCCCATTTGAAACGCGTTCTCAGCAAAGCACAATTAACGCGTAAGCAAACATGAATTTCCTTCTTGAATAAGAGTAGGCGCGGTTGAACTGAGCAGACTACAGTACGCGTAGCACCCAAAACCTATGCAGCACCAAAAAAGCAACCCTACAGAGTCAAAATGTGTAAGGCTTAAAAGTGTACCTAAAAAGCCTAAAATCATACCTCTGTACTTTCCCATTCACCATCACCTAAGACAAATCAAACAAAACATGCTTGAAGCACGTCTAAGTCAAGCAGCTTTGCTTAAAAAAGTTTTGGACTCAGTCCGAGAGTTGGTTACTGATGTCAATTTCGATTGTAGCGAAGAAGGAATTCGAATGCAAGCGATGGACAATTCTCACGTCGCTCTTTCCGCAATTGAAATTCGTGCAGAAGGTTTTGATCCTTATAGATGTGATCGTCCAATGAGCATCGGTATGAGCGTTGCTGCTTTAACAAAAATTCTCAAAACTGCTGCAAACGAAGACGTTCTAACGATCAAAAAGGATGATGATGGTGATAGTCTAGGATTGATATTTGAAGATAGCAGTGAGTAGAATAGCATACCGTGAACCGTAAATGCGTCAAATGGGCTAACACGTTCATCTTCCCTCTCACAGAAACCGATCGCGTGGCTGAATTCGATATGAAGTTGATGGACATCGATTCAGAGCATTTAGGTATTCCTGATACATCATACGATGCTGTCATCCGGTTAAGTTCAGCAGAATTTGCAAGGATCACTCGTGATTTGAGCAACGTTGGTGATTCAGTTAGAATCTCAGTCTCAAAAGAAGGCGTCAGCTTCTCAGCAGAAGGTGATATCGGTAAAGCCAACTTGACATTAAAGCAAGGAAGTGGAACAGCAGCCAACGTTGATGATGAAGAAGAATCAGAAGATGATGAACCTAAAAAGAAGAAACGTAAGGGTGGCGCAAGCGGTAGCAAAGACGATGAAACCGTTCCTGTTCGCATTGAGATGCAACAGAGCGTTTCATTGACTTTCAGTTTGAAGTATTTGATGAACTTCTCCAAAGCATCTCCTTTGAGTCGTGAAGTAGCTTTGCACATGAGCAATGAAGTTCCTCTTTTGGTGAGTGTGAACAAATTGTTTTCTATTGATCACCACTGGCTAACTCTTCTCTCTCCGTTTCTTCAGTGTGAATTTGCATTCGATGATGGATTCGTTCGATTCTACCTTGCACCCAAGCTTGATGATGTGAGTTATAATGATCACCATGTTTCTCTTGAATGATGCTGACCATCTGTCTTGTACCCTTTCTCATACCAACAGGGCGATGAATAAACCAGTTGATCTATCAGCGATTACAATACCATGAAATTGGAATGTTCATGAGGATCCGCTTGTCATTTCTTGTTACCCTTACTTTACCCTACCGCTCTTTGTTCATTCCATGTAACTCTTTCAACACACACAATGCGCTCTAATGCGTAGCGCTTTCAAACCTTGTATAGTGTTTCGGTCTACATATATACTTTCCCATGTTTAAATGAATCAATTGTACATTCGAGAGACAGAATATGATTGCAGCAAGAGCATCGAGAGGAGGTGGTAGTTGAGAGAGGTTTAACTGAATCCCTTTTGCTGAAGAGGGCCTGCAATTAGGATTAGCTATCTTAAACCAGTCAGGATTTGAGGGTCCTCATTATTTTAGCGTAAGTTTGGATACTAATCCCTTTGTACATACTGCCAAAGGATCTTGAGGACATTATCGAGTATTGTATCAAGGTATATGTAAGTAGGTGTATGTATGTATATGCAGCGCTTGGATATAATTAGAATGAACACGAGTGCGTCGCTTGTTAGTCTGATCAACCGGCGGGCTATTATGCGCTAAAAGAGAAGAGAGAGGTGTCGCGGTATTCAGTGGACATTGAAGAGGGGCTTCCTTTTTTCCAAAAAAGAAAGATTTAGACAAGTGACAAGACAAGACAACAAGTGGTGTGCATATATCCGGTCTAGTGGAAATCAATTTACTCTTCATTACATCCCAGAGGCTGAGAGTAGGATCTGATCTTTCGGACAAAGCAAGGTACATACATTGACTCGACCGGGCTTTTCGGCGCTTGGATTCAGAGCGTAATGAGTGAGAGATCCGATAGCAGTAAATTGACTTTTACCCTGAATTCATTAATTATTTCAAACAAAGATCGAGATTCCCGTGCGAAATAAGATAATATTCAGACACCTTACTAGTCAATAGCAAACCTATTTCGACTATCTTGTCAAAGGTTAGAAGTCCAGCTTTCCTTTTGACAGCCATGATAGCCACAGTCAAAAGGCTACACCGCATGCTCTCCGTAAATCCGAACACGTATCATACGCATTTGTATTCATTGTATTATATAAATTCTTCATGTTTATTACCAACACAGACTTTTGTATTGCGCTTTAGTAACAACTGTATATGCACTGCACGTCGCGCTCCCATTAAAAAAAAGTTGTATTGTGTGACCAGCCAATCGACCTGTCTGTCTGTACGGTGCACGTATTTCCTTTGCGCCCAAATAGGCACACAAGCAGACGCCTTGCCCTTTGAAGAGGAAAAAAAACACCGTATAGCACCCACCACACACACACACACACACACACGCACGCCCTACGATACACACAAAGTCCCGCGCGCAGACATTCAATGGAAAGTTCGGATCAGAATCGGTTCACCACACAAAAGACACACAAGTCGACCATCCTGTGCTTTTCCTCTTTTCACCTAAAACACACCTCGTTTTTCATGATCGAGTGGAAAGATTGAGATTCGCCATAAATCTCTCTCTTTACGATAAAGGAGATTGTTCGTTATCGCTGTTTTGTTTGGATGAATTCAAGGTAACAAAAAAATCAAACCTATCACATTCACAATTACCGCCCTTGTTTTTGAACAGGAGGACGTGCTCGTCTCTTTCTTGTAGCATCAATCTCGGGGTGTATACGTACGCAAATTGTGTATTTGTAGGCTACCTTTGCTCCTACTTGCAACCGGTTTCGACACAACCTTTACGTCTCGGTTTGTTTGGAGCACGGTATATCGCAAATTTTTACAATCGCTGATTCTTGGGCAGCCTCTAGGCAATCAAAAGGCTTACATCGACTTTATTCATCGCAGCTGTCGTGCATTTACTTGCCGCCATCACTGTTGCTGCTGCCAAGAGTTGCTATTGCAGCATTGCAAACTAGGTCATGACGTCAGAGAAGGGAAGTGGAAGTTATTTGTCGCCATCGTCTATGTCACCGGGCTCTTCCGGGTCCAGCGCTGGTCAACATCATCCACCACCACCATATCGATTTCATCAATTGCCCCACACTCCTTCATCATCAAGGCCGCCTTCACGCGCACCTTCACCGCCCCTAATACACGGTGGTAGTGGTAAATTGCCAAGCTTGTCTTCTGTTACAGGTCAGCCGGGCACATTCGCATTGAATTTAGGCAATCACGGAGGATACTATACCTTTACCATACCAATCACAATGCAACGTGTTTTAGGCATCCTTCTGCGGAGATGGAAGACGATCTTATTCGTCACAATGTTTGGCACTTTGGCCGCTTTTGGCATGTTTGGAGCAATGTGGACAGAATGGAGAGAGATGACGTATTATCGTGTTGATCCTTATCCAATCGTTTCAAAATCTTCGCCTACGATCGATTTGAGCGATACAACAACAAAAGGCTTTCCCAAAACACCTTCAGGCAGTGCCAACCTCAAATTCAACAGGTGTCCTGGACCGCACAACAAGCTCATCCCTGTTGCACCCGAACAAGTGTACGAAACGCCATCTTCGCATCCTATCCCATTGGTGGGTGATTACAAATTAGTCGGAATGGATTCGACAAAGTGCACAACATATCGAGGACGGTATGGAATGTATTCCGATGAGGCGCTCGGTATCACCTATCGCGCCGATGTTGATATGGAGATGGAACAAATAAGGAAAGACAAGGAGGCTCTATATGATGATGATCCAGAGAATCCTAAACCGGTCTATCACGATGTCGCTGAAGCTGAAGCAGCAAGGAAAGCAGCTGGAACTTCACAAGCTAAGGCTGATAAACCCAACAAGTCCACAATTCCAGTTGAAGATTCGCTATTGGGACCGAAAAAGCCAGCACAATGGCCAGAAGAAGAATGGGAGAGATATTTGAGAGATCGTATGTGGCGTGCAAATTTCCGATCGGAAGATTTGGGTCCCGGAAGTTACCCTGATTGGCGTGGATTGATGGACGCTTGCTTTGAACAAAGAGAGCACGAACGTGGAAGAGCGGGAGGAGTGGATCCTTTCGACCCTATCACCCAACCTGTTGCTGAAGAATTGCAAAAACAAGGCAAAGAAGACGCAGCACCACGTTATAAGACCAATCCAGAAACAAAGAGGACAGCTTTGGTCATGCGATCGTATGAAGGCTATGTGTGGAGAGAAGACGACATCTTGAATTTGCGGGCACTAATATCCGAATTGTCCCTCAACAACCCCTACACGCCTTACGACATTCGTATCTTGGTCGAAGTACATGGACGTCATCTTTCCGTCTTCACATCAGAGTGGGATCGTCTAAATGTTCTACGATCAAGTGTTCCACGTGAATTCTGGGGCTTGGTGGAACTATGGACAGAAGATGAGATGTGCGCATTGTATCCTGGATTGCCAGGTAAATTCCTCAATCACATGATCGCTCAAAGTTCTTACCGATCGTGTCTCATGCCCTTGCAAAAGTTCTACCTGGACCATCAAGAATACGACTTCATTTACAATTGGGAAATGGACGTTCGCTACATCGGTAATTACCGTGAATTCTTTGAGGGAATAGAAGATTACGCAAGAGAAGAGCCACAAGTCGTCGGACTAGATAAGTACGACACCTGGTTTGTCAAGAATGTTACTGTATCCGAAGAGAATTGGGCAAACAATGTCACTTTGGTGGAAGGAAGAGGAGAAGAAGCTGATTTGATCACACTTGGTCCTATCTTTGACCCACGCGGATCAGGATGGTACTGGGAGTATGATGTTCAGAATTACCCGCAAGGGCAAGCAACCCATAGAAGAGCGTCCATCGGAACGAATATGCGTATGTCAAGGTCCTTATTGGACGCAATGAATGTGGTGAATGCAGAGGCAAAGAAGTCTTTGCATTGTGAAGCTTGGCCAACAACTTTGGTGCTACATTCTCAATTACCAGCATCTCACGATCACAGTTTCTATCCTGAAGCAGGCTTCACACACAATCTACCGCTACCGTTCAAAGGTGTTTATGCGCCACATCCTGTCTACTTTAGACATTATTGGGATGCAGAAGTGTTGCACTCAAGGATCAATAGACCCGATTTCTACAAAAAGGTGAACGAAAAAGTGATGCGAGATGCAGCATTCTATTACGATGGTGCTCATGCGAAAGAGATGTACGTAGGATGGAAGGAGAGGCCTGATGTTTGTAGGGCGCCGGTGTTACTACATCCAATCAAACGTATCAATTGATTGTTGAGATAGGACATCAACCATTCTATTGAGACCAAGCGGACATTTTTCTTTGCCTTTTCTTCCTCTCTCTTTTATTATAACAACAGTATACCTCAACGAACATCAGTCAAGTCTTTGGATCGAGAAGCATTTCACAGTGACGAACTTTTTTTTGCAACTTTTCATCGTCTTGCATTTCGTTGATTTCTCCATGCGTACTTTTATTCTCATGCTATACTCAAATTTTTGCTCCGATCGATACCAACTCACAAATCATTCCTGGCTATACACCTTTGAGGGATCTACGCCTACAGCAATTAGACACCAAAAGAACGTTTAGCAGGAGATCCACCTTTCTCAATGCCCTACGGACCATCTATCATTCCCACTATGTTTTCGAACAATGGACAATCAATCTTACGTGAACGGATCGAAAGGTCGTAGAGGCTTGATCAACGTTTGGGACTTACGGCACACTCTCTACAGATTCGATTTCTCTGCAAGACCGCTCGCCATTTCTCACACTCTCCTCTAGATGGTCAAATCGTTTGCCCAAATCGTGACCAAGTCGATGGTTGCGACCGCCCCTACTTCATTTTGATTTCTCTTGCCTCTATCTTGCATCTATTTTTCTCTTCTTCTTCTTTTCTTCTTACATGTTCGCTTACTCTTTAGAACACTCTTCATTCAACCTTTTTTACATCGTCGTACGAACCTTTTTTTCTTTCTATCAATGCATTTATCGCAATACAATCTTCTCATCAAAAACCTTCATCCTCCTTTTTAATCTCCCTACCATACAATTTGCGTACCTTATTGACCTTTCCTTATCATACGCGCGCGCATATCTTCTTTTTTTCTTTTCCTCTCTCTCTCTCTTCACACGTTGTCACGAATGGATCTCTTTTGTTCAATATTTGCTCGTTTTCACACATAAACAGACATATAATCAAAAACGTTGAATTTTCAATCTTAATGCAAAATCACGTAGTACATTGAAATATTTGAAAAGAATTTGTAAAAAAAATGGGGTTTCTCCGAAGAACCAGATCCTGATGAATGTTTTGAGTTGTGTCGAATAGCAATGAATGAATGCAGCAAAAGTCCTTCGACGAAATCATTTCGCGAAATGAAGACTCCATTGAAGCCATTTTCTTGCTTCTACTTCATCTTGCGTCAAAGTACGATCGCCATACGTGAGAGGAGCCAAATGCCAGAAAACAACGACGACAACTCCAATAATCACACCAGCTGCTGCTTTGACACCACGTGGAACGATATTTTGTCTTGGAGCAGCAAAGCCACGAGTATACAATAAACCACCCGGATTACTTGCAGGAGCATCAATCGTTTCACTTCCGACAAAGTTCAAAACGCTTCCGGCAACCAAACATCCAATCACATGAGCGGGTAAATAATGATGCAAAAATAATTGACGGTTCATCAAAAAGAAAGGTAAATAATGCCATGCCCAAGCAATCAAAAAGAATCCTGTTGCGTTGAACAGCCTATTTCGTACCAAAGGTTCGATAGGGTATTGTCCTCGCCTGCGTGCCAGCGTATCGGCAAGCATGATTCCGGTAACCACACTTATGCTCAAAACAGCCACCCACCAAGAGGCAACATTTCCTACAAGGTAAATTTGCCTTTGTGTATCGTTATCCGTCCAGAACGATATTCCGGTCAAAACGAATGGCCAATTGATCGGGGAGGATGCATAAGGATGTGATTGGGTCAGATGTGCATTTTGTTGCAACATTTGCAATTGCAATTCAACGAATTTCTTATAGAACGGCATCTTTGTGACAGGACGAGGCGCTATTGGCTTTATGCGCTCTTCATAATCATCTTGAGTTTCGTCAGGGTACAATTCATCAACGAACCACACTGCACTCTTGTCCAAAGCATTCTTGTTTCCGTTCACCTCTTGTTGATTGAAACCCCATTCCGGTAGAGGTGTTTCGGTATGTGTCCATACAGAAACTCTTGTTGGCACGTGGATCAAACGGAACCAACCACTCTTACTCTTCCATTTGGTTCCATCACCCTTTCCGTCTAGTTGGAACTCGAATAAAGTGTCTTCATAACGTGTAGAGTCATTTGCTGGCCAAGTTGTTACTTCTTCATTTGTTGGCATCAAAGGCGAAGCAACGTCGTGTGCCATCAAATAAGTTTGCGTGTTGACGTGTAAGAGTCGAACAACATTCTTGTGTCGAATAGGGCGATGCAATTCATTCTTCATATCAAAGCTTTCACCTTCATACGAATGTTCATTTGCAGGCACAAGTTGCCAAATGTTATTGGTGTCATTGAACGGGTAGCCTGTCACTTGCTGTCCTTGGCTGGAAATACGTCCGTCATCATACTTGAGAGGATATTTTTCAGTGTGAGAATGAAGGTAAGCGCTAGTTCCCTTGTGCTGCATTGCGATTTTGTCGAACCAGTGGATATCTCTCGCCTGTGCCAGCATTGGATTACCCTGTAGCGTTTGCTGGAATTCCGATGTCATGAAAGCGTCACCGGGACCACTTTTGATCAGAATTGCGAAATGCACCCAGAACCAAAATAGATAAACAAAAGCGGGAAAAATGATCAATCCAAACGTACGTGCAAGAAAGTGTCGACCGATATGTTGCATAGAGATTCCTCTTTTGATATCCATAATATTCCAGAAATCAAACACAACTGCCGTACCAACGCTCATGATCGTCAAAAGTCCAACCATTTTGCAACTCATCGTCGTTGCCAGGCTAAATCCGGTAACAAACATCCATGCCCACCATCTGAATGAGAATTCATTATACCTTTGCTTGTAAAACATGACGTAGCTGAATAGGCTGAACGTGACAAAGAAGACCAAAGCGGCGTCCAAGAGGATCAGACGATCTTGCGTAATGTGTGCGTTATCGAATAGGAGCAAGAGAGCGGAAAAAGCAGCAATTGTAGGAGCATGTCCAGTCTGCCTCATGATCGCGTAGACGAGCGGTACTTGAGTAGCACCCAAGATGGCAGGTAAAGCTCTCATTTTGATGTACGGAACACCTGCAGCAACATATTTGTCTCCGATGTTCTCGAACTCGAAATCACCTTTGAAACCGGCTAGCCAACCAGCAAACGCCAACAGTAGCTTAGCAAATGGAGGATGAACATCAAAAAAGTATTCTCGTCTGATGTAAAATGCGGCAAATTTTCCAAAATGCACTTCATCAAAAACGACTTGATCGGGATGCCAAATTTTGTAAAATCTGGTTACAAGAGCACCGACTGTCAAGAAGAGAAGCAGTAGGCTATCTCTTTGAAACGAAAGGCCTTTTGCAGGAGATGCTTGTTTAGCATTGTAAGCGCTTTTGTATATTGGCTGTTCCTGTTGTGCTTTTTGTGGTACTTGTTCCTGATCTTCAGCATGTTCTCCGTTTGTGTTTACCACTTCTCCATTTGCACCAGGAGGGGCGGCTGCCCTTCCTCTACGTGAACGGACACTTCCTTGAGCAAGCTCTACGTTCATCGCCTTGTGTTGAAATGATCTGTGATGGTTGAGAAGGTTGCTTCAAGAAGATCTTGTACATCAAATCTTAAACACTCGCTTTAGTTTAAGCTTTGTGGCTTTTTGACAGCAACAGACAGAGATTGAGTCCAACAAACCGTATGTGCGTATTTCATTATGCACACGCACAGACTGATAGCAAAGCACAAACACAAAGAACGGGAAGGTGAGTGTGTGTGTGTGTTACTTCAGGAGGTTCTTTTGCTTGCCGACCTCTTGGGGGAAATTGCGCCGATGCCGCCGAAAAGGAGCATTTTACACGCGTCACTGTTTATAGTCACTGCCAGCTGATTTACATAGCAGATCAATACAAAATATTGTAAGCGGTCGAATACAAATTTATGGGAAGCAATAGTAGTCCGCTTTAAAGTAATCTAGCACCGCCCCTCGCCCCCCCAAGACACCGTATAGAATACACAGCCTGGGTGCTTGAACGTCCGCTCAGGCACAAGCTTAAACACTCCTCAGCGTGAAGGGAATAGGACTTCCGAATGGGGGGACTGACTTGGCTCAAGCGTAAGTACGTACATGTGCTCGGCCAGGAGCATACATCGTCTCCTCATCCTTGCCATCTACATAACATCCTCACCTGAACATCTTCAATCCAGCGCCACCTTTTGTCAATCTTCTCTTACCCACCTCTAGAGTGATTAATTGTTGCCCATCATGTCTTGGGGAGGTTTCAAAAAGTCCATCAATCGGGCGGGAACGACGATTATGCAAAAGACAGGACAAGTAGAAAGGACGATCGATTCAGAATTTCAAGATGAAACAGTAAGGTATAAACAATTAGAAAAAGAAAGTTTAGCGTTACAAAAAGAAGCAAAAGCATATTTGGATTCAATTCGTTCTTTAGCTTCTTCACAAACTAGAATTGCTGAAACTGTTGATGGATTTTATAATGATTCATCTGAAGCTGCAATGGCTGCAAATGCATACAAGAGAGCTGTTGATGAATTGGACGCAAGAACGGCAAGAGAATTAGATGCACCTTATCGTGCTACAGTGCTGGAACCAGTCGGAAAATTGTGCAGCTATTTCCCGGAAATCAATAAGACAATCGACAAGAGGAATAAGAAATTGCTCGATTACGATGCAGCCCGAACACGACACAGAAAGCTAATCGATAAACCTTCCGATGATCCAAGCAAATTGCCAAGAGCAGAGAAGGAACTTGAAGATGCAAAGGTAATCTATGAAGCCATGAATGCACAATTGATGGAAGAACTACCGCAATTGCTCGATTTGCGTATCCCATACCTAAATCCATCCTTTGAAGCAATGGTACGCATGCAAGCTCGTTTTGCAGAAGAAGGATACGAGAAGCTAGGAGGCGTTCAAAGGTACTTTGCAGATGGTGTTCGTGAGGAATATGCGGATGGACAGTTGGATGCTCAAGTCGAAGGAGTCTTGCAGGAGATGAAAGAACTATCGATTTGCGGACTACCAGAGAAGTGAATGATGATAAGCATGTACGGTTATTCCCTTTTTACTGCAACACATGTTTTTTTTCTCGTTGTCACGACGTTCTTGATGAAGGCATGTCATTAGTAGCTTTGAATAATATACAGTGTAAAGATACAAAATCAGTGGAATCAGTCTGATTCTCCTTCCTCCTCAGAGCTCTCTTCCGCCAGACTGCTATGTACTGACTCGACCTCACTATCGTCATCTCCAGATCCTGCTTCTACCCCATCTTCTTGACCTTCTCCTTCTGCATCATCCTCTCCATCCATGTCGTCAAACCCGATATAGTCGTCTTGACCGCTGAATAGTTTAGTCTTTTTTGCTTTGAAGGTCAGACCGTGCTCAGCATCTTCCTCGCCCTCACTTGCACCTTCATTGTCCACTAGATCTTGCTCGTGTAATCGAGAGCTTCGCTTTCGTTTGCCTTTCTGGTCATCATGCTGTGTTTCTTCTTCACTATGATCAGATGCATCATCTCCATGTAAATGGGCATCATCATCCCGCACAAAAAGATCATCATCGTCCAATTGTCGAGTACCTGATTTTCCATCTTGGCCAATATTTGAAACTCGAACGACATGCATCAATTTGCATCCCCTTCGATCACATTTACCTTTTCGTAAAAATTCCGGACAATCCCATGTATGCCTTTGATCGCATTTTGCTCCTTTTTGACACCATCCAAAATCGCTAAAATCTACACAGATTTGACTCTCATTCGTCAGATGAACTTCTGAAGAAGGATGAACGTATGCACAAGAGTCGCCATTACGACAATTACCTGCAGTGGAAAGATAGTGCACACAATGAGGAACCCGTTCTGGTTTCGATTCGTGTGAGAGTGGACAAGTTCCGCTTGGCAGGGGACATCCGTTCGGTCGCAGAATACGAGGGCATATAGCAAGCTTTGAGGGGTCATGTTTATATGGACATGAAAGTCCGTTCTTACATTGACCAGTCTTGTTGAAATGGGCACACAGAGTCTTGTTTCGTGCTGAGAGCATCTTTGATCCTCCTCTTCCTCGACCCCGCGATCCACTTCCTCCACGCAATAATTGCCTCTCTGCAATCTCTTTACCAATCTGATCAAGCTTTTTCAGCTTTTCGCTATTCCTCTTATTCTCCTTCCTTTGATCTAGCAAGGCCTGACTGATCAAATTTCCCGTCTTGGTTCGTATGAATTGTTGCCCGTTCACAGAAGTTCGAAGTGGTGTTGCAGAAGATGATTCGATCGATTGTGTTGCTTCATCTTCTGCCTTTGCTGGTTCATCAGTCGATGATTGATCAGCTTTTTTCACCAATTTCGTTCCACTTTCATCAAATTCAAATATGACTCCATCAATAATCACTTCTCCCATATTATCTCCTCTTCTTATCGATCCTCTTGCTTTTGAACGTGTTGAATTTCCTTTTGATCCTCTTGCATCGGCTTTTGCACTTTTTGATGCTTCTTTGGCCGATTGTGTTGCCGCCATTGCAGCTAATCTAGCTGGCTCAGTCTTCTCAAACGTTTTCGAGCTCACTAAGCTCATGTTGTGTGTCGATTTCCTCTTCACCCAACCATCCTGTTCAGCTGCGTCTGATGATGTTGCATTCAAACTATTCACCGGTCTCCCTTCAATTTCTGACGATCCCGCAGGTTTTCCCGATAGGACTAAAGTTCTATGTCTGCTAGGAAGTTGTGAATTGTGATGATTTGGCTGAAGATTGTAGCTTCCTCTTCCCCTTCCGCCTCGATATGAAGATTGATAACCTCCTCTGCCATAATATCCTCTTGTTGGAGCTGTACTTGCTCCTCTACCCGAACCTGTCGACCGTCTTTGATCGATCGCACCACTCAATGCCTGTATCTGCGCTAATAGCGCTGCCTGCTCATCCGATGCCATCAACCTTCACTATTTTTAAGAATGCAATGATGGTCGTTGCAAGACAAGTTGATGATATTAATTCGAATCGGAATTAAGGAATGAGTTTATTTTGCATTTCGCACGCGCTTAAGGCTTTCAATGCTCCACCACAGACCAACACTTCCTTCACGCGACACAATTATTAAGCATGATTGCCACAAATGTAGAATATATAACAAGGATTGTTTACAAACACAAGAAAAGATCTAAGGATAACATGATAACGAAAGATAGGGTCATATAGAAATGAATGTATGCAAGACAAAACGAAGAGAGTAGAGGATATACGTGTATTTTTGTTGTTGTATAAAGATTAAATCGAGTGGTGACAATGTTTTAAAAAAGCGACTTGAACCCCTTTTCTCTCTATCTTTCAAGGACGGAAGTTGACCTCTGAAAGCACTTCGAATGCTTTGCGATAAGCATCAAGCAAAGATGCAACACGTTTACGTTCTCCTGTCAAAGCAGGATCTTCCTCCAACAATGTATCAAAGAGTGAATCTTTGAACAAAGTTGAAACAAGCCTATTTTGAATCGTTTCTCTGCAATTGTCAACCAATAAATGCATAACAGCTTTTGGCACGAGATCTTGAATACTCTGTCGTACGATTCCAAAGTACGATCCAATCAAATTCCTGATCAAAGATGTTTCCAACACTTCACGATCTGTCAATGTCAATTCATCAGATGTGAGAGGTGTGGCTTCCAAGTGCTTTTCCAAACTGCGCATGCTATAGGCTGCAGTACTTCCTTGAGCAATCATATCACTCTGCTTGGAATCAGCAAACAGACTTGATCGTTGACCTAGACCGGCAGCAGTAGTATTGGTAGTCGCGCCAGGCAAACCATTCGCTCCACCAAAGAAGTATGTCAAGAATGAATCTTTACCACTCTCTTGCGAATTTCGCGACCCGCTTGCTGTTTGTTGCATAGGCGCAGAAGTTGCATTTGTGTTTCGTCCATTGTTTGCAGCCTTTGCGTGGTTCTCTGCTCTACCATTAGCTTTTGTGTAATTGTTTCCATTCAAAGCCAAGGATCTGTTGGTCTCCTTGAAACCGCTGTCATCCTCATCTTCTTCTACAACCTTTGCACCACCGTACTCATCTGATTCCATCGAGCCACGTCGACTTCTAGGTCCTTTGAGCAACGCAGGTCCATGTCTTTGATGTCCTTCACGCGTCTGGCGAGCAATATTTGCAGAATCTTGAACGAATGCTGGGTGGTTTGTGTTGATATAAGCTGCTTGAATAGCAATCAAGCTTTGCACGTAATCTGACGTTGGACCGAGACGTTCGCGTAGCAATTCAGAGACCACTTCAATAATTTGTGAATGCAGTCTTGGGAAGCGTTGTAGTTCTGAGCTTGTGCAATTGTGGCAGATCTTCATCAATTCTTCGTATACCAATTCAACACATCGCAAACTTGGAGGTTCTAGCAGCTTGATCTGTGGTTTGATCAGAAGCTCAAATGCTTGTTCAGGCACGAATAGACTTGGTCTTGGTCCTGTACTATTCCGGATCGCAGTTCGAATATCCTGCGTTTGTAAGTTTTGTGTTGGATTGATGCCCTCCAATGCACTTCCAAATACATCATTGAAGATAAAGTAGATTCTTGCTCCACCACACAATTCTTTTGTTGAAGCTTCCAAAGTCTTACCGTCGATCGAGTTCACGAAATCTCTTGCAAATTGGGTCATCAATTTCAGAACCAGCGACCCTCTATGCGTCTCCCCCATCAGGGCTGTATCACCAAAGCTTGCCAGTTCTTGTTGTGTTTGTGTCATGAGCGTTTGTAAGCGAGCTTTCATATCCGGTAAGCGGTCTTTGATATGTGCCAGCAAGACTTGATTCAACGTCTTTGCTAAATACTTTGTTCCACATCGATGTGCGATATTGCGGTAAGCCGGGTGATTGCTGAAAAAGTCCTCTTCAGCCTTTCGTGCGGCCAACATGGATTTATTACCATTTATATCTTGTTGTGAACGGTTCACAACGCCAATGAAGCCCAACTTGAGCGGATATACGCGGCCGGTAAGGATATCAAGAGCATGTGTGCCATTGTCCATCAAATCCAATTTGGTCAAAACACCAATCGTTCTTCTTCCTTGTGGATCGATTGCGCGCGCCAATTTGAGTGAATCAGAATTTGCCAAATCTACATTTGCAGGGCTGACAGCGATGATGATGCAATTGGGTTTAGAGATGTAACTTGTGACGAGGCTGTGAATTTGACGTTCGATATCTGTAGGTTGATCACCTACAGGGATCTTTGTCAGTCCAGGCAAATCGACAAGTGTTAGATTTAAAACGTGCGGACTGAAGATTTTTAGATGGATAGGTAGCTTGCTGACTCCCTTGTTCTGACCGGCAACACGGAATGTCTCATTTTCAATTTCGCGCTTGACTTCATCGAAATCGGTGAACCTTTTGTCTAAATGTAAGAATTCACCATATTCTGTGTATGTTGGTTGACGATCTTGTGTATTTTCTAAAGAGGTTGTGCGTGGCATAGTAGTCCCGACGGGCGTATGAACAAGCTGAAGGACCAATGGGCGACGAGTGACGATACCGTTTCCACGTGGAAGGAAATCCTTTCCCACAATCGTTTCCAGCACACTACTCTTACCGCTTGATTGACTTCCAACAACGACGCATTGTGGCAGATCAACTTGATCGCCTCCAACAGCGCTGAAGGTTTCTTGCAGTTTGTTCACTACTTTGATTAGGTCGGTATCCATCTTGTCTTTTTTAGTACTTTTTGGTAAAATTATAGAGAAAGCACCTTCTTTACTTGATCAGCACAAATGTGCTCTCACCTGCGACTTGTGAAAAGAAGCGAGAGGCTGAGAAGAGCAGGCAAGGGGAGAAGAAAGCCTTTGGTGACCTTTTGTTGTCTTTTTGGGAAAGATATTCAAGATGGTAAGAATGAGAATGAATGAAGCTCAATAAATGTATCCTCCTCACAATCAGGCATGTACGCATATGTGTGTGTGTGTGTGTTTTTATAGAGGCGTAATTAACATACACACGGCCTTCACGCAGTGTCCTTTCGCCTAGTGTTGTTTTTTTTGTTGAATGCTAATACTTCAGCTCCGCACGACCGCTGTGCAGTAGTAGCGCGCCTTCTTCCCTACTTCAAGGTCTTTTCTCTTAGCGAACGCGTACTGCCGACAAACAAGTGTAAGGCTTTAAAGGGTTAATTCAACACGTGTGTGATCATTATGCAGGTGAGCTTTAATTGTCATTCTAATACCACTCCTATCACCTTGGCAGGCACAATGGGTAACGATGGTGGTACAATCGTCAAAAGGACTGATATAGTAAAAGTACGTAATGATGGAAGTGATGCAAAAGTAGATCCTGCCATCTTGGCAAAAGTGTTGGCAACAACATGTTCTCTATCACATCAACCTCTTCAACCTCCAATCGTGGCAGATAGATTAGGAAATCTGTACAATAAAGACAGCATCCTCAAGTACCTGCTCTCTAAATCTGATTCAAAGGGCGAATCTGATGCTGCAAAGAAGGCCGACCGAACTGCTGGACATATACGAGGATTGAAGGATGTTCAAACACTCAAACCGACCGAAAATCCAGCGTACAAGAGTGCATCCAAGAAAGGCGAACAAGATGAAGACAAGCCAGCTCCATTCATCTGTCCACTCAACCAAAGGGAAATGAATGGTAGGCATCGGTTCGTTTACATCAGACAATGCAGTTGTATGATGAGCTCATCTGGTTTGATCGCCACAATATCCGATCAAGTTGTGAATACGAGCAAAGAACAGAAAGAGGGAAGTCAAGTAAGCTGCCCAATATGTGCCACGCCTTTCTCTGCAAGTTGTTTCCGCAAGAATGAAATCATACCAGGTGGTGATGTAATCATCTTGAACGGATCAATGACGGAAGTGCAAGCGCAGAGGATTGCAATGGAGAACGATCGTGCTGCTGAGCAAGCCAAGAAGAAAGAGGCCAAAGCAAAAAAGGCAGAGAGCACAGATACCGACAAACAAAGAAGAAAGGAGGAAAAGCGTAAACGTGAAGAAGAGGCAGTCTCTGAACTAGATCAGGACATCAAGAGGTCGCGGCATGCAGATCAGTCAGATTTAGTAGCACATTAACCTGATCAAGTGCTCAGACCCTTCACATTGTGTATTATATTTGTATTTGTAGTAGATTACAATTTTGTACAATTCCATTCATGATGCTTATTCTACAGTGTTTGATTTTGCTTGTTAAAGCGCTCCCCATAATTTAAATGTTCTTCCCCAATCTCCACTTGCAAGCATATCCCCATCTGGATGTACGTCAACGCTCATGATCTTGCTATCAGCGTGCATAGAACGAAGGATTTGCCAGTCATCCGCTGACCATATCTTCACATAGCCATCATAGCCTCCTGTAGCCAAGAATGAGGAAGAGTGTGGTAAAGTTATCTCATCGTTCGATTTATCGTCCTCGTCTTTTATATCGATGTCTCCGCCATCGATCACGTTGCTGCCACTAGGGATCGAGATTCTTTCATTTCTGCTCTTGAAAAATCTCACGTCTGTGCAACTGCTCTTGTGTGCTGGTATAGTGTATGTTTGTTTTGCTTGCCTCAAATCCCAAACCCTTACAGTATCATCACCTGATGCGGTTGCTAGGGTATATCCATTCGATGAAAAGTCAATTGACAAAATCTCGCGAGCATGTCCATCAAGAATCATTGCTGTTCTGCCGGTACGCAGATCCCATACACGTCCGATCGCATCCAGACCACCCGAAGCCAACAAAGCACCATCACCTTGAAATGCAACTGCGTACACTTCTTTCGAATGACCTTCTTGTATGAGTAGTTCTTGAGCTTTGTTCACATCCCACAGGCGCCAAGTACCATCAAACGAAGCCGAAGCGATATATGCACCACAAGGATGGAACTCCACTCGGGCTACACGAGCAGCATGGCCGGACAAAGTTGTAATGGGGCGATCATCAGCCAGACTCCAAAGGTTGATGTTGCCATCGGCTGCGCCTGTAGCCATGTTGACAGTTGTTTCGCTTTGCGTTAAAGTTGCTTCTGGATGCCATGATAATCCACCCACTTTATCATTATGTCCCCGCATGATTTTACGCTCTCTTGCGCTTGGTATATCCCATAATTTTACACCACCACTCCAACTACCGGTTGCCAAAATTTGACCATTTGGACTGAAACGGACAATACTGATGAATCTTGTGTCGCCAATTTGCGAGCCTAAATTGGTAAACGTTCGCAAAGGAGCAAAGATTTCTTTTCGGGTATTTATGATCTTTTGAAGGGGTATACTTGTTTGTCGTTTTTGATGCTGAATGCGAGCGGCTGCTCTTCGTAGTGAGAACCGGGCAATATCTTGTCGAGCAGAAAGAAGATCTTGAGACCCTTCAGTGTAGAATTCCTCTTCTTGTTCTTCCTCCTCCTCATCTTCTGAATCTTCACTTTCAATAGCATCACCATCCTCGCTCTCTCCTTGCTGTGCTCGTTTCTGTTGTTGTTTGACAAGAAACTCTCTCAATCGCTCCCTTCTATCAGGCGGTCTTTCTCCAAATAGTGTGATTGGTTCCCCTTCACTTCGCAGTCGTTGTCGTACCTTTGCATCATCCGTTGGCAAAGCCAGTTTACGACCACGAGCTCTTGCATCTAGGATTTCCAGTGCTGCTGCTTGTTCAGCTCGTAATGATGTACTTAATCCTGCTTCTCTTCTTTCATCTAGTTCATCAGCCGCTAGAGTATTAAGCCCTTCTATGTCCATTCCATCGTCATCCACATCCATGGCAGCCATGGTGGGTGATCAAAGGGATGGAGAGAGAGCAACACTTCCAGTGCTTGAGAAGTGCAAGTGTGTTTGACAACAACATATCACGTGCTTTTGTATTAAGCCTGCCAAACGCGCGCTCTGCTTGAAATCCGATGTGATCCGTTTGCATTGATTGGCTGAACATACGCCCTGTGTAGCAGCAATTAAGAAGATAATCACTCTTGAAACAGATCGCGCGCTTTCATTTGTTGTCAACCATCGCACCTATCTTGAACGTTTGATCACCAATAGAGTACGTATCCGATTCGATTAGGAGCATTGCAAGATTAAGAGAGTGCTGCTCGACATCGCACCGACAACAACTTTCCGATTTTCGCCTTTTTGTTCACCAGGATCGACTTCTGACTCTTACGTTTGTTTTTCACCCTTCTTTCTTTTCAGTTCGTCAAAATGGCTCTCGCATCTCAAATCGCTCCAATCACCGGAAGACTGCGCAAGCGTCTCATTCTCGACATCAGTGTCGCTTTGGGAGGTGGTACTGCTGCCGGATACGCATACTGGTGCGTAAATACGTTTTGAGGATTGACTTAATTTCGACTTAGGTTTGACTGACGAAATCGCCAATCTCACTCTCTGCTTCATTCTCTTTCAGGTACATGGTCCACTTGCCAACCGTTCAAAGACGTACGTATCGAATCTGAAGCGCAGATTGTCAATCTCGCTCTTTGCTTGCAAGAATGTAAGACTGACTTCTTTTCTCGGTTCTCGCTCTTACAGGTGACGCTTTCTACGCTAAATTGCAACAAGAGAACCAATAAATCTATTATCTCATCTTCCGGCAACATGTCCAGTACAATGAATAATACGCCAATACATATCTGAACATCTTTCGAGGCTGTCTAAATGTGAACTGTCAACATAATGGTAAGCGCGCTCAGTTTCCTTTGAGAACAGATTTCATCACACGGTCAGATTGTTTTACGCTGGATTTCATTCAATAATATGTTACATATATATACAATATCAACGAAGTTCCTTTACGACGATTCGATTTGGACAAGCAAGAGAGAGGGAATTTGGGGGTATCCTCTTTCCGCTCATACGCATCCTAACGTTATGCTGGATGTGTTGGTAATTTGGTTGTCAGCTTTGTTTGCATTATGCGGGTATTCTGCTTGAGTTGAGGTAGTTAAAGTGCTGAAGTGAGAGGTTGAAATGTTCGATTTCAAATGCGATAAAAACCACTCAGAATTCATAATCGAATGCGAAAACATCTTCAACTTGAGGTTTGATGTATTTCTTGAATTCTTGATGGGTTGGACATTCGTCCAAATAATAATCACGATCTGAAATTGTTGCAAACGTGACCACATAACCAATATCAAAACCTTTATCTAATCCTTCAGGTGAACATTGTTTTCCTCCTGTTAATTCTAGGATGTATGGTGCACCTTCTTTCAAACATGTAGTCTTTAGGTCAAGCATATCTACGTGCACTTTGTGTAGCTTGTCCTCTGACCTTGCCACTTCTGGCTTTAGCTTGAATGTTACAAAGTGTGTGACGGCCATTGTGTTGTGTTGTGGTGGTGCTGATAGCGAGATGCTACTGTTTGGGCAGGTCTATTGTGTGTCAAGGCAATTTCTATGGATGCTCTTGTTTGTGTTCTACGTGCAGTTGATTGCAATTGAGTGAATAATATATCGTGATGGAAGAATAGAATAAAAGGAGGGGGATCTCGATAGCTTGCTTAAGTAGCTTAAGAAGTGGAGATTTACCACATGGATTAAAGTGTAGTCTTATCCGATTGATTCCCACAATCACCGGTGAATCAAAGGGGAATGAATGTATGCGTGCTTGGCGTATCTGTCTGTGTGTCTACTACCAATTCAACGGTAAAACGGGATGCGTATTACAATGAACCCTCTTGTGGTGCACGATGATGTTTCCCCGAGAAAGGGTAGGTGGGTATTGAATGCAAACAGCGCCACTCTCTCCACACTCACATCTCTCAACCTTAGACAAAGTGCCTTCCTCCTGCACGACACTTTGAGATCAGACGCGAGAATCGAGATACATCATGTAGGCACCTTTCCCCGCATTGTACAGCTTTACGTCACGCATACTTAGTGTATAAAAAAGGGTCTTTTTCGTCATTTTGCCTGTCCGCCCTTTGCAATCAATGATAACAGATAGTCTTACCGATACGTGCGAAATAGTCTATATTTAGGGTCTGAAACATGTTAGTTGCCTCTCAGATAAGCAATCAATCCAATTCTTCCAATCGATCGTCACATGAGAATCGGACAGACAGAGAGACAGAGAAAAAGCATAGATTTGTGCGAAAAATAGAATACATCTTTGAATTGATGGATAGAAAGAAGGAGGCATTTCCAACTTCAAATAATATATAAAAGCAACCTTCTCTCTCTCAGCGACCTTTTCTATGCCACCAAAGTATATACGTTGAAGGACTATGAATTTGACGATCATCAGCAGTCGTGATCCTACTATCATCGCAATATTTCCAAACAGGTTGACCTTTCTCATCTTGTGCACGAACGGTGGCGGTATAATGTCCACCGCTTAGACTACCAAAATGATGGGTTGCTGCGTATAAATCATACACATATGGAGGTTGTTGACTTGAACTGATCGGCATTCCTTTCGGAACAGCTCCTGGCGGTAGAGGCGGTGGCATATAATTCGTCAGATCCAAATTGGATGTTGGGAAGGACACATTCGTTTCAATCTTATCGGTAAACGGTCCTTTGAACGAGAATCTCTTCAAATGAATCAAGAGCACTTGTGGTAGACGTGAGATCGTCAACTTCTTCGTCGCTTTTCGCGGTTTGTTGCACCTTGGACAATGCCATGCATCCGCTTTATCCAAGATTTCATCCTTCGTGAATGCGTCCAAACATTGTGCTAGGGTGACTTTGTTGCCCATTCCACGAGCAGTTGGAGGGATTGGCAAGGAGAGGTACAAGAAAGCATTGTATGTGGTTGATGTCTTTCCACACGTCAAGCATGTCAACTTGTTGCGGAACTGTCCTTGGAACCAATCGACAATCAAAGATTCATTTCGTTCACGATAGATCTGCCATTCCTTCACGCTTGCAATTTGTTGTGGTAGAATCTCCAATTCGTGTTCACGCTCAGGCGTCATTTCTACCGGCGGCGGCTTTTGCTTGACGTAATTCAAATCTTCATGAAGACCGTCCAACAAAAATGCCAAAAATTCTTGAGCGTCATGCTGATCGCAACCACGGAAAGCAGGAGCATAACGTGTGATAGCCTCTCTAAACGTGACAGGGGATACAAAAGTGTAATTCTCTGACCACATCACCCGAATCAGTTGCGCAAATGCTTCAGCTAGAGCACCTTGAGTGCCTAACGGATTCACCCGATTGATCGCCTTCTTGTACGAACCATCCAACAAGAATCGAGAGAGAGGAATAGTTGCGCTCAAACATTGAAGTGTTGAATTCATATAACACGAATTGCCAACGTTCTTCAAACCAGTCATGCCTATGCGTATATTATCTTCCATCCTCTTGGATCGAGGTACGCTGTTCCCAGTCGCAGAATGGTGAAGCCTGGTTGCAGCAGCAGCTGAGCTCATCGGCGGCCCACTATAAGGCGATGGAATCGGTGGACGGCGGCTCAGGTCCATTGACATCCTTCCTGCTGATTCAAGCGATGGTGAGCGCATGCCCAGCCCACTTGAAGCTGCCGTTGGGGCAGGAGGCGGCAAGGGTGGAGCATGAAGGGATGCGTTGTTGAACATCGGTCTCTTCTGCAGTTGTGCATTCAGTTGAGGATAATCAAATGTACCTGTACTTTGTCGTACCGGCGGAGAGCTCATGTTGGCATTATTGGCGTAAAGTGGAATGTGTGGTTGTTTTGCATGTATGCTACTGGATTGCAATCCCGTATGCGAGGCGGTATTCCCTCCAGATTGATAAGCTCGAGCAGGCATCGAAAGCGAATCGCCCATATCCATTCCTGATCCATAGCTCATTCCATTCACACCGCTTCTGCCATTCATTGACGCCTGACTACCAGCCATGTGACCAGGAATCAGCGAAGGTGGTGGTGTAGAGATGTACATCGCTTGTCTCTTTGAACGGCCATCACCATTGACTGCATCAGAAGTCGGTGCTTCTCCGCTCTTTCCTCGTCCAGCATCGATGCCGCTTTCACCTTGCATGCCACCTTCCCCAATTTTGCGTGACCACCTTTCCACACCGCCAACAAGCACCATCGGTATCTGATCCGGCGCTGAACGGGATCCATCTTCCATCAAACCCTTGTACACTCTATCGATCAAACCATTACTTGCTCCTCGACCATCTCTATCACACAAGAGCCAGATATCGTATGCATTCCTTTCCGCAAATGCATGTTGTTCAGGCGCCGTTGCAAGTTGTGCGCCAATCGCTTCTAAAGTCATTACAGATTGAACATTTGAAGGATCAACATTGATCGAATCTGCTCCTTTCATTCTTGACCTCTCCCAATCACGCCTTGAACGAATGTCAATCACCAAAATTCGAGGTCCTTGTCGTTTGACTACTCGAGTCTGTCCTGTTTTTGGATCATTCACGTTATCATATCCAGGATATAGCAAAGGGAAAAGATCCTCAACACTTATCTCACGTTTGGGCGGAATCGATACCGAAGTTTTTGAAGGACGGCCTGCTTGGGATGGAGGAACAGGTAAAGGCCTAGACGGCGTATCCGGTCTAGGATGTTGCGACTCAAAATCGTCCAAGGTAGGATACGATTTGTTGAATTCAGACTGCGTTGGTATGTATGTTGGCTGCATATCTGGTCCAACAGGCTGACCGTCATTGAGCCCGATAAAACCAGACTTTTCCAATCTAGGACTAGGAAGTCCAGTCCGCACGCTGGTTGGCATATGATTTGGTGAATTTGAAGCTGACTGTGGCTGCGAAGAAGTAGCTCCATCCATCGAAGGAGTGTAGCCCATCGCGGCAGATCCAGGCAATGTCATTCGTTTCCTTGCTTCTACATTATCCGCACCTCCATTTGCACGAAGAGCACCTAGTCTGCTGGCCAATGAATCCATCTGAGCAGCAGTCTGATCGGTGATAGCATCTGTTCCGCCAACTGCACCTTCTTCAGGTTCCGTTTCCACAAATATCTTGCTTTCCTGTTGTTGCTCCTGTAAAGCATTCTTTGCTTCCTGTGCTCTGCTTTCTTCTCTGGCTTGCAGTAATTCTTCCAATCTATGTCCTCTCTGAATGATGTCCGGCACATTTTTCATGAAATCTTGATAACGAAAGTATGTCGGACCACGTTGTTCCAACGTCTTTTGCCAATCAGCATGTTTGGGTATATTGGCTGCCACATCGGCTGCTTTGAGATAATTGACGAATGCTTGTTCGGGCTGACCTTGTGCATCACTTGAACGTGCTTTTTCCAACAAGGCATTGGCAGCGCCAATATAACTCTTTACGCTGAAAGAAGCGTCCAAATGAGTCTTTGCTTGTTTGCGCAAATTGTAAGGATGATTTGGTGATAGGATTGAAGAAGATGTAGGCGTATATGCTGCCCCATTGGTAGTATCTGTACCATTATTTGCCGCAGAGAATGAGTTGGCGCTAGCTGTATTGATGGGATGAACAGACTTCACCCTTGCTGTTGAAGAGGGTGGCGGCATACTTGAGGAAGGAGCTGGTGGTGCAGACGCTCTGGGGTTACCATTTGCTTCAGAAAGCAACTGAGATAGGCCATCAAGGGAAGGTGGAGGGCCTAATCCCCTGGCCGCGAATGGAGACGGACTTGACATCTTGTTCCCGAATCGCTCAAAGTGATGCGAATTTTGCTTGAACGAGCATATGGATCTCTTATCAGATGGAGGCGTTAAAATGAGATGAGTTGAACGCCTTGCACGTATCACCGACCTGAAGTACACTTTGCGTAAAGTTAAAGAACAGATTTGCACTCTGTTTTAATGAGAAGTTCGGGTTATCGTACACTTAAAGTACAAGTGACTGTTTCTATTTGTGATCGGCAGCGAGGGAGATCAAATATTTCATGCTCCACCAAGCAGGTTGAAGAGGTCTAGTCAGTGAAGCAGAACAATGGTCGTACAGCCTATCCTGCCTTTCGTTGAATATTTGATTGTTAAGTGTCGTAGTATTGTATTGCCTGTTTTATGGCTGATGGTATTGAACGACGTTGAAGCAGTGTATCTCCACCAAGTCAAATGCCAATGGATCCTCCTGTTCATCGGAGCTTATAGCTTAGCCCGAGCATTCAAAGTATACCAGCCCACACGCACGCCCTTAGAGCTTATTAATTATTACCCATGCACTGCCCTGCCGTTTTTGTATTGAATGCGCTGCGCAGCGCAAGCCCAGCCTACGATACATTAATACTCCCTCTTTTGCCAAGCTGGATTGATTGCATCTTTGCTCCTTTCATCCAAAGTATCATCTGGCAGCATTTATCTGGCATATTTCAATCATAAAATTAAACAATACTTTCATGATCAACGTACTCCACCACTCAACACTGAAAGCACTGATTAATTCAACAACAGGCTTTAGCGTATAGATTGTGATTAGAGTGGTTCCTTTGTTCGTAGAGTATAAATAGACATGCTTCTCATAAGCTGGGGCGGTTCATTTGAATATTGTCATATGTCAAAATCGAAACAGCCAGCTAAAGTCTTTTCCAAAGCATTCCATCCGCAAGAGTCTTAACGATTGGCGCAATAAATGTTCAAATTAGGTGCCGAAGTTTTCAGTCCGTCAAGGGAATCATTCATTTTATCCACATCATCATTGTGACTTTATCATAGGGGTTGTTTCTCATGCTGGAAGTATGTGTGTGTGTGTAAGACCAGATTCAGACTAAACTAGGGCCTAGTTTATCATGCAATAGGATGTATAAGGTGCATCTCGTTGCATACTCGAATGTTTATACCCTCAAAGGCAGTGTTGTCGTGGGGTGTGGTGTGGTGTGGTGTTTTCTCACATGCGTTTAAAACAAAGCGCGTTTTCAATCCCATTTCTCCGCCTTTAAACAGAAAGAACAGCGCGTACGGATTTCCTGGCTCTTAAAATTAAGGCTTTTTTTATTAAATAAGAAAAAAAAGAAACACTTTCTTTTTCTGCACGTTTGTCATGCTCAACCTAAAACATATCTCATTTCCATTTCATCACCTCGACACCTAATCGACAGCAGTTACTACTTTCAAACCTTTGGAGATCGAAAGAAAGATTGTGGCATGCGTAATCTTTGAATGGCAACCTCTGCCTAGCAAAAAAACAGAGACATTCCATTACCGACTCCATTTCAAAACAACACAAACAATGAGCAGTCAATAAGATACACAATTGGAATATTGAAGCATAGATGGTATACGCAGGAACGCAAACGAACAACAAGATGTTCATGCCAAATCCTAGGGAAGAATCGGACGAGGATCATCATTCCGCTGAGCCAAGTCCATCTTCGTTTACCAGTCCATTGGACACATTTGCAGCAATGACAGCTGCAATGGTGATGCAACAACAACAATTTCAACAGCAACAGCAACAATATCTTGCCTCTGCTCAAGATGAACAGCAATACATGACCAACAATGAAGAAACAAACGATGCTCCCAGCAATATCTCTCGAAATGGATCTTCAGCTAGGATGAATGCTATCGCCAAACTCAAACGAGCAGCATCACAACGGGAAATGCGAAATAAATCGCCAGGTCCTAACCTTGATGATCAATCTTTCAGCACAACTCCAGAACCACAGTTTTTACATCCGATGAACGACATAAATGGGCCCTATTCTCAATCTTCACATAGTGCAATTCCATACGATTTCAGTGACGCAGGTCATACGGGAATAGATACATTGCCAGCAGCAAATGCAAGTTCTGCCGGTCATTTCACGCCATCACCCTTGCCAGATGGACGAAATCTATCACCATTCGGATTCGAGAGAGCTGCTGGAGCTTCTTCTTCTTTAGGCGTCAATGGTGTACAAAGGAGCCGTTCGCGGAATGAAGGTGGTGGAAGATCTCCATTGCCATCGCTTGAGCAGCTTCGGGCCAGAATTCTACAAGAGAGAGCCGCGGCCGGTTTGGCTCGAAGTGCAAGTACCAGTGCAGCGAGTGCCGCGGCAAGGCAATATGCCTTGGACAAATTGCTCGGAAGTAGTGGTCGTGAAGGTGCGGTAAGTCCAGTAAGTGATACGGCCGAAGATCAAGAAGAGGAGGAAAAGAGAATGTCTGTACACAAAACGGAAAGGAAGATGATGCTCAGACGAAGTAGAACAATTGGCGGACTGAGTGCAGCTGCTGAAGCACAACGAAAAGCAGCATTCGTTGAAGCGTTGGACAAAGGCATTCCTGATGAGAAACGCGACACACGGAGAAGTTCACGCAGGTTTGCACATGCACCACCAGGTGCGAGCGAATCAAGATCCAACTTTGAGCCTGATGAAGCTTCTTATCAACAATTACCGATCCCAGGTCCATCACAAGAACGTCAAATAATACGAACAGAAATGTTACGTAAATTGTCTACCCGCCGCGGTGCTCGATCGCCTGGGAACGTTTTAGATGAAAATTCAAATGAAACCGATGAGCAAATCCGAACGAGGGCAAATTTAAATGCAAGTCCTTCATCAAAAATGCTGCTTAATATGACACCCTCTCCTGCAAAGCCGGCATCTGCAACTCTTTATCCCACACCCCCTTCTTCGGCCCCTTTGAAAAGTTGGCGTGGTGCTGGAACTCCTTCTCCTAATATGCAAACACGTTTATTAACGGTACCGCAAAGTGGAAGTGGCTCGCTTGCACGGTCGCCGTCTTCACATTCATCGACTGCTGGAATGCATGAAGATGAAAGAAATAGGGCCAGTGAAATGGCTCGATTCTTTGGAGAGGAGGCATTCGAGTATGAAAGACTATTAGAATTGGGATATACGACAGATGATGCTTACGAGCGTGTGGCAAGTGCAAGAAGCTATCGAACGAACAGTGTCATGGACGCAAGCAGTACCGCAATGTCACCTCGTTCTGCTCAAGGCGAATGGGGAGATAGCAGTACTGCTCATGCAATGCCTACAGCACCATTCTTTGCCTCATCTGCCAAGGATGAAGAACGAAAGGGATTCGACACTCTCGAAGACACTGCTCTGGAGCCAATTCACCCAGCCACCAAAGAGGATCAAACAGCCGATCGTACTGAGGATGCAGGATTTGGGGGCGACAACATTGCCAATTTACCAGTCAACGTGTCTCCCATTCATGCATCTCAGCCGAACACAATTACAATCAGTCAGGATGAGTGGGTATCGAAGCACCCATCAGAAGCGAGTATTCCACTAGGCTTTGACACGAGTATGGTCGATGACAGCAATTTCAAATCAAACACAGTGTTTGCTGATCATGATCGATTCCCCACAAATGCATCAAGACCAAGCTTAACAGCATACCCTGATAGCGTCGCGAATGCGTCCAGGACAAGCGAATCATCAGAAAAGCGAGAGAGCGATTCCAACAGCAGATCAGGACGGAAAAATAGTCGACCATCTATCGCACCGATCTCCACACCCAATACAAAGCAAACGAGAACCGAAAGAATTGAAGACTTACTCACGCCTGGATTTTTGGCTGAAGTTGGTAATCCATTGGACTATTCAGCTTCTCCTATTGATACTCCTGATCAAGTAAAGAAGGATCCATTTGAAAGTGTCTCGCGTGGAGGTGATGCTGGTGGCGTGAGCGCAGAAGATAGCAGTAGCAGTGACGACAGCGAACCTGACGAAGGTGCTGAAAATAGTGCAGATTATTTGCAGCACGTTGACAGGATGACACGCAAATTGGAAAAGTTCACCAAAAAGTCAAAAAGGTCACAACGTGATGATGCAGTTCAACAATCCAGTGCAGCACAAGTTCGAGCTGCTGCTGAAGACTCCGCTAGGGAATTGCCTGCAAAGACAGAGCAAAGTCCAGCAGCAAAGCCTTGGAAAATCGAAAAAGGATACGATCATGTTGCCTACAGAGGGCTCGGAAAAGATGAAGCGACTTTAACCAGATCTACATCATACAAGGATAGGAATGTAGGTGTAAGTCCCAAGGCTGCACCTAATGCAGCACTAGGTCCCAAGGTAGCACCTCACACAGGTCTTGGACCTCTGAAGATGCCGGATCCCAATCATGTTTCGCCTTCTCACTATATGACCAACGACAAATTGGCACCTTTCCCTGGCTTATTGACACAACAGCAAAAGAGTGATCATGGTGACGCGAAGCGAATTCCTTCAGTGAAGAGAAAGCCTTCACCTTTGGTCAATCCTCCGAAAGGGCCTCTACCTAGACCGCCTACAGCTGAAAAGATTGAAAAGCCAAACGAGGACTTGACAAACGAAAGCTCAATTTCTGTTGCAACTATTGATGCGAACGAGATGAACAATTCAGCTCAGAAAGAGACATTCTTTTCGACATTGCGAAGGAAAGCTTCAAATGCGGCAGCTCGGAAAGGTTCACCATCTCCTTCTCCAGCTGCCAACAATGGACAGACGGACAAGGAAGGACGACCTTCAAGTCCTACAAAGAAGTTCACCTCATTCCTAACGCGAAAGATTTCTCAAAAGGCGTTCAATGGAGCTACGTCCCACAAACGTGATGGATCGATAGCGCAAAAGGGGGAAGCAAAGGCAGTCAATGAACCTTCAGGGGACTCTACGCCCTTTGGCAGCTACAACTCTTCCCCTAACGAGAAAGGCAGCCCAGTCAACCAGAGTAAATTGATCTTACAAAATGAACAAAGCAGCAAGCCAGCATTGTCGAATGGAAAGCATGGTCATACACCATCAGCATCTGCGATCAATCCGGCCATTAGCAGAATTGGTGGAATCAGTGCTAATCATTCACGTAATGCAAGTGTTAGTTCAACGATGACAAATCAACAAGTTGATGACCCTACTCTCGTCTTGGATCCAGGTCATGCTATCTCGCCTCCCTTTATCACTCCGCCAGCTGCTTTGGCACCTGCAACGGCAGCCGTTTTGCATCGATACAGTCGCATGTTGACAGCTCCGAATGAGTCCTCCAACCTGCCCGACATTCCAGGCTTGAATGCAAAGAATCTCGATGATCCTCCTCGTCGGTACATCATGTCTGCTCCGATGTTGCAAGTCGTTACCTCGAGTACAGTCAAAGATCGATTCGTATTCTTATTCTCCGACTTGATCTTATTGGCCAAGCCGATGCGACCTCCAACGAAAGAGACTGATGCCAGCGCCCTGCCAACGCTTGCTTGGACTTTCTCAGTAAAGAGTATTCTACCCTTGAACGAAGTCAAGTTGACTCTACCCAAATTGGAAAGACGTCAAAATGCTACACAAACACCTCTCATGGCCCAGTTTGTTGCTCAATTCAAGACGAATCCCAAAGAAGCATTCAAAAGTGTAATTTCGCAAACAAGCTTGCCAAATGATATCACAACGATGGCTAAATTGCTTCATCAGACACCAGAATTGGATAAAGCAGAATTGAGCAAGTATTTATTCAGCTCCGATCAAGAGAATGCTCAAGTGATGCGTGCTTTTGTCTATCAAGAAAAGTTTGCAGGTGTTTCGATCGAGTCTGCTTTGCGTTCGCTTTTGCTTGAATTACGATTCCCATCCAAGCGTGAAGAATTACAAGAGATGTTATCCGTCTTTGCCCGTCAATGGACGGAAACGAATCGCGAATTGATCAAAAGTACGTTCACGTCCAAATTGGCTGTTGAATTGGTGACTGCAATCATGACATTAAATGATGCATTACACTCGCATGAGGTGCAAACGCCAGGTTATTATTCTGAACCAAATGCCAAATTGGACAGTGAGGAATTTATCAAGAAGTTCCGAGCTGCTGATCCAGGTCTTGTTCTATCCGATAGGACTTTGCTTCGAATTTACAGCAGCGTCAGTGCTGATGCCATCCAACAAGCCATGCTACCTGAAGGAGAAGAGGGTGAACGTAACGTAGCACGTATTTTGGCTCCAGGTATTCCGATGCGAATCGTTTATGGAGTTTGGAGTGAACCGATCAAAATTGCAATCCCTCGCGCTGATCCTGGCTTGAGTGTGCGTATTTACGGTCAAGGATTGCAATTTTCACCACAAATCTTATCATTTGAGAATGGTCATATTCAAGAATTCAAAGTGACAAGCAAGAGTTTAGGTGTTCATTCGATCATCTTTGTACGTGCAGGCAAGAATGCACGCAATTATACCTCTACCCCACGTGAGGTTGGAGAAGATTTCCCATTACCACGATCGATCAATATTTCTGTTCAAAGGGCGTTCATGCAACATTGCTTTACCGTTACACATTCAGCAGAGAGGAGGTTTATGATGAGCGTGGAAGATGATGCGAAACGAAAAGCATGGTTACGTGGAATCAAAGAACGTTTAGATCATGTTCAACGTCAAAAGAAGAACGTAAATAATAACATGAGTGCCAGTGCTGATTCTTTGGCAATGCATGTTCTCAAGGAAACATTGATCAAGCCAGATGTTCCGGTTAGCATTTTGCAAAGAAGTGCAAGTACGGCAAGTCCTTTGAATGGAGGTATGAGTAACGCAAAGACTCACTTTACTTCAGCTGCTGCTGCAACTACTTTGGGACGTGCTCCTTCTGATTCGAGAGCATTGCTTCATCCTTTGCACGGAATAGGATCTGCTGCTCTGGGTAATCGTGGCTTGGACGGTACAAAAGGTGGTGGTCTTGGATTGGGAAATGGATTCCCTTCATCTCTAAACAACAATGTCAGTCGACAAGAATCAATTAGTAAACACTATTATGGCGCCAAAGGACCAGGACATTCGGAGAGGGATCTTTTGGATCAAACACAATTGGCACGATCACCACTTTCTGCTGGCACAACTTCTAGCTCAAGTCCATCTACTCGTTCAAACGGTCAAGATTTGGATAGAAGTGTTTCTGCTTCTACAAATACGACAGCAACAAGTGTTTCACCAACAAGAACTCCAATCGAGAGTTTAACGGGAGAAGAATTAATCTTGACCGTAAAGCAAAATTCGCTACTTTCGCTCGTTATTGCACATGCTCAATCCAATTCAACAGCAAAGAATATTTGAGAAGCCTGATTGATTGGATGATTTTTCCCACAATTTCTCTACATTGTATAATACATTCATATTTATGGCACAAACAAATGACAACAATGAAACTTAAGTTAAGTGAGTGAGCGAGGAATTGTGGGCCATGTGTGAATTGTTTGGCACTAAAAACTCAAAAGCCGGCCGCATAATCAATCACACATTAATGAACCGTGCATTACGCCTGAGTATAATAACTCAAGTTCCTGAAAAGGCGTGTGCTCATATTTGTTCTTAGTAAGGTCATTCATCAATAAAAGTCGGAGAGTAGATCTCGATGGAAAGTGGGTTTGAGTTGTGATTGACGTACTCTTTCTTCATCATCACAAGCCTCACCAAGTCTCGATCAGGGGCACGTGTCGATCACCTTTTTTCGGTTCAAAGGAGTCGGAGATAAGTGATTTTCCCACAAAGTAACAGCCTTCAGACGACCAACTTCCATCAGCAACAGACTTTCATGGCGTTTCGCACTTGATCAAACAACTCTCCCTTACTTTTCATTCCCCATTCGAGTATGTCGGTCGAAATGTCTTATTCAACAAGTGATCAACGTAGTCCAATCACTGCAATAGCCGGAACTTCAGCAGCAGCAGCTTTGGTCAGTGGATCGATAAATTCACCAAACACTGTTCATCCATCTGAATGGTCATTGCAACAAGTTCTACAATGGCTACACACCTTACAACCCACAAGCATTGCCAATCAACATGCAAACAAGTTTCGCGAACACGGAATCGAAGGTGATATTTTGTTGGAATTGGATACGGAAGCCCTAGGTGATATGGGCATAACGTCTATTGGACATCGATTGGCAATCCTGCGTGGAGTGTATGAGCTGAAGAAGAGATGGAACATCGAACTTGAACCGGATTCATGGAGACCAGACGTTCAATCTATCTCTGAAGGACGTGTGAATAATAGCGCTTTAAGTGCATATTCATTCTTGTCATCTTCTTCCAATGGAATCTCTTCTGCCACGCCACAAGCAGCTATCGCTGATCTTGTTCGAGCTTTATATGAGCGTGATGAACGACTTTGGACGCTCGAGCAAGAAGTAGCCAGGTTGTACGATTGGCTGGTACGCTATACAGACGATTCGACACATTCCGCCAAAACGATTGAAGCTCTGCGACCTTATCTACCTCCGTCAAAGCCGCCGTCAAATCTTTCTTACATCGCTCAAACCTATCTTCGAGAGAGAAGATCTTTCACCTCCGCTTCTGGTAACGGTAATGGAGGCTTGCAAGTGCATGGAAATTATACCACCGGACCAGGTACAGATGCAGATGGTTCAGGATCCTCATCTGGAAGAGGCAGTAAAACACCAATGACCGCTACTGGATTCCGAAGCGTTCATGATACCAATCAAACTCATTCACCTTATGGATCCGCACCCGGAAATGCTTCTCAAACAGGTTTCAGCCCGACTACCAGTACACCAGGCGCAACGCCAACAAATGCACACCCTCCTATCTCGATTGCAAATGATGCCAGTAAAGCCAACCCGTTAGTGACTACAACCTTTGTTCCGGGAAGCGCTGGAGGATTATCGGCTTCCTCGAGCGGTACATTAAGCGGATCATTATTACAAGCCTCTCCTCCAAGTGCTCTTGGCAGTACGATAGCTAATAACAGTAACGCAACACCAGCTTCACTCACTGTCAATGCCGCCGGATCATCGATTTCGCCATCTTCGCCATTCAGCGTCGGAAGTAATGACGGCAGAAAGGAAAAGAACGCAGATAGTGCTGGACTTCTCAACACGAGCGGAACGAGTGGCAGTGCTGGATCGAGTAAAGCGACTGGTACTGGTAGTAGCGGTAGTGGTAGCGGTGGCAGTGCGGCTGATACACCTTACAAATCATTCCGAGTAACTTTGGACGATCCATGCTACAAGGTGCTACCTGCCGCACTCAAAAAGTACAAGATCGATGACGATTGGCGACAATATGCTTTGTTTATCTGTTATGGAAGTACGGAACGTTGTTTGAGCTACGATGAAAAGCCTTTGCTTTTGTTCCAAAAGCTGAAGGAGAACAAGCAGAGCCCGGTGTTTATGTTGAGACATATCAGAGACGTCAAATCACCAATTGCTATCGCAAGTGCAAAAGCAGCTGCACGCAAGACATCTACTTCGAATGGCTCCGGTTCCACCAACGGAGAGAATGAGGCTGCAGGAAAGTCATCTTCTTCCAAATCCGGTGTTAGCAAGGTTGCAGATGCTGTTGCCAAATTTGGAGGAACGACGGGCGGAAAAGACGGGGGTGGAAGTGATGCAGGAGGCGGCGGCAGTGGAGATAAAGGACAAGATTCGGGTGCTTTCATTGATTCTGTTCCTGGACAACCGCGTTTGACAGGACCTGCTGCTCATTTGATCGATGGTAAAACGACTGACGGAGGTGGACGCGGAGCAGCAAGTGCGGCAAGTGCTTCTGGATCGGATACTTATGCGATCGCAATTTATCCTTATGTTTCAGAAAGAGAAGATGAATTTGATGTGGCAGTTGGAGATACGTTTATCGTCAAATCCAAAGCCAAAGGATGGTGGGTCGTTCAACGTGATGCACGTGCAAAAGGACATCCTATCGTTGAAGGAGTCGTGCGTAATTTAGATGGAACGCCTAGAAATGGCGGTGAGATTAAGAGTGGTTGGGTACCTGCTGGATGTTTGTTAGAGACCCGCCAGCCGCTGTCTTCGATTGTAAGTCTGCCTCAAGGTGAAGGTGGAGACGCATTGGCAGCTCAAGTTCTCCATAGTCCGACATCACCCAAAACACCTCAAGCAGGATCTAGGATGGAAGATGGACAAGCGAAAGAATTGGCTTCGATAATGGCAAGTGTTCCTATTCCGCCTTCTTTGATCACGAGTACGAGTACGCCGGGAATTTTATTAATGGATTACAATAATAACGATGAAAAGCTTCACCTCAAAAAAGATCAAAGGTTACGTGTTTTCAAGAGGTATAATCATTGGTCTTATTGTGTTGAAGAAGGTGGATCACATACACGTGCATGGTTACCAAGTTGGTATATCGGTAAAGTAGGAGGATCATCAAGAAACGGAAGTTCTTCGTCTAGTAGAGCAGCAGCACAATCTGCAACGTCTGGCAGTGGTTCTGCAAGTGGAAATAATACCGTTCCTTTGACGATATGAACTATGTTGGCCTTTTTTTTTATAATACCATTACCTTTTGCAAGCCTGCATACTTTTTTTCATATTCACATACCGATCTCCTTCGTAGCATATATTCACATTTACCTTATTTGCACCGGTTTCTCATCATTCTTGACTGCCTGTAATTGCCAATTATTATCAACGTGGAACGCAGTCTTGATCACATTGTTAGTAGAAAATGTTTCGAGGAAAAGCAATCGTGTGTCCGAGAATTGTGCCGGGAAGATGATGTGTGAGATGTGTTTCAAGTAGGTTGAAGACAATGTCAAGCACACTCGAACATCACTCAGATTGAGACGACATGTGCTGAATAATGTATCATTCCTTGTTTTAAACATTTTTTGGGTAAACAACCATAACAATTTAATTTCATTCAACACTATACATTCTCTAGATGAGTGTGACAAGAAAATGGATTTGCTCTCTGATATCACCACAACCGCCTTTTTTGCCTGATGATATGGTGAAATATCGACTTTAAACATTTCAGATGTACTTTATCGTCATTAGGCAGTATAAATATAATCAATGTTTATTTTAAAATTTCGAATAATTATTGATCTGAAGAGCATACATGCAAATCCATTCTGTTTAAAAGAAGTGCTGCTCAAACGTTGCTAGCAATCGATCCAAGTTTCATCTAAAGACTGCTATAAGAAGCGGTTGGAGAAGCCACTTTTTGCGAATTCATGGTTTCGATCTTGTGATGCATTTTAGATCGTTGATGGCTTTCCAGGCACAGTATCTTTAGGCCCAAATGGTACACGCGTCAAGTGCCTAGACAGCAACCATTTCATCTCAAGCCAGCATTGCTGTACACACGCACACACACGCACACACACACACGCACACAATATCTGTCGCATGGAGCGTGCACATTTGTCCACTATTAGACTGGAGTAAGGGCACAGCATCACTTGCAAACCTTCTCATCCACCATCCACTACCTATACTCCGCCTTTACAACAAGTAGCCATCGACAGGTATTCTTTGGCAAAACATTGTACATCTATAATACACCAGCAGCCCACCGTATCATTCGCTCATCATGGCTGACGAAAGACCAGTAGTGGTGGACAATGGAACAGGTTTCGTCAAAACGGGTTATGCAGGAAGCAATTTCCCGGAATTCGTATTCCCTTCTATCGTTGGACGTCCAATCTTACGTGTTGAAGAAAAGGATGCAGCAGCAGGAGAGATCAAGGATATCATGGTAGGAACAGAAGCAGCCGAATTCCGCAATTATTTACAAGTTTCTCAACCTATGGAACATGGTATCGTAAAGGATTTCACAGATATGAGACACGTTTGGAATTATACTTTTGATGAAAAGCTACGTATCGATCCAAGAGGAAGAAAGATTTTGCTTACCGAACCACCAATGAATCCAAAGAGAAATCGAGAAGAAATGTGTCAAATCATGTTTGAAGAATACGGATTTGAAGGTGTTTATGTTGCCATCCAAGCTGTCTTGACTTTGTACGCTCAAGGTTTGCAAACGGGTGTGGTTGTTGATTCTGGTGATGGTGTTACGCACGTCGTTCCTGTCTATGAAGGATTCGCTTTGCCTCATCTAACAAAGAGATTGGACGTTGCAGGTCGTGATGTGACACGTTATTTGATCAAACTTTTACTTTTACGTGGATATGCATTCAATCGAACGGCCGATTTCGAAACCGTACGACAAATCAAGGAAAAGCTTTCTTTTGTCAGTTATGATTTGGACTTGGACAAAAAGCTAGCAGAAGAAACGACAACATTGGTAGAATCTTACACACTTCCCGATGGAAGGGTGATCAAAGTTGGCAGTGAAAGATTCGAAGCGCCCGAATGTCTTTTCCAACCTCATCTTGTAGATGTCGAACAACCTGGTGTTGCAGAGCTATTGTTCAACACAATTCAATCAGCTGCTGTGGATACCCGTTCAGAGTTGTACAAGCATATTGTATTGTCGGGAGGGTCAAGTATGTACCCCGGATTGCCAAGCAGATTGGAAAAAGAATTGAAGCAACTATACTTGACAAGAGTTTTGAACGGAGATGGAAATCGATTGAAAGCGTTCAAATGCAGAATCGAAGATCCACCAAGACGTAAACATATGGTATTCTTGGGAGGAGCAGTGTTGGCAGATATCATGAAGAATCGTGATTCGTTCTGGATCTCTAGACAAGAATGGTACGATCAAGGTCCTGCTTGTCTAGAAAGGCTAGGTCGACATGCATGATTTGTACAGACTTGTATTTAAGAGGATAATCACTGCAATTCTAATCTCTGAACTGATTGTTTGAAGGGTATGCAAATGCGATATGGCATTAAATGAAAATAGAGGTATACAGGCGTCCGCGTAAGTGAAGGTATGAGAAGGAAAGGTATCTATGTTTGTATCTGTAATGTATGGCCATGGTTAGGTATTTTTGCTGATGGTGCTATTCCATTTGCTGTCTTCTCAAGACCATATTGTCAAATAAGGCATCCGTTCGGGCATCCAAGTTTTCTTCGTTCAACTCCCCACTCCGTGCAAAAGCGTACATTTTTCGCAAAACGTCACGTAACATCGTACGTGACATTGGAACGGTAACTTCATCGTCCAAATCTTCTTCATTTGCATCTTCATCTAACCATGTTCCATTGCCGGCCGCCATACGTGCTTGTTGACGTTTATGTTGTTGTTCCAAAGGTCGTAAGAGAGGATGTTGAAGAAGTTGAGGGATCGTAACTCGATCTAAAGCAGAATACGTGAGCGTTAGACGCAAAACATCAATTAGATCTTCATCTACTGACTCCAACTCCGTTTCATCGTCTTCTTCGTCCTCCTCTTCCATACCGCGATGTCCACTATCTTGTGGTTCAGATTTTCTTGGTCCATAACGAACAGATGAGAAATCGATCTTGTGATTTGGGTCCAAAATCTCGCGCAATTTATCATCACCATGGAATGCTTCAAACGGTGGTCTGCTGTACACCATTTGATACAATATACATCCCATAGCCCAAATGTCACTTGCTTTGCCGGCTTTGTACACTCTCGAAGGCGCACCTCCGCCCTGTGCATGTAAGCCTGCATTGGGTGTACGTCCATTACGACCTTCCTTTACAGCACGTACAGTTTCAGGTGCCATATAATTCGGCGTTCCAATCATTGCATCACGTTTGATATGGATCGTTCCAACGGGAATCTTTTGAGCGATACCAAAGTCGATCAATTTTAATCTACCGTTTGCCATCAAAAAGTTGGCAGGTTTCAAATCGGTGTGAACGATATTACCTTCTTCATGGGTAAAATGAACGGCTTGTAGCATTTGATACCAGTAACGAATGATTTGTGCATGACTCAAACATTGGGCACGCAAAATTTGATTGAAATCATGTTCACCCAATTCCAACAAGATCTTCAAGCTGCCAGTTGAACTTTTCCAACCGAAGAACCGCAAGATGAAATCCTCATTGTTGCGTTTCGAAGCCAAAGTTTGTAGTAGGTTGCACTCTTCCAACACTTCTTCCCTGCTGACTTGTTCCATCTTCTTCAACGTTACCTGTTTCATGGCAAAATATGCTTGATCCTGCTCGGCTACGTCAATGTATGCGCCAGGATTGAGAGGATCAGGAGCTGCATAAGGTCCTCTAACAACCCAAACGGTTGAAAAGCCTCCTTCGCCTGCTTTACGAATCTTTTTGAATTTATAACCGTTAAATTTCGTTTCGAGATCCTTACTTGGCTTTGCACTTAGCTGTTCCAAAAATGGAGCATTTGCTTGTCGAGCTGCTTCTTCTCGAACAAGTGTCATGAAATCCGAAATACTTCTTGGTGTTGGAGGAGCAGCTGCTAAACCACGCGAAAGATCCACATGACCATTCATCACGCCCAAACCGGTTTGCATCGAAGGAGGAGCTGAATCTGTCGTATGAGCAACCACTCGTCTAGGCGCAGAAGCCATCTCAGCAGCAGAAGGTACTTTTGCCGACATGATATCATTCATTGCTGTCCTCTTCTTGTGGAACGGCAGCTCTGTTCCACTGATTGCAGGGCCACCGATCGTTCGTACACCACGTCGAGCACCAGCATCTTGTATTTGTACTTGTCGAGCGGGGACGTTCTTCTGGATCTCTTGATACAATTCCTCTTCCTCATCATCTTCGTCAGCACCTAGAGGGACTCGCAACATAGCATGTCGGCCACCGCTGCCTCCACTACCATCGCTTCCGTTGCTCACCTCATGGCCATAATGATCCGCATCGACTGGTACGTCCGGACCATGAGATGCGCTTCTCCTTCCATTGGCTGAGTGCCTTTCATAAGTCTCAGCTCGGTATGATTCTTCCTGAATCGGTGAAGGAGCTTTGAAGTCTCTGTGATGTTCATCGTCAGCACGCTTTCCTTCTTCATCATCTTCTTCTTCTTGTTCTATCTGAGGCGCAACGATCCGCTGAGGAGGCTTATCCAAACCTGAATGTCTGTCCATGCGTTTTATTGACCTTCCGACACTCCAAGGTGCTGCACTTGGTCTGCCACCAATCTGTCCTGACCGTAAAGCACGACTGCTTGAAGTCAGACCAGGCGTTTGAAAAGAGGAAGGATTCTCTTTTGATGTCGCTGGCACTTCGTCATAACTTTGAGGCTGCATCTCCTCGCGTGATCCAATTCTTCGGGAGGTCGTCACTTTCGATGATGTGGGTGGAAGACCTTCATCGCTTAGACGTCTGAATACATCGGCTTGCTCGTTGGCAGCGCTTGAGACTGCTTTGTTGGCTTCATCCTGCTCTGCAGAAGAGCGTCGATAGGTAGACCGATTGAATGCGCTGGATGATGCTTTTGAGGGTCCTTCGTTTGCAGATGTAGGAGAGGGAGATCTTCCATTCTGTAAAGCGTTAGAACTTCTCCTGCTTCCCAGGCTGACCTTTCCATCTGGTCTTGTGTATGCTGAGCTTTGATGTGTTCTCGTTCCGTTGGTGGTCGGTTTTGCATTTACCATGGATGCGTGCTCTACATTTTCCTTGTCTTTTACAGCGACATTTCGCATTCCACGCAAGGATGATCTGCTACTCAAACGAGGGTCAGCACTGGTCTTTGCCTGTGATGATTCATAGCTACTTGATCGATTCGAAGCCACAAGAGCAGGACGAGCGGAAGATCGAATTCCATCAGTCGATCCTTTAGCGTTTATAATTTCATCGTACATTCCCATCTGAGATCCTAATCCGCCCGTACCACGTTGAGCTCCCATACTTGCTGCCAAAGAAGCTGGACTTCCTCTTCCTGTATTTACGCCAAGAAGAGAAGATGATGAAAGTGTGCCGATTGTAGCTGATAATCCCCTTGCTTGTCTTTGTGATTCGGCCGCTGCTGCTCTTGCGGAAGGACTAGATGATCCCTCGTTGTCCGTTTGTGTCCGATATCGGTTTCCAATCGCAGTAGATTCATTCAAATCATCTTGCTTTCTGTTTCCACTGCCATAATTATGTGTTTCAGTAAGAGGTGGCGGATAATGATCAGATGGAACAGTGATGGTATCAAGATCATCTATATGCATACTTGGTCTTGAACTTTTCCCGTTTCTTATCAAATCATGCATTGCTTTTGGTGGTGTTGGCAATGGACTTTCATTACTCAATTCTGATGCCGTTTTCCTTATTGGCGTTGTGGCCATGATGGCAGCCATCTTGCAATAAAAGCCAGCCTATCGATTCGCCGCTGACTGGTACAAGCTTGAGCTCGAATAGTTTGCCAATTAGTCCAATGGCCGATGATCTGGCTTTATGGATTGATGGTGATGAATACGAAAGTGAGTGAATGAATGAATGAATGTGTTTCTTATTATCAAAAGTATAACAATTGGCGGAAAGTGTAGCGTAAATTCATAAAGGCATTAGAGCAGTGAAATTAAATCTAACTCTTCAGAATGCAACCCAAACCAACACACACACACACACACACACGCACGCGTCACACAATCACGCGCCAAATATTCAAAGAGGTCGGAAGTGTCTTAACGGAAATTAACCATTTCGGCACCTTGAAAGCTATTATGAACTGAGTCTGATTTTATATGAAATGTGACAGTAGAGAATCATAACATCAAGTCATTTGTATTTCTTCAAATCTCAAATGAGGGTTTGTCAATTTGGGCGTCTAGAAGATCCATCTTTGCGCTATTACTTGTACTGACAGGACACACAAATGTTTTGGGTTATGAATAATATTCGAATAAACGCGCTCTTCCCTCCATTACAAATTCCAACGCGCGTAGAACACGTGCAAAGAAAGGGACATATTCATTTACATGCATGCTGCAATGTGCTTTGTTTGCTTCAACGAATGAAAATTGAAATTTGATATACAAAATAAAGGAGAAAGAAAAAGAAGAAGAAAGGGCATAAAACAAGATTGATCATGGTAAAATAAAGAAAAAAGAAGATAGAAGCAATGTTCTGTTTTTTTACCATGATTCAGAAAAAGAAGATACAAAAAGGGGGATTGTGTACACAAAAAAGGTGATTGGGAATAAAATGAACTTTTCTTGTTTCAAGATGAAAGAGCATGATGATCAGAAGATGCATTGTAATATTGTTGTTGTTGCTGATGCTGCTGCTGTTGTTGTTGTTGATGGTATCCTTGATGTTGATCAACGCCTGCACTACCCGGAGTTCCCATTCGATTTGGTGTGCCATTACCCGGTGCGCCACGATAAGGTTGTTGATAACCACTTCCTTGGCCTGGTGGTCCTGGTGGCGGTCCGGCAGGATGACGTGGTGTAGATGAAGGTGTGTTCTGCATCGGATGTCCATTATCGTTAGACCAAGGAGGCAAACTTGCAGCATTGGCTTCGATCGGACTACGAACATAATCATTTGAAACGGGTGATTGTTGTTGACTGCCACGACGAACAGGTGACATTCTACCGCCTGCTGCATTGGAATCATAAATTGAAGGATCGGCTAAACTTCGAATCGTGCTGGAACTGTGTGGAATATCACCACCACCTCCTTGGAATCCACGTCCAGGAAGAGGTGCACCTCCTCGATTTGCTTGTGGACTAAATTGAGGTCCAGGTCTTCCATTGAAACCATTCCCGCTTCCACCTTGACCACCGCCATTACTTCCTCCATTGCTAGGGATCGGATACATCGTTCCACTTCTTGCTCGTTTTGCATACTTTTCGCACCTTCGCAAGATATCACGAGATGTGATCTCATTCGTCGTATTCAACAATTCACGATCTTGTAATGCTACTTCCAATTCACGAGGCACGCGCCAAAATGCATCTTGATGTTCTAGCAAACATAAAATTGCTCGGTTTGCCAAGAATAATTCATCTTTTGCCGGATCCGTTCCTTTGCTGTAGAGAATGTTCGGTCCTAAAACCATTGCTAAGTTTTGAAGATCCATCTTGCTTCCCGTTTCCTCATCAATATGACTAAAGCTGGCAACCCATCGAAGGAAGACAAACAAAACTTCCATCGTATCACGATGTGCTTTTGGCATCAAAACGCTCAAGAGATGCATGCAACGTAATCGTTCGGCTTCAGGCTCGATATTTTGCGTCATGACGAATAGCCTGTGCAATTTGAAAGTCAAAAGTGGATCGGGTAATTCACGCAACCATTTCTTGAGCAAAGCTGCCAATTGAACCGGATTATCATCGGAAAGATTAACGCTTGAAGCATCTCTGTCCAAAGCTTCACTTAAATCTTTCAATCGACGAATATTTCCATTCTTTCGGAAAATACCTTCGATGGAAACGTCCATTTGTCGCATTGCAGAGATGATATCATCAATAAAAGATGGAACGCGAAGAACGGTTGACGTTGCACCTAAAGTACAATCTGCTCCATTTCTATCAACCAATACTTCCAATGGAACATTGAACGTTCCTTTCTTTTCCACCTTTCTCTTATCCTTGCCTCCTTTGAAGAGTTTGCCCCAAAAGGTATTCTTGCGAATATCGATGAAATCAATCAATTCATCAAACGGAACGACATCCTTCAACGGTCCTTGTTGTAACATCAAAACCGCCAAATGCTTAATCACAAATAGCTCTAGCGCAGACAGATCGGCGATCGCCTTGCCATCATATGTGGGTAATTGACGATTATGCTCTCTTGCTTGTTCTTGTTGTAGCAATTGAGGAATATCAGCCAATGTCAATTGCTCATCAGGATCAGCGATCACATGTCCAGAATCATCACCAGAAGGTTGTCGTAGCGGTCCTTGATCTTGAATACGAACATCAGTGTTATGTCTAGCAAATGCTGGTCGAATTGGAACGATAGGTCCTTGCTTCGTACCGACATATTGATGTTCTTGTTGTGATTGAGGTGGAGCATGTCGTTGTTGCTGTTGACCGCCAGGGTGCAAGTGTTGCGCTCGTCCATTTGGAGAAACATCTCTACTGCGTGCAGGAGTTCTTCTACCTCCGTCACTTTGACTACGATCGACTGGAGCAGAATCATGATAATATGTAGGCGATTTGCGTGTGACATTCGCATCCAGCGGAGAAGTAGGCTTTTGGACTGCTGGTAAATGGCCTGAAGGACTTCCAACAACAGTGGAAATATGTGGCACTTTTGCTTTTGTAGACAACTTTCGATCCAAATTTGTCGATTTCTTCCGTTTGATATCTGTTCCTTCTAGGTGACCCTCATCAGATTCTTCGGCAGTAGTGATGGATGCAGTCTCATTTGGAGGTGTCGTGAGAGGTTGAGGAATAGACAATGCTGCTGATGGTGGCGAAGCCGGAACCACGCCACGCTTCTTCAACAAAGCGTAAAGGCGATTGAGAGCGACTCGTAGTAGATACGAGTATTGCTCTAACCTGCTAACTCTCTCAAAACCGCCTCGACAGGATGCAGTCTTGCATGGTGAACAAAACAGGGTGTACGAGGTACTGTGTTGAATTGTTGGATCTTGCGATCGTCTTTTGATCTCCAAAGCAAATTCTTGCGCTGGGATTGATTCTGGGACCGCAACTGCATCCGATTGTTGCTCTTCTTCTGTTCTTGCCTTAGAGGAAGAAGGATCTCTTTGCGCCAGTCTTTGACAATTGGAACATTTCAAACAAGCTGTATGCCATCGCAAATTAATTCCTATCCTCACACATTCTTCCTCCACCGTTTGACCACAAGCAACACATAAATCTGTTGCACTCTCGCCTCCATCTGTCAAGCTCGTGCTTGTACTGCGAGGTAAGCTTTTGTACCCATGATTCACATGTTCGGCATTTTCACTTCCCGAAGCTCCAACATTTGTGTTGGGAGTGTTAGATGAGATGGAAGCCCGCAATGCTTGTGTAGCCTTCGTTTGCGGTGAATCTGTCTCTTGTGCCAATGATGCAAGCCGATTCAAGAATTCAGTCAATGCATTATGATCTTCAAAATCTCTTTCCAGTCGTAAAGCACCAGTGAGTGCGATACGAATCAAGATCTTGAGATAGTGCGCTAGACCAGTGACCAAAGATAGCAATTCTTGTGTGATTCCCATCCGTTGTGCACCTGTCTCTTGCGTATGTGACAAGAGCGAGAAGAAGTTGACAATCTTCTTACACAACATCCTTGCCTCACGTATATGCGAGATACCTTTTGCCTGTTCCCTTCTGAATGCTTCTTCCAGATCATCGATTGCGGCAAAAAGAACCTCAACATGCAGGATGAATCTCTCTGCCATTCTTACACCTCCCAAATACTTTCCATTGCTAACTTGACGCAACATGTCCGAAATGCACGCCGCTGAGGATTCTTCAAAAGCAGATAAAACTGTCCAAATCCGATAAACCTGTTCTTCCATCTGTTTCTGTTTCTCTTTCAACGTTGTCGGTGTCTCATTTGCTTCTGTTTCTAACGCCTCAATCGAAGGTGCATCCATCGCACTGGCATTCGAAACGGGTGCAACGCCGGAATTGGTAGGCTCAGGCGTTTCTGGATTCGTGGTAGGTTCGAGTGCAACATTCTCCCTTGGCGTAGATCCAGTCGGACAAAGTTTGATATTCCAGAATTTATGAATCATATAACATTCGGGATGCCAATGTTCATCTTGATTATTTCTATTAATTTCCACAAATTGCTTCAAGATTGCCGTTCTGCATCCTGTACAGCGAATTGCAAATCGTGTTGAGTAATGGAAATGACAGAAAACACGACCGTCATGTTCGTAATAGCTGTCTTGAGGTCCAAAAACAGTCGGACAGATAGAACAGGTGAAATGTTCGACATGGAACTTCTTGCCCAAAGCAGTAATGTAGCTACCCCGTAATGCACCACCGCAATTGGCACATAACAAATCTAGCCTTCTGAAATAATCTGTCTCACAGAGTGGGAACAGTTTTCCACTTCCACCTGTTGTTGGCGAAGAAGATTGTTTGCCTGTTCCGTCATGACCTGCGGCACTGCCTGTTGGAGATGAATTCATCTCATCAGTCGCGGGAAAGAACTTTGCTGCCACAACTTTGTTGCAATCGCGACAACGGAAACAATCCAAATGATATACCACACCCAACGCTCGAACGAATTGGCCAGTCATCGGCTTCTTGCATGCATCACAAGGTTGATCACGTCCTCCTGATGGACGATCTTTGACTTGTTGTGAGGAGGAAGAAGTGACCATTTGACTGGTGGATGAAGAGTGTTGTAGTGTTGGCGTTGGGTTTTGAGCGCTTGCTTGAGCGATGTCGTGTGACGAACCTGGTCTTGACAAACTTGCTTGTCTGCCATCGATCCCAGGTCCAGCATCGGATCTCTTTGCTTCTGTGTACGAATGGCCATCGTGCACTGAATTCAAATTTGACGGACTCATTTTTGGCGAGGTTATCTGTCGAGAACTGGTTCGATTAGACGGTTTTGGAGGTGTAGATCGACCGTTTACGCCAAATCGACTATCGTTCGAACTAGTTTGATGCATAGGCGAAGAAGATGTATATGAGTTTAATGCCTGATCAGAAGGACGACGAGGCATCATATTGGACATGTTGACTGATAACCTATTCATATTTCGATCGCTTCCATCGCTTGGCACTCTTCTGTCATCGAAACTTGAACGAGATGGCCCTGCCAACGATGGCATACTTGGTGACGAAGATCTCTGTTCGTCCCACCTTTGCGACATTATGGGCAAGGTGGGCCGATTGTATGAGATGGTGAGTAGGTGGTTCGATCCGAGTGAAAAGTTTGTATCCGATTGATGGTTTAGATACTTTCAAGGCGGTGTATGGCTATAGTTGACAAGCGAGTGTTTGTCGATAGAATGCCAGTATGGTCTACTGCAACGAGGTCTTCAAGAGATGAAGTGAGTCTCTTGGTTGTCGGTATTTGACGATGTGTATAACCTTTTGCCGAGGAAAAAGGAGGAAAGAGCCCCCGGGCAATGAATAAAAAAAAGAGCGAAAGGACAATCGAATGTGCCGATCGAGTAAGAAAGAAAGAAAAAGAATGTCCAGGTGATGATGCGGGTGTGGCCAACAGACTCTTTTGACGGATATACAAATAGATCTGATCGATTGCCTGCCTTTTTTTATTCGATGATACGATCGTTGATTTGAAGGATTAAACACAAAGATCCATCTCCTCGATTTGACTCAATCTAAAGAGACTGTAACAGCCCAATCACACTTGCGGGTGTGATGCTGGAGCGCGTGTGTGTGCGTGTGTGTGCGTGTACTCTGCGCGTGTGTGTATGTGGGTATTCACTCTCTCTCCCTCTCTGTCTGTCTGCCTGCGCCCACACGCACACACACACACAGTGTATGCCCTCCTCGCTCTACCGAGAACGTTGACCATTTTTTAGCTTTTTTTTTCAATGTTTTTCGTTTTAGGCACACAGGCACTGTCTCACATTTATAATTATACACTTTTCTGCTATTTTTCGGTCCTTTCTGCTTATTCTATGCGTAATCTACAAAAAGAGCAAGCAATACAGAACGTTTAGACCGGACCCGATTGATGATGATCTTCAATAAAAAGGGCACTTATGCATGAACTACTTAGAAGGAAAAGGTTTGTGGGAGAGGTGCTTACTTGATGGTTGGTATGCTGCTGAGTATTGTCATTATAGCGGACACAGAAGAAGGGGAAGGGGGTCAATGATTTCACTTCACGCGTTTAAGAGAAAAAAAGGGGGGAAAAGCGCGTGGTCGCTGAGTAAGGTTTATGTGAGAACAGGAGGCGCACAAGAGTGAATCGTGGGGTAGGTAGATCAACTACTGCACGCTAAAAGGGATCCAACCTTAAAAATTAAAAGTCCTGTTGGTTGGAAAGTGTTGTTGTTGTCAAAGGGTCACATCTATTCAACGATCACAAACCCAATTCAGGGCTGGATCCTGACAACTGTCATCCTAGCAAAGATGACTTATGGGTGGATATCACATAATGATCCTCTCATCTTTGATCCGAATAACAGCATATTCTCTTCAAACGGATTAAGTTTGTTCTTATGTCAAGTTTTGATCATTCTTGTGCTGTGTCTCATCCTTGGAACATTCTTCCAACGAATCGGACAGCCAAGAGTTGTCGGTGAGCTACTCGCAGGTGTCGTTCTCGGTCCAACGGCATTCGGCAATATTCCAAATTTCACCAACACAATCGTCCCTTCAGTCTCTCTGCCTTTGTTATCGCTCACGTCAAATATAGGTTTGATCCTTTTCATCTTATTGGTAGGACTGGAAACGGATACAGATACAATCATCAAAAATGCAAGAAAGGTTGCATTGATTGCCATACCTGGAATGGCAATCCCATTTGCTATCAGCGTTGGACTTGCAAATTTTGTCTACAAACGTTCAACCGATCAATCACAAGATTTTTCAACATTTATGCTCTTTGTTGCCACTGTTATGGCAGTAACAAGTTTATCAGTCTTATCTAGAATCGTTTCGGAATTGCAATTGGTCAATACACTCTTGGGAAGTCTTGTGATTGCAGCTGGTGCATTGAATGATCTGTTGGGTTATATCCTGCTAGCACTTGGCAGTTCATTGGCTACGAAGGGAAGACAAATTAATGCTCTGTATGAACTGCTGGTAGCACTTGCTATGTTCTTGGTTCAATGGTTCATCGTACGTCCAGTGATGTTCTGGTGGATTACCAAAAAGTCAAACTTTGACTTGCACGGATCTTCGAAGCAACGTGTACCGGCAGGATTGATGGCATTTACCATCTTGGGCGCTTTTGTGTCAGCTTTCATCACAGAAGCATGCAATCTGCACCCGATCTTGGGCGCTCTTTTATTCGGAATCGCTTGTCCACACGGAAACTTTGCAGTGATGGTGACAGAAGCAATCGAAGTGGTTTCAGTGCAAATCCTTTTGCCACTCTATTTCGTTACAAGTGGACTGAAGGCAGATTTCAAGTTACTTGATTCTGGTTTGATTTGGGGTGAATTGATTTTGATCTTTGCAGTCGTCTTTATGAGCAAATTTGTCGCAACAACACTTTGCACTCGTTTGACAGGATTCGACTGGATGGAATCATGCTTTGTGGCAAGTTTGATGCAGAGTAAATCGATTATTGAATTGATCATTTTGAACGCAGGACGAGAAGCTGGAGTATTGAATGCACAAGTGTACAGTATGTTATTTATCACCTTCATTCTTTCAACTTTGACGGTACGGCCTCTGTCTACATTCATTTGGAAGCGAAGAAAGGTGTCCAAGCAATCATATGATGAAGATTCAACGGAAACCTCGACAAACATCACTGAAAAGACTGATGAAGAAGAACAAGGAGCTCAAAAGAGTACAAATTATAATGTCGCAGGTCGTACCACATTGTTCCCAATTATCACTGCATTAACATCAATCAATCCTGCTATGGAACCATTGACGGCACTTATGCAATTGGCCAAACAGAACAATACTGAAAAAGGCAGTGCAGGATTCGTGTTTGATATCGTTCGTTATTTACAAAACGACAATTCAGCTTCGAACATTTTGAGAAATTTGAATTTGCATGGTGATGAAGTATTGAGTGCGGCAAAGATGATTGCTCGTATGCAAAACGTGCGTCTTTTTACCTCGAATCGTTCAACTTATTCGGATTTGGTTACCACAAGTAGCGATGATGATACGCTGGACGATCTTCGTGGACGGGTACGAACGGTGAATGGAACAGCAATTCTCAATGAAGAAACAAATGATTTAGGCGCAAGTATGATTGTAGCATTATGGGATAGGAAATCTAATCTGTCTTTCTTACAAAGTGATCGTGAAGGTGAATCGGTTGGCAGATACGATGCAATGACGAATGCTGCAGACGATTATATCTATCATACGGACACTATGGCAACACATCTGTTCAACACAAGTGTCAAAAAGACAAGCACATGTGTCTTGGTGGACACGGATGCAATGTTGCGCGGCAGACGAAGAGTTTGGATGACGGATGAATCGAAACCTAGTTCAGAAGAGGTGTTGGGCTTCGATCGCATAACACAATCAAGAAAACCTCGTGTGATCGTGCCTTTCTTCGGAGGTGCTGATGATCGAGCTGCGGTGCAATTTGCCAAAGGCTTGGCCTCGAACGCATCAAAAGAAATTGATGTAATCGTCATCAAAGCGGATGAAGGTGGCAGCGAAAAGCTCGAAGAGGAGCTCATGAAAAGCTTGCAAGAACAAGAGAGAACGAATAAACGAAAGGAAAGGGTGCAAAGATCAATCAGTCAGGCATCCGAACTGCAGGGCGACGTAGAAGAAAGTCACTTGATGACTGTAAATCTGAAAACAGTCAATCAACCTGAAGAACGATATGCAGATGTTAGAGCACTTTTTGGAACGCAAGGACTGCAAAGGGATGTGATTCAAGAAGAGGATGCAAAGGAAGATGACCGTTCACCTGCGAGTGGAAAAGTCATGCTTTACAATCAAAATTATGTCCATTTTGTCAACTTGAATTCTGAACAGATCCAAGCAACACAGACAAAGACACCTTTGGAAGCAATCATGCACTTTGCTGCACCTCTCGTAAACGCACAAGCTGGAGATATGGTGATCGTAGGACGTGGTAAATGGAATCAACGTAGATCCAATTTCCGTCAACAATTGAACGCTCTTCAAGATATTCACTTTACCACTTCAACTCGCACAGAAGAAGAACTTTTGGACAACAACACAATCAAAGATGTCAAAAGAGCAGGTCGTGTTTTAGGTGCTTGTTGTGAAGGTGTTTTGAGTTATGGCATCAATGCCAGTATAATGGTCATTCAAAGCCCAAACGCACAAAGGGATGACTAAATCGATAAATCTAACGAACCGAACGAAACGAAACGACGAATAGCAATAACACATATTTTGTACTTTTATAGCATTATCTAACGACCTCTTTTTCCACGATACAAGGTGCTCTACCTTTTTTTATGATTTAGTGTACAAATGGTATCTAGATTTTATCCTCTTCTTTTTGCTTTGCCGTTGCTACGATCTGAAATGGCGGTACTTCGTGCTTGCGTTTTGACAGTCTTTATATCTTCCTCTTTCTTCTTTTCGTCTTTGGAGGTAGATGCAGTGCCCAAGGCGTATCCCAATGTGCCGATCAGCACCGATGTTGCACCAACGAAAAGCATCCCTTTCCCGTGAACTTCCTCACCTAAAGCAGGTGCAATGATCAGCACACTGATAGCCAACGAAACGGCTTTGCGAACGACCAAGACAAGAGTGACCGTCAAGCTAGAACACATTGCCGTTAATCTGTTTACTCCATTTACACAAATCAACTGTGTAAGAACGTTTAGTGCCAAAGCGGGTATCAAGATTGGCATAATAATGCCAATCGAGGGCAAAGAAGATGTTGCCGATCCAAAGCCAATGGGCAAAAATGAAAATGATCCGAAAGCAACATTGAACCATTGTCGGAGATCATAGATTGCACCAGGCGAGAGTAGCGAATGCATTGAAGCTTGCTCGGCGTTTTTCTTCCTCCAAAGTGAATGCTTTAGCGCTGAAGCATGTTGTGAAATACTTGGTGCTCCCCATCCGATCCACATCTGTTGTCCGGCTTGTGCCATTCTCCATTCGTTCTGCAGTGTACTGGCACGCAAAGCGAATAAGGGCAAGCTGAGGAAGTGGTTGTAGAATAACCCTTCTTGCCAGTGTTGTTTGCCATAGACGCCATATGTCTGCTCTTGATACAACCCCATCACTGCTGAAACAAACAAAGCAGCGGTCAAAAGTCCAATCCCAGCGAAATACGTCGTTGCTGAAGGTCCAGAAGAAGCAGAAGCGCTATCATCTCCCGATTCAGGTGTTGTAGCCAGAGTGGAAATGATCACACCTGCAGTGACGAGCAAGACTGAAACGATTTGCGTAGGTGTATATCGTCTTCCTCTCAAAAAATATCCTGCCAACATGCTTACAACCAAACCACCACTTCGAAAGATTATATGAACAGGAACGGGAACGTGAAAGCTAAAGGCCGTATTATTGAGAATCGTTGTACCAAAATACATTGCCACTTGAGCAGACCATCGTTTCAGAGGAATTTTTGGTGATTCGAAGCGAGGACGAATGTACCGTTTTCCCGTCTTTTCATCTCGAAATCGTAATTGTGTTGGCAACATTTGTAGCGTGGTAAAGATGAATTGAAGAAAAGTGAGTAATGTACCGCATGCAGGTTGAATTCTAGTTGCTTGTTCTAGATAATATGCATTCGAACAACATCCAGCAAAGATTAGCGAGAGTGTTAATGACCATTCCGGCAACATGGCCATCAAAGTTGCCCTATTGAAGTCTGCCATTTTTGCTGAGAAGTTGTAGAGTGACAGAGAGTCACTATGTATGTAATAGTTGATATGCGTGGTACAAAATGTCCTTTCTTTACTACCGCATTCTTGTTCTTGTTTGTGATGTTGACAATGCTAAGCCTTGATGGTGAAAAGAATCCAAGAAAGTCCACTCTTACGCAATTGTGATTTAAGAAGAAAGGCGTCCCCTAGCCCCGCTTCTTACGCAAACAAGCTTCTCGGCTTCTGCTTAAGCATATACACTCAATAACCCCTCTAAGCGTGACGTGGAGCGTGCGCCTGTTGAATGGAAAGAAGAATGAAATTAAGGTTGCATCGGCCAGCGTGCCTTCTCTCTTCACCTCACACACCATCGTCTACGATCAACACTTCAAGATGGCAGTCATGGGTCATTCCAACATGATTGCATTAGTTGTGTGCATGGCAGCTGTATTACCTGCCTTAATCAATGCTGCTCTGTTCCCCGCAAAATCACCCGTGGTTCAATTAAGTCAATCTTCATTCAAGAAAGAAGTATTGGATATCGAAAAGCCAACATTGGTAGCCTTTACGGCACCATGGTGCGGTCATTGCAAAAATATGGCACCCGAATTCCATAAAGCTGCTGTCAATCTTGATGGCATTGTAAAATTTGCCAATATTGATTGTGATCAAGATACAAATAAAGGTATTTGTGCACAATATCAAGTTCAAGGTTTTCCAACCGTAAAACTCTTCCCTGCAACAAAGAAACGTTTACCGCGTGATTATCGTGGCGAAAGGGTTGCAAAGGCATTTGTTGAATTCGCAAAAGATACACTTCCCATGGGAGCACGTAAATTGTCCGGTGGAGAATTGGGAAATTGGGTGAATGAAGCACCGCATAGACCAAAAGTGATCTTATTCACAACCAAATCCAAGTCCTCTCCTCTTTATCGTTCTTTGGCATTGGACTTCCGCAAAACTATCGACTTTGCATTCATGCGAGGAGATGATGGCTTGGTGCGCTCGCAAGGCCGTTTGATTTTGGGTATCGACATCCCCACCGAAGAAACACTTCCTGTCTTGATGATCCTGCCAAGTCGCGAAGAAAATGAAGAGTTGGAAAAAGGTCATTTTGAGACGTATGTGGGTGCACTGAAGTATCACAAGATAAAAGCATGGCTAGATGAAGTTGCACCAAAGATGGGCGCAGGAAAGAAAGCCAAACCAGGACTTAAAGCAAAGAAGCCAAAGAGCAATATGGACGAAGCCGTTGATGCTGCAAGAAGATTTGTCAAGAATGACGGAAAGGTGGTTGAAGAAGAAGAAGTACCTGAAGGCGGATTTGTAGAATGGAAAGCACAAAAGCCACTTTCTTCTCATTCAAAGAAATCTGGAAAGAGTAAGAAAGCTTCACAAGCCACTGTGGATGATGATGGAAAGGATGAACCTATCATTGATGAATCTGAACCTCACAAAGACTCTTGGGAAGGCAAGATGCTTGATATTGAAAAAGCAGGAAAGCTAGCGGATAAGTTACGTGCAGAAGCGGAAGAAGAAGGTGATAAGACAAGAAAGTTCTCCAAATTGTTCAATCCTGATGTAAAGGATGATGAAACAAGTGAAGAGAGTGGTTCTTTCTTGGATAAGATCAAGGACGCTGCAAGCAACTTGGCGGATGCTGCATCAGAAGCGTATGACGATGCTTCACAAAAAGTCTTTGATGCTGCTCGCGGAGCACAAGATCAAGTACAGGAAGCAACAGCCAAGACAGTGAAGAGCAAAGCAGAGCCATTTGCACGCAAGAGTGAAGCATTGATGAAACAATTTGAGAAATGGATGGCAGGTGAAGCACCACAGGATTGGGAAGAGACATTAGGATCAGACTTTGCACGAGCACAAAAAGATGCCGAAGAACTTTTACGTAAAGATCCAACGGAAGCAGCCCGTCAAGCATGGAAAAGTGAAGAATGGCTTTTAGATCAAATGAAGAATGATCGAGAAAAGATGTTGAACGTGATGACGCCTGAACAACGGTCTCAAGTAGAAGGAATGATTGAATTAATTGAAGAAAGAATGAAAAAGAAGGATCGTATCAATCCGTTCGAACGTGATGATGATGCTCAATTCCCATTCTCGCAAGATCGAGTGATCGATATGGAACCTGTTCCTGATCATCATGACTTGAAAGAAAAAGAAAGTAAGAAGTTCCACGATGAGCTTTGATTCGATATCAATCTCGTTATAAATGTATTTCATCAATCCTTTATTGCAATGCATAACAAGTCATCATGACCGCAGACAAAGAAGCCGAGGAGTTATTTTGAGCCGTTGTTTATTTTTCTCGGTTAATCGCAGCGCCGCCATTTTTAAGCTATGTATCCGGTTAAGACTAATTGATTTAGCCGATTGATTATGCGGGGAACACAGAGCGCGAGCAATGCGCTGCGCGGGGTTGGAGTGAGCCCGGCTTAATATGCATACATGCAAGCTAAAGAGCCACGAATAAGATTTAAGCATTAGGCTTCGATTAAGGTGTGTCGTTGTATATAAACTGTTGCTCGCATTCATTCGGACATCACCCACCTTCATCTCATCTTCAATTCGCTCAAGATGGTATGGCCATTCAATTCAAATGCATCACTCATTCGTTCAAGACATGCTGAACGTGATGCTTTAATCGAAGAAGCTCGTAAGATCCTATCCGAACAATATACTCCAAACAATGCGAGTATAAGTACATCGATTTTATCGAGCAATATTGAAGATTTGGTAAAAGGCATAGAACAAAAGAAATGGACAAGTACGATAATCGTTCAAACTTTTATTCGACAAGCAATCATCGCACATGAACAAACGAATTGTTTAACAGAGGTAAACTTTCAACAAGCTCTAGAACGAGCAGAAGAGTTAGATAATGAATTTGCAAAGAATGGAAAACTTGTCGGTCCTTTGCATGGTATACCATTCTCACTAAAAGATCAATATCACTTGCAAGGCAAACGATCGGCTACAGGTTATTCGGAATGGCTAAAGAAAGAACCTCAATCGGAATCAGCTGCCATTGCAAGGATTGCGTTTAGCTTGGGTGGTGTTTGTATCGCAAAGACAAACGTTCCACAAACGATGTTGAACTTTGAATGTAGAAATCCAGCATGGGGTCAAACAACAAATCCGTATAGTTCAGCACATACCTGTGGTGGTAGTTCAGGAGGTGAAGCAGCATTGTTGTCCATCGGTGGTTCAGCATTTGGTATTGGATCGGACATTGGTGGTAGCTTACGTATCCCTACATCGTATTGCGGTATTTATGCTTTAAAGACTACAAACGGTCGTACATGGCCAAGAGCGGGTAGTATTGAATTTGGGCCCTCTCCTACCCCGATCAAGTCTGTCGCTGGTCCAATGTGCAGAAGCGTGCAGGATTTGGATCTTTTGGTACGCCTGTTCACCAAAACGATGAACCCTCCTATGAACGAGATTGAAGAACGTGCAGTCTCTTTCCGTGATGTTCAAAGATCATACGGAATGGAAATCTTACCTTACATGCCTTTACAAGAATCTTGGTTAGATCCTTTGCAAGCAGCAGAAAAGCGATCAAAGAGTGGAGGAGAAAAGACGATCCGTATTGGCTGGTATGCCTGTGATGGATACATCAAACAAACACCAGTCAGTCTACGATCGATGGAAATCGTCACAGATGCATTGCGGAACCATGTTGATACGTCAAACAACAAAGGTGTCAATATAGAATTGATCGAATTGCAACCAAGTGAATTGCAAAGCTTTGATACATTCAAAACCTTTGTCGGATTAACGTCTATTACCCGATACGATTTCCTCAAACGCCATTTGGGCGCAGATTGGATCGATCGTGCGTTATGGGTAGCATTGATTCTACCAAACCATTCATTCATTCGAGCACTGATAGGATCTATTGCTCGTTGGGTCTTACGTGATCCTTATCCAAGTCAATTCCTGAACAACATCGCAAATGATTCAGCAAGAAAGTTTGTCGAACATGAACATCAACGTGAAAGATTGGTGAAAGATTTCGAAAAGCGAGTATGGAATTCACATAATTTGGACGCAATCGTTTGTCCTGTTCAAGCAACTTCTGCTTTACCGCATTATGGTTCTACCCTTTTGGCTCCTTTGGCTTCAGCAACGATTTTGTATAACGTTTTAAGAAATCCTGCAACCGTTGTTCCAGTCACAAGGGTTGACAAGAATTTGGATGACGTCAAAAGTTCTGCATCTGTTAAACAAAAATGGAACGGACAAAAAGATGAAAAGAAAACGTCAAATATGGTTGCTTCGGATCTTGCTAAACGATTTAATGCAAAAGATTCTCATGGTTTACCTTTTGCCGTTCAAGTTGTCACACGTGAATTTGAAGATGAAAAAGCTGTTGGATTCGCAAGACTTTTGGATGATGCTTTAGCAAAACGTGATTCAGCTCATCGTAAAGAATTCGGTCCTGGTGCATGGCAAAGGTGGAACACAAAGAATGACCTGAATAAGTAGTCCGGCTAAAAGCCCAATAGATCCCATTACATATTTATTTATATATACATATTTTTCCTATACATGGTATCGTTGCCTTTAATCAAAAGCTCTCCTCGCAGAGGAGAGTGACTTATTGCCGTTGTGAGCCATAAGCAAAACCACCTTGCTGATACTCTGAAACAGGCGAAGAAAGAGAAAGACTTGGTCTACCGCTACTTCCACTTCTGGCAGACCTACGTTGTAAATGAGAACCTTGAGAGCTTTGCATTAAATGGGATTTTGCCGATTCGGCACGTAAAGATGGTGTATCTGCACTATAAGAAGATTGCATGATTGGCGTTGCAGGTGAATTTGATCTTTCCGAACTTGAAAGTTCGTCTTCACCGTGCGAGCCAATGTCAGATCTTTGTTGTAATTTACCATCAATGATTGCCGATCTACGAATCTTCATTACTGATCGCAATTCGCTCATCATTCCATTTGTCATTTCAGCACCTCCTGAAGTACGTTGTTTTGCATGCATTGCCAATTGTTGTGCATCACTGTTCCTTTGTTCTTTCATCAATCGAATCCTTTCTTCTCTTGATAAATTAGAAGGCTGCTTCTTTGCCGCTGGAAGAGCAACATCTTCATATACAGTCTCCACACCGGGCGGAGGTAGGTGTTGAGGTGAAGTTGATCTCAACAAAAGCGATGATAATTCGTCTTCTTTATTCGCTCCTTGCTCTCGCGTCTTAGATCCTTGTTCCAGCATATGCTTGATTCCGGCTTCAATTGCAGTCGTTTCCAAACTTACATCATTGGCAAGATGAGCTTTCTGGTTCTTTATCCATTCACGCATCGCATCCTCTTCTGCTTCTTGAGGCGATTCGAGTAATAAAGTGCCTGCTGTCGTGTTGGAAGAGTTGCCAGTATTTGTGATGGAGGATGTAGTTGAAGATCCACCTGTTGAGTCAACACTAGTATTCACAGCATTGTCCGTTTGTGTTAGACCATGAACACGCATGATCTTGGAAGCTGCTTCCCATTCAGCCGAAAGCTGCAATAAATCCTCTCGAATCGTTCCAAACATCATCTCGGTAGAAGAAGATGCTCTCTTTTCGCTGCCTGATGTTGTACTACTGTTCTCTTCCGATAAGTCCCCATGCAAAGGTGCAGATCCACGCATTTGCAAATCATCCGCACAAAGTCTCATCTTGATCTGAACGCTACGAAGTGAATCGCCCATTGCGATCAAACGATCTTGGAAGCCGGAATAATCGATTAGATGTCCTGAACTATCTCTTTTAGGTGCATCACTTAGAACATCTTCTGCTTTTTGCCCATGATCTTTGGAAATGCTGATCTCCTTCTGTAGATCCGCTTTAACACTTTCAGACAGCCCAGTCAAGCAGTCCGATAAGCCATTCAAAATGCGTCCAACTTGTGACCAATATCGTCTTGTGGACTTGATCGTAGATGCTTCGATTTGCACAACATCATTCAATGAGAAATCAAGAGCAAGCAAGCTACACAAAGCTCTTTTACGAATCGTGTGCATTTGTTCAAAAGATTCTTTCAACGAAATGATCTTATGACCATCGACTGAGGTGATCATATTTGGCGAAACTGGTGCATGCAATGTTGCACTCAAGGGAAAAGGTGAAGGAGACCTTGCATCATCGCTCAGACCATGCAAAGCCAATTGAACGCTTCCTTGACGTTTATTATGTCCAGAGCCAGTTCGTGTTGTTGGCTGCAAAGCTGTTCGAAAAGGTGATGATCCGTTCACTCCCGTGCTTACGCCTCCGCTCAAGCTACCGTTTGAACTATAACTCAATCGTTTCAATGCACCGTTTTGATTTGGTCCAGTAAACGAAGTAACAGTAGTAGGCGATTTGTCCGAGATATAACTCAATCTTGATCCGGGTCGTACGCCAGCCATTGAATTTGCCACACTTCCAGACATACTCGAAGGCGTATCCCATAATCCACCACCACTTTCACGTTTACGCAAAGATGATGATCTGTCCAACAAAGAATTATCTAATAACGAATCTCGATTTTGCGGTGTTCTTGGACTGGATTGTTGATCGTCATTTGTGAGTGAAGAAGATGGTCTAGTCAAATCACTTGGCGTGATCCCGCGTGAATTCCAACTCGTTCTCTGAATCGTTGAATCGTTCGTCTCTGCAAGGAAAGATCCGGATCTTCTGTTGATGTTTGCATCTAAATCATACATTTCCCGCAAAAGATTCATTTCAGTCTGATCTCCAAGCGGCTTCAGAGCAAGTGTTGCATCTTTCATCGTACCATTCACATCCTCAAAAGCATTCGCAAGTGACTTTCGCAACCTGGCCATACGTACAGGTTCCAGGGAGGTACTTTCAGCAGTTGGAAGGTTTGACGTTTGGCCATATCCGTTGGCATTCAGATGACGGGCGTTAAAGCTTGCTCTTGAACCGAGAGGAAGTCCATTCAAAGATCCATTGCGTATTCTAGGAGGTGAAGAAGGTGCTTTTGTGTTCGAAAGTTCGATGCGAGAAATTGGCGGCAAAGGATGAGAGATCTTATATCCTCGCGAGATTAACTCAGTCTCTTGAATTGCAGCCAGTGCTTTGTTGCATTCGATATCGAACGATTTGCAAGCTTTGATTAATTTGACCACTCTGTTTTGCATACCTTCTCTGATCTGCTTCCTACGCTGATCAGTCAGTCTTTCACCAGAATTGTCCTCTGAAGCATTGGAGTCGTACAGGCTAGGTCGATAAGAGCCGGTTGGAGTGTGTGAAAGTTCGTATGTGATCGATGTCAACGTCCTCACCCCAAAAACTGCTACAATTCCCCACATGACACTTGTCAGGAGCAGTGTGCTTCGCATCCAAACATCTTTCGACGCACTGAAAGGTATTAGGAATACCACCGCGAGCGCACAACCTTTCAGCAGCGTTTGAGCTCCTTTCGACATTTGTATCTGGGACGAATTCGAAGAAGCAACAGCGAGCGGATCAAGATCACCCTCTGATAGCACACCTTTGATCTGTCGAAAGTCAATGATAGATGTTGGTGTGGGAAGCTCCTCTCCTTCCGCTTCGCTCTCATCCTTCTTCGTCTCTGGCACAGGTGAATCATACGAAGAAATAGCAAGCGATGTCGTCAAAAGATTGCTCGTGCATAGGGCGAATTTGAACTTCTCCGCAAAAGATTGATCTGATGATTGTTTGTTGTTATCTTGCTTCTTCTCTGGAACAGATTGGAACTCCCCTCTTGCATGCTTTTCGGTACTCCGCGTAAGATTCAGACTCCCTAGAATCGCAATCAAAAGAGGATAGAGAACTTGACTCCAAAGCATATAAAATGCTTTCGAAAGCTCTGAAACGAACGAAACACTTGTTTGCATCGTATTTTTTAGCCTTCCTGACTTTTTTACTGAAGGATCGATAGAAGGTGAGATTGCACCTTGTCTTTCCCTTCTGCCGTTGTCTGAGTTTCGATGCGATCTGGGAGGCCGCTGTGGTTTTTGATGTTCGGAATTGGAAGAGTGTGTTCGGGATGATCGATAAGAGCTGTAGTCACTACTGCTTGTCGCACCAGAAGGCCGAACACCAATCACAATTGTAGGTCCTTCGCTGGCTCTCTGTGTTTGTTTGCTGGGTTTTCTCTTTACTCCTGAAGAGCCATTCGAGATGGATGAAGAAGTTGACGCTCTTGTTATAGCTGAAGGGCGCGATGATTTATTGCTATGATTCACCCTTTCGGTTTGTTGTTGTTGATGAATGGCATAATCTCGTGGAATTACATTTGCGGATGTTGATGCCATTGATGAACGTGTAGAAGCGGCGATTTCTTGTTGATTTGCCAAAGCTAATTCATCACCTAATGACATAAAACTAGAAGAAGGCCTTTGTGAAATGATTGGTGATGGTATTGATGGTATTATTGCAGCGCCATTTGTATAATATTCGGCTATACTTGGCGTGGGGGGAGCATCACCTTCGAAATGTTTTGTATTTGGATTTGTCATTACGGATGCCGCTGAAGATCTTTTTGAACTTCTCGTTGAAGATGCTAAAGAGGCAGGCCTAGGCGGAGGTGTTGGCATCTTTGATGTTAATTGTGAAATGCTTTCGTCCATCATCATCTCTTCCTTTCTTGCACTCATATTGGATGACTGTATTGTGTGAGTTTGACACGATCATCAAGTCAAGCTCCAAGGATGGATGTCGGTTTTGTTCAGGATGATTGAAGTTAAAACCGATAACGACGTTTGAAATGAAACGGAAAAGGAATGTGAATCGGACCTCGCGCGGAGAACGGATGGCGTGAAAATCAATCGATCAAAGCGTTGCGTTGCGCTTCTCCGCTTCTTTGATGATGTTTTTAAAGAGGATGAAACACAGAGGCCTTCGAAATTAAATAGGGAGGCCCTTGCCAATCAAAAGCGTTTCTTTCTCTTCTTTGATCGAAATGAATTTTCCTTTCTAGCTTTTCAGTTCATGAGCGAGCCCCCTTCTGTTTGTGATGGTGAGTGGCGGAGTGTTTGGATGGAAGATCAATCAATCAAAAGAGAGTTAATCTGAATCGATCATCAACACTATAATCGTGAATGCTAGTCAAAAAGTCGGAATTAACATTGACACGGTACACATAAATTGTCACGCGTTGCCTGTCACAGCACAGCGTCGGCGCCGGCTTAAAGAGGGGGGAAGAGCTTGAGTGCATTTTAGCTCCTGCACACAACAAACAAGCACAGTTTAAATTCAAATCTTGCATGCAATCAGTCCTGCATTCTTGTAAACATTGCTGGGCTGAAAGAAGAAAGTCAGCGTGTGCCTGTGCTTGGATGCGCTGCGCAACGAACAAAAAAGGGGGTGTCATTGAAACACAGCTTGTGCAATACAATTAAAGTTTTGAAAGACAGAGGTCATCATCATTCTCATTCTGCAGATCAGCGCGGTGTTTTTTGTGTTACGGCAGGATGACAGCCGTATCTGAAAAGAAATGCTTCATTTCGGAACTTAAATTCAAGTTATGCTTCCGTGGCGGAATGAAGCGTGTGAGCTTAACAAGGTCTATGATGATGGTGATGATGGTGGGGGAGGTGTGATCTGTCAAGCTTGGCAATGGCACCGGACTCGCGGTCCGAGCAAGACGGGCGTCGAATTTCAATGCTGAATGAAAACACGGAACGGTACTTATCGTGCGAATGGTCAATTGCCATCATTCTGAGTTGTTGGCCGTAAAGTATGGCTCCGGTTGTGACCTCAACTTGTAATTCGAACAAAGAAGGCGTAAGTTGTCTTTCATTCAAAAGCCGCATGCATTATCTTCAGTATGCGTTTCATTATGGGCCTTAATGACATTGCACCTTGAATAGTGCTTTTGAAAAAAGAAAGGCGCTCCGCTTTCTCTTTCTTATGAATAGCAACAAATGAGCGCCAAAATACCCTGTTACGCCAAAAAGGTGGCTTCTCATTCTCGGTAGTCTTTCTTTCTTTCTTCCTCGATGATAAGGAAGAGTGAAACAAAAACATCCATTGAATTCCTATTAATAGCGCAATCTAGGATGCCGTTCTGTATTGATCCTTCCCTTCAAACCCTTTCCCTCTTTACCTCGACCCCAAAATGTTTTCGATCTTCTCTTTCGGTTTGTCAATCTGCCTTTTGTTTGGCTTGCAAATCTCCGTTCATTGTTTACCTATTGTAAGTCAAAGAAAATGACAAAATGACTCGCATGACCTTACTGACGGAATTCCAATCTCTTTAAAGAATTCAAAGCCCTTGCCGATCAAACGTGCTGAGAATGTCTTTAAAAGCGGTACCGGTGACCTTGATTGGAAAAATGAATTGATGGAAAAGAAGTACAATCTCAATGTATTCTTCTTTAAACGAGACACCAAAGCTCCACATTACAATCTAATGTTACCATCAGCACCTCCACCGCAACCAAAACCACAACCTCGACCACATTTCTGGCCAAAACCGCAACCAAGACCGCTTTTCAAACCAAAATGGTCTCCGAAGCCGATCAACCCTTGGAAACCGCAAAAACGTGATGAAAAGCATAAAGCTTACGGTGAAATGTTGAATGTCGCAGGTGTGGTTACAAGTGGAACGAGCACGTCGTCAACAAACAACAAGCGTTCCAATCATGGAGGAACGAAATTAAAAGCTGCAAGAAGATGATGATGAGCATACATACATGCTACTGATCTGGCTTGAAGCGAGCAAGAGTGCGAACCATCTTTCCTTTGAAATGTTCCGGGTAGCATTTATCTAATTATGCATCCTTCCTCTCAGTCCGTTCTTTTTTGTTTTGTTTTGTTAATGATCATTTTGTCCACATTCGCGTGCTAGTACCAACTTTAGGTGAGCAGAGGCTGAATCTAGCATACACTTGTATTTCATCATTTTCTTCTTTCAGCGATCACAGCATGATGAAGTTGAAGAATAAATGGGTTCTAATGTAAAAAAGTGGAATCAAGACGCCCCTCAGTTATTCTCGGGGGCAAGAACATTTCATTGGTGGCATCTAAAATCTTCCTTCTACTTTATGTGCCCCTTTCGGGACCCACACATCTTACACAGCTTGCAAAAGGTATACATAAGAGAATTTCTCTTACGTAGTAGAAAATAAAGTTTCTATTTTGCAAGGATACTCCCCCCCCCATTTCTTCATCATTGATTCGTACTTCGCATTATGCTGATCAAGATCGTTTTACTCTTATTCACTTTAAGCATTCTAAACTGTTTACTTGATGGAACAGTTGCCGTACCTGCCCCAACAGGTAATCAATCGCCAACTCGTGGAAGCACACAACCTACAACCATTCGCAGCAGTATAAAGAAAGATGCAAAGTACCATTCTGAAAAAGCAAAGAAAGCATCGACATCTTCTCATGTATGGGCAACAGCGATAAGAGGAGACGTAGACTATACATCTCACAATTTAAGCAAAGGTAAATATAAAGAGGCTGTTTCTGGAGTTGTATCTGCTTGTGTCGCCGGTGTGTCGTGCGCAAGCGATAAAATGAAAGGTGCTTATCATCGTGCTGCTTCCAAGACTAGCAGCAAACCATGAACAAGTCCGTTTCTCACTTTGCTAGTCCTCTCTGATCGTTTATACAATTTTGCTATGTCTTCCTGTCTCAATTTACTTTTCATTAGATAAGATCGTTGATGTTTCATACTAAGATATTGTTTAGGGGCTACAAATAAACGGACATTGCTCTTTCATGGACACAAAGCTAAGACTGCTTCTGATTTACCAAAGCTTTTCAACCATTTCTATTTCACTACCTCCGATTTCTATATATGTTCCTTACATATTTTACCTTGTATGTTCCATGCATTAACGGTTTCTATAAGTCTGAAATGTTAGGCCAAATCTTGATAGAAGGAAAACAGTATCATTCAGATTTCGTGAAGGTGTTGAATGCATTTATAGGAAATAGCAAATATAAAGAAGCAGTACTGATCATTTTGATGAGTTATGAGCTGTACATAGCTTACGAGAATAGTACAAGCTTTTCACAATGCCCCCTCGGGGTGAACATGTTTGGATGCTGCACTATGAGGCTGGGTCAGGAAAAGGTATTTAAAATGCCAAAACGTAGAATTGCCACTGCCCTAAATGTCTCATCAAACATTCACCCTTTCACTAATGCGGGTCCAAAGCATCTCATTTTTCCTCATTTTAAGCGTTCTGAGCTGTTTATTGGCTAGTACGATTGCCTTACCTACTCCGACTGTCAGTAATCTTGGCTTTCCTCCTCATGAACTGGGCACACTTGCCATACCTGGTCCCACTAGCAGTACTCCTGGCCGACTTCTTCATGAAAGCACCCAATCTACAACCAGTCGCTCAGCGGCAAAAGGCAGAAAATACCATTCTTTCAAAGCAAATGTATCAGCGATGGCTTCCCGACTTTGGGCAAGAACAGCAAAAGGAAATGCAAGATATGCGATTTATAATTTAGGCAAAGGTAATTTGAGAGAAGCTGCTTCTAGTGCCGGATCTGCTTGTAAGGCGGGTGTGGCATGTATAGGGCACAAAGTGAAAGGTGCATATCATCGTGTTGCTTCGAGGGCTAGCAGCAATCCATGAAGAAATCCATTTCTTTCTTTGGTAATTCCATCTGTTCGTTTATACAGTTTGACTACTTCTATCTTTTACAACCTACTTTCAGCATATGACATAATGGCTGTGTCATGCTGTGCTATTTTAAAAGGGCTATAAACATTCGTGATCTACGTCTGTCACTATTCGTTGAACGCAACAATTCATAACACCATGAAAGAGACGAAGTACATTCAGCGTACGAGATACATTGCGTTTATGTATCTCGGGGCAGGATTGTGTTGAATCTTGGTTTTTTTTTGCGTCAACCGAAATCTTCAATATACCTGACGACGCCCCTTTAGGCTGAGCACGATTAGGCACGCAAACGACATGATGTTTCAAAATACTACAATACTGGGTGACAGAAAATGACATAGTACACAACATTCTCAATAAACTGCCTCCGATACAGCTTCGATCGTTTAATCTTGTATGCCATGCAGGTCAAGACTATTTCATTGCTCATCCATTATACCATTTTGAGCTGCTTACTACTTAAAGCAATTGCCTCACCTGCTCAGTCTGACGACCATTCCGAGATCAGTTATCAAATGAAGAAAGGTAAAACATATCATTCTAAAGAGGCTTATACGTCATCGCAATTGTCTAAAGATTGGGTAAGAGGAGCAATAGGAAACGCAAGAATTACAGCTTATCATTTGAAAGAGGGTTTCCTCAAAGAAGCTGCTTATAGCACTGCAGCTGCCTGTGGAGCCGGTATGAATTGTGCAAAGAATAAAGTGAAAAGTGTTTACCATGATACTGCTTCCAAACTTAGCCGTAAGCAAATTTACTTCACATTCTGACCGTATCATCTCTTATCTTGTTTATTACCTACTTCTACTTTCGTTCTTTCAATTTCATCATTGAACATACTGGCTTAGATTTTAGGCTACAGAATTATTGAGCTCTTTGCAACGTATTTAGACATATCTTACATGTTACCGAATATACTGAATGCAAGTGAAAATATAATTTATGATATCTTAGTAACGTTGCTGGTAGCGATTGCTGATTCCTGTATTTTCATTTTTCAAAGCTCAACCCTAATTCTCTTCCGTCCACCTTCGGGTGTTCGCTTTAGATTCAACTTAGTTAGAAAGGAAGAGTAACACAGCTTTGCGTTCGTCACTGCTTACTTGAATGCAGTGATTTAAAACATGATAAAGTGGGAGAGGTATGTGTAGGATATAGTTTGATTGTCGCCCCTTACCAAAGAGACAATGCTTCTTTCGAGCCAAGACTATGTAAGCCGCTTTCGAGGCAAGACTATGTAGTCCGGGTCTTTGTTCTGTCGGCTCGAATTCCATGCATCTCTCGGGGAGCTACAATTCTGGCACGCAATATTAAACTATACATTTTCTGGGTGACCAGAAAGTATAGTATAGGAAATCTTTCTAGAAAAAAAAAGATCCTACTCTACAAGCATCATCAATAGATAGCTTTACCACATAATGCACTTCAAGGTTCTTTCTTTCATCATCGCTTCAAGCGTTTTAAACTTCTTATTGGCTGAAACATTTGCCATGGTTGCTCCTTTACTAGGCGGTCAATTACCGAATCATGGAAGCACGCAACGTACAGCAATCGCTCTGCAAGTAAAGGTAGAGTGTACCATTCATCACGAGCAGAAGATGCATCAAGAGGTTCTAAGCTTTCTGGGCAAATTACGAAAATTAAAGCGCAAGATACAGTTGATAAAATCAAAAAAGGTGACCCTAACGCTGTTATCGATTCTGTACTTACCTGTGAAGCCGGTATGGTGTGTGCAAAGGAAAAAATTAGGAGTGCATATCATCATGTTGCTTCCAAGACTAGCTTCAACCCTTAAGTGTTTTCATTCATTCACAAGATTTGTATATCTTTCCATTATTTCAGTATCTTCATCTTGTTTGCGGCATAGTTTTCATCATTTCTTTGTCTATAATTTTATTATTTAAGATTATCATCAGTTCGTACGTAATTGTAAAACATTTCTTTGAGGCTTACTAGGAGGTCCAATCACTTTGATATACTTTTCAGGGGTCTGTTGACTGAAAAGTAGAATGAAGCCGCACTTTTCTTCAGTCGCGGTTCCGATCGAGCGATAAGTGAAGTGCTTTTTTAGGAATTTTGCCAAGGCGGGGAGTGATACACATAGATTTTAGCATAAAGAAAGAGGGGCAAAAGATTGACAATGGGCCTGAATTGTAGCCTCGCTGGACACAGAAGAATGCTTATCAATCCTTCACTGGTTTCAGACGGGGAGTCTCTTATGTAAAATAAATGCAGGGGAGACGTTGGCAGAAACCTTGTATTAGTGTTCTTGCTTCAACGTAGCCACGATGGCGTTGGTTTTGAGTACACGCCTTCTCTCTTTCCAAGCCGCTCAAGCGTATTTGTACTCGAGATCGTGCATACATACCCAAGGCTATACAAACTTACTGCAGTAGCGACGAACTGAAAGGTATATAAAGAGGAGATTTACCTGCTTTCACACCTCTCTTCGAACATCAATCAATAGAAGCACCGTGAATAATAGAAAAGATTTTTTCACGATGCAAATCAAACTGATCACTTTTATCTTTCTCTTAAGCCTCTTCAATGGTTTAATGGAACAAATTTTGGCAACACCTATTCCAACTGGTAGTCGTAATAATTCACCCACACGTCGTCCTAGCACACCGACTCATACAAGTGGTGGTGGTTCCTCGACTGGTCAACAAGATGCGCCACCGGTAAAGAATAAACAATACCATACATCACGTGCAGCTACTGCAAAGGATGATGTTAATATCGTTGGATCATGGACAAAAGGTATTGCGAGAGATACCGGTAATGCTTTTAAAAAGCACGAATATGGTACGGCATTAGCTGGGGTAGGATTGACGTGCCTGGAAGGAATTGCTTGCGCAGCTCGCGGTATCGGATATGCTCATCACAAAAACAAAGCTAAGAATGCTTCCCAATAAACTATATCTTTGTTCTTGTTTCAATTTCAGGTTCTTTTTAACCTATTTTTACTACTTCATATTCTTGTCATTATATTCTTCTTCCTTTTTTGTTACGTTCTATCTCCAATTTTCCTTATTTTGTTCAATCTATTTTTAATCATGATTTCACTTTAACATTACTTCGATCTCTTTATTTTGTTTATGGCATAGTTTTCATGGTTTCTTCTCCTTAATTCTATCATTTAAAATTATCATTTGATTGTACATAAACAGAAAAGATTCCCTTGAGGCTTACTAAAGAGGTCCATCTACTTTGAAGGGGTTTTCAAGGCTTTTTTTGGCTAAAGAGAAGAAAGCGAGCCGCCCCTTTCACCATTCTGGGTGCTGATTGAGTGAGGTGCTTTTTCACAGCTTTTACCAAGGCGGGGAGTGATATACGTAATTTTCAGCATAAAAAAAGAGGAGCAAAAGATTGATAATAGGTCTGAATCATAGCCTCGGATACTGAAAAAATTTTAGGGGCAAAAGATTGATGATAGGCCTGAATCATAGCCTCGCTGGATACGGAAAAAGTTTTATCCGATCTTGCATTGGTTTAAACGGGGAGTCCCTTGCGTGAAAGTACACGCAGGGAAGACGTAGGATGAAAAATTGTATAAGTCAAAGCCACGATGGCGATGGATTTGAGTTTACACCTTCTCTCTCTTCAAGTAGCTCAAGCGTATTTATACCCGAATCTGTGTATACATATTCAAGGGCTATACAAACTTACTGCAGTAGTGACGAACTGAAAGGTTTGAAAAGAGAAGATTTACCTACTTTTATACCTGTCTTTAAACATCAATCAGAAAATACTATTTTCACGATGCAAATCAAAGTGATCGCTTTTATTTTTATCTTAAGCCTCTTCAATGCTTTAATGGAACAAATCTTGGCAACACCTGTTCCGACTGGTAGTCGCAATAGTTCTCCTACACGTCGTCCTAGCACACCGATCCATCCAAGTGGTGTTTCATCAACTGGTCAACAAGATGCGCGACCTGTAAAGAATGGACAATATCATCAATCGCGTGCACAAGTTGCAAAGAATGATGTTAAAGCTGCTGCAGGTTGGACAAAAGAAGCTGCAAGAAGTACAAGGGAATCTATTGCTCAAGGTAAACATTCTGATGCTGTATCTTCAGCATTCTGGACGTGCGTTGCAGGAGCAGCTTGTGGAGTTCGCAGTATCGGATATGGTATTCACAAAGCCAAAGCGAAGAGTACTCCCCAATAGGCTGTATCGCTGGTCTTGTTTTCTTCTCAGATTTTTTTCTATTTTTACTACTTTTTGCTGTTGTCATTATACTCTTGACTTGATTTTCATTTTATTGATTTATGATTCTTCTATTTTTGTTCTTTCTATTTTTAATCATAATCTCTTCTTTCATGTCATAACTTTCAGATCATCATCTTGATATGAGTGTCATCAAGTGTCTCGAGAAAGATCATATTACCTCTTCCTTCAGATCCGGCGGTCACCGAGAAAATCTGACTATAGCAGGTTTTTTAAGATTTGCGGGCAACGTGCGGCTTCCGCTTTTTAACAAAAGACCATTCTGGGATCTAATTGGATGATGTTTCTATTGAAAATCCATTGCAAGTCATTTTTCAATTGTTGGATCTTGTAAAAAACGTGCCGAGATTTCCGCACAGAGTTTTTGTTTGGATTAGCGGGTGGCAGAGGGTTAAACTCTCATTCAATACACTAACGGCCTCCGTTTTTTTTGTTTAATCTTGAACTAAAGGTTTCGCCTTTCAGCACGAAGTATTCTTTTGATGCTTCTTGAATGAGGCTTCTGCTACAGCACACTTTGTATGGCAAGATGTAGCACGGAACAATTTGCTAGCAAAAAGGTTAAAAGAAGAGATTCTTGTTAGCTTCTCCATCCATATTTCTCCATCCACTCCCACTTCTCAACATTTTACAGCAAAAATAAAATCTACATCTCAAAGCTCAACAATCAAGGCTCCAAAATGAAAACTGTTCAAAGTATCACATTCTTCCTTACCGTGTTAGCTATGTCCTTTTTGATCTTGCAAGTCAATTGTTCTGAATTGGTGAGTATCAAAACAAATTATTGACTATTCTTTCATCACTAAGAATGAAGTTGCCTTTTAACAGAGTGCTCATGGTCTACATACTGCAGAAGATTCTCTTCCTGGCGAAGAACGTGCCTATACCTATGCCAATGGCGAATCAACTATGTGCGCTGCTGGGAAAGTATGCAATCGTAATGTTGGTAGCAAAACAGAAGAAGATTTATCAAAAGAAAGCAAGCGTGCATCAATTGATGCTGATCTAAGTACATGCTTAGGTGGACAACTCTGTAAACGTTTTGATCACGGAAAGGAAGGATACGTAACCTCAGACAAGGAAAGTAAGCGTGCCTCGGTTGATGCTGATTCAAACACTTGCTTCAGTGGACCACGCTGTAAACGACTTGTTCAAGAAAACAAAGGAGCTTTGACCTTTGACAAGGAAAGCAAGCGTTCTCCGATCCCTTCGAACACGGTCAAGTGCGGTCATGGAAGACTCTGCAAACGATTCGGTGGTGAAGATGAAGGAACATTGCCCAAAATGCCCAAAGAGAAGATCAATGATTCTGTTATTTCGGCCTCAGATTGTAACGGTGAATCTTGCAAGAAGAAGCGTGGTTCAATCATTCCTACCCCAAATTGCAAAAACAAAGCATGCAAGAAGTAGATATCGCCTTGAAACTCTTTGCAAAGTAAACGTCGAAGCATAGCACCACGTTCCAATGTATCCTCTGAACAAACAGTTTCTATTCACATTTCAAGATCTTTTTCGTATCTTCTACTCTTATTCTCATAAACCCCTCATTGATTGAGGTCTACTTTGTAGCATTGATTTTACAAGATCTACTAACTCTTGGTGTTTGGTCTTAATTTACTACCTTGTATTTACTCATTTCAATCATCTTAATCTATTCTTTGATAGTTTTTCAATTCAATCAACTTAATCTAGAATTATCAACTGTGAGAGCGTGAATAAATTTATTAACCCATTCAATGTGCAAGATTTAGATCATTGGGTGCTAAATGTTACAATGTCTCCTTCATAATGATAAGTGACAAATATGAAATTTTTTATAGTATTGTAGTCTCTTTCGTGTATCTCCAGTGCCAGCACTGATAACCGTTTGTGAAATAAGTGAACTTCGATTCATGCTGCATGTCTGCTGTTCAGATCGATACACTCTTCCAAACGATCTAAGCGATCCAAATTATCACACGATAAGCATATGCTCCCATGTTGAATCCGCCTAAAGTCGTTACGAGGAGTATCTTCAGCATCCATGCTAAAGTAAGATAAACCAATACCTTCCATTGCTGCTGCTTCAGTCGGCTGATAAACCGAATGAATTGATGGTTGCAATGACGTATTGGCTGGTGGTCTTGTTGTTGTTTCTGCAATGACTTGCATTGCAGTAAGATGTTGATCATTGTTTTCTTGTCCTACTTGGTGTTCTGATTCTGCTCTGATTTGTACCATGCCTTCTGGAGCAGGATCGAAAATACGAGAAATGATGGCGAAAGCAGCGGTAGTACCAAAGATGATACAATTCCAAGCAGAAACCAAGTGCGTTCTTTCGTATAAATGACCCATAGCGATTGGCCCTTTGTTCACGATTGAAACGACTTGCAAACTCCATAAGATCGAAGTGCTTGTGAAGATACTTAAAGCCATTAAGATGCTAAGATACAAAATCGTCAGGCTGATCCAACAACGACGAGAATACTTGTACATTTCCATCCTACCCTTTGTTGTGTTCTGACAGACCGTTTGAGGTGTTATGGGTGCGGGGATCTGCAATTCTGAAATTGATCGCACGAATAATTCTGCCGGTTTAGGATGCTTGTCAGCCGAGTCAGATAAGCGATGAAAAGGTGAATAAGACCTTGGATGAACAACGTCGGAGTGAGTATTGCCTATCATCTCTTGATCGTATGCGTACAAATTGAGACTGTCAGGCCGTCTTTCCACTCTTGGAATAATACCTTTTGAATTTTTAGAAAATATCTTTTTCACTTTTGCAGGAATTACGACCTTCTTCCAATGTAAACTTCGCATAAAGGAATGCCACGATTTAAGTTGACGCCTTTCAGAAGGTTGGAGGGAGTAATAATGTTGACGCATTTTCTGATAAAGTCGAAGGGTTAATTGATATCCAACGATTGCATAAAAGATGAGCAACGTTAAAGAAAGAATTGACCAAAACGCAAAAGAAGCCCTATACATTCTTGCGGATCTTTTGGCTCTATGAAATATTGAGGTTGCCATATCGAATAATTCACTACCTTCTTTTGAATCCAAAATGAAAGGATGAGTTCCAACTGTTGAATCGTCTACAGCTTTTACAATACGTTGATGAAAGCTGTGGTAGGTTTTTAGGTTCATCCTCAAACCCAATTGGCAACAAATGGCCAGTGGAATCTGTACCAAACCGACAAAGAAAGGCGAACCTAAACATAAAATGTTGAGGATCAAAGGTCGTGGAATGCATCGATGAAGTGCTCTTGGAGAATCGAGACAGCCGATCGAGAAGAACGAGCCCCAAGCCACACAAGAGATTGCGCTTAACAAAGGCCACCAACATAAGATTTGCATTGCAGGTAGAGCATTTTGAAGGATATCGTACTTCATCATAAAAGCCATAACTTCCATCGTGCAAGTGACAACCCAGCAAATGCCAAATAAAGTAATACAAATGACAAAAGATGTGATTGCATTGGGAACGATGTAAACGCCTTCTTGTCGACGAATGAAGCGAATCAGCCAAATTTTCTTTCGATAAATGCGAAAGATAAAGATTGGTAAACCACAAAGGATAAGCAGGCCAACCCAAGAAGCACTTGCTATCAAAAGCATAAAGTAGGATCTGGGTAAGTCGAACGTGAAGATGGAATGAACATATCCATCGAGCTGGAGTAATGATCCGATGTTACTTCCATCAGGATTTAAAATGCCATCGATGAGTTCTTGTGGTAATTGCATGATGGTCAGAATGTGAAGGGTGAGGGCATTGTTTAAGCAGGGTGTGTAATCTTTGAAGGCATTCACCTTTTATAGTGCTATCGAATGCGTGATTCTTATCTTCATGTCTTGTCAAATTCTTCTTGAAATTGCTGTTTTGCATCCGTATCACGGAGTCAAAAACTGACAAATTCAAAGCACCATTTCCGAAAAGCATTTTTCATTCTCCGCTTTTGTTGGTAGGAGATTGAATTCTTTCACACATCTTTACACACAAAATAATTTCGTCTTGGCGTTTCTGATAATTTCATGGAATACTTACGATGCGGAACACAGCCTTCCATGTTCGGCTTTTGGTATATCTTCACCCACATTTTTGATGGCGCCGGGCGCTGTCTAAATTATTGTTTGGCATAAGATGATGATGATGATGGTGCAAAGATGAGAAAATACACACGTGCACAATTTCTGTCGAAATTTTCTAAAATAAAACACACGCGACGGCCCATTTTGTTTTTTTAGTCCGACAGATGAAACGCCCAAAAAAAGTGACAAGCAAGACAAGGTAACCTCTTACTTCTCATCTTTATCATTCCTTTCCTTACTCAAATTGACGATCCGGTCATAAATTGGCAAGGATGACTAAAAATGGAAAGAAGCAATCGTCCGGGCAAACCAAAAGTGCGGCTCCACCTTCTTTTGATTCGGAGTTAGACGCACTGTTTAGTGCCGCTTCTGCTTCCACAAATACAAATGTCGCAACCACTTCGAAAACCAGAAAAGGTAAGAGCTCCGATTCAAAGGCATCGGCTTCAAAAGCGGCTCAACTCGAAAAGGAAGATACAAATGAGAATGATGCGGAAAATCAAGGCTTGATAGAAGGGGAAGAGGGATCAGATGGAGAAAAGGAAGAAGATGAATCCATGCTTGAAGAGGATCCGACAACTATTGAGATTAATGACGGAGAATCTATTGTGCTCTCTGAGGAAGAAGATGACGACAGCCAAGCAGAGTCCGATCCATCAAAACTTGTTCATGAGACTTTACTCTCGAAGAATGCCAAGAAGAAAGAGAAAAAGAGAAAAGCAATCGATGATGAACCACAAGAAGCTCGGGACCGTCGAAGCATTTTCGTTGGTAATCTGCCTATCTCATTGGTGAAGTCAAGACCTGGGCTGAAGGCCTTACAAAAGCATCTCATTGAACAGAGTCCCTACCCATCTGCAACGCACATCCAGTCTATCCGATTACGCTCCATTCCTTTTTCAAAGCCGACAGATGATTATGAAGCACGTAATCAAGAAGAAGCAGATAACAAGATGAAAAAGAGACAGAGAAGCAGAGCCTACAAGGAAGCTCAAAACGAAGCAACGGGCGACTATAAGGAGAAAAAGCAGACTTTCTTGACTGGTTCTCAAAAGAGGAAAGTCGCTTTCATCACACAGCAATTAAACGAAAAGGCAGATACTGTGAATGCGTACATCACCCTTTCCCCTTTGACGGAAAAGCGCCTAGCTACTCTTAAGGAACAGAATGATGACAGTGTTGTGGAAAATCTGACAGCACCAGCTTTGGCTGCTTTGTTGGCTCGATCTGCGCACGGCACAACATTCGAAGGACGGCATCTTCGTGTGGACATTGTGACAGCCTTATTGCCATCAGAGCTAATCCGAAGTGGACTAGAGATGATCAAGACAGCTGATGGAAGTATGCTAGGTGCAACTACCGGAGGCGGTAGTATTGATCAGGAAAGTAGAAGGAGGACTGCGTTTGTTGGTAATATGGACTTCGAGACAAAGGATGAAGAAGTTTTGACATTCTTTAATGCTTTGATGATTGATGAACGTGGCCAACCTCCCGCTATACCAAAGCTGGACTTTAGCCAATGCACAAAGCTTCCTACACCTGAGAAGGCGTACGGAGAATCTCGAGTGCTAGAGCAGCCTTCTTGGGTACAAGATGTTCGTATCATTCGTGATTCTGCAACACAGATGGGCAAAGGTTTTGGATATGTCAAATTTATTGATGCAGCATGTGTGGATGAAATCATGGCAATGCATGAAACTGAAGAAGCATTCCTTGCTGCTGCCAAAGCAGGTAAATCCGCTACACCCATCGGGCAATTCCGACGAAAGTTGAAGTTGAAAGGACGCCCACTCCGTGTATCGCGTTGCAAGGTACCCAAAGGTAATGTGATTCAATTCAAGAGGAGTCGTGATGTGAACGAGGGAAATGCTATCGGAACTCCAAAAGCTAAGGGTACTGACAGAGGTAGAAGTACTGGAGCGCCTACTCCAGGAGGCACATCGCCATTCGCTAAAAGGCAAAAGACAGCTAACGATCGTGGCGCTGAATCACCAACGGGCAAAGTAACGACTAAAATTCAAAGGCGTAACGAAATGACTACTATATTTATCAAGAATCATGATCCGAAGCCCAGTGATCCGATCAAAGCTGCTGTGCTTGCTCAGAAGAAGGCAGATCCCGAAAGACAAGCAAGAAGAATGGCAAAAAAGAACGCCAAAAGAGCATCATTGAAGATGCAATCGGTCGCTTCGGAAAGTGGAACAAAAGGCAAAGTGTCCTTGAAACCGAATCAAAAGAAAGGAGGTGCGAAAGCACCAATTGCACGCAAGAAATCTCATTCTGCCAAGGTGAGAAAGCCAAGCAAAGCTTAAGGAAAACATTGTATTCTGAAACAAACTTTTCTTCTTCTCCTCCATTCTGTAATATATTCAATTCTTTTGGTTTGCATCTCTTTTTCCTTAAACAGAAACGTCTATCTTTGACATCTTTGGCACTTTTGGCACTATCGATGATTGCCCTCATTCTCGTCCCAGACGTCTCTGCTAACAATGAGATTCTCAACTTTGGGCCGATCATGTGCGCAGCAGACGAACATGGCCATCTACAAGAAAGGGCGGCAAGACAATTAAGTAAAGATTGGCCAAGCTTGAAATCGTTGACGGGTGTGCAATTGTTCTCCCTAGATCCTGTCAATGAACCGGAAGTTTGGATTGCATTGGACTTGGAAGATGTGAAGGAAATGGAAGAGATGATGGATTTCGACACTTCCGCTTCAAGTGCAGATCGATCGCTATCAACTCGCAAGGCAACAACTTCAATTCTGCCATCAGATCTACATTCAAGCGGGTTCCCATTGATCAGTCGAGATATTCAATCACAATTTTCACCACGAGATCTTTGGTTAAAGATGTTGCCAAAACGACTTGGATGGTATACGTATTCCAAACGATTCACATTTCGTGTGGATTGGTCGGCAAATTTTCCAATCAAAGTTCAAGCAAACTTACATACGCCTCATTCTATGTTAGCAGCCGGTAAAGCACGATGGCAAGCAAACGAACATGAATTTGACGAAAATCGAAGAACGGAAGAACAGGATTTGATCGATGCAATCTATTGGCCTTGCCCTAGGGTATATGTTCATTTACAGGTTGATGTTGAGGCATTGCCCATTCCGCCAAGAAGGCCGAAGTTTGTTAGCAAACAGTCTGGCTCATCTTCCCTTTGGGACATGTTTTTGAATTTGTCAGAATGGTACATTGAGCCATTGACCAATCCATCCAATTCAGCAAGTATGGATGGCAGTCCGACAAGCAAGATTGTTTCACCCGTTCCCGTTCATTTGATACTCGAGCCGGTGTATCTAGGATTTATACCGCACACCAGTTTGAGCCTCTTCATGATTCTGATACCCCTCTTGCTACTTTCAAGTTATGTTCTCACGCCAATCGTCAAGAACAAGATTACTCAAATTCTGACAGAAGATGACGATCCGACCTTACAAAAGCGCAAAGAGCAGTAAAAAACTGCACTCATATTGTGTACATTATCATACAAAGCAATTTTGTAGCATCCAATGAATGACTTAAAGATAGTATTGCCTACCTTGGTTTTGCACGACTCTCTACAATCTACTTAATATCACTTGCACGGATCATTCACGGCGCCGAAGAGTGATTGGACCTGAACGTGTCCTCCAACAATCATTTCCTGAAACAGAGTAATATGCTTAATCTCGGAGTCCAAAAAGTGTTGGCGTGACCGCGCCATGATGATCGATCGTACGTTTTTTTGTCTCATGAATTCAAATTGAACTCCAGTTCCTATGTGCTTTATCTGGCATCGTTCCTTCTTGATCACCATCTACACCATCGATCAAATTCTACTTCACTCCTACGTAATCATCTTACAATGAGACAACAATTTACTTGTTTTTACCTCATCTTGGTAATCAGTATGATCTTTGCTCCATCTCGAGCTGCTCCAATGTCATTGGTGAGTGAATATGTAAAGTCTGCTTTCTTAATAATCCATGCTCAAAGCTGCGTTCTTTACAATCCTCTTTCTCAGATGATTGATAATGACAACTTCAAGTTTGAACCGCGAGGTCGTCATGTTATTACTCAGCCAACAGATCCATATGCGGTTGCAGGCTGCTGAAGGCATAATTTAAAAACTATCTATTAATGAAAAGCCAATCTTGTCATTTCAACATAATATCATCTTTACACCATTCTCTAAAAAGCATACAAAAAACAGAAAATAGAACTGCAGCACCCAGGATTCCCGCGTGGTCCCCCACCGCAGTACTGACTAGGCGATACCGTGCTTGACTTCGCAGATCGGACAGGATGCGGTACTTTCACGGTTCTATGGCCGCAGATATGTTGGAGTGGTCCAGTTGTGGTTAAGTATAGAAATTAAGAGGAAAGACTTTAATGATGCACATTGTGATAGTGATAGTGTACTTGCCAAATGACGCATTTCAGTACATTATCACATCGAATACGCCTCGGTTCATAATGTATCTTGAATAACGATCAAAGCCGTGCTTGGATGAATTTATCCATAGCATGTTTAGTATGATGACGGATATCCGAGGCATTCGGTTCCAAGAAGCCATTCGGAAATGAACGTGCCTTCACGCCCCTTTTTTGAAGCCGAAACAAACGGAGAAAAGGTTCCTTACATTACATCATTTCCTATTGTCTCCCTTTTTTGAAATTCGGTAGGATGGGTATAAATATTTAGAAAAAAAGATGTGAGGATTACGCTTTCTTACCATATTCTCATTTTGAATCGCACCAATAACATTCAGTTCTATATTATGAAGAACGTCTATATCATCTTAGCTGCCATCACCATCTTGTTTTCGGTAGTATCAGCTGTACCTACACCTGCTGTGAGTGAATTCAAAGCATTCCATGGCCGATTAATCTGATTTACTAATTCTCTCTTTACTCTTTGCATCATCTAAAGACTAAGACAGGCGTAGCAAATGTCGGCACAACAGATAAGGTTACCATTTCTACAGGTTCAACGCCTCTTGCGCCTTGTGTGGAGGAACCATGCAATCACAACAAATGAACGTATCACTTTGGATTACGAGATGATTAACTGAATTATAGGCGATACAAAAAAGATGTTTTTCTTGTCATATCATTAGCAACCTCAAAAAAAAAACCATCACGATGATCTTTCACCTTACTGTGCCCTGAATCTGTTCAAAGGGTTTCTTTTGGGCGTCAAAGCAAGTTTGTGAATCTATCTCCGTTCAAGCCGAAATGATCATAATTATATCCGATTCCAAATGATCAATTGAGCTTATTGAAATCTATATACAATATGCTGTGCTAAGGGAAAGTGCTGAAAGGGTTTAGAGTACATCCTTGAGGGATGCGTGCGTGATGTCTGATTAATTTAGTATGAATGCTGTATATATGTGTGTAAGTTTAAAAGAGAGAGAGTGAGTGTGCGTGAATAGCATTCTGACAATATAGGATCAACCTAATTGACAAAATGGTGAGAAACACAATCACTTCTTCTTCAAAGCTGCCAATTGATCAGCTTTTGTTAATTGTACTTTTCCTACACCTCCGACGGGTAAGAAAGTATTGTTCGATCCTCCCGCAGAAGGCATTTGAGGTCCTCTTGGTACATGTGGAGATTGTCCAGGTCTTAGTGTAAAAGAAACAGGTTGTTTGGGTAATTGATAAGTGATTCCCAAATTTTCCAATTCATCTTTAAGTTGACGCATCAATTGCGTTCTTCGAGTCCAACGTTGTCCCCAATCTTGCCAATTACCTTTGTGCTCCATTGCCACAGTCAATTCGATCGAATTTGTTTCCGTTTCAATCGCGTTCAAATTGATTTCCATACCGCCACCCCATTCACGATCATGCTCTTTTACGTATGCACGCATGCGTGAACGTAATTCATCAATCATTTCCAACAAAGTAGAATCGTATCCGACTTGAACGCTAGTAACTTCCCATTGATTACCTGATCTACGACAGTTGAAAATCATCTTTTGCGAACTGAGCAAAGCGTTTGGAGCAACAATTGTTTCGTTCATAACAGTACGGAAGGTTGTACTGATCAAGCCGAATTCGACGACAAACATAAAGTTTTCATCGACGCAAACCAAATCTCCAACATCGTAAGGGTGTGTGGCAAAGATGAAGACCATTGATTCGAACAAAGTCTTGGCACTGTTTCCAAAAATGAACGAAAAACCAACAACAAACGTCGAAAGAGGAGCAATGTTTGCAACTGTGTTGTTGCCGTTGAAAATCAAAAGCCAAATGAAGATCATAATAATTAAAGCAATACCCAAAAGAACACCGTCCAACTTCTGAACAGCCGAACTTGCATCTTTGAGGGAAGTTGCCAATGCACGACGCTCTCTGAAGATTCTCTGCACGCCATCACGGAATTCTTGCTTGCTCACATCTCCATTACCGTCTGCATCAAAATGCTTGAAGGCTTCACGTGCCTCTTCAGAAGAATCAAAAAAGGGCTCGAAGTCCTCAGCAACCAAAGTAGTACGATGATGTCCAACAGCTGTGAAAAGCTTCTTTGCCAACCGACGAGCAGAAAGCATTCGCTTGTTTCTGTACAACTTTGAATCTTTCATTGTTGCAGTTTGCAAGGCGTCCGTCAATTGAGAAGCAAAGTTTTGTCTGCGCATTTCCTTCTCATTAAGCTGCTTTGGCGTTCTGGTACCCTTCTTTTCTTTTGGTGTACCTGAATCGTCGGCCACCTGCTGTTCTTGCAATGGAGATCCATCCCGTGCAGCACTGTTTCCGAAATAGCCCCCAGACTGAGAAGCGTTCTTATGATGACCTAGAGCTACATTCGCACCTGGTGATTGTGGTCGACTTCCAAAACCGAACTTTTGTCCCCAAATACCTGTGTTTCGCTTGCTATTCTTACCACTGGCGAGGTATTTGCTATCGGCTAAGCGATCTAGCGCTTTGAGAGCAGATTGATTTGTTTCAAGGCGTTCTTTGAGAGACACTTTGTGGAAATTGATAGCGACTAATTGAAGTGCAAATTTTTCTGCTGTGAGAACGATGCCCGAGGCAAAAAGTGCTTTGATCGTGAGAAGGATCCATTTAAAGTATGCTGGACGAGGCTGACTTGTGAATTGAACGGCTAAAATACCGCCCAAAGAAATCCATGCCCATGTGATGCATAAAACCAGTTTGATCCAAATCATGATTGCGATAAATACTTCAACATATGTCTTGAAAGCTGGAGGAGCTTTACCGTAGAACGCCACACCAAGCTTCAAGACAAGCGGAGGGAACCAGTCCAGGACTAAAAACGTACCACAAGCTGCAGCCCAAATAATAGCGATCCAGATTGACCATGTTTGTACTTGCACACGAACAGGATTGTTCTTAAAAGCAGCAGTTGTGACGATAAAAGGTACCATGGCGATTGCTGTTCCGAACAGACCAAAGACAAAAACGCGAACTGGACGTGCTAGACGCATAAGCCAAAGCCATACTCTACGACCACGTTTTGCACGGATGACACGTTTTCCTTTGTTATCGATCTCTTCTTCCTCATCATCGGAATCGTCTGTATTCCAATCGAAATCATCCGTCTCATCGCCTGAACTGTCCCATTCTTCTCCTTCGTCGTTCAAGTGATGATGGCTGTAATGATGATGATGACTACTGGATTTACCTTGTTGTGGCGGATAATCGTTTTGAGAGTGTGTATACTTTTCCGTCAAGTATGGATTTTTATCTTTATCGACGAGAGTGTCGTATTGAACGGAACCTTTGGAATCCTTTCCTCTCTGATGTCCACTATTTTCGTATGATTGATCACCTTCATATCCTGGTTGAATGCCTTCATAGAAATGTGGATTCATTGGACCATGCTGATGAATATGATGAGCGGGAGGATTGGGATTTGAGGTGGCTGAATCGAAGCTGGATTGAGATTGCATGCCTGGCGCATTTGGAGCACGTAAGCTATCCAATGGTATAGAAGAAGGGTCAGCTTCGTCTCTTCGGACGTATGGTAGAGAAGACATGATGAAAGCGAAGAGTAACTCCTTTTTTCACCGTCCCTAACTTCTTCTCCTGTTCAAGGCCAGCCTCAAGAACAGGATATTGATTTGACTGAAATCAAGTATTGCTTGTTTGAGAATGATTGAGATTGCTTGTTTGCAATTGTGTGATGGTGGTGGTCGAGAGCATGTTACAAAGGAAGATGGATGACATTTCTTTCGGCCGGTGAAAAAAAAAGTGTTGCTTGGCAAGTGATTGTGTGTGTAATTTCGCCTGTGGAAGAATCAAGTTTGCAGATGTTAAAGTAGTGCAAACTTTTCCCCACGTCATCCCTGTCCCTATTTTTGTTTTATTTGTTTAGTGGATCGCGTGCATGCTTCACACAATTTCTCGATTTTGGGCGAATGCATGCACAGACATGAATCACAACGCACGGAAAACCGGGAACAATAATAAAACAGTCTTTCCACGGCAAAAGAACGCGTGTGTTTCTGGCTGTGCACATATCACCCCAATTCCTATGCATGACGTTTAGGCCGATGCATCTGCAAGGTTGAAATGTGATCTTACAATGTGGATTATATGATCAAGCATACATTGAGATACCGTGATGGATTGGATACATGCATACCATGCTTCACTATGATGACTACCTCCATCACTCCTCCAGAGGTTAACACTTCTTTTTACGACATTTTGGAAATGTTCTGAAATTGCTCAAATCTGAGGCCAAAGGATAGGCACGACGGTTGATACTATCGTGATTCGTGTGAGCATTATAGTTATTTGCTTGATGCTGTGACACTCCTTCCTGTGTATAAGAATGAGAGGTGTAAGCTAGGCTATTTCGTATGTCATAATCTCAAACAAGTACTATACTAACGATTGGTAAAGATCTTACTTGAAAATTGATCACGAAGAAGACCATTAAAATGAAAAGGCTAGAGGCGGCAAGTTGCATGATAGAGGCACAATGGAAGCGGAAGCAAATCCTGTTACGAGAACAAAATCGGTTGCAAAAGAGAAATCCATTGTGATTATTCTCTTTTTCTACTAAAAGTCTTCTCAAACTATTCAGCCCGCCAGCAATTAGATTGTGGGCGTATTGCTTTCAAGTACATAAGAACACCGAAATCCGGCAAAAACAACATCTACTAATTCAAGGACTCAATAACGGCGCTTTCGGTGGTTTCAGGATATAAAGTGATTTATCAAGCTCACAAAAAAAGATAGTTGCACCGTGATTGTAAGATGAAATGAGCTTCTTTCGCACGGTGTATGAGAGCTTAATTCTCGCTTCTTTCTTTACACACTCCTTAGGGATAAAAATGAGTAAGTATTCAAAGAAGAGACAAAGGTAAAGCTTTGCGCTGCGTAATGTTATGAGGAAGAGATAGTTTTGATGAAAGTTGGTCGATAACAAATATGCGCCCATAAAAAAATGTTAGAAAGTGCCGGCGTCATGGAAAGGTGTACATAAGCATGATAACGATGAATACGGCTGGACTGAAACAGAACATAAGCCAGTCAACTACACGATGGCCCAAACGTGCACGATGAGAGAAAGAGTTGAGCATTTGCCTCTCAACAAGTGGTCTTACAAGTTTTGACAGTTGGTGAATTCCTTTTAGTCTTCTGGTGGTATTCCGAGCTCTTTTGTGAAAGATCGTCAAGAGCACGTTCTTGGTTACCAGATTTTGTTACTAATGAACGCTTGCTGCTCGTGAACAGAGCTCCATTGTTGCTGATCTGAAATAGAAATAAGAAAGTAATTGTCCGAATTAATACTTTGATTAAAATCTCTGCGCAAAAAAGGCTATGATAAGCAAAGAATGGAACATAGTGATATATTTTGACTTTGTACTACAAGATCTGAGCGCAAAATGATAGGATAAGAAGGCAATATTCTGTAAAAGGAGTACTCTCATACAGTAAACCATGGTATAAGCTATAAAGCCTCTCATGAAACAATAAACGTACCTCAAGCTGGAGTAGACTTACTGTCATAGTCATTTACCGTGCGCCTTTTCAATTTTAATATGAATGCTATATGGCGATCGGGTATCGAATTTCGGATCCAGAAGCATCACCGGCACAGTGAGAAAAAGGAGGATGTAAGTCACACCTTTCACTGATCGTTTTGTGAGATTTGCTAAGATAATATCTTAAAATGCGGATAATCGATCCCGCCATGCCAGAGCACTTATCACACCTGAATGAGTCGAGTGCATAGCAACAAGAAAACATGTATTCTCAAGCTTGTCGAATACATCACGTATCAAGATGATAACAACGAAAACATAAGCAAATCAAAAATGATGATGCAGACGCATTATCTGAAACATACTCTGGGAAAGCAGATGATGAATTAGGAAGCCCATTGGTGTTCAAAAGGCTGTTGTTGTTCATCAGAAAAAAATTCAAGTATGTTTAGAGCTTCGAGCGACTAGCAACTTGGTCCAGCATCTTCACGACTTTCCAAAGAACTCACATCACTTGGACTTGTTGAGCGCTTTTGGGTACTACAAATTACTTCTTCAGAGCGCTTTTCCTCTTTACCAGTTTCTTGTTCGGAACGTTTGCACTTGACAGCACCATCGCAACCTGGACCGCTATCACGACTGACAAATGCATTGTCCTTGACTTCAATTACAGAACGCTTTTCCTCTTTAACAGTTTCTTGTTTGGAACGTTTGCACTTGATAGAACCATCGCAGCCTGGACCACTATCACGACTTTCCCATGGATCTTCTTCAGTCGGACTCGTGATAATCACAGAGCGCTGATCGACTGTATGTTTTAATGGATCGAAAGATGTGATTGTACGTTTGCTTAAAGTACGATCAGCTTGAGGATTCTGTAAGAAGAGAGAGAATCTCAATTGACGATCAAGCTTTCTAACAATAGAGGGGTAGAACTCACTGTAGGAGCAGACATGACAGACATGTCCATCATGATGGTGAGAGCCAACAATGCACAAAGGATTGCGAGAGTACTCGTCATGGTTGTTGTTTAAGCAGACGTTTTTTGTTGAGGATGATATGAGAAAGATGGGAATTTTTTTCAAAGACTTTTTCTCACTTTATATACCTTTCATTGTTGAAGATTGATTCAAAGTAGTTGCACTTCAGACAATCGTACATTTACTGCCATTGTCATATACGGCGGCTTTTCTTCTCAGTATGACGCAATGAATTGTATGGCTTTCCGCGATGTGACGATCGAGAGTTGAAATTCAAACTCCAACAGCATCATCAGCCGTCTTGAATGAAGAAGACCTCGATCGCTGCAAGGGTTGTGTGATAAGGTTCTGCAAGATTAAATCACTCCGCTGGCTAATTCTATAGTCGAATGCGTTGCCGATCGGAAATTAACAGATCGATTCGGCGTTGGCGTTTGAAGGAAGAGGATAAAAGCTTATCTTGTGATTTTACAAAAGTCAAAGATAAGAGTTAGACTTCAATCTCATCGCCATCTGTCATTCCGTGTTGTTGCATCCTTCTTTAGAAAGTTCATATTTACCATCTCCAATCCCCTCTTCTTGATCATGGTTGTTAGTAAGGAGGAGGAAGGGGGAAGGGGGGAAGCGTACGCGGCGTTTGTGCAGTCGCTCTGTGTTTATGAATTACGGGATGGGGTGGAGGTGCGTAGGGTTAAAGGGAGGCACAATATCAGTATTGGTTAAAGAGCAACACTTATTTTTCTTTTCCTTTTGGCCTACACACCCTACCAGACATCATCAACAACAATAACCAAAGCTGTCGGGAATGAGGACCTGCATATCGATTTGATCTTTTGCATTTCAATCGTCATCCTCAAGTCCACTCACAGAACATAGAAGTCGGACCTGCTTCATGATCATTCGCGGGTTTTGCATCTGATCTGGATTGTATTAATCAAGGCCGCCTTGCATAAATCCCACAATGTCAAGACGACCAAGTCAAGCAAGTACAACGACTACAAATGATGGAGGAGGAACAACACAAGATGCTCATCTAGCATATCATTCTCGAATTGAAGCATCATTGCAATGCTTAAGAACACTTCTCTCACCTTCTCAAGCAAACAGCAAAGCATGGCGTCTCATCCATCCTCAACCTGGTACTTCTACCGGAACGGGTGCCAACAATTCCTTTTCCACCACAAATCCTGCAATCCATGCTTCATCCATTTCATCTTTATCTTCTATTGTAGGTTCACAAAATATGGATCACCTACCAAGCTCAGACTCTATCCCATCCTCTTCACGTCAAACATTGGATAATGCAACTGCAATGCTTGGTCAACCTACTATTGTACACGTACATAGAAGAACAGCAACGAGAGCTTCGAAGGACTTGAGTGCATCAACCGCCACTGTTGCACCTGGCTCACATAATGCTTCGAATTCACAACAATCTTCATTACTACCTCCAAATAGCTCAACAGGTGCCGATATTTATCGTGCTACATGTTATATACCCGTTAAAGGAGAAGAAGAATTAAGTAATTTGGAATGGAGCGATGTACAAGATGCATTTCGTCGATTGATTGCAACGCCAGAATGCCGTCCGGCATGGGATCGAATTGTAGAGGAGAGTGAGATTGTAGAAGAAGTGGATGCGGATACGAGGATCAGTAGAACAGTTTTCAAACTCGGTTGGCCTGCAAGTCCAAGAGATGCAATCACCGTTTCACGTACTTTGATGGATTCAAAAAGTTTGATTGACGTCTCATGCTCTTTGCCACGTTCGCCAGACGCTCCCGTTTATCTTCGTCCTGCTCCGCCTTATGTACGTTCGCATGTCAACTTGTTTGCTTGGTGTCTAGAACGTTCTGCATATAGTGGCAAGCCACACGTTAAGCTGACATGCTTTTGGTCTTGGGATCTTCGTGGAGCATGGATAGGAATGCCAGCGGGTGGAATTGGAGCTCGATTGCCAAGTGTGATCACCTCGCTGGTACAGCATGTGAAAGATGGTGATGCATTGCATGTTCCGTTTTTATCACATTATGGAAGAAATGTTGAATTGACAAATAGAACCTTCAATTCGTCGCGTGATATGGTAACGGTGGAATATCAAGTGGTATGCGATGACACACAAGACCAGAACAAAGACGAGGCTAGGGATTTACAGCTTGAATGGTCCTTGCCTGCAGCTGAAGGGTGGGACGTTCATGTTGATGTGAAGCCGTTGGATAATCACAAACATTCGAGTGTTGAGTGGAAGAGTGCAGCAACAAGGGCAATCCAATCTGGACGGCAATCAGCTCGGATGACGTTCAATGTGCAGCACCTACAAAGCGAAGGCCCTACAGGAAGGTCATTGCTTGCTGAAGGTATTCGTGGTAGGATCACGGTGCAACGCATTGCTGCTAGTCAAGATGTTAAATTGCGCATCAATGATAAACCTTTTGCAGTGGAAGAGGTGCGACTTACAGAAGAAGAGATTTTATCACCAAAAATTGATCTTGACCTTTCCACAGGTTCAAGCTCGCTTGCTGATGATTCTGCATCAATCTCGAATATGAGTATGCGTAGCGAAGTATCTTCTGCTTCAGCAACAACGATGGGCGATGATGTAATCAAAAGAGCGGCAACTCCGTCAAGTATGTCAGGTACGGCTTCCAAACGACAAACGTTGGACGTGATGGGATCACCGATGCAAACCTCGCTATCGAGTGGTAGACCTGCACCTGATCGAAATACAGCGATCGCAAGTATAATCAGACGAAACTACATCTATTTCACTTCTTTGTTACAAGAACCTGAAGCGAAATGGAAACATTTCAGTGATACACGCGGAGTCACAATTACACAACTGGACAGTATCGATCCCACTTTGGTTGTCTATCGAGCCGAGGCAACGTTTGTAGGTGTTGGCGTTTGGGATTTGTTTGCCGCAATTGCCAATGCAGGTGTAAAGAATTCATGGGATAAAGGAGCAGAAGAATCCAGGCTGGTTGAAGATCTAGGCGATTCTAGCAAACTATGGTGGAACAAGCTCAGAGGAACATGGCCCGTTGCTTCTCGTGATTCAGTGGTAATTGAGACGGTGTACAAATCGCCTTCATCCATACACATCTTTTCATTCTCAAGCGATGACAAGAAGTTGTTCCCTGCCATACCATCACCTGATACAGGGGCTATCCGAACACAAATTGATTTAAGAGGATGGAGTATTGAAAGTTTGAGTCCAACAACCGCACATATCACCCTAATTGAACAAAGTGATCCAAAAGGTTGGACGAGCAAAAGTTCTGCCACACCCGCGGCAATGACTGCAGCTGTTGCAGGCGTAGGCGATTTCGCCATCAAGCAAGGAGGACCTCCAATCACAACAAGATTGCTAGGAGGCAAGATTCGACAGATGAAATATGAAGCAGACAAGTCATCTTATCGAATAGAGTATGATTTAGCAGAGAATCATTCAGAAGATCTTTCGGGTAATGTGGAATGCGAAATTCGATGCGATGTTGAAACTTGGTCGCCTAGCTTGGATGTGGTTGTTGATCCTCCGCCGATCAATGTGAGCTGTTTGCGTCGTCATAAGCTTAGTCAAGGTGGCAGTGGATTGTGGCTTACGATCGAACAACCGATTGCAAGCTTAGAAGATGATCCTTCTCGAATCACAGTAAGGAAAGCAAACAATAAAGAGAAAGGAGTAGTTTATGTAAACGGTGCACGAATGAAAGTGGATATGGATGATTTAAAGGATGCAGAAGTGACACAATTACGTGAACAAAAACGAACAAAGCCAAAGAGAGTACCGCTTGATTTGGTAAACGAAAGTCCTAGGAGATTGATGATCGGCAGTGCTTCTCCTGTTGGATCGATCTCAAGGGCAGGTACGCCAGCCAGTGCGAATGGCGTTAGCACTGCTTCGAGCAACCTGGCCGCGATCACGAGTGGTGGAGCGAATGGCAATGCTACTTCAATTTCTGCTCCAGCCGAACAAACAACGATGGATGTTTTCTCGGATGAGAAACCAAGACAACCAATGACATGCGCTTTGGATGTTTTGTTTCTGTTGAGACGCATTCATGCTGAAAGAAGTCCTGATCCTGCTGGCAATCCTGCAGGATGGTCTTTGGTCGCTAATCGCAATGGACTGTATACGAGACGCAAGATGATGCAGTCCATCTCGCCAACTGTGATTGTGCAGAGGGGTGATAAAGTAGTCGAAGGCTTAACAGCAGAGGATATCTTAAGCGTGATCTCCAACGTACAATGTCGAAAAGTTTGGGATGAAAGAGTTGAAACAACTACTAATTTGGAATCGTATGGAAATGGTGCTTCTACTGCTTTCTTTACCACAAAGGGTAGCTTCCCATTCCGCGGAAGAGCTTTCAGTTTGGCAAGCTTGGTCGCTCGATCGGGACCTCGTGCATCGCAATTTGGCAATCCAAGCGCTCCAACGGTTTACTTCCATGCTTCATCATCATATTCTATGTCGCAATCGACTTTTTCAGCAATGAAGCTAAATCCTACAGTGTTACCGATGGGAAAAGTCTTGATCGATGGGTGGATCTTAGAGACTTTGGATCCGTACAGTTCTACGTTGAATTATCAGATTCCATCAACAAGAGTAACGCACCTTGTCGCAGTCGATTATGCGGGAAGTTTGCCAGTCACTGTGAACGCAATGTGGAATACGCAACTATCACGTAGTATTGCTTATGTTGAGGATTATCTCAAACAACAAGGAACTTTGCCATCCTTACGTGCTCCTCCTTCTTGTATGGAAGTGTTGGGTGATGGTAGAGATGAGGATCACGACCTGATTTGGAACTTGTCAGATGATAAAACAAAGAGAGCCTGTACGCTTATCTACAACGATTTCAGCAATGCAACAAAAGTGTACAATGTGCTTGTATCTTTGGATGCTGCTTCACATCTCGTAGAGGAAACTTCTACACCTCTTGCAGTACCTTTCCCACGACGAGCAGCACTATCAAATGCGTCAACAACTCGAGGAATGGCAAATGCTGCTTCAATGTTCTCTTCTCCTTCATCGGATGCAAATCTTTCTAGTCCATCAAATGCGATGGTTGAAGGCGGAACAAGCGTTGATTCTGCGCCTCTATCACGCACGACCAGTGTCAGCAGCTTACGCAGTGCAACTTCTCGACCAAGACCCTCAGTCATTCGGAAAGAGACAAAGAAGCCATCTGATTTGGTGGTATTAGATGTTGAGGTGGAGTTACGCCATTATGAAAGAGGATATGATATCGTTCTCAAGTCAATGTTGGGGGACGAGAAGGCAAAAGAGACTGAAGATGATGACGAATCTTTACCGGCTGAGACACCTAGAGCGAGTGGACCGTCCGAACAGAAAGAATTCCCTTCCCTAACCAGCAAGGAGGACAAAGAGAAGCATTCTGGAAACACGGTTTGGCCATTGGAGATACCCTCTGGTGATGCAGATGAAGTGTTGCCGTTATCTGTTTCAACATTTGACCTTCCTCCTTCGGCCGTTCTTGCAGCAACTTTGGATCCATCAGCCAGACCGAAGAAGCATCTTGTTCGAGTCACTTTACCGACTGCAGCTTTCATGGGCACGGCTAGAAGCAATCCATTCCATGGACCTGAATTGGAAGAATCGCCAGCGTGGTATGATAAAGTGCGAGAGCGAGGAGCGTTGATCAGTCTTGAATTAAAACCACGTGGTGGAGGGTTTCCAAGGTTTGGAAGTCCGGTAAGCAATGGAAGTGGTTCGTTTGATAATCCAAGAAGAACTTCTGGTTCATCAACTCCAAGTGATAGCGGAATGAGTGATCAAGGTGAAACGGATTCACAACAAGTTCCAGTGTATTATAAAGGAGTACGAATTTCGGTCACGCACGTGAACAAAACATCTGCAATGCTTCAACGTGAAAGTGATGATGAGCAGGAATATGCGATCTTGAAACGCATCGCACCACCTGCACCTCCAAGAGCAGAAGGTCAACCGACACCAGCTGGAATGAGTATGCATAAACGAAAAGAGACAGCTGAAACAAAGTTGGAAGAACGTTTACCTGTTCAGTTACAATCACCGCTTGCGAAATCGAACAAATTTATTCGTGATGCATCAGAGAACGCAGCTGAAAAAGCAAACGGGGAAGAACAAGCAAAGAAAGATGGTAATGTCATTTCACCTTCATCTTCTGTTGGTGATACCACGATCGGCTTGACACCCATGGCAAACAGGGCAAATCAACTCACACCTAGTAATTCAAATCTAGCCAATGCCAGCAGCTCTACACCAACGCCGACTACACGAACTGCTAATCCTTCAACGCCTGCATCTGCTGCAAGTGCGCAAATAATGAGCATTCTGAACTCGTATCCTTTATCAAGATTAGGAGGTGGTGCATCAACTGCTGTCTCGACTACAGTTGCAAATGGAGGACTATTCTCTAAAAGAACAGATGCTGATGGGGATGGTGTGAATGGTAGCACATCCGGAACAGATGGAGAAAAAGGAAAAGCCAATGGAGATCAAAAGGGTAATGCAGGAGGAGCGGATGATGAAAATGCCACTACGATGCCAGGTCAATTAATCATTGCAACTGAACAAATTCGAAAAAGGATTATTGATATTCGATTTACATGGTCAACGATGATCTTGGTTGCATTGATTGCATTCTTACTTGGAAGTTTAGTTCGTTCATTATTAGAACCAGCGGATTTCATATTGGTAAACAAATTAAAAGGAACTACCGGTCTACGTGGTGAAGGAGGTCAAGCAATCGAAGCAGCAGCCGTACGAGAGATCAAAAAGTTATTCGATCAAGGTCAAGGTCCACATATCGGAGAACCAAACAATCCACATCATTCTGTCGCTTGGCGTGAATTGAAACGGTTAATTGAATTGAGAAACTTGTTTGGCGGTAGATGGGATTTAGTCATTGCAGCCGTTCGTAGATAGATGAAAAATGTGTATGATTAAATCAATGGCAATCGATTGCTTTCCATCACAATTACTGTTAAGAAGTCGCCACCATCATCATCGGTTGCTCGGGCGATATCGGCGTATTTTTCTTGTGAAAGCTGACCGAATATTATGAGAATACCGATGGGGCTGCCGTGTCCACGTGGAAATATGGAAAAAGTAGGGATCTTGGCAAGGTAGTCTTCCGTCTTTCACATCAAACAATCAATCAATTGCGCCTGCTTGCATTCATACTTGCACGTTCAAGCTGTCATTTGCGGAAGACACCGCATTTCTCACGAATACGTAGCTCAATCCATGCGTCAAATCTTGCATGTCACCGGGGGGGAAGAGATACTTTTTTCCCACAAGAAGAGGGGGCGGAGGAAGTGGCAGTGTTCGCATTCGCCTAATCTTCACGGAGTTCCGTACTCCTTTGGTTTTAATCAATTATCATTCATGATTTCACTCTCTCCATTCATGCATGCATGTAATGTTTTCCAAAGATCTGGTTTTGTCCGCTTTTTTGTTGGAGTTTATCCAAGCTGTCAAAGCCATATGGTCTTTAATCTTTCTTTACGCCCGATCTTGCATTTGACATGATGAATTGACAGTAATTGGCTTGCATTTTACTACGCCAACATGCATTTTAGGTTGACCGTCTTGTCTGTCCCCATTTTATGGTTGGTATAGTAGAAAGACGGCGAATTGTGTCTTGTTTTCTTGGCGTTCTCTCCGCGGCGTACTTACTACCTTCCGTATTTCCTCGGTAGTCCCCCGTTTCACTTTTTGAACAGTTTTGGGAAATGGTCCAGGCCCATTTGAGCACGGATCACAACAACAGAGGGGGCGGGCAATTGTTTTCATTCATTCAGTCTTCTCTGGCGTATTGCGGATAACCAAAAAATGATGTTTAGCATGATCATCATATTTGGCATTTTCGCCGTTCATCTAAGGGAAGCATTCCGGGTACATTACTTGTCCATACACCATACTCCGTTACCATGAACATTATTCGCCGATCTCTTTTGTTGCTTTTATTTTACCGCTTTTTTTTTTCACAACCCCAAAAATCGCCGCTCCGGCTTTGGCCGCTTTTGCTGAGCACATGCCAATCAGAATTAAAATCTTCTTTCTCTCTTTGCTATCCGAAAAAAGACACAAAAAAATAAGAGTGGGGGAAGAAAAAGCTTAAAGTGAATGGTTAGAATTGCGGTGATCATCCGTCTTTCTCTTCTCTTCTTTTCCTTTGGTTAGGGCATTTACCCTGTCTGTTTTTCCAAACAAACGGATCTTAACATTTTGATCGCTGGCAGCCACACACGTCAACACTTCATTGCAACATGTCTGTCAAAAGTTGAAGGAAAGTAGTATAAAGATCCATCCTTCAACGCTATTGAATCTATGTTTGATCGACAAGTTGCTTTGCGAGCCGTGATGACATAAATAGAGACCTTTCCAAGGAATCTAAATCATCCTCTTGACCCCCGCTCGCTCTTTCTGATCGAATCCATCCGTCATAGCTTTCTGACATGTATGGACCTATCTGCAAGATGTCACCACCTCAACATCACTTTCAACCCTTATCGACAGATCTGCTTATGGAGCCCTACCCAAGCCATCAACCAATGCCAAACGTGCCGTACTCGTCTTACTTTGGACCAAGTGAACACGAAGACGTTGTTCGTCGTGCTTGGATACGACCACCGCAAGCACAACACTCTACACCTCAACAACTTTACGGTTCTCCATCCTCAAAGCAAGACAACAAGTCTTGCATCCCTCGTACTAATCCAAGTCATGTTCGTTTGCCAAACCTGCTCGAAAGCTTCTCAAGTGCGGATAGCGCGAACGCAAATGTGATGAGAAATGACAATGCACAAGCTTATAACGATTCGCAGTATGATCAGGACGGTTTACCACTCGTAGCAAACAATGTATTGCCCGTTCCTCTCACCATCGATCCGTCAGCTACGCATGATCGTGAATTCTGGAATCAGCATCGTCAAAGTTCACTCACTTCAAACTTCTTCAACCGTTCAGCAGGCTTGAATCTTTCAGGAAGACCACATACGGCAGGCAACATGAGCAGTGAAGTTTCGCATGGTATTTATGCAGAAAGTAGTGGAGATGATTGTGTTTTGGCATCAATGCCTCATGGTCAACACCAACCTGTAATGCACGACAGCATGCATACTCGCTTACCACATCCAGAGAGTGACTTATTGCCTGCTCCAACGATCAAATCGGACAAGGTCCCAATCTATCCAACCGATCAGATGTTTAATTCATGGCTTAATGGTGCTCCTCCGGTTGCAAATTGTTTGCATTCCAGCAGAAATCAGCCTCACGTACCTCAAGTATCGAGAAGCCATTTCCCGGGCATCATGAATCCCAGTATGCCATTGAATCCTTCTCATGCTCTTCTTTCACCTGATTTCCATTCTCACAATTGGCGAGTCACAACTGATATTGTTCTCACTGCGCCAGAAAGTAACAACGGTAATCGTGGACCAGATATCTATTATCCATCCGATCCAAGATCTGAGGATGTTTGGCATAGCCTTCAAGAACCGAATGCACCGGAATTCCCTCAACTTTCTGCAGCTACTGTGAATCATTTGGAATTTTATGAGTATGGTCAATTACAAGTACCGCGTGATCAAATCCTTCCTGCTCCTGCCAATGATCGTGCACCAGGAGTGATGCCGTACAATTCTCCTCCGATGGAATCATACTTTCATCTCAATCCAAAGAATCGTCCAGTTCGTCAAGATGAAAAGTTGCGTTTCCCAGCCGATCTTTACACACCAAGATGGGTACGTGGAGATGGTCCTGCTCGCGAAGGCTTTTGTAGCTTATGCGAAGAAGGAAGTTGGTTACAACTCAAAACATCACAATATTGGTACCATGTCCGTTTCACTCACGGTGTCAATTCCAACACTGGCAAGATCTATGATCCTCCCTTGCGCTTGCGTATTTGTGATGATCCAATGTCATCTACGTATGGCTTTTGCGGTGAATGTCATCAATGGATCCCGATTTGCACGCCTCGTCGTAAGCGATGCTTTACACCTTGGTTTAAACATGCTCATTCATGTCATCGATTTCAGCATAGCATGGGTCATTACTTGCCATTCCAAGAAGAGACGAGCGATGCAACACCTGCAATGTCATCTGATATTGATCGTATGAACGTTGAGGATACTTCTGATCATTCAGCAGAAGAGCAAGATGAATTGATCTCGTCGCCTCCTCCGCAGGTTGAGCAGTCAATTCCGCACATTGGCTCGCAAATGATCCTCCCTGAACACACCTTGCCATCCTTTGAGAAGGATAAAGTACAACAAAGATCATCTTGGCCCATTCCAGCAGTACAAGTTACAGCTTTTGATCACAATCAACCGGCGAACTTGGATGGTGAATTCCGTGAACAAACTTCGCAACCAACCTTGAATGAAAGAATGCTCGGCCATCGTCGTAGCGCAAGTGAAGGATGGCTTGGACTTCAAAGTACAAAGACGTTAACAAATGGTAATCTGATCAATGATGTTCCCCATCGTCCAAGAGCAGAAACGTCTGTCAAGAATCCACCTTTGATCGTAACAAAAGGACAAAAACAATTGAGAAGTCGCAAGAAGCAATCGGGAATCTTGAAACCGACTAAGAAAAAGTGAGCGTGGCTTTGGCAGCAAAAACAAAAAGTAAATATTTATATGTGTATAGGAGCAAGACCGTTTCGAGAACCGAGATCGCAGAATTTGACGAAAATTACGATAGATGATGACGCAAGATAGAAACAACAAAAAAAAAACACCAAAAAATCTCAACGATCCAAGTAACGCAATTTGTACGCTGTTCTTCCCATTTTCTTATTTTCAAAAACCCTTCAACGGAGAGCAATCTTTTTTCTTGTAGCATTTTCATTTCCCACTCAAACGCTCTCAGCTTTGATTTGTTTTTTCTTCACTGTATCGTATTTGGTTTCTTAATGAACATGTTTAGCATACAAGAATGAGAGTATTAATTTGCTTCGTCAACAATGACGTATCTTCCTGGTGCAACTTCGTTGAGAATCCGACGTGAGGTCCAGTACGAAAAAGCTTGTTGAGCAGCCTCAATGGAAACATCAAGCTCTTCTGCAATCTCTGTGAGAACAACAGACTTCTCTTCCGTGGCCAAGGAAGACTTTCTTGCAGCTACCTGAATTATACAAGCTTGCAATGGCGTAACATTGTCATCCAATGTTTGACCATTGTCCATCTCTATATGCACATGCACCGAATTTCTTCCGGGTAACCAACGCAACTTTCTACCATGAACGATTTTACTGAACTTGTTTTGATAACTTTCCATCGCTTCTTTGTATGGTTTAGGTAATTGTTCTTGCTCGCTTGTGCTCGTTCCATTTACAGGTGCGCTCGTACTCAAAGCTGCTTGGTTTGCTGCTCCAGAAACAGCCAGAGGAGCGGAAGCAAACATCATCGAGGTACCATTCGCTCCAGCACCGTTACTTCCGTTTATGCCACTACCAGGATTGACTCCTGCCCCTTGTGCTGGCATTGTGCCATCGTCGTTAAAAAGTGGCCAAAATTGACGCGAAAGGATGAGAGGATGCAAGATGTTCATTGCAGCTTTCACATCATCTTCCACATCTTGTCTGACCTCCGTATCAATCTTGTGAACACGTCTATCGATCCTTTGCGATCGTTTGATATCATTCAACATAACATCACATTTATTCATCGAAGAATCTCCAAATCGTTTCTTTAGATTTTCATTTAGCTCGTATTCTTTTCTTGAATCATACTTTCGAATTTGAATGATTTGTTCCGCACAACTCTTTTCGATCGCTGCAATAAATCCTTGTTCATCATCAAAGATTGAAATGATGATTGCAATCACATCGGATTTTTTGCTTTGTCGATAATCCGGTCCAGCATCGATCGGACGGGGTGCCCAATCTTCATCAGGTTCAGGTATGAAAACCATTCGTTTTGTTTCATCCATTGCGGTAATGTCCACATTGAGAGAATCTGCATCCATTCCTTCTGCAAGGCCATTCAGACCACTTGCCGTTACATCTTCATACATAGTAATCGATTGATCACCTGCTCCACCACGACCAGATCGACCAAGTCCGCTGTTCAAATCGCTTGTCTCACGCATCATATGGTGCAAGAGCGTAAAATCACCTGCCTGTCCCAAAAGACTTGCAACAATGACTGGAATCGTATCGTTCCTTGCTCGCAAATACGAGCGCACAGGACCAATGACATGAGAAAGGATCACACCAGTCGGATCAACGAAGCGTAAAGAGCGAATCAGATGGGTGTAAAATTGGATAATGTCCCTAGTCGAAGCACCAGGATGAAGCAAGCGAGCTTGTAGAGCGTCTGCAAGGGTTGAAGATACGTAATCTTTTATGTCCACTTGCTCTGAACATTCAATCAGATCTTGAAGAGCTGGTGAAGATTGCGGAAAATCGCTAATGATATCAAACAATTGTCGAGCACGCAGTTGCCCGAGGACCAAGAGCAGCTTGTAGGAAATCTGTTTTGAGAGTATGTCCAGATGACTCACATCCCAGATCCGTAAGATTGGCAAGATGTGATGTTCTAGCCAGCCTCGTAATTCAGGAAGGGCTTGCTCCTCGAAATCGTACGAATGTTCGCCAAAGCTATCGTCAGGGTTGTTGTCTAGTATGTTTGCCGATCGTGCGGATGATAAAGAGAATGCACCACCAGAAAAGATTTTATCTTTTACAATCTTGTGCACTACTGTAGATACGAGTGATTGCCATTCTGATCTCAACCCTAGTGCCAATAATGCATCCCGCGTTAGACTTTGTGATCGTGCCTCTATGATATCCCGATAGATCGCTTGTGCAAAATCTGGCCGGTAAGCAGTGAGAGCATGACAGTTGACGACATACAAGCCATCTTTTAAGGGATCTCCCAGTATACTGACAATGTCTTCATATACCGCATACACAGAAGAAACCTTTCCCAACACTTCTTCTGCTCGATCTGCAGAAGGTTTGGTTGCTGCTTTTAGCCTACTTGAAGATGGCAGTGCTGACCAAAGCTCTTCCTCGTATTTTTCCTTGATGGTAAGCCATGTCTTGCGGCAAAAACTGGCACGAAGAGCGGGTGAAAGGCTTTGCAGTGAGCCTAGAAGCGCATCTTTTGATTTGGAATGATCGTTTAGGAATGCTTTCAGCTGAGATTCAATGTCGCCCAATCGCTTGTTTTCTTGTTCTAATGGGTAGGCTGACCTGTTGTTGGGCTGGGCATATCGAAGCAGTGATGCTAGCCCTGCCCTCTGTCCATTTTCTGTTGCCATCATCTTTGCCGAAAGATCATCCCAATGTACTGCATCTGGCGGTAGTAGTGTTGGTGTTGTTGTTGTTCTTCTTTAACGCGAGTAATGAATGAATGATGCACGCGTCGGCCAGAGAAAAAAGCTTTAAAAACAAAAGAAGCCGAAGTCACACAGACTGAGTCAAAATGGCCTCATAATCGGAAATCTGTTGCTGTAAGTGCAGCTTAAACTACACTAACAAAGTGGGGGGTACGGCTTCTGTGTAATGTGTGAATTGTGAACCAAAAAGAAGAAGAATCAACACAAAGCCATCACTTCAACAACAACTTCCAATCAACCATCAACTGACATCTTATTGTCAACAACCGTCCAACGTGAGAGAGCCGGTGCCGTTCTGGGGCCCTTGTTCATTTACGCAACCGGCGCTTGCGCCTAATCATTTGCATATCCTTGCCAGATTCTTCTCATATCATACAAAAGCCAACCTCATGCTACGATAAGCGATTGTCTTGATCATCAACAATCTTGTGCACGATGTCTTGCTGTGCAGAACATCAGGTCTTAACGACTGGTTCTTCCTACCTATTCAACGTTTGGTCAAGCTCGCCTTTTTTGACTTCTTTGCTATTAGGTCCAATCGTGCTGGCAATCGTCTTGGTATATCCTGCATTGGTATTCTTTACACCGCAAGAAAAACATCTTGACTCAAGTGCATTCCAGTACGTCACAGCAGACGACCCGTCCAAGAGAAAGACATTGCCGAAGTTGGTGGAAATTGACGCAGAAAATGAAGAAATTCAACTCAGTATCGTCATTCCGGCTTTCAATGAGAAGGACAGATTACCGGTCATGCTCGATGAAGCAGTAGCATTTTTGGAAACCCTCAAGACCTCAAAGAAAAGCTTAGCAGAAGGGAATGGAAAAGGTAAACAGGCAAACGGCCATTCTCATACTGCGACAGAAACTGCTTCCAAGCGTGCACTCGTGAACCCATTACAATCAATCGAATTCATCATTGTCGACGATGGATCTCGTGACTCAACTGCAAGGGATGTATTGGAGTATGCAAAAAAGAACAAGTTAGACACCTCTTTACGATTGGTACAATTAGGTCAGAATTGCGGAAAGGGAAGGGCTGTTCGGCATGGAGTATTGCATGCCAGAGGAGCTCTGATCGCATTTTGCGATGCTGATGGTGCAACAAGATTCTCTGATTTAGGCAATCTGGCAAAGGAGATGGATAGAATCATCACGCCAGCAGGATATGCGATCGTTTGTGGAAGTCGTAATCATTTGGTACAAAGCGAGGCAGTGGTCAAAAGATCATTCGCACGCAATTTTCTCATGCATTCTTTCCATCTCGTTTTGAAGCTGCTCATGCGACCTCCAAATCCTGCCAAGATCGTCAACTCTTTTTTGCCAAATGTCAACTTTTTTGCCAAATCAAGCACATCTAAACGAAATCTTTTACCCGTTCAACCGCCAATTCGTGATACCCAATGCGGCTTCAAGCTATTCACAAGACGAAGCGCACAAGCAATCTTTCCTTTAGCACACATCGATCGTTGGATATTCGATGTTGAGCTTTTGTTGTTGGCTGAAGTTGCATCTTCCAATACACTCCAGAGAACAGCTGCTTCGAATCCTTCACTCTTTGCTGATTCTGCAGTAAAAGATCCACTTTTACGTTTACCTTTGCCAATTTCTGAAGTTGCTGTCGATTGGCGTGAAGTGGAAGGTAGCAAGATTGATATCTTGAAAGATAGTATCAGAATGGGATTGGATCTTTTGATCATTCGATTGAATTACGCTTTTGGAAGATGGAAGGGTCCTGGTATACTGCCGGGTGTTGAATCGATGTCCGGCAAAGAAAAGGTTGATTCATGTTGTAAATAGTCACACGTTCATACCTGTCACAATAAGTTGAATTGAATAGAATACAAATGCTGAAAGAATGAGTCGGATGCGGCGAGGACGTGAAGTGAACTGAGATCAATTGTTTCTGGAGGAGGGAAGCGTAAGGAAAGTCAGTGTCAAGTCCCCGGCTGATCGGCATCCGAAATACGTACTGGCTGAATTTATGTCCACATTTAGGACAGGTATAAAAGACTGTTGAACCTTCATCAGCACTACGCATTTGCATTGTATAAAAGTGCATTTCATCATGACCACATTGAGGACAATCTTCTTTGATCGTTGCTTCTTTTGCTCGTGTTCCTTCTGCTCCTGTTGCTGTGTGTACTAGCTGTCGTTTTTGTAAAAGTGCTGATGGGAATGCTAATGGGTGTGATTTTGTTGTGATTGTCAAGTTGTCGTAGACTGAATGAAGGGAGGAATGTGTAAGACTACTGTTGCTTAGAAGTATCGTTCAGCACCTGTTTTCACTCACCTGAAGCATCTTGAACTGCACCACAAGGAGCACATTTGATTAAATCTTCATCACCGGGTATATCGAGTAATGATCCGCATCTGTGACAGAACAGAAGCGAACCAACTTTGTCGGGAAGTAGTACACCAGTCATTGTACTGTAAGCGTTTGTGAAATGATGATGAAGAACAAGAAAAAAAAGGAAGAAACTGTCGCATGCACGCGAATAAAAATAAAAATTCAAATTTAACTCCGAATTCCATAAGGTTATAGCCTTGACAAGCATGCAGACTTTAGGCGCTTTGCATCTTTCCCGCGTAGGCCGCTTGTGTTATGCATACACCCACATGCAACAAGGGCAAAGCAGGAGTCATAAGAGTCATTAAATCACTTCCCCAGATTTCCACTTTCGCAACTCTCCCTTCCGACAGCCGCTTCGAAAACTAAAGTAGCAGTCAAAGATATTCAAGATGGGCAAGATCTATGATGAAATCCCGGACAACTTGGTCGCATTTATACAAAAGTCTAAAATGTTCTTCGTTGCAACATCACCCTTAAACGGAGGAAGCGTAAACGTAAGTCCAAAAGCAAACGAAGGTACATTTGAATACGTGAACAAAAATCGAGTACGTTATATGGATTTAACAGGATCAGGAAATGAAACAATAAGTCATTTGCTCGAGCCTGGAAATGGAAGAATAACGATGTGTTTTATCAATATTGAAGAGGGACTACCCAACATCGTACGTTTATACGGAAAAGGAACAGTGTACGAACGTGGAACGGATGAACAATTTGATCAAAAATGGCAAGAAGTACATAATGGTGAAAAAGTACCCGTTGGTGGAAGAGCGATCATTGATATTGCCGTGCATACTTGTTCAACTTCATGTGGTTATAGTATGCCAATTTACGAATTTAAACGTAAACGAACGGTTTTAGATGATGTGATTTCTAAATACGAAAAATTTTCGCCCGAACAATTAGCCAAGACAAAAGGTGAGAAAGTACCGGAAAATGCATATCTGCTCGTGGGAGGCGATGGCAAACAAGAATACAAAAGAGAATTTCAATCCGGCCTAGAGACATATTGGGCGGTGGTCAATAATTTATCCATCGATGGTTTGCCTGGCTTACGTTCTGTACGTGATTCTTTGAACAAAGAACAACAACAGAAATTGATGGATAAACGTCAGAGGCATGATCAATTACAAGCACCTCAAGAAGACTTAGGGCCCATCAAGCCCGTTCAGCCGCAAGACCAGACACAGCCGCAAGCAAAAGTTAAATCTATAACGTCTAATCCAACATCAAACTTTCACCTGTTCATCGCTTTCACTTTGGGTTGTGCTCTTACAGCAGCTCTTTTTCTGGCTCAGCAGCGCTCTGCAGGCAGTTTTATGAACATATCGCTATGAGAACGTCGTCAAGACTACACTGGTATACCTCACACTGTATCATAATATCACTTCTCCGCTTCATTAAATAATCATTATCATCATAATTATATGATCATATTATGGAAGAAAAGGTGGGGGGTCTCATTGATATCCATAACCTCCGCCATTGTAACCGGTAAATTGTGTATTAATATATCCTCCCGGCTGGAAACCCGTAGGTTGAGGTCGTAAAGCATCATACTTTTGTGAATTTTGAGGTGCTTGATTTGCATCTTGATGCATTGTACCTTGTTTCATTTGACCAAAAATATTTGCAGCCGAAAAACGATCTGGTCCATTATTGATCTCTTGTTGTTTCTGTTGTTGCTGTTGTTGAGAATATTGTTGTTGTGTATGTTGAGGAGCTAAAGGCTGTTGACCTTGTGGTGACATCATTGCCGAAAATCCTGTTGGTTGAGAAACCATTGCGCTCATTCCAAACGGACTTTGCGGTTGTGACATCTGCATTCCATAACCTGTTTGTTGGTTTTGCATATAGCCTGTCTGTTGGCCTTGCATATAACCTGTTTGTTGTGGCATCATTTGTTGCATTCCACCCCATCCTGTTTGTTGCGGTTGCATACCCATACCCATCCCTGTTGGTTGATGACCAAGAGCAGTAGGCATGAATTGACCAGTACTTTGGGTTGGAATCAAAGGTTGAAGCATCGATTGATTAGAAGCAACAGGCGCAAACGGTCCACGAGCTCCATTGAACATCGATCCTGCTCCCAAAGGAGAAGCACCAGGACGACCACCAGGCGCACTAACTGGCGAAGCAGACTTCATGGCAGCCAATTTATCAAACAATGCCGAATTAGGATCAGCTTTCACTTCTGGCGTAGCAGCCGGTGCTGGAGCTGCTGGGGCCGCAGGAGCAGGTGAGACTGCTGGAGCGGGAGCAGCAGGAACTGCAGCAGCTGCAGATGTCGGCCTTGGTGGTTGAGGAGGTGGTGTTGGTGCAGCAGCAACGGGAGTGGCAGGCTTAGCGCTTGGTGGTCTTGGTGTCCATGCATCGTCATCAAAGCCACTCGCGGTTGAAGCTGTAGGCTGAGTTCGAAGGACTTCTGGACTGGCATTATTGCTCCTCGTAGGTGGACTTGAAGTTCGTGCAAGGGATTCAGAAGCAGCAGCCAAGCTTGCAGCATCCACTGTTCCACTTGTGTTGCGTGTGGGGTTTGCACTTGGTCTTCCTCTCCGAGTGTTGTTCTTCAACGAACCATCTGGCCCAGAGAAGAGGTTTGGGGGAGGGGTAGTACCATTTCTCTTGGCGGCCTGTTCTTGTTCTTGAAGCTTTCTCGCCAAGGCTTCATCGGCCCTGATCTGTGCTGCTGGATCATTCGATCGAGATCCACTTCCGGTAGCTGCACCTTTATTGTAACGCTTACTGATAAATTTGGTTACACGAATGATATCACCTTCTCGTAAACCGATACTGCGCAAAGTGCTTCCATCCAGTTCGGGCAGAATTGCTTCATCAATTTTGTCTCTTTCAAACGCTGAAGCATAACGTGTGCAGTCATCAATATCCACACCAGATGCCAAAAAGAATTCAAACCAATCAATGTTTCTCTTTGGTCCTTTGGCGGCTTCTTGACGTCTGCGTTGTTCACGTTCTTGTTCCCTGCGTCTTTCACGATCGCGTTCAGATCTGCCATCACCAGCTGAAGCACCGTTCGTTCCACTTCTGGCACCGTTGCTGCGAGATGATCGAGAAGGTGCCAACTTACGACCTGTAACTTCTTCCAAGTATTGAATGTCGGGATGACTCATCTTTTCGATTGCAACTTCGATTACCACACCATTGAGCTTATGCAAACGAATCTTGCCCTGGTTGAATCCCAAAAATTCAGCCTCAACTTTAAATTGACCAGTTCGATCATGCCAGATGCGAGTACGTGCAGGACTTGGCTTCGATTTACCTGCATCTTTTGGTCTAGCAGGTGCAGATCGTCCACTGGGAATAGATACATCGCGTGATGCTGCTGATGCTGAAGTAGTGGCCGTTGTTGCTGGAGCACGAGGTGGTTTGGGTGCAGGTTGAGATTTGAGTGCTTCTCTGCGTCTTTCTTCTGCTTCTCTTGCTCGCTTTTGTGCTTCAGCTTTTGCTCGTCTCTCTTCTTGTAATCTGGCCCTTTCGGCTGCCTCTTCTTCCTCTTCTTGTCTTTGTCGTTGTTCTTCTTCTCGTGCTCGTGCAGCAGCTTCTGCAGCAGCTCTTGCTTCAACAGGATCTTCTTCATCAGCAACACTGATCGCAGCCGTACGGGTGGCAACCCGGTCAGCTTCACCTTCGACAACTTCCACGTAGCTGGCAGGCACCACACCCTCTTGTCCAGATGCATTACGCACCTTCCACCAATCATCCGTCTCCTTTTCCACTAAGATTAGCGATTCATTTTCTGCCACTGTCAATTCATCGTCGCCTTGTGCATCAAAGTCATACAATGCAATTGCATTCTCTTCTCCCGCTGCTAGACCATTTGATGCAGGAGTAGGTGCACTTGAGGCTGGAGGAGGTTTAGGGACTGCTGTTGCACGGCTTGGTGGTGGAAGGATGGAGGCTGCTGGTGGGGCTGGAGGTGCGAGTGGCGTACTAGGAACACTTCTGGCGGGTTGTGTGATAGGAGGTGGTGCAGGAATAGCTGCTGTCGGAGCGACCTCTTCTTCCTCTTCATCCGGCTCAGCATTTGCAGCATGAGCTTTCTCTTGTGATACTTCGATCTTTTTGCAAATTTCCTCTACATCGCCTTTACTGCCCAACACGAATCGTAGGTTGTTGTTCTCGTCGACATTTGCCGATGCTGCTGCTTGGGCATCTAGCTCGAGGTTCAATTGTTTTCCTTTGCTTTCCACTGTATGATTGATGATTGATAGTACGTTGATCTTTTGTACTGGTGCTTTATCTGATTCACTTGCAAAGAAGAGTGAAGAGTTACCAATTCCAAGAGTACCCTTTTTCTTTTTCTTCTTGGCATCCAATTCAGATGCAGCCCACATCTTGATCTCATCATTTTTTGCTACTTTTCGAGGTGCACCGATGCTTGCAGTGGAAGTCGCAATGGGGATGGCTGCTGCTGCTGGTGCGGGGTATGGCTCCAACTCATGCTCTTCAGGTGCGGCTTCCATTGGCTCTGTAACTCCATCGACAGCGGCAACTTCATCGACGTAATTAGCGGGCACGAAACCTAATTGACCTGAAGGCAGTCCATCATGCTGATACTTTTTGACCAAAAGCCATTCTCCTTTGATTTCATAAACGCTCAACATTTCATCTTCTTCGATATCCAATTCATCTTCATTTTGTTTTGCATAATCGTAAAGAGCTTTACTTATTCGAATAGGTTCAGCTTCTTCAACGTAATTTGCCGGTATTAGTCCAATCGGTCCTTCATCATCTTCATCGGATTGATTTTGTGCTGTTTTTAATTTTGCTTTCCACCATTCTGCATCTTCTGCATCCAAAACGTATAATAAAGCATCTTCTGTGAATGTTAATTCATCTTCAGCCGCTGCTGTATAATCGTACAATGCCTTACACAATGAAACGTAAGCCATTTTTGTGGATGAAGATCAATATGATCACCACAATGGCAAGCGAAAGTGTTGAAGGATTGAGGATGATAGGGTGGAGGATAGGTAAGAGAACAGGAGGAAGATGGAATGAACGAGTGGGTTTGGGTAGTCAACGGCATACTGACGCCGTACGGTATGATCCAGTGCATATATACAAGTAATGCCTTTGAGCCTGTGCCTGTCTTTATCTGCTGCAGATAGGGTTGACAATCGGCTTTTGCGCACGGCTACAGTGCATGAACGCGTGCATCGTAAAGCAGTGTGTTGAAGGTTGTTATGTGTGTGCCGGCCTGCTGCTTATGTGGTCAACACATTAATGAAAAGAGAAAAAAAGTCAACTCCATCTATCATCACCACCAACCATTCAAGGCCGATCAAGGCCAAAGAAGACGACAAAACAACCCGTCAACATTTGTAGAGAATAGGTCAAAATGTTCTTTCTAAAACGGCTAGAACATACGATTCAACTACATCCTTCTTTCTTTGGTGCTTCAATGCAAGAATACCTACAAAAAGAATTGAAAACAGAAGTTGAAGGAAAATGTTCGGGTACGATTGGTTATATCGTTCGTGTTTTGGTAATACATACAATAGGTGAAGGAATAATTTTGGCCGGAGGAGATGGAAAAGCAGAATTTAATATGGAATATACTGCTTTGGTAATGAAACCTTTCAAAGGTGAAGTTGTGGATGCTTTGGTAACAAATGTTAACAAGATGGGTTTCTTTGCAAGCGTTGGACCGTTAAGCATTTTCACTTCAACACATTTACTACCTCTCGAATTCAAATTTCAACCTGATTCAAATCCGCCAGAATTTGCCGCTCCCGATGGACAATCGATCGTTAAAGGCAAGAAAGTCAGACTACGAATCGTTGGTACACGTGTTGATGAAAGTGAAATCTTTGCAATCGGAAGTTGCAAGGAAGATTATGTGGGCGTCGTGGATGGATGATGGCTTGACAAAGCGAAAAATAGACAACCTTGCAGTTCTTGGCGAAAAGGGCTGCTCAAAATGTATACTAGTAACAAACAAGCAATGCAAACACAGACATTGTTGGACACATGGTTGAATGAATGCGGGTGTAGAAAGATGAGGATGGCGTCATGATGACAGGAGTATCGGGTACGTATCAATGATGAAGCAGACGATCATGGAAGCAGTCTTACACATCTCAGTGTCGCACGTAATCAGATATAGTGGGAAGGTCTCACTGTCATTTCATTGTTCTGTGGTGCTCTAATATTGTTTTATGAATCTATGTAGGTTGCTTCAGCTTCGGAAAGTGGCTCACTTGCAAGTAGTGCACTTGATTCGACTACCACTATTGAATTGGAATTTGCTCCAAGGGGGTGTATGCCACTTGATCGGGTTTTTGCTTCAAGGGAGTAGCATGTCGCTTTGGGACTTGTTCAGGAACATTCATGATTGCTTTGCGCTTCGTTGTTCCTTCTTTGTCATCTTTAGGAATGTTAAGAATTTGATGTTCATACTTCTTCTCGTTGGCACGTTCGTAATTCGTGTCGAATCGTTTCAAAAAGACGAGCACAAGCGGTGGGAAGAGGTTGTCTCTTGGAATAAGATGACGTGTGCGGAAAATGACTCGAAAGTTGAGCAAGTTGGCAAAGATGACCGCGGGCAAGTATGCAAGGAAAACAAAAAAGTGCCAAGAGAACTTGGGAATGAAAGGAGGACGAGATGGTTGACTTTGTGGATCATTGAGTGGAAATTGCAAACGATTATCCTTGAGACGAGCGAAAAGCTTGCTGTGTTCTGGATCGACACGAGCTTGATAGCTTTCTGTATCTTCCCAGCGCAAAGCCTTCTCGGCTAGGCCAAGATTTTCCTCATTAGAAGCTTCGGTCCACATATTCTTGAGCTTGGACGGACGAGTCTTCATCAAACTTTCAAATTGGGATGACTTGAAAGGATCATATTGACCGCCCACTACGACACTGTGATGGATGTGCTCGCGGGTCGATTCTTTGTTCACGGATCCGCCCCAAACAATATTCTTCGGTAAATTCCATTCACGAACATGACGAGTCAACTGGAACATGATCGGAGGACGTTCACGGTGTTGAGGTTGCATTGCCCATGGTAAGCGGACATCGCGCAATTTTTTCGCAGCCTCGATATCAATATCAAGAAGTGGAATTGGGTCTCGTTTAGGATCGACATCGACCATCTTTGAAATCATCCAGGCCAAGGCGATATCACTTAATCCATGCCATGAATGACCACCGCCAACATCCGAATGGGTACCTTGGAACCACATTTGTTGCAGATGTTGACCTTTGCGCATCTCTTCATCTTCTTTTTCTTCTTGTTCGGGTACATACCATACAGTCGGCGTAAAGTCTTCACGGTCTTCTCCCAAAGAGAGAGCGTGATATGCATGGCGAATGTTTGGGGCGAGCATTGGATCGAAAAAGCTATAATATTGTCTTTCGTTCTGGTTTCCAAACGTACCTGGTACACCATAAGCGCCCACAGTGTCCCAAACGCCCACGACTTCGATGGGAACATCATCAACAACAGGATGACGACATTTGACTTCTTGCAAAGCATTGGGATGGAAGTCTTCTGCGAATAAACGTACGAGCCATTCTTTTGGTCCGCCTACTCGTGATTTGGCGCGCTTCTCTTTTGTGCGCGCACTAATCATTGCATTTCTACATGGCCATCGACCTAATGCTTTAAAAACAGTTTCTTCTGCTCTTTCAATCGTTCTGGGTAAAGATGGATCACGAAGAAAGAAGGCTTCGACCAAAGTGGTAAGAGAGATTGCACATTCATCACGAGTAAGAATGCCGATATAGTTGATCAAAGAGGCAACCGTACGTGCAACATAGGCACCACGTGAAAAACCAAACAAGTAAATTTGATCACCTTTGGAGTAATTGTCCGAAATGAAATTGTATGCTTCACGGACTTTGTCTCGCAAAGAGATGCCGAATGCACCTTCGATACCTTTGACAAAGAGGTAGTTCGAAGCACCAATTCCTTCTTGATAAAACACAACTTGCTCAATCGTCTCTCCAGAAGGCGTGACTGCGTATGGCTTGATGCATTGACCCAACAAGGCTACATTTGTGAACCAAAGTTGATTCCAAACGGGTGTGATGTAGTTGTCCAGATGCAAAGGTTTCACAACGCTTTCACGTGCTTGCCTGAGAGTGGCGGCGGTCAGCAAAGATGGCCTCAGTATGGTACGTGCTTCCTTCTACTTACCAAGTTCCATCACAAAGGACGACAATACGTTTTGGTTGACGGTTTGGGTGTTCAACAACCATGGTTAGAGACGTTCTTGAAATGCTCGATGGTTTTTAAAGGAAAATGATGTGGGAAGAAGGAGAAAGATTTGAGAGAGCAAAGACCCTTTATATGCTCTACTCTATCTTCCAGAAATTGGGAAGGATCTTGAAAGCGACACGGTATCCCGATCTTCAAGTCTGAATTGGCCGAAATTACCGATCTTCTAGACCCGTTTTGATGTGATCATCTGGACAAAACATCATCAAGCCGGTCTAGGTATTGCAATGGTTGTACAAAGAAGAGCTTTCACACTGTGATTGAAAAGGTGTGATGCACAGCCCTTAAAAAAAGGTGGCTTTGGAAATGGGCAAGATGGCATGTCCGATGGTCAACTGTATGCATGGCACGGTCTCATGTTAAGGTTTGAAAGGAAGAAGGGAGAGGTGGAGTGAGAAGGAACCGTGCTGGCGCCGGGTCCGCTAAATGCATGCAGAGGCTAGAGACCAACCCACCAGACATACCACACAAGAAGATTGCACTTTCTACAGCTAACATTGAAATCATATAATACACACAGAATGGCTCAAATGATATCATTTGCAATTATACTCAATGCTTTTCTCGTAAATACGCACCTTTGGCATTCAAAAAGAACGGAACAGGCACCAAAAGAAGTGAAACGCCAGCCAAGAAACTACAAGCGCCTTGCGTAGTCATTCTCTCAAGCATTCTGATAGTAACCAAAGGAAAGAAACAACCGAAAGCGCATCTTGTAAAAGTGGTTGCAGCCATTGCCATTGGGGCTTCTTGACCGGCATAAAGGGAAACGTACGGCAGTAAAGAAGTAAAGATGATCAACATTCCAGCCGAGAATAAAAACATCCCAATCGCGGGAACGATCCAATGAACGTGCGGAAATGGTGCGGTCCAAGCAAAGATGAGGATTCCAATTGGCGGTAAGAGCGAACCCCATAAAGCTTGACGGAATCGAGCTTCAGGTAGAATGGGTATATTTGCTTTTTGTAAGGATTTGTAATATCTACCTTGCAAGATCACAATCAACGCACCGCCAACCAAAAATCCTATAAAAAGAGAAAGGAAGAAAAGGCCGGTTGATTGGGCAGTCCAATGTCGAAGTCCGAGGAACACAAACGGAACAGCCTCAAATGTGGCATACAAAACACCGTACAAAAGTGAAATGTAAAGACAAATCACAGTCACGACGGGTTCCGTGAACAGCCAAGCGAAAGGACGACCCAAAGATCTTTTCATGGCCGTGCAAAATGAGCAAAAGGACTGATAAAGTCGATCAACTTTTCTCTGAGTGGTATCTGACCTTTCTTGAATATCGAGATCGGCCGTTTCAGGAACAAATAGAATGCATGCTATGGTTGAACATGCAATCAATATTGCTTGTACACGGAGATTCCATCGCCAGCCGGCATAGTGATCCACAAAACCCATCACAACGGGTGCCAGACCGGAACCAGCAGTTGAACCTAGAGCGTAAAACATCATGAAGCTGTTCAACTGATGTAGTTCGAGCATCTGAAGGAACAGTAAGATGGAAAGTTAAGATATTGCTCTCACGATATGAGAGAATACGAACTCACATCGGTCAATGAAGCAGGCACATTGTTCAATGCTGAAGAACCGCAAGCACCAGCTAAGAAGCGCAAGATGATCAGCGTTTCGATATTACGTGATTCTGCTGCGCCAAAAGAGAATGCTAAAAGCCGTGAAGGGAAATCTCAATTAGCAAAGAATCTCAAGTCAATCGAATTGGAATAAGCTCACCTGTAAACGATAGGAAAGTGATGATATAGACCGGTCTTTTCCCAATAACGAAAGAAAGAGGTCCAAACAATAAAGGACCAAGGGCAGATCCTAGAACAAACAGTGCAACTCCCAGTAAAACAACATCTTGCGAAGCCTGAAAGTGCTTCTCTATGCTCAACGCTGAAGATGCGTATGCACTTGAGCTGAATGTAGTAGCAAAGCACATCAAAGAGAGAATTGAAGCAGCAATTAGACGCTTGCGAGGGGTTATCTGTTGGCCTTTTAGTGTTCGTGGCCCTCTTGCTGCTTGTTCCGTCACTTGATCCGGCAATGACTTCTCCTCGTCTCTGTCTAGCAAGCTGCCAGTTCTCCCTTCTTCTTTACTGATGATCATTCTGACTTATGCTTCTTGGTACTGCGAATGGTTATTTTTCTGGCAAACAGAGCTGTAACGATTTATTTCCTTTCTATCTCTTTATATATGAAATCGCAGATACATCATTCTTATCACCGAAGGGAAAGTGAAACGCTCCTGGATTTTTGTTGCCACTTGTATTGTTGCTGAAAATAGCACAAATCATATCCATCACGGAAAGCATTGTTGGGATTCCCGAATATTTCGGAAATGGATTACGAACACTGCCTGAAGCTTGGTCTTCCAGTGTTTCGCTTGTCATTCCCGACATTTTCGGGAATTAAACGCGCTTTTGCTTCCCGCGTTTCTCGGAAGATAAAATTTTGCAAAACTCGGAAAAAAAGATTCCTAAACGATTTGGTTAAACATTCGGAACCGTTTACATACATTATTGCCGGTTACTGGTAAAGGAGTGCACTTTCCCTGATAAGCACCAGCAACAACTTGCCCAACAATACCGGCTGCATCAGATCAATCAGTTCAGTAAGCCACAATAATGACTTTTCTGCTATTTCAGGCACCATTGCAATCATATCTCTTTATGTCCGGAATTCGGTGTTTAATTCTATCGATCTTCCTTCACCCCAAAATTTGAATCAACAGAAATGTTCTTCAGATAAGAACGATGTTGTCAAAAGTATAAAAGAAACCCTAAACTCTAAGATGTACTACAATCAACCCCTCACTTCCGACACCTCCAAAAGCAACTTAAACGACAATGAATTCCCTGTGGTCGACATTGCCCTTCGCTTCTGTTATGCTAGCATTCGTGCTACTCTTTCGGAACTCACTTCCATTTGCATGGACTGCTCGAATGATGCTGCCCTTCTTACACTTACGACTTACATCTTCTAAACGGGTATCTGATCCCAATCGATTACCTTCAGCACATGGACGTAATCCATTCGAAGATCGATTCACATCAAAACATCGTGCCACGATTGATGAATGTGATTTTATGGGTCATCTAAGTAATAGCTCTTATCCAAAAAACTTGGATCTTGCAAGGATGAACTATAGTAGTGATCGTTTGGCAGATTTCATGTTGGACGGAGGTTGGGTTCCACTGGGTTCGACTTCGTTTGTCTTTCATAATGAGATTCCACTCTTGTCAGAGTATACAATCACTTCACGTATAGAGACATGGGACGATAAATGGCTTTGTGAGTGTGAATTTATCAATGAAAAACACCAGTAAAACTAATCTTAGTTGAATTCTTACAGATCTTCGAAATGAATTCACCGGCAAAAGCAAGAAAGGTGACAATATCTTATTCTGCACTTCAATCACAAAGCATTGTTTCAAACATGGACGAAAGACGATCGCACCTTGGTTTGTGCTTGCTTATTGTGGTTATTCAAGTTCAAAAGATAAAGAGACCTCCATCAAAGCAAATAGCACAAGATCAATTGAATTACGTCAATCGCTCAAAAGTGCAAAATCAATCAATCCTTTACAGGCTTACCAAAAGAGTACCACTGCCCGCCAAGAACCAATTTGGTGTTCGCCAGAATATTGGGACGTAGACAGCTGGGAGACAGAGAGGAAAGAACGTTTGGATAAACTGTCAAACGCATTCCTGTGATCCATCGGCCATATTCAATCATTTCTGTTACATAGAGTTCGACAATAATACAATTATAGATACACTTTCCAAGGTTGCGAGCCGCCATCATGCTTCACGCTGATGTCCCGAAAATATCATTCCTTGCCTTTGATCATCTCTGCGAAATTCGAGCATACGCATCAATCGATCGTGCAATTGTGAAGCGATTCGCCATCTTTTGCCTATTTGGCGTAAAGAGAGTAAGGTGATATTCAAGTATGCACGTATAGATCCTAAAGGTCCTCCTTGATCATTATTATGAATCGCGTTCTGATCAAGCCTTGTTGGAGTTGCATTCTGTTTGATAGAATCAATGATTGAACTTGAATCAACGGTAAAATAATTATTGAAATCTTCCAAATATAATCTTTGCAATTCTCTTATGAGAGATTGACCAGTAATTGTGATACTGATGATCAAAGTTATGTCCAATTGACAAAATACCTCTTCGGCAGCATGTAATGCTATTAATCTCAAAATTCGAATGATTTCTTGTACTGCCGCATTGCATATTTCTCGACTTTCTTGACTTAAATCAGACAGAGGATCATGCAACATAAGATTGCAAGCATGAGGAAGCATGTGCGCAACACTGATCATTCCCTTACCAAATTTTGTGATAGATTGAGAAGATAGAATCGAGGGCAAAGATTGCCCAATAACCGCATCTTGTGAAGCTTTAACCTGAAGAGGTGATTTGTTCAGATCATTCATTTGATGAACACCCAGCTGTAAAAGCGCAATACTTGCTTCCATTTGAATGAATAAACCCGCTGATTTTATCTCTTCTGCACTCGAATGCTCAGGAAGTGATGCTGCATGTTCTGCGCATCTTCCCAACAAGATTCCGCCTTTGTATAAGAATTGCTCCAAATCTCCCGTAGCAACGTTTAATAAATCTAAATCTTGCAATTTGAACGTATTCGTGGGAGCGTTTAACGGTGTTGGATCTTCTATTCCAGGGCATAGTGAGAGGTATTTTGACAATTGATGGTGAGGTAGATCGGATTTAAAATCTCTTTCGTTCAGGTTTGTCGGCCACAAAGTAACAATTGTAGACATGCGATCCATCATGAAAGCCAAAAGCATGGTCCTACGTGCTTCTTCTTGTTCTAAACAATCTTGAAAGTTTAAACGAATGACAGATCGATTTGCAATGAATGGCTTCAAAGGAAAGAATAGTTCGCCAGACGTATCTTCTCCTCTTGATGCTGGATCTTGATGCAAATTCAAAATCAGACATAGCCTAATCGCTTCAGCGCATGAAACGTAAGATTGAAGCAAGTCACCCTGTCCGTACAATTTCGTGACAAGCAGTAACGAAGCCCTCACTATATCCAGCGGATTGTTCGTGAGACCTTCTTGCGTAGCAGAGCGAATGTGCTCGTGAGCGGCAGCACAATGCTGTCGATGAGCTTCCTCTGACGAAGATGGCGAGCTTGGTCGAGCAGCATATGCCAAACCGACAAAAACATGCAACACTGTTACATAAACGAGGAAGATACGGTCAGTTGGGTAAAGCAAGATCGCAGCCATGCTCTGTTCTTCTCACCAGATGGATGCGGAAAATCGCGATGATCAGTAGGTAGTCTGAGCCTATCCATAAGCTTTTTGGGTTGAAAGATCAATGCTAGGCGGAATTCTTCATAGCAGATCTCAACACAACGTCGAATTTCGTCAAGGTGTGGAAGTCCAGGCAAATGAATGTAACGGTCGTCAGAAATAGGGCTCTGATTGGAAGTGATGTTGTTGGGCTCAATCTGAGATGAAGAAAAGGAGTGACGCTTCCTTCTCTTCTTTTGCGGACTGTCCGACTGATCTGGTTGAGTTCCATCAGCACTGTCATCGTAACAAGGAGACGATAACAGTACGTCAAGTTCTGTATTCAACCCATCTACCTTTGCGATCATCTTAACACTCCTACGTCTGGTTGCTGTGCATGGCCCACATACTGGCCTCACTCCATCACACCTCAACTTTCTTGATCGACATTGCGGACAAGCGTTTCCTCTGCCAATGTTACGATTACGTGGAGGCATCTTTACCGAATGGGATTCCATCTGGAGTGTCTATTGATTGGTGCTTTCCTCCAACTTTGACTGTCACATCATATTAATTTGATGTCTTCTATCATGCCATCAAGAGATGGCATGTTGAGTGTACTGATTAAGTATGTCGATGATCAATGGTAGAAAGGAGCATGTTTGTTGACTTTCACTTTTTAACTCCGAATTCCTTTTCCCCACGCTTGTCAGTGTTTGACGCGTTCGATGGTCTTCCCGCACCTTCTTTCACTCAATTGTCGTTGGCAATTCATATAACGGGAAGAAAAGCATACTAAGGGGCGGGCATCGAAATTGTAATATGTACTTGTATCTCTCGTCCGATAGAATCACTTTTGGAAAGCATTGAAGTGTTCATTGCATTATTGGATCACGGACGGACCTGTCCAATTAAAATCAGGAGATTAAATTACAAGCACGCAATCCTTATCGTTAACCGTGTTAGCTTCGATAGAACGCTCTCTGTTCATTTAGCATTTAAAACCCTAACGCTAAGGATCATTCTATCAGTCTAGAAGCAGGAATCCTTTTGAGAGATGAAATTGCGTATTTACTTCATAACGGGCTTTGATGGTGTGAATGGCGCAATCCGATCACTTTAACTCAATCAGCATTACGTGCGCGCTAATATCTGCAAGTTGAAAACGCTAACCTTCAACCAATAAACTTTAACCGGTTTCTCCTCTTCCCATAGAAAGATGCCGCAAATAACCTACGGTAAATCTTTTTGTTGATCAGGATGCAAAGGTTAATCACCGTATTCTGTTGATGTGTTTGACCTCCAATGAAAGCTAAAGAAGTAGTCGCCGATCTCGATGTGCGTAACAATGCATGTCATTCGATTATAGGAGTGGGAAAAAAACACCGTGTACCTCAACGTTTCTGGACTTTCCCCATGAACAGACTGTAATAGGCCAATCTTGATTGGATTACCTTTTCTCCAAACAAATAAGGACGAAACTTCAATCTATGCATCCGATCGTCCAATCCCCGGCAAGTGGCACAAAAAAGACACTTCTATTATTCCGATCAAAATGCCAATGCAGAGTCTATTCTCGACAAGACGTGGATGAAATTAGAAGAAGAGTCGTTATCCACTCCTAAAATTATTTGACCTCTCATAGAGTCAAAGGGTTCAAATATGGCACTCTAAACAACGCTACTAGGATTCGTAGAACTTTTCATATTCGTGCTATGATCGTCACTGCGCATCTTTTCATTTTCTTTTCATCGGATCATAGATCTTTTGACTACCTATATTCGACTAAGAACCGTTCGGGCTGTCCGAGATGGTATGGAGTGACAGCTTGAACATGAATTGCGTGATAGAGATTCAAATGAATAGAACGAGATAGAGGCAGGTAGGACTGATCGAGCGTAAAAAGCCAGATTCGATACTATTGCGCCATCATCAATTCAGAGATGTGCTCTTACACCCGTTGTGGTTGTAATGTGTATATAAACAAGCTATTGTCCAATCCACAACCATCTTTTCATCCCAAACAACCCCCCCACTCCCTTATCCCCAAATCAAACCATCCAAGATGCGTTTGACGATTCTATCACTTGCTCTTTCCAGTGTGGCCGCCAATTTGGTCGGTGCCGCTTGCCCATTCGGCGAGCTGGCCCGACGAGGCCTGGCCGATCCAGAATTATCTGAACGTTATTTCCGTGGTGAAGGTATGCCTAACCCAGATGAATACGTTGTCAAGCGTGCAGATGATCCATTAGCACCAGGTAATGACGGTAACGATCCACCACTCTTGGGCCCTGTCTCGGGTATTTTGTCCGGTGTTGGATTGGGCGCTTTGACACCTAGAAGTGAAGATCATCAAAATCAAGTTTATCAACATATTCGTCGTAGATTGGACGAACGTGAAGAAGATGCAGATATTGATGCTGCTGTCTTGACTCCAAAAGCTCATAAACGTCACGTTGAAGAACGTGGTTTGATCGGTGGTATCTTGGCTCCACTTTCGGGTGCTTTACAATACATCGATGTTCCAACTCCACAAGAATTTGGTTTGAAAGCTATTCCAGGTAACGATCCACAACATCAATATCAAGCACCAGGCAAGACTGACGTCCGTGGTGATTGTCCAACTTTGAACACTTTGGCAAATCACGGTTATTTGAGTAGAGATGGTATCACAAGCTTTGCTGAAGCTGCAAATGCAATTCAAACTGCTTATTCAATGTCTTTCGATATTGCAGTCTTCCTTTCCGCATTAGGATTATTGTCAGGTGGTGATCCAATCACGGGTAAATACTCTATCGGTGGACAAGATTCTCGTGTACCAAACACCATTGGTCCCGCTTATGGTATCGACCGTCACGGTTTGTTCGAATTGGATGCTTCGATCAGTCGTGGTGATGCTTACTTTGGTGACAACCATAGCTTGAACTTGACACGTTGGGACAAATTGGTCAGTGATGCAAACACCTACGGAGATGGCTTATTCACAATCGAGGCTATGAAACGTAACGCTGCAGACGCCGTTGACGAAAGCCGTAATACAAACCCTGAATTTGCTTTCGGTGGTGACTTTGCAGTTATTTATGCTACAAGAGCACTTTTGTCTCGTCCACTTCCAAACGGTACAAACCCAGACGTTCCAGATTATAAGAACATTGCACCTTTCTACCTCGATGAAGCTTTCCCTGAGAATTGGTACAGAATTCCAAACTCTTATTCTCTCGTCGATCTTCTTGGCGATATTGGTTCTTTGTTCTTATTCAAGCCTCAAGTTCCAGGTAGAAACGTAAACGGTCGCTATGTCCCAATCCAGAACCTTAACATTCCAACCGCACCTGCAGATGTTGGTTGCTTTGCGCTTACTCTCTTGTCCACTGCTGGTCCAAGTGCTATTGCACCTGAAATCCAAGGTGTCTCAGAAATTGTTGAGCAATTACTCAAACCAGTCTTGCATCAATCAAACTGCAACACTGACTTGTACGATCAAGCCGGAAAATCAAATAACAACACAAAAGGTGCAGGTGGTACAGTAAGTGACTTGCCACCCGGAAGTGACGCAAACCAAGGTTCAGGTTCTGGTGTAACCAGAAAAGGTCAATACTACGCTCAAACAACAAAGCCAACCGGTAAATCTACCGGTCAAACCATTGCTTCTCGTGCATTGAAGTTTGGTCGTGACTTACTCATTTAGATATATATTCGCTTTCTTTCTCTAATACCCTTCCCTTCTCTAAATATAAAAAGGTAGAAGCGCAGCACGTTGCAGCTCCCTGTCCAATCAATTCAATTCAAATCTGGCCAATGAGTGATGATCGTGTGTGATAGCTGCTGTAGTCATTTACCAAGTGAGGTACGCCTTATGCCATGTTCTGTAGCTGCACAGACTAAAACACTCTTTATGCGCCCATCCGCTCACCCGTTGACATTACACCAACGGATGGATAGGGCGTCAAACCTTAATTTGTTGTTTGTTACAGGTGGTGGAGTAAAAGTGCACACTAAGAACAAAAAAGTGCGGGAAGCCCCTATGAAGGTGATGATCGTTTTGTGCATGTATGCAGTGAGACTATCTTTTGATTGACGTATGTACACCATGCTATCCTCAATACGTGCATGATGGCTGAAAAGAAGGGTGGAAGGCTTCGACTTTGCTTAGCAAAATCTTCTTCTCTTTTCTCTGTCATGATCCCCGACCCGAAAGTATGACGACGGTGCAAGATCCGCTGCCAGAAGGACATGATAATGTTCATGTGCCATATACAAGAAGGGCACCGCAAAGGATCATCATCTTATGTGATGGTACTTGGTGTGTATGAGACGTACCGATAGCATTGCAACGTCTCGCTGACTGACGATCACCTCCCCCTTCCTTCTTTCAGGCAAAAGAGAGGCGCAGTGGATTCAGTCTTTACAAGCACAGGTATTTCAACGGCAACAAACACAACATGGTTCACAAATGTGGCCCTTCTGAGTCAATGTATCTTGCCAAATGCTGCCGTTACAGATTCAGACGCACCACCAATGCCTCAAACAGTCTTTTATCAAGATGGGATCGGTGCTACACCGTATATCTTTCAACGTTTATTCGAAGGTGCAACAGGTACATCATTAGATCTTAAAGTAATGGAAGCCTATTCGTTCATCGTTGATAATTACCAAGAAGGAGATGAACTATTCTTCTTTGGATTTTCTAGAGGTGCTTATACTGCACGTACATTGGCAGCATTTGTGAATTATATCGGTATCCTCTCAAAGCAAGAACGTAGTACTTCGTTGAATACATTATGGCATGCATTCAATAATCGTAATCCTTCTGATCCAAGTACAATCACGAAAGCAGAAGAGACTGTTTTCCAAGAATTGAACAGATGGCCAAGCGCAAATGCAATGTTTAGTGCAATGAACAATTCAAAGATTCAACTTGCATCTATACCAGATGCGAAAGACGAACAAAAGGCAGACGAATCAATGGAACAGACTGTTGACCCTTCCATAGTTCAACCGGCCACCATTCCGATTCAAGCGGAGTATGTAGAATCAGAAGAAGCAATCATCAAACGTTCACCGCAAATTCTCCCTCCAAAGATCGAAATCGTGGGCGTTTGAGTTCTAACTATCCGGTTATTGAATAAGCAAGAAATAGTTAGGATCGATGCATTTCTGTGTCTGAAGTTGTATTTACAAGGTTCTTTATATAGCCATTCAGAATAAGATCAGAATCGTTAAGGTGGCAAAGATGTATTTAACAAGGAATAGAATATATGTTACGAGAAGGAAGTAGACTAGGTACGCGAGGGAAGATGACCAGGAACTCAAGGAAACCCAAAAATGTCACGTTTGGGACACCGTCGGTTCGTTGGGGGTCCCGGGTATGTTCTTGAACCCGCAAAAGATGCAGTACTACAGTTTCTTTGATCCAATGCTGGCGCCGAACGTTCGACATGCATTCCATGCGATTTCGTTAGGTGAAGATCGAAAAGATTTCTTACCTACGATTTGGAGTTTACCAAAAGCAGAATTACCCGCTGATGCAGAAATGCGAAAAGGGCAAGAATTAAAACAAGTTTGGTTTCAAGGTTCACATTCTGATGTTGGTGGTGGACATCCTTGGCATGGTTTAAGTGATATCACGTTTGCATGGATGATTTCTCAATTGGTTGATAGACCAAACGGAGAAGCTCCTTTGTTGAACATCGATATTAATTTAGCACGTTCTTTGCAGGATTTCAGACTACCATGGGCAAAACAACCTGAACATCCATCAAGAACTGCAATCATGTTACAAGAGACGAGAAATTTCAAGGGATGGAGTATTCCGAAGAAGTTAACCAAGACGGCAGTTTGGCGTAACACACTTGATCAAAGTAACACACATGAATACATTCATCATAGTGTCATCGAGGGGCAACAGTACGATCCCAAAACATCTCCTCAATTTGATCTTATTCGGAAATGTCACCCAAATCTTTTGGACGAGCTGTGGGCCCAAGCGTCAGATCCTGAATCGTTAGGAAAGACGGAAAAAGCAATGCGTTGGAGTCTGGAAGAAAGTGAAAGAGCACGATCACAACCAATCAGTCAAACGCCTTTATTCAAGCCAAGAGGAGGATCATCTGAAGATGATAATGTTCCTCTTGATGATCCTGAATTACCACCTTCTAAACCTGAAGGATTTCCGCCTGTCGTCTGGAAAGCTTTCGTAAGAGCCGCATATGCTCCGGTTTTAGCAACCTCTTATTTGGTCAACTGGAAACGTCCGATTCTAGAACATTCATCTGTTCCACAGCGCAATCTTCGTCCGCCAAAGTTATTGACATTAATCCAGAAGCTGGATCATGATCCTCAAGAAGCCTCCCAACCGTTACCGTCTTTGGGCAATGTTGAGAAATGATGACAGAAATCTAATTCACACCCTCCCGCTCAATAGATGATACCTCTATTTAACCCTTGATCTTGAGAGAAATCGTATGAATTAATAAATGAAAAGTGAAATGAAAGAAAGATGAGATATGAAGCAGAAAAGAGCATTAGATATCCACCATTTTTGTTTTACGTCCTCTCCCAGTTACGACTTGATCTTTGGTAATTGTGCAATGAAGTGATTTAGGCTATCAGGTCTTGTGAATGCAATTGCAGCCAAAAGGAAGATCAAAGCCGATAATTTACCGATGCCAAAGCCGCTTGAAGAAGAGGACTGTTTTGAGAAAATCGATTTTCGGAGAAAAGATGTGAATTATAAAAGATCAGGTATAAAGAAGAATATGGTATCGTCGTTAGAAAAAGAGAATGGAAAGAATTTTAAGCCTGGAACGTCAGTCGACTGTGTCAGCATTCAAACAGAGAGGGTTTTGAGGCCCACATCAATTACTCACCTTACTGTAAGACTTTTCGGGGCGTGAAAAGTTTGGAGATTTACCCATCAATAAACGCATAAAGTTTAAGTTGCTATCTTTATAAGGAGGATAACGTGTGGAAAGAGCTTTTTCGGCAATTTGACCCATCATTCCTCTTGATGGAGCATGAACACAACCACGGCTATGGGTGAATGTGTCGAAGCCAGCCTTTCCATGGTAGTTACCATATCCGGATTTTGAGCTGCCTCCGAACGGCAAGTCCTCTACAACGTATTGTAATAGAAGGTCTCCTTCAACTAAACCACCTGAACGGGTCTTTTTGATAATTTCGTTGGTGGTGTTCTTTGATCCAAAGACGTATGTGGCTAATGGACGATCATTTGCATTGATATAATCGACAGCACCTTGAACGTTAGGTACGCTCATAATAGGCAAGATTGGACCAAAGATTTCACCTTCCATGGCTGCATCACCAGGTTGAACGTTTTGTAAAACAGTCAAATCCATATAACGTTCAGGAGCTTCAAAATGTCCACCGATCGCTACGTTTGCTTTTGTGCGGTCTAGGATACCGGCTAAACGTTTAAATTGACGATCGTTGACCACTCTACCAAAATCGGGTGATTCACGATTACCATTAGGGAAATATTCTTTGACAACCTTTTTCATTGCGTCCAAAAGTTTATCTTGACTATTCTTTGTTACTAAAACATAATCAGGTGCAATGCATGTTTGACCAACGTTGACAACCTTTGCCCAAAGGATACGATGAGCTGCGATATTGAAATCTGCATCATCATCAACGACGACAGGTGATTTTCCACCTAATTCTAAAGTAGTTGGGCAAAGATATTTAGCTGCTTTTTCAGCAACGATTCTGCCAACGGTTCCGTTTCCGGTATACATGATATGTTCCCATTGCAAATCCAACAATTGTGTAGTTTCTGGAATGGCTCCATTGATCACTCTTGACATACGTGGATCCATGTATTTGGGCCACAATTCAGCCAACAAACGAGCAGAATGGGCGGCGACTTCAGATGGTTTAAGGATAACAGTGCAACCTGCAGCCAAAGCACCGATCATTGGACCGATTTGAACGGAAATTGGATAATTCCAAGCTCCAATAACTAGCACTGTTCCTTTTGGATCTTTACGTACAGTTGGATGATGAAGTGCCCAAATTGCGCCTGACCAAATCTTTTCATCTTTTGCCCATTTTTCACATTGATTATGAGCGTCCAAAACGGAATTTGTAGTTAACATGATTTCTGCAAACACTGATTCGAATTTGCATCTTCCGAGATCCTTTGCGATCGCATCAGAGATAGCATCGACATTATCGTTCAGTAAGAATGACAATTGCTTTAATTGATGTTTGCGGAATCCGACATCGTACGTGATTCCACTTGCGAAGGACTCACGTAAAGCTCTATGAGCTTCTGTGATTTCTTCTGGTGTGTTATGAACTAAATCTGCTGGTGCGGCTGGCATGATGACGAGTGTTTGAACTTGTCTTTCTTGTCAGATGATGGTAAGAAAGGTAGGAAGCTTTTGTTTTAATTCGCCACACAATACATTCTTCAGAATATATCATTCAAAGATCAAATTTTATCACCCCACAATCAAAAAAGGATGCACTAAAATTTGATTAAAAGTGGCTTAAGCGCAAACATCACACAATTCGGATCACTACTGAACCGTTGATCCGTTTCCCAATTCTGCCTAGACCGATAGCCGAGGTTGTTGATGCTAAAAAGGTATTATCTGTTTTAGTGCGGGAATTGTTTGGGCACGTCTGTCTGAGCACGATAGAGAGAAACCGTTGACTGCCTGGGCGTGCGCGCTTTAACCGCCTTTATTCCCCGTGGGGAAATTCAATCCGGTTGAATAACGAGCCGGGTTACATATCCTGATCTGACCGCAACGGTTGCTTTTTTTTTGTTTCATGAAGAAGATTGTCACATTCGGATCCTACACTGACCGGCTTTAGTAGGCGTAATTGAGAAATATTCTTTTCTTCTTGAATAAGGTTGAAGCTGCGATTGGTAGCTATCCCTTATAATCCTGTATTCAATCCAAGAAAACATCTCCCACAAAACACCATCATCAGCAATCATGGGCTTAAGCATTGATACAATCGTAAACACTTTGGCAGCTACTGTTTTGCATCCGATCGCATTGTTGGGCTATGTTGGCTATCGATCCTATGAAGCAAAACAACTTCCACCACGTGATGGACTCTTGACTACTGCATATATCTTCTTAGCACTTCGATTCGGTAAATGGTTTAGTAATCGATGGAGAAATGGCTTGATTCCACAAAAACGTTTAAATGCACAGACCTGGAATCAAGAATTGGCTTTGATCACCGGAGGAGCACAAGGAATTGGTAAACAAACGGCCGAACAATTGGCAAAGAAAGGTTGTCAAGTTGTGGCTATTGATATCGTAAACTTTAAACCTACGCATCCAAACATTCGTGCTTATAAATGTGATATCGGCAATTATGAAGCACTGGAACAACTACGTGATCAAATCCGAAAGGACTATAACGGACAAGATGTTACAATGGTTGCGAATATTGCAGGATTGAACAATAAATCGCTAATTTTGGATTTGGATCGTAAGAAGGTTGATTCGATGATCGATGTTAATCTCAAATCACACTTTTATACCGCAATGCTTTTCTTACCCGCAATGGTCAAACGTAAACGTGGACATTTCCTAAGCGTTGCTTCCACAATGGGATACGTTGGTATTTGTCATCAAAGTGATTATGTTGCAACGAAGCATGGGTTGGTTGGAATGCAAGAGAGTCTATATTACGAAATGCAAAAGATGTATAAAACTCCAAACGTGCGAACATCGATTGCTATTATTGGTCATACTAAAACTGGATTATTTGAAACATTCAACGTTGGACCTATTGGACGATTTTTAGGACCCTTGTTGGAGCCAGACTACGTTGCTTCTTTACTCGTTGATGCATTTGAAGCACAAGAAACACGTATCATCTTAACTCCTTTCATGAACAACTTGACTCCTTCCATCAAGGCACATCCACAATTCGTTAGAGATTTTATTCAATCAACCGCTGGCGGAGATGGATCTTACCCCTCGAGACCTTCGGCTGCACAGTTGGGACACGCTTAAATAGTTAGGTACACATGGCCTTGTTTGTATATTCGCTCATCTTTTGACAATTCTTGATCTAACTTTCAATCATGACCTCACCTTTGCCACATGCTTAAGAATTAAGATTTAATAAAGGAAGTACCACTTCCGCGGCTCACTCTTTTTTAGCTTCCGGGGAAATGCTAGCGAAAAGATTTGACAGATTTCCGTTGAGAAGCATTAACGCTAAACCAATGGAACCTGCTTCTTTCGATTTGGGATTTAGCGCAGCGCATCATACCACACACGCAAATCTATGCAAGTGCTTTGTTTGTTTTCCATAACACCGATCTTAGACAGCTAGCTGTGTGGAGAATGTAGGCTAACAAAAGAACATGGTTCAATTTATCGTGATCGTTGAAAAGATTGCCGGAGCTACGCACATGATGTCGTAACAAAAGATGTGGGGAGGGTATTGGTGATCGATCGTATGAAATGGTATATATAGCATGCCTGAGGAGAAAGGATATCGAATGCTAACCTCACTTGGGAACAAATCACAGTTTAATCATGTTGTTCAACATTCTCTCCCTCGTCTTGCTGTCCATAACAACGGCAAGATGTCAAACATTTGACGGTAAAACATTTTTACATTACACTTCTCCTGCAACACAATTCACGGAAACTTTACCGATCGGAAATGGTAGATTAGGTTTAGGAATGTACGGTACACCTGCCGAACAATTAATTTTAAACGAAGATTCAACTTGGAATTCAAACTTTGTTAATCGCGTAAATCCAAATGCAAAAGGTTCATGGCAACGTGTTCGAAGTGAAATCGTGGATAATAAATGGTTTGAAGCAGGTAATGACGGTTTAAGAAATATGGTACCTGAAGATGACGAACCGGGTAGATACCAAAACGCTGGTTTCTTAAACGTTGATATGGGACAAGAACAAAGTGGAATGTCAAACTATGTTCGTTGGTTAGACACAATCAATGGAATCACGGGTACCAATTACACTTACTCGGGAGCTCAAATTAGTCGTATAGCTATTGCAAGCTACCCAGACGGAGTGATGGCAATGAGAATTGCATCCGATCAACCATTTAGCGCAAATGTTTCATTCAGTCGTGCAGCAAACATTTACAATTCAACTGCAACCACAGACGGTGGCAAGAACGTCTTGTTGACGTATTCTGGCAGTAATTCACAACCTGGTGGATTGGACTTTGCCATGCAAGGTCGTGTCGTCGTTGATCAAGGCTCAGTCAGTGCAAAATCAAGCAATTTGACCGTTACCAACGTAAAGACTTTGGATATCTTTATGGACATCGAAACTACTTATCGTCAATCTGATTACAAAGGTCAAACAGATACAGTCTTGGATGCAGCTGTCTCCAAAGGCTGGAACACAATCTTTAGCAATGCCGTTCAAGATCATTCAAAGATAGCCAGTGCTGTTACAATGGACCTAGGAACTACTTCAAACACTTCTCTCGCACAAAGTCCCACTGATCAAAGATTGACTGCATTCAAAAGTGCAGAAAATGATGATAACGAATTGATGACTTTGGTGTACAACTTTGGACGTCATTTAATGATCTCTTCTTCTCGTCAAGGTACCAAATCCCTTCCTGCGAATTTAGTAGGTCTCTGGCTTGATGAACTTACGGCAGCTTGGGGTGGAAGATTCACCGTGAACATCAATCTTGAAATGAATTATTGGGCAGTAGGAGCAGGTAACATGGCCGCTGATACACAAATCAGCTTGTTTGATTTAATGGACGTAGCACGTCCTCGTGGAGATCAGATGGCAAAAGATATGTATGGAATTGAGAGTGGTATCGTTTTCCATCATAATCTTGACCTTTGGGGTGACGCAGCTCCGGTCGATAATGGAACAAGGTACACTCTCTGGCCAATGAGCGCACCATGGTTGTCAACACATATTATGGAACACGTTCGATTTACCAACGATTTGGATTTCTTGAAGAACAGAGGATTACCTTTCCTTTTGGACACTTCTGCATTCTATGATAGCTTCTTGTTCGAATATGACGGTAATATGGTTACCGGTCCTTCTTTATCACCCGAAAATGGTTTCAACATTCCAGCAAATGGTGATAAGCCAGGATATCAAAACGAAGGAATGGATATCGCTCCTGCTATGGACAATCAATTGTTGTGGCAAATGTACGCTGATATTGATGAAGCTTATCAACGTTTAGGCGATCCAAACAACACGAATGCCACTCATGCCCGTGACATGCAAAGCAAATTACGACCCAACTTCCTTGGCTCTTATGGTCAAATTCTTGAATGGCGTGAAGAATACGTTGATACAACTCCCGGAATTACGCATATCTCTCCTTTGTGGGGTTTGCATCCTGGTAAGCAATTCTCACCTTTGATCAATGACACACTTGCTGAAGGAGCACGTAAATTACTCGATAATCGAATGGCAAACGGAGGAGGTGCAAATGGATGGTCAAGAACATGGGTTGCAAGTTGTTATGCACGTTTGTTTGATGGTGTTGCCGCATGGGCAAATTCACAAGAAACATTAAAGACATTCTTATTGAGTAACCTTTGGAATTCTGATTCAGGTCCAGGTTCACCTTTCCAAATTGATGGAAACTTTGGTTATCTTTCTACGATTCAAGAAATGTTATTACAATCACATACAGGCATTATTCATCTTTTGCCAGCATTACCAGCAAACGTTTCAACGAGTGGTGGAAGTTTCAAAGGATTATTAGCCCGTCAAGGATTCTCAGTTGATATGTCTTGGGATCAAAATGCATCACTTAAACAAGCAACCATTACATCTAATTTGGGTAACGAATTAAGCCTTCGATTGACAAACGGAACGAATATCAAAGTTAATGGAAATGATTATACTGCTCCTTTGCAGACGACTAAAGGTCAAACTTATACAGTTACCTTGGCTTAAATGTGCATTTTAAGCCTGCATGTCTGGATACACGTACGGCGAATTTGCCGAACGCTAACAACGTGCGGAAAAAAGAAAATCCTTTTCCTTCTGTGGAATTCTTTCTATTTGTTCTTCATAAAAAAGCATTTTATTTGATGAAATATCTCCGTTCGATAGTAGTGTCAGGCTGAGAAATTATTTGTTTGTATTTGTTTTGGATAGATTCCTGAGCCGTATTTGATTGAGTGGATCCATTCTCGCGTGTCCGTTGGTTGGCCAGCCACAGAATTTAAAGATAATCGTGTCATTCGCGCGTCTTGACTGCATTAATCCTTTTCTTACATCGGTTCCGAGTCCTACAGGCACTTTGGGGGAAGTTGACATTTAATCTGTGCAAAATAAAAAAAGAATTCCGTATGAAGAAGCTATCTGCCTTTCTTGCCCTGCGTCGGCGCCTCGCCGCGCGTTCTTTTTATAAAAGATGGCATCATATATTAACCGTTCTGCATACGATCTTTTATTTGCAGTTTTATCCGATTATGGTAAAGAGTGAGGTACACACAATCCATGCAAGAGAAAATGATTTTCACCTACACAATAGACTATTGTTGTTGACTTCTTCGGAGCCTTGTAAAGATTGGATACATGCCCGCAAATCATAAAAATCATCCGACCTCGCTACTCTTCTCCATGCAAGGCACGTATACAGCAGTGATGCGGGCCAAAGTGCCGCTAAATGTTGAACGACGATCACTGGAAGTAAGTTAAGAGAGAGAGAGAGAGAGTACACTCAGCACACACACACACACAGACATACTATATAAAGTTAATTATAAATGAATACACATTATAGTTTTAGCGTAAAATGGATAATTGCATCTGTTTGATAAAGTCTTGACATGCCTCATAATAGGAACCGCGTCTTGGTTGTATTTACACTGATCTGGAGAATGTATTTCGGCAGCGGTTGCCTACGCTCCGCAACAATAACAACTAAAATAAATTCACATCATTTTCAGGGCAGCAATTCATTCATCCTTCTATACAGTCGAGAGAGACCGAGCATTTCACATTCTATCTTTCTTAAACGGATGGCAACAAACTCAACACGCCATCATTCGCTTACATCACCTTGATACAATCCGAGACGGAATTAATTCGGCATTCGCTTTATTTCTTCACTCGATACAATCTATCCTGCCCAGTCAGCACAAAAGCATGATTGCAATAAATTAACTCGATCCAACCTCATCTCATTCTTACCAACAATTTCAACTTCATCCATTTCTCGAAAGGAGCCTGGTGCGCTTTTGATATATCTGCGGTGGGGCAGAAGTACATCCCTTCCATTGCGCAAAACCGAGACAATCATTTCCGATCCAAGAAGAAATTATAGCCGCCGCCAAAAATGTCCAATGCGGCTTCGGCCGGCGGAGGATCAGGAGAGAGTTCAATAAGCGAAGGAAATCATTACCACCAACCAGATCAATATTCAGATCAAATAGGTATGGCCTACACTACAGACGATAGACGTGCAGCTGAGCAGATGCACGGCGGTAATCAAAGAAATCCTTCAGCTTCTACTTCGCAACATCTTCATCCATCTCACCAAGCGCCTTCTCCTGGGGTTTTGCAAACAGACTTTGCAGCACAATCCTCTGCTCAAGCAACGTCACATCCTTCAATAGCCGCTGGCCCTTCGGCTTATCCGCAAAATCGATTTTATGGATTGTCTCGCGATTTGAGTGGTCCTTCAGCTGATTCGGCTTTCTTACCTTCACCATCTAATGCTTTACGTCCAATGGTAGCCAATATGGATCTACAACATGCATCCGCGAGTACGGGAACGACAGGAGAAAGAGCTGGATCGAGTAGCCGAAGTGGTAATTCGAGCAGAACACCATCGATAGCCTCAGGATCACAGTCCAATCTACCCGCGATGCCAAGTATGACCACGCATGGAAGACCTGCTCCTCCTTCATCTGCTACTGGACAACCTGATGGATCCTCGCAATTCAGTATTGAAGTGATTGCAACTTCTTTCGACAAACGTGGTTATCCGATCTTCTCCGGACGTGCAGCACGTATTCGTGGAATAATACGATTACGAGCAATCGCTGGTTGTCATGTAGAGATCAAATTGGGCGCATACATTTGTCAAGGCTCTCCAGCTGCTGTGTGGGATGGGGTCGCACTTATGCCGCCAGAATCAGGACATGATCACAAATTATTCACAATCAGGGAAAACATCCCATTGAACGACAGTATGATGAGAACGCGAGAAGGAATTTCGCCAACAACTGCAGGCTCGGATGACTTTATCTTTGAGACGCCGTTTGACTTTAATCTTCCTTTGGGTATGTCAACTAGATTCGTAAATGGAGAAGCAACTGTTGCAGCAGTAGCACTGCCACCTTCATTTGAAATTTCATCCGAAAGCATTTCTCGAGAAAAGGAGTTGATACGAAGTACAAACAATTCGTTGAAAAGCAGTGCTGCAAGTGTTCGAAGCAGAAGTAGTCGTCTTACAAGTTTAGCAGCTACAACAACCTCTGTTGGAAACACGATTCGAGATGTGATGGAAAAAGGATTTGGGGAGGTGTACAGACTTGGATGTTTCTATACGATGGAATTCTCATTAATCCGTACACCCAGTGCAGACAGCACGCCAAAGAAGAAATTGTTCGGCAAGAGCAAGACTTCAAAGCCTACAGTGTTAGATACAATTACTGTACCTTTTGTCTTCTTGGGGGAACAATCAAGCGAACAACCACCACCTCTCTCCATTCCGGCCACTTTGATTGCCAATGCGGTGGCAAGACCGGGATCTTTCTTGGGTGATGGATGGCAATGCGAGCATGCATCGGCAAAATGGCCAGGAAAAGGAGCGAAGAACGTAAAGAGACAACTGGACATCGAAATGCATATGCCATTCCCAGCAACGATGCATGCGCCTTCACTCTTTCCCGTTCTGATCATCTTGCGACCTCATGATCCGAAATTGTTATCAGCCGTCCCGATTGATTTCATCCCGACTTCGCCAATACAAGATGAAGGAACGTGGAGTAAGGGTAGCAGCGGAGGCGGTGGCGCAGGTGGCACTTCTTCTGCCCACAGCAGACAATCATCTGTTTCCACGCAGAGAGCACGAAATAGTTCAGTTCACCATCAATCGACGCCTGAAATTCAAAGTGAAGAAAGAATGCCTTCCAACGATCACCAGGAAAATGAATCAGGAGGAATGTTGAGCCGATTCATGCGAAGCAGTTTATCTTTATCCAGAAATCCTTCCAATCCTGCTTTGAGTGGAATGACGAATTCGCAAAGTTCGCACTCACTGCGTCATGTGCAATCACAGAGTGAAACATCGCATTTGGAAGACTTTGAGCCATCACATACGTCTGGCAGTACAGCAGGCGGAAAGACTGGCGCTGCACAATCGATCCGAGATGCAATGTCGAGCAAGTTGGGAAGAAGACGACCAAACACAGCACCAACGAGTCATTCCAGTAGCGATGGAAGGTCAAGGGCTAGTGGATCTACTATGTTGGGATCGGGAGGTCAGTATATCGGTAACCTTTCCGGCTTGGTTCGTGTTTCGCTTGTTCAAACAACGTTTTGCATTGGATCAGGACCTTCTGAACCGCCAAAGAATATTCGCAAATTAGTTTCGATGGCTGAAGTGGAAGAGCTAGAACCGGAAGCATTACGAACGATGGTACGTTCAACAAACACATCTGCAAATGGTCAAAATGGACCTGAAGAACAAGAAGATGAACATCAAGCATTGTTACGAGAAGTTTTAGGCGAACAATTGGGCAACAAAGGAGTTCGTGTTTTACGTGCTTTGTTCCGTGTTGGAAGTGATCCGACGCCTTCTTTTCGTTGTCAAGGTATTGAATTACGATATGCCATCAAAGTTGATTTGGTTCCTTTCCAGGTACGTGATAAATCTTATCGAAATAGACCTGGCAGTGGTGGCACGATTGGTGTGAGTGCTTCTAGCGCACCCAGTAGTGCAGGAGCACAAAGCGAAGCAGGCGGTTCAGGAAGCGGAAGAGGTGGCCATCAAGCATACAACAGCCTAAGTTCTCCTACCCGAGCGACGAATGCCGTTCCTGCAGGAATGGTGACCAATGAGAGCAGTCTTTCTTCACCTATTTCACGCAATGCTCCTCATCTTTCACCAAGATTGCCATCCTATCGAAGTTCAACAGAAGTTCCACGAAGCGAACAAGGTCAATCGACTGTTCCCGCATCCGTTACTGGATCAACACTTGGAGGAAGTCAAGATGTGTTCAAGAATAATCCACCACACTTTAGCAGTGGTGAGACTGTCGTCAGTACAGTTTACGCAGATCGTGTTAATTCTCTTGATAAGATCGAAAAAGGTGTTGGAGTATTGTTTTCCACAGTTCGAATGGTTCGTGCTGCCGTTTAAAAAGCATTTGATGATGCAAGCAATTGAACAATTTTTTACAAGCGTATTTGCGCCTACTCATCCTTTTTTCTAATTAATTTATTTTCTTTTTCTTCTCATCTATATTCCTAATCGCACATCATTGATACCATTATTCAATTATCAAAACCTCATCATCACCATCCAACATTGCTATCATCATAATTCAAATGTTAACCTAAATGTATGTACTCCAACAACTTTAAAATGGCTTCAAAAAGATGCTTTTTCACAGACGTGATGAAATTAAGCACCGCAAAAGAACGGTTCCGACAAACCCTCAGACCATCACATTTTCACTCATTCGTCGGATAACCGCCATCAAACTAACGGTTCCGATATTGCCTTTTGTCTTTGTGCCCCAAAGCCGGAATTTTCCAAGCGGACAGACGGGCAAGGAAGGAAATGAACGCGTCAAAACGTAATTATGATCAAATGAGGTTGGTTAGTTTTGGCGTTTGAGTTACGTACGCAAAAAAGGACAAAGGGAAAAAGCCTGACAATTTTGTCGCCTTGTGTGTTTTCGTGTGAGTGTGTGTGTGATTGGCGTCAATTATGTAGTAAACCGTATTTACATGCAAACACGCAATTCCTACTTCCCCTTTCTTTACCAACAATCACCTCCTCTTTATCAATAACAACCACTTTCAATGCTTTTCTTCTCGCCACAATAGTCAACAGGACTTTTCTGAAAGATGGGTTGTACAATCTGTTTGGACGTATTTGGGGAGGATGATCGAGGGATGCGTCCAGTGGCACTGTCATGCGGACATGTATTTCACCGGGGATGCAGTGATGCATGGCTGAAAGAATGTAGGATGAAAAACAGTCCGGCTTGTTGTCCAATTTGCAAAAAGGAATTAGGTGAATCACATTCTATACCTTTATGGCCAAGTGATGTGAACGATTTAGACGTTTATCTTCAAAATCGTAAACGAAGACAAGATATTCAAAGAACAAGTAACGATCGTGTCCGTCAAGCTCCTGCAGCAAAAGCATTGGATGATTATATGACCAGAGATGCTCAAAGTGCACTTTTAGGAAAGTTGATGGACTTTCGTCAACATATAAATGCTTATGTTATGGCTGTCAATAATGTTTCAATGTCCGCGATTGGTGGGGAAGATCGCATTTTTCGTTTATTTAACGAGGTTACAAAAGCGCCCGCTCAAAATGCCGAATTTCGTGATGCGATCAAATCTCTTTCTGCTGCAAGTGAAACCTTGTCAAAAACTGTTCAATCAATCGAATCTGATCGAAAACAGATTGAAGATGATCGCAAGAAAGCACAACTTTCTCGTGAAAAAGCCGATGCTATGCGTGCATCGCTTCAAACTCACATGGAAACAAAAGCATCAGAAGAACAACGTATGAACGATGCCAGACGTCAAACAGACGTTCTTATGCGTCATGCAAAGAAGGAGCTTCAAGATTTAGAAAAGAAAAAGCTTGACTTAGCCAAAGAGCGCGAATCGATGAAGAATGAAGTTCAAGAACATCAAAGGCAAGTTGCCAAAGCACGTGTGCAAGCATCTCAACTTATGGCGAAGCATCGTGGTGATACCGATTTAGAAGTTCAGAAGATGACAACTTACATGCAAGAACAAGAAAGACTACGTATTGAAGCTGAACAAATGCGTCATGTCTCTGAGGAGGGAAAGAAATGGCTTGCTGATCGTAACAAGCTGATCAGCACAAAATTGGATCAGACACGAGCAGAGAACAAAGCACTTAAAGCTGAACTTAGGGCTCTCAAAGCAGAACTGCCTGCGCAAGTCGCGATCGCTAAAGGTAAAGCAAAAGAGGAGGAAACGGGCGATTCTGTGAAGCGTGAATCAGGAGAAGGCGATGATCTCTCCGCCAATGATGCCAGCACCTCTTCAAGCAAACTTGACGACATGCCAAGCTTTACACAAGAATCGACTGAAAGCAGCAGGAAACAAGAGGATGAGGAGGAAGACGACGATAATGATGTCGTGATCCTTGACGATGACATTGAAGCCGAATTTGATGATCCGAGCTATGCTATGCCACACTGGATTAAAGCCGAGCACAGGCTTCAACCGCCCAAACGTCAAGGCAGCAGTAGTGCATGGTCTGGGATGAGTGGAAACGTGTCATTTGCACCTTCTAATCGTCAAGGAGCGAGACGACAACATGCTGAAATCTCCATCGATGACGACGACGATGACGGAAACGATGATTCGGTTGAATTTGTCACTTGTAAGAAGAGAAATACTGGCACAGCTACAACCACTCGATCTGGTCTTTCGGATTCTATGCCGAGTAATGCGACTTTGATCGATCGAATCATGTCAGGACCTCGTCAAGTACTCGGACCTAGAAGACGTCGTTGATAGAAAAGTTTTTGTTTGTGCTATCATTTGTATTTTATCATTTTCATTACCCGCATATGTACACCATCACAATTTTACATATATCTTTCTCTTTATCTGCTTTGTCATGGTGATCAAGAATTAGAGGTTCGGGCAGCCGAAAGCCATACGCGTAATGGGTTGCCCCCGCGCTTACTCACGTGACTGGGAATTTTTCTCAAGTCCGCATGCAAGATGAATTTGTCAAAATTTAAGGCGCATTCAGCCAGCGTACGAGCAAAGCTGTCATTCTTCCAACTCTCTTTCCTTTCTTCATCATCAATTTCCTTTACCACGCATAACCATCCGGTGTTGTTTCGACTTGGAAAAGGCAAAGAGTCTGGCAGCGCTCATTTGGATCTAGTCCGGCAAGAAGGTTATTGAAAGACACATTTTCACCTATCCACCCCCGCCACATAAAACAAGATGCAAATTAGACATTGCTTCTTCTGCTCTTCAGCAGTATACCCTGGACGAGGAATCATGTTTGTTCGTAATGATGCCAAACAAATGATCTTCTGCAAAAGCAAATGTCACAAGAACTTCAAGATGAAACGTAACCCACGTAAGGTTCGTTGGACAAAAGCATTCCGTAAAGCGGCAGGCAAAGAAATGACAGTTGACTCTACACTAGAATTCGAAAAACGTAGAAACGTTCCTGTTCGTTATAATCGTGAATTGGTTCAACAAACTCTTGTTGCAATGGATAGAATTGCAGAAATTCGTGCAAGAAGAGAAGCTGCATTTTATAGAGCTCGTATGGCAAGAGCCCGTGCTCGTCAAACCGTTAATGGAGTCGCTTCTACTTCTCGTGTTCAACTTCAACGTGCTCGTGATCGTGCTGAAGTTGAACGTTCATCTCATTTGGCACCCGCAATCGCTGCTGAAAAGGAAGCACAAGTCGATGAACAAGCTCGTCGTGAACGTATTCGTGTTCGTGTTCTCGAACGTCGTCAAAGGAATAACAAAAGAAGCGCTTTGGTTGCAAGTGGCACTTCCGGTCAAAGCATGTCAATGGACACGAACATGTCATAAAACTAGATATACATTCTTCTTCATCTCTGTGACTTTCTACTGTACAATAGCATCTATTTACCCTGATGAAAAGGTTTGCGAAGGGAAAGGGGGCGTCTTATTGACATCCAGGGCATTGATGTAAGCTTTCGTGAATGAATGCATCGCATTCAAGGCAAAAGTGATGACGACATTTTGGGCATTCATATCGTCCACTTGAAGCCACGTTTGCAGGTTGCTCTGTTGAATCTCCATTTGTGGTGGCATTTGCGTTCGATTCACCGTTTGAATTTAGTGCATAAGTGTCAGGAAGTGGCTCGAAAGATGCAGCACATCCAAAGCATGCACTTTGTTTGGCACCTTGTAGCCTGGCATCATCTTTCCCTCGTGAAGTCATGTGCAGAACGGCTGCCAACTGCTTCCATCCAATGGCAATATAGTTTGGAACTGGAAATAAGTGATGGTATGATCTGGCAAGATGGGTACTCATGACCACAGTGAGACCACAAACAGGACAATCGGTAGGAACATCACATAGTTTGACCAAACAACGAGGACAAACGTATCCACCACTCTTTAGTCGGTTATGACAAGCACATAATGTTGGTGCATTATTCGTCGGCAATCTTGCTGGGAAGCCCATTTGCATCAAATCTACACCTTCATCGTATTCGTCATCTTCATCTTGATTTGTCGTTCGTCTTCGATCATTTGCTTCCACCTCTGGTGGATTGATGTGATCGAATAACAAATCACGATAATGTCCTTCATCGATCGAGACTCCATATTTGCCGTGCGTTCGCTTACAGATTTCTTTGCATACTTTGACTTCGGCAGCTAGACATACCATACTGACGTGAACGTTGTCCTTTGCCAGCGTGGAAACGGTATCATGAATATTCCCAGGATCGCACGTCGTCAGTGATCCGAATATCACCAGGACTTCTCTAGAATTCGCTGATGGCAAGTGTGCTAAATTGCTTCTTGCCATTTCCAATGCATTTTGCAGCGATGGCTCACCCTTTGGTGTCAATTTGCGGGATTGCAATGATTCGATATGTTCGGCAGTGTTACCGCTCATGCTGGTCACTCTTTCTGCAACACCTTCTCTGGTTGCCAAGATGCTCATTTGTCCGATTGGGTTTTGATCAAAATATTCCGAAACGAATTCCCGTGCATATTGTAATGTCAAAAGAAATCTACTAGGACGTAAATCTTTCTCCAACATACTTTCACTCAAGTCCAAGATGAGCACCAAGTGTCGGATGATACCACGTTGTACAGGTGCTGAGTCGTGCAATGTCCTCCTCCTCTTGCTTGCTTCCAATAAACCACGAACTGCACCTGCCAGACTTCCTCCAGCATCTTCTCGAACGGCATCCCAACTTCTTTTATATGTTGCTTCCCATGCGTACCCTTTATCCTTTGCATTTCCTGATGTTTTTTTGGCTTTTGCAGCTATATCTGCCGCTCTTTTCGTTGCACCATCTTGTCCTGTTCGTTTTTGTGTTGTACCATTTTCTGATGTTCTTCTTGTGGTTGTCGATCTACCACCGCCAGCTATCCTTCTTGAACTTCCACTCCTTGCCGCGCTATAAACATCTGCATCATCCGATAATACTTCATCTGAATCATGATCTGAATTTTGTTCATATGCATCTTCACCACGAGCCATTCCGATCGGCAGCTCGTGAGAGAGAGATTTCGAAGTGATGGTCGTGTGCCTCAATAAGTGGTTTGAGCATTAGTTAGCCTGAAGGTGTTAATTGCATTTCTAAGCAGACAAGAGAGGCGCGTGAGGTCGTTGTTGTTTTCACAATGCGGCGCGTATACAAAAGTGCCGTGCGAGGGAGGGAGGGTTGTACCGCATTGGTTGCATTAAAACTAACATAAAAAATAAGCCCGCGAATCTTGTTTTTGACTGCTTGTGTGCTTTTTCGCCTCCACTTTTATTTGTGGGAATCTTAGCCGTGAAAAATTAAGGAGCTTTTGGTTGTGTTGCCTAAACCGATTGAGAAGTTTGTGTGTTTGTGTGTGCAAGTAATGCATTCATCCTTCTTTCCATACTTCCTTCATCCTCTTTTCCATCCTTTTAGCAAAAATGGGCTTCGAGGTCTTGGACCCATTGGGTGTGGTGAGCTTCATCTACCAAATCATTCAAATCGCAATCGCTTTTGCATTTGCACCTTTAATCCCAGCTTCACATATCAAACAAACTCCTTTAGGCCATGTTGCCATTGTGGGTGCAGGAGTTACTGGTGTCTCAACTGCAGCCCACTTGATCGGTCATGGTTTCGAAGTAACAATCTTCGAAGAAGGTTCAGAAGAACGTTTAGGAGGCATTTGGAGTCGTGTAAATTCGACAAGTGGTTTACAAATCAGTTCAATCTTGTATCGTTGGCACCCGGCCGTTTTATGGTCAAAAGGTTATCCGAAACGTGATGAAATTTTGAAAAATGTTAAAATGATTTGGAAAAAGTATGATTTACAAAAGCGTACCAGATTTAACACAAAAATTGGTTCAGTCACTCGTCATTCTTCTTCCACCGATCCAAAAGAAGGCGGTCATGCCCGTTGGATCATCAACGGTGAACAAAATGTCGTTTATGACGGTCTCGTAGTTGCAACAGGAACATGTGGTGCACCAAAGAAGATGGACCTCCCCAATCAAGAGCGTTTCAAAGGCGTGGTCACCCATTCAAGTCAATTGGATAATGTCGACTTGGTTGGCAAACGTGTCGCAATCATTGGCGGTGGTGCAAGTGGTATCGAAGCTTTGGAATTGGCCGTCGAGAAGAAAGCCAAATCGGCAACTATCTTGGCACGTAGTGATAAATGGATGATCCCACGCAACACCTTGGTTGACACGATCTTAGCATGCCAACCTTTGGGTCGTGAAACATATCTGTCATTCATCCCCGAATTCCTTCTGCGCAAGTTGCATTACCGTGATTTGGAAGAAAAGATGGCACCTACTCAAGGATTCTATCAAGACACGCCTATCGTCAACTCTTCTGCCCTTCAACACATCCGTCAAGGCAAAGCAGATTACATTCGTGGTGATGTTAGAGATATCAACGAGCACTCAGTCTCATTCAACGTACGCAAACGTGGTCAAAAGAAAGGCACAAACGGTAAGCATATCACCGTTGATGCTGATGTGATTGTGATCGCTACTGGATTCGAAGTACCCAAGATTGACTTTTTACCGCAAGATTTGTTCCCTGAAGACTACACCCGCCCAAATTTGTACTTGCAAGTTTTCCCCATCACTGATGTCTCTGTTGTTACGACAAACGCATCTTTCGTCAAGGCTGTGGGAACGGTAGCACACATTCACATTGGTATCTATGCACGTATTCTCGCCGTATTTTTGATGGAAGCAGATACCCGTCCTCATCCACGCGATGCACGTTTATGGGTTGATGGAATTCGTTGGATCAAAGAAAATGCACCAGGTGGTAAATTAAGCTTTTTCACCTATATGGAATTGATGATTTGGTTGGTTAGCTTCTTGTTCTTCCGTTTGAATAGACTCAAGTATGCCTTCTTTGTTTTGTTCGGTTGGGGTTATTGGCAACGTGAAGGACCGATTGATAAACAAGGCAGAGCAACCGGAAAAGCTCACTTCCATTGGTCTTTGACGAAACTTTTACCTTGGAATCTTCGCAAGTCTGAAAAACGTCTTGGAGGTCCTTTACCGCCAGTTTTGCATGCTAAAGGAAATGGCCGAGCTGTTTAAACGATGTTGTTGTTATTAGCAACTTTTTAAAACTTTCATTACTCCGCAAGACATTTACTGCTTGTGAGACCCATAGGATTGTACCTTGTCTTGTTTAACCTACCCCATGTACCTTTACTCCTTTTCAATTTGATGGAGATCCCTAACACATTATCAAAGATGAGTGAAAGAAGTCTACCTTTATGCCAAATCTGAACAGATTATGAGCCCCAGAATACCACTCGAACAATCTAATGCGTTAGAATCATTTCACAGCAATATTATGGTGCCCGTAACCTATTCAGAATTGGCAAAGGTAGGTTCGTAGTGACTAGGAAAGAAGGGAGAATAAAGATTGTCAATTCTTCAGTTCAGATACGGGCTCAAGGTGCTGGTGATAGAGGCCCAAGCTCCAATCAAGTTTGTGTCGAGCTCAGCGACATGGGTGGTCTTCGTCAAGTATGTTCTTTGCTTGAAAGCCCTCAAAGAACCCAATCTTTCCCACACGCAAAGATACAGGAAGATAGTTTTCAACCATCACATTACATCCTCGAAAAATTGTTAAAAAGCCAAACAGAAAAGTCAAAGAGAAAAAAGGGTAAGAAAAAAAGCGGGCTGTAAAGAGCGAATCACAATAGCGAAAAGATTTTTGTAAAAGAAACAAAATGAAAGATATGGGGAGATTAAGACTGATATATCCTCTAAAGGGAGAAATGTGATCGTGCTATGTGAATAAAAAAGAATTAGTGCTGTACGGTCAAAAAAGAGAAAGATAATATGCTTGATGAAATCGTCACAGACGATTTTCAATTTGAAGTTAAACGAATCATTGCTTGGAATGATCAATCATTTCGTTGTAGCCAACAACATCATCTTCATTGATCGTTGAAGCTTCGATGCTGTGAACGGCACGATGTCCTCCCATTGGTGGAGAAACGTTTTGTGGTTGTGCTGCACTGTAAAGCGTTCGCATCGTGTTGCTTGGCATTGGGCTACCTCCTGCAGCACGTTGAGCAGCATACTGTCTCATGGCATCATCAGGTGAAGTTGCATTGGATGGTGGTAACATTCCTGTTTGCATTTGTGGACGTAAGTAATCTTGAGGCGATTGCGATCGGACTGATGCAGACGGTCCAGTCATCATCACTTCGTTGTCAACCTCTTCAACCATGGCGTCAGGAGCGTATGCACTGTCTGCGATTCCAGAGATTGGCCTATTGTCAGCGTGTGGAAGGTGCAATTCCGATCCATTGTTTGTTACCATTTCCAAAGCAGGGTAACGCAACATGGAGTTACGAACATCATCATCGATACTGCGTCGGACGTTTTCAAGATTGAGTGGTCGTGCACCTTCTTCTTGTGTTGGAGACATCATCAATTCATCATCATCATCAAAGTTCTCGGTGTTACGCAAATGGCTTTCAGCTTTGAAACGTGGATCGATCTTTGGAACTTGGAATTGTGAATCACGAGCAGATGAGCCGCGGTAACCACTGTTGGCACCGACACGGGGTATAGAAGCTGAATTCTTGCTGTGTCCACGGGCAGATGCGTGTCCGTGTTGTGTGGTACCGACATCTGTAGAAGGAGCGAATGAAACACGAGAGGCGCGGTATTGTGATTGACGTGCGAAGGATGAATCTGTAATTGAACGAGCATGACCTTGTGCTTCACTCATTTCATGATCGAAATCGCCTTCACCGATATTTGCGCCCATACCTGCCAAATTGGTCTGACTTGTGCTTCCGTTGGCAAGGTTGGCGTTGTAAAGAGCACGAACATGGTCCAAAGAAGGTCTGTAAGCGGATTGAGGACGTCCCATAAAGCTGGCAGGTCTGCTGCCTGGCATAGGACCAGCGCTACCATCACCACCTGATTGCCAATCGAGAGAGATTTGAGACATACGTTTGTCCATGTGGTCAGCCCAGTCTGCAGTCTTGTTGTTGCGGTTGATGTGCAACTTTCTGACAAAGATACCGATAGCAACGAACAAGACGATCAAAGGACAGATGATAGCGGCAGCCTTACCACCTGCTGTGATATGACCACCTTTGTAGAAGATTGAGACCAATTTGTTTACTTCCGAACCGGCGACAGCATCTTTTGGTGGGGATTCACCGTTTGCAGGAGCGGTATAAGTTGCCGTCCAAGTTGGACCGAATGGATTGGCAGTATCCCAAGGTTGATTTCCGGTTGGGACGATGTTCAAACTCAATTCGACGGAAGATGTGGTGTTTGGGACGACGTTCCACCATACTGGTGCTAATTTGACAGGGAAACTTCCAGTGGTTGCCGGAATGTGTGTCCATGCGTGAATTGGTAAGTTGGCAGATGGTTGTTGGGGAGCATATAGATAAATATCAATCTCTCCTCCAGCGGGATCCAAACAAGCAGGATTCCATGAAATTTTTGTTTCCTTTGCACTGTCAACCGTTATTCCTCCTGCGGGCTCAACGTACAAAGCACCTGTACCAGCACAAGAGGCATCTCTGACCTGCAGAACTTGCTTTTGCATGTGACCATGACGCTTTTTGTGGGCAGCTGCGAGACCCAATCTGAAGCTTGGTGTTTCGAGAGTCATTGTGGGAAATGTGTCGGTTCGAATTTAGAGGTGGGATATGCTCTTTATTTGTCGAGTAGGATGTATGTTGATAATTGTTGCACTTTGTTATGTGCTTTAAAGAATCGATAAAGGAAAGAAAGGTGACCGTCGCAGAGGTCGGTATTAGGAAAAGAATGTGAGTCTGTAGTATCTGTCGTGATTGATTTTTTCGATACCAAATTGAACTTGTCGGAAGTAGGTGAAAGGGGGTTTTAGAGAAGAATGATGGAGTGTAAAGGAGGATGAAAAATGAAATTGAACTTGGTGACAAAAGGCGATTCCGTCTTTACTTGGAGTTTGAGCGGGCGCGCGCAAAAAGGTGGAAAAGTTCAAAATGCGTGTAAAGACATAGGCACACACACGCGCGGTCAACCGTCATATACAGACAAAAGGGGTCTTATGGGCCTACTGTACGCCAGAGCTTTTTTGGACGTGGTAGATTTCATTTTGACTGCACAAGCAGGCGTATTCACCCCACTTTCTTATGCCGATGCCTTTCCTTATTATTTCCAAGCATCGGAGCAAAGGCAACCGCATGGCAATTGCTTCAAAAAAGGCGTAGAACGGCGCCGTACAATCCTTCAAATCAACGCCCTCTACCAAGTTGAACACAAAAGGAATGTTTGAACAGGAACTATCATTCACTCTTCTTTTGCTTTAAGTGCAATAGGATATGCAACGCGCTTTGGCTTGCATATTTTCAGTGCTTGTTTATTGTGCTTAAGTGCTTTGATTAAATTGGCATTGTTTAGCGTTCTTTTTAGCATTCTGAATAGAAGCATTTTATACAAAAAAGAAAGTTGACGAGAGAAGCACTTGAACTGTATCTTGTGCATTCATCTTGCTAAACAGCATGGAGCGGAAATGTTGTATTGTTGCCATGTCGAAAGATGATGATTGAATTGCTTATATAAGAGGTAGTGCTTTAGCCCGTTCTTCTCAAAGAGTATTGTTGCTGCCTCTGTGCTAATGGCTTTTCGAATCTAGATAAGCGGGCCTACGCCCTGTAGTATTGTTGAAGCCGTTGAAGGAAACAAACAAACACGGGCCAGATTGATCTTCTCACCAGCAATGAATGGTCATAGCAGAATAAGGAGAATGTGTCATCTTTCTCAATTCAATCCAATTTGATACAGTATGCTGTTAAGTACTTTGCCCACGCTAGGCAACTTTTTGCCTTTTTGACTTGCTTGCCCCTTAAACTTTGTTTGACGCGGCCGTACATAACATGCTGCTACTTGACATCTTAAGTGGAGTTCCCGGTCAGAGAAACTCGGAAAGGTTGAAATTTGATCCCGACGATGGGAAAGATATATAAAGGGGGGCTTTGAATCAATCCTTGTATCCCAACCACAACCCACAATTCAATATGGCCTCTCAACAAAACGATCGTAAACCAGTGGCAGATCAAGCAGAAGACGATGCTTGGTTCCCTTCTCCCTTTTCACTTACTCAATACGTTCCCAAAAAGACAGATTTTGACGGTGCAAATTACGATGCATACAAAGGAGGTAAATGGAAAATCCTCTTGATTGCCACACAAGAACGTTATCTAAAAATGGCAAACGGAGAATTCTTTTCTACCGGTAATCATCCTGTTGAAATGTTATTACCAGTTTTACACTTGGATGCTGCCGGATTTGAGATTGATATTGCAACAATTTCAGGAGATCCAGTAAAGTTTGAAATGTGGGCTTTCCCAAGCGAAGATGAAGAATTCAAAAAGATTCATCAAAAATATAAACAAAAACTTCGTAATCCTTTAAATTTGCAGGATGTTTGGGGTAATGGATTCACAAAAGAAACTCCTTATCTTGCAGTTTTTATTCCGGGAGGTCATGGAGTCTTGAACGATATTCCTCATAATCCTACAGTTGGTAAAATTTTACGTTGGGCAGACGCAAATCAAAGATACTTCATAACCCTTTGTCATGGTCCCGCAAGTATGCTTGCCGCAAACGTTGATAAACCCAAAGGTGAAAAGTTCATTTATGAAGGATACAAGATTTGTGTCTTTCCTGATTCACTTGATAAAGGAGCAAATATTGATATCGGTTATATTCCCGGAAAGATGTCATGGCTAGTTGGCGAAGAATTAAGAAAACTTGGCGTTGAAGTCACAAACGAAAGAATCACTGGAGAAGTTCATGCAGATCGTTATTTGTTGACTGGGGATTCTCCTTTGGCTTCCAACAACTTGGGTAGATTGGCAGCAAAGACATTATTGGAAGATGTTGCAAAACGTCAATAAGAAGAAAGATTGCTCTTGAAAGTAAAAGGCTGTAAAGATATGAATTTTAACATAATTAATTGCATTAGTCTTACAACAGTAATCTTTCTCTTCTCGATCTTCGAAATCGATTAGTGTGATACAGAATCTCACAACTGTATCAACCTCGCGACCTTTCAATCACAATCACACAGGTTTTGAGAGATAAGAAAGAATCATTGCAGTGCCAACACAGCGTTGAGAGTGATGACGAAATATGGTACAAATGAAAAGTGATGCAAGAGAAAAAGAGAAGCACGGGAATGTAGCATTGTAAAAAAGGTGTTTGTCCAAGAAAGACTGTAAAAAATGATGGGGAATAGGGGCGGTCACAGCGTTGAGAGTGGCCGATAGTGATACAACATGAGAAAAAGGGAGAGATAAATCGAAAAGAGTGACTGAAAGATTCAGGAATTGCAAATCAAGCGATGTGTTGCTCTTCCTTGGTACCTTCTATGAGCCATGGCTTGGTGATGTAGTTACGCAAACTATCAGGCAAGATAATGACGACATTTTTACCTTGTTGGCTACCGAATGCATCATATCCTTCACCACCTTCTTTCAAAAAGCGCATTGCACCTGCCAAAGCGGCACCACTTGAGCCACCACACAACAATCCTTCCATGCGAATCAATTGACGAGCATAATCAAATGATTCTTCATCACGGGTTTTGATCCATGCGGAAACTTGTTGTTTGTCCAAAGATTTTGGGTCAAAGTCATAACCGATACCTTCAATCTTGTAAGCTCCTGATTCGCCATTCTCCAATTCGTTCAACGAAGCTGGAACGGCAAGGGTAGATCCGATTGGATCAACACCCAAAACAAACAAATCAGGATTGTGGTCATCCTCACGTAAACGAGTGGCAATTCCGCTCACGGTACCACCGGTTCCTACACCGGCAACCAGGACATCGACTTTGCCACTGCTACTGTTCAAATTTGTGACGTGGTGACGAGGAGAAGATGCTGGAGTGAGAGGTCCTTGATTTGCACTGACGGCAGTGACATCATCGATGATTTCTTGTGCGGTGACGCGATGAGCTAATGGATTGTTGGGATTGTTGTATTGATCCAAGATGTATGCATTTTCCGTCTCTTCGGCCAATCGACGAGCGGTCATGATGTTGCTACGTGGATCATCCCAAGCTGCTTCAGTAGGTGTTCTGATAACTTCAGCGCCCAATGCTTTGAGGGTTGCCACCTTTTCAGCACTCATCTTTTCGGGTAAAACGATGATGCATCTGTAACCCTTCACGGCGCATGCCAATGCCAAGCCGACACCGGTGTTTCCCGAAGTTGGTTCTATGATGACAGTTTTACCTGGAGTGACCAAGCCTTGTTGTTCAGCTTCGTCAAGCATACGTGCAGCAATACGATCTTTCACGCTTCCACCTGCGTTAAAGTATTCACATTTTACCAAAACATTGCATTGGATACCGAATTGTTGAGGTATTTTGTTCAATCTGATCAAAGGTGTATTGCCTACTGCGCCGAGGGCATCATTGAGAATTCCAGGTTGACGTCCTACCATGATGACTGTAGAGAGAGTAAGTAAGAGAGAATGAAAAAAGAGATTAGACGAGAAAGCGTTGTGCTGGGGTAAAAAAAAGAAAGGGGGAATTTGTTTATGGCCTGCACGAGTTGGATCGAGCAGGAAGAGATGCCCTGTTGGAGGGCGTGAAAGTGTTGACTGTAAAAGCCAGGTAAATAACCTTGTAAAAGAGATTGAGACAATCAAAATGATGATGGAAGAGAGAGAGAGAGAAAGAAGGGTAGTTATTATAGAAAGGGGGTTTATTGATTGACTGTTCAAAGTGCTTTCCCTCTCTCTCTCCACCTGCCCACATACTTTATTTTTTGTTGACAAGTGAAACGTTTGCATTTAAAGTCCGGAAACGCGTCAAACTGCTCAACACGCAATTCACCCACAAGCTGGCGTAATGCTGATGATGCAAGGCGAAAAGAGGACCCATGGCAAAAACACAACAGTACGCAAATACCGGACCCATTCCCGCGGGCATACTATGATGCTACACAGCAGTGCTCATTATGACCGACAGAAATGATAGAGTAGAATTTTAACTCCGATGGCAATGCAAGTGATAAGATAAAGAGTTAGACAGAGTAACAATCCAAATGTACAATTATTATAAATACATCAAAAAGATCAAGATAGGAGCTGATTCAGACATCTTCACAAGGGGATGGATTGGCACGTGTTTGATCAAGACCCGCTCTTAGGGCTAATGTCTATTCCAGAAGCGCGTCGAGAGTTCTTCTGGCTGGCGTAAAGTGCATTGACAATAATTTGTACATTATGTATTTTGCATACAGGAATAAGTATCATCACAATGATCTTGACTTCTTACTTTTTAACAACAACAACAAACAACAATCTTATACCCTAAACATGTCTTGGTTCTCACAGCAATGGAACAAGCTAACAGGTCAGCCAGATGAGGAAGTTGGAATGCCGATCAAGAGGGTGGAAGTGATTTGGGGAAGGGAAAGGTGAGTAAGAGTACATCTGTGGATGGTGATGATGATGAATGCATGCTAATTTGCTCCCCATGTACAGATTGATGATACCGGTGGATGAACAGCTACCCAATCAAGCAACACTACGCAATCTAAAAGAATCGATATCACATTTCACATCTATCCCATATGAACAAGTTAAGCTCATCATGGGAGGATTGGTATTGAAGGATGAAAGAGCTCCTCTATCGGCATTCGGAATACGAACAGGGTCAAGGTTACAATTGATCGGTACTTCAGGTGGCGTTCCGATTCAAGGAGACAGACCAGGAGCAAAACAAAGCGTTTTCGATGAAGGAAGTAGTGGCGGCGCTGGCAAAATGTCTAAAGGAGAAGAATTAGCAAGAAGAAAGAAAGAACGTGAAGAAGATGTAAGCGAACAAGGACTTTTGACAAGAATAAATGAAACTGTTACGGATGTACGGAAAGATTTATTGCCGGAAGTGTTGGAATTTGAACAATCACCTAAAGAAGCACATTCTCCAGCCATGGCAACAACCAGTTCACCAGCCGAGTTGGCATCACGACAAGAGGCGCTCACAAAACAACACAAGAAGCTATCTGAGCTACTTTTGAGAGCTCTGTTGGCACTTGATGGTGTGAATGTCAATTCAGAGGAAACGAGAAAACGTAGAAAGGAAGCGGTGAAAGAAGTTCAAGGTTATCTTGATCGAGTGGACGCAACATGGTCACAATTGAAAGAACAATTTAGCTCAGCTTCGAAATCGCCAAATGGGAAAGCAGCTTTGGCATAGAGAGAGTTTCGACTTGCATGTATGACAGACAGCTCTCCACCTTGTAATTCAATAAACATAGATGACAGTATTGTGTAGGACGTTGGTTAGATGTCGCGTTAGGATTTCGATCAGCAATGTGTAGCGTAATGCCAAGCAATATATGCACAATACCCTGTGATGGTGTTTCTGTCTAATACTTGAGAGTAGAACTTGTCAATCAGACATCTCTTGGAAGTGAACGACCTTGCTTGCTGACTAAGGAACGAAGAAGATCAAGATTGAAGCTTATATAATGACACGCGCCGCCAAGAATTTTTATCCGATAATCTTTGTTAGCTTCATGTCCACGTTCGCTCAATCGTCATAATCAACCAAAAAAACCCGTGAGAATAAAACAAAAAAATGCAAACAAATAAAAAAGCCGATTCGCATAAAAGAGAAGAAATCGTGTGATGATCAATACAAAGCCATGTGGACGAAGTGCATGGTGCCTTTTTCTTTATGTACAATCAACTAAATTAGTCTCTCTGTTCAGGTACCATCATCGTTAACCGCCGCCACTGGCCGCCGCCTTTCCGCCATTTCTGCCGCCTTCGCCGCCGCCGCCGCCCAATTGAACTTGCATTTACCCATGGCAAAGCGGGGGGAAAAAGAATGAGAATTGACCGTAATTGCATTACATTGATTGCAAAACACATTTCCATGAACATCGGATTTTTTTAATCAATCAAATTGATTTCAGCCCAAGCTGCATCATGGTCGTGTACCTACTTAACTCATTAAAGATCAAACCCTTACTTCTCCACCTTTTCCAATTGGAAACGTTCCCTGATCCCTTTCACTTGGCGTCATCATTCATGACGTTGTTGCCCAATTTTATTCAAACACAGAAACGGAATGATAAAAAGGAAGTATACACCCGCCCTCGTTGCCACATGAAAAAGGAGAGGATCCGGATGCAAAAAGTGCATATGAGTAGCGTATGTTACAACCTGAAAGAGAATCTAGACTGGAAGCTGCTGTTCATTTGGCCTGTCTTTCAATTTTGAAACGCGTCGTAGTTTTTTTAAACACACAACGCCGGCAATTTTCCATTCAATACGCTAAGGCACTTTTGCTGTCCTGTTCGGTATTCACTTTTCCAGATCGGGCATTATACGCACGGCTTTTTAAACAATTTTCCTTTTCTCTCTGCACGACACACTGCAGTTGAAGTGCCTATTATTGGCAGATAAGCGGAAATTCAAAAAAAGATTTCCTTCATCATTTCGCGAAGATGTTGTTTGAGAAACAAGCTTAAAACTTTTTGTATTCTGCATGTCCGTACATTATGCATTTGATATGTGTCTTCCTCAAAATGCATCAACCGTCTCTCGGTGGGTCACTCGGTGAAACGAGCAGTCAAGAAAAACTCTCCAGGGAATAGCTATGATCCGATTGGGTGGTCGTACATACGCCGGTACCGTCCATTGATTGAAATGAATGAGTGAATGAATGAATGAATTGAAATACATGAGAAGCCCTCCTTTAAACACGTTCTGATCCAAAGGAGAAAAAGTTCCTTTTCCTTTCAATCCCCCTCTTTGCATTTAAAACCATCACCATCATCTATCTCTCAGACTCCTTGATTCGTTCGTGTTAAGGTCATCAACGCGTGTCCTACACTTCCTTCAAGATGGACTCGATCGAAAAAGTTGATACGAGACCACAATATTCCCCTGCCAAGGAATCAGACAGTGGTCCAAGTAATTCAGGACTATCAGGAACAAGTTACGCAGACACAAACGTACATGGCGTTGCAGGCGTTGATAATGGATCTTTGAACGATAGACAACAAGCAACATTAGATTCAATCTTATATCCAGCAGATTCTTATACGGCCAAAACACATACTTATTGGGCAGATTTACCTTTTTGGCAAAAAACGAAATGGATCAATAAACAAAGTAATGAAGAAGCAAAACGTGAATTAGGCGTGATCGGACGTATGTTCAAAGAAGATCCTTTAAGTCCTATAAATGCATACTTTTCCAATTATGTCGTTACAGGTATGGGTCTTTTGGTTGAAGGTTACGTTTTATTCTCTGTTGGAAATTTAACAACTCTCTTCAAAGCCGTTTGGCCAAACTGTTGGGGAAGCGCAAAACCAACTCAATGCGATCATCAATGGATTCATGCTGTTGATTATCTCGAAATCGTTGGTATCATCTTTGGTCAAGTTTTGGTCGGTATTGAAGGAGATTGGATTGGTCGTAGATTCGGTATGGTACAAGATGCATTGGTCATGACATTGGGAAGTATCATGTTGACGGCAATGTGGGGCACATCCTTGAACGGATGGATCATCTGTTATGCTTGGTCTTTGTTCATCTATGGTATCGGTGTCGGAGGTGAATACCCAATGACTTCAACCAGAGCTATGGAAGGCAGTGGAACGGGAACCGCCGCTACCACAGGTGATCGTATGCATCGTGGAAGAAAGGTCGCTTTAGCATTCACTATGCAAGGTTGGGGACAATTGTTGAACCAAGGAGTTCTACTTATCCTCTTGCTCATCTTCCATGGTAGTTTGGACGCACCTTTCAGCAAGACAAGTACGCAGTATGTCTTCCGCGTCTCTTTCGGTATCATCATCCTTCCAACTTTGTACTTGGCTTATTTGCGTTACTACAAGATGAAGTACACAGACCGTGCATTGAACCAAGCAAAGAGCAAGGCAAAGAACACATCCGGATATAGCTGGACAACACTCAAATTGGCCAGTGGACATTATTGGCACCGTATGGTCGGAACTGCAATCGTTTGGTTCATCAATGATGTATTGTTCTATGGTTCAAAGATCTTCTCTGGTGTCTTCATTGCCCAAATTACAGGCTCCACAGGTCCTTCTTCTCTGAAGACAAACTGGTTGTACAATTTACTCAACGTCGGTGTAAGTTTGGTCGGATACTACCTCGGCGCGCTCTTGATCGATCACAAGCAATATGGACGTAAATGGATGCAAACAAATGGTTTGTTGTTCATTGGTGTTATCTTTGCCATCTGTGCAGGTGCTTGGGACACATTCAACCAACCTGGTGCTCCCACAAGAGCGTTCATGGCATTATACTTCGTGAGTTCCTTCTTCACTCAATTTGGACCTAACGTCACCTCCTTCTTGTTGGCAGCTGAAGTATACCCAGCAGTTGTCCGTAGTACAGCCCATGGTGTCAGTGCAGCTGCCGGTAAGTGCGGAGCCCTTATGGTCGCTGTACTCTATAACTACATTGGAAACCGTACGAAGTTCTTTGTCGTCTTCCCTTTCGGTTTCCTCGGCGCGCTCCTGACGATTATTTTCGTTCCAGATGTGACAAGTTTGGATTTACGCGAACAAGAAAGATATTATCAATACGTCTTAGAAGGTCGTCAAAACGAATATCATGGAGTTGCCGTTCATCCTCGCCATCTTTCATTATGGGAAAGAGTTGTTCTTAAACGTCATTTGAACTATGATCCTGAAAAGGATCATGTGCAAAAGATTAACGAATTGCGCAAATTATATCAAGATACAAAATCCGAAGAAATTTCAACCGAAAAAGGCGGTGAAGGTAAAGGAAAAGAAGCACTCAGTGACGATCAAAGAATGTTACTCGATTATGAATTGGACAGCTTCTTTGCCAATGAAGAAAAGTTACGCGGTTATCTTACCCGGAATACTGGTACGAGTAACAACAACCGTGGACATGAGAGCAAATTGGCTAATTTGGAAACCAAATTGGGCTAGACACTTTCTTCGCCCCATTTTTAACTCTTTTCTCATCTCTCTTTTTCACTCATCACATCATACAAACCTTGTATATGAGCGTAATCAAACGCTTCTTGTTCTTAGATATAATCTGCACTTAATGAATAATAAATAGCCTTGTTTAAATTATTGCGCCCAAAAATAGGTGAATCGACTGGGAACGTGCCTGGGCCTTTGAGTTGACCAAGTGGTATGATGATTTCAATGAATTCATTCTACAAAGCACAGTCTAATTTACTTTTTAAACGGAGGCAAACCCCATTGTTCCGGTTTAAAGTCTTCAAGAGAGGATAATGTTTGGGTCGGGTGTAGGTCCTCTCCGTCATTCTTTAGTAATGCAGCCAGCTGGGAAGGAAAAAGAGAAATCAGCAAGAGAAATCTTTTGCCTTGTCATAGAATCACTCACATTTGGATCTGGTACCCAGACGACTTTCATGCCTGCTGCTTTGGCTGCTTGAACGCCAGGTTTAGCATCCTCAAAGACGAGGAATTGTGATTCTTTCCCATTAAGGGTTCCATCGTATTCTTCACCTAAGGGTCGCACTCCTTCCTTCTCTCCTAATCCTTCTCTTGCTGCTAAGAGGAAAACATCAGGAAAAGGTTTTCCGCGTGATAGACGTTCATCATCACCGCAGATGATTCGATCTGCGAAATGTTTGAAAATGTCTTGATTATTGGCTGACTTGATTCCATCTGCAGGAGAAAATGTAGCTGTTAGCAATGCCAAGAGTATTAAGAAGAGGTTATGATCACGTACAATTTCTTCTCTTAGATCCTGTAGCAAGACAGATTGGTACGTTGTGTTTTGCCAAATGTTGAACCAAACGAACAGCTCCAGGCATAGGTTTGACTTTGCTAAAGTATCCATCTAAGCTCATATTACGATCTGATAGAAATGAATCGATAGTGAATGGACAGTCCGCAGCGAACAATTGACCGTCTTGCTTTTCTGTTGCAGTTGGAGGCCAAAGAGCTGATAATAGAATTTCAGTAGCTTTCCTCTCGGGTGTTCCCATTATCCGACTTTTGATTTCCCATGTTTGTTCTTTGCCGTAGGGAGCTAGGATCTTGTTTACCACGATCGTGTAGACCTATTACATGAGAGGGCTATATCAGCAGCTCATTCGAATAAAGCAATCCATTAGACTTCTATACACACAATTTCACTATCGATCAAAAGACCGTCCATCTAAAAAATAAGAAGAGAAGCAATGGTGAATAACGTGTATACTAATCAAGCACGTCAAATCTCACATCAAAAAGGACGCCTTTGATATCGCCAAGCTTTTCTGTTGAGGACGACATGATCAGTATTGAAGAGTGTGACTGATGATGTTGAGAGAGAAGATGAAAAGTTTAATTGAATATGACTTCCACCCCCCACGTTGATTGAAGGTTCTTCTGATTGAGTCATGAATCACTCTCACTTGCAACTACAGGCAGTACATCAGCCAATAATAAACACTGATTTTACGCCCAAATTCATGCGGAGAAAATGTCCAGCGCACGCACACACACACAAACAGCGCACAGCCATCCCTCGCACGGGTTAAGATGCATTCATTCATTGCAGCTTGGATGGATGTTCATCCTTTCATTTTACACCACCACAATAAAAAAATGTCATTACAGGTCAATCTTTCAAGTCCAGATATCAAAGCGGCTTATGATGCCGTTTTGAACGGATCGGAAGATTACTTGTTGCTCACTTACGAAAAAGGAACAAACGATCTAAAAGTACAAGAATTGGAAAAAGGTACATTGGAAGATGCTCTGTTCGAATTCAGTTCAGGCAGAATTCAATACGGTTTCGTACGTGTAATCGATCCAAATTCTCAATTACCAAAATTCATCTTGATCAATTGGTGCGGTGAAGGTGTTCCGGAAACCAGAAAAGGAATCTTTGCAACTCATAGCGCTGCAGTTGGTCAATATCTCAAAAATTATCATGTTAGCATCAACGCTCGTAGGGAAGACGATCTTGATGCCAAATCCATCATGCGCAAAGTAACAGATAGCAGTGGAAGCAAATATTCAGCTGCTGGACAAAGTGCAAACACACAAAGTGGTGGTCGTATCGAAGCTGTTGGATCAACCTACAAACCAATCGGTGCACCCGATATTGCCGCTTTGCGTGCAGGTGCCAAGAAAGATGTCATTCAACCCGTTGGAACAGCATACAAGCCTGCTCGTGATGAACTTTCCAATATGCGATCAGCTCCTGTCAGTACCCCCTCTGTACCTGATGCTCCTCGTCCAGTTGCACAGCCAGTAGCACCCGCTCCTCCACCAGCACAGGCAGCACCTGCTTCCCAATCATTGCCAAGAGCTCCAACAGTTGGTGGTATTGTGGGAAGCGTGCCACAAGCCCCTCCTGCCGCAAAAGCTGCTCCTGCTCCCAGTCCGGCTACCCCGGCTGCTGCACCTAGCAAGCCAGCAGAAGACGATAGAATTAAACCTGTTGGAACAGCATACGAACCTGTCAGATTAGGCAAGCCAGGAAAATTAGGCAACCGATTCCCATTCGGTGGTGCACAGGAGAGTACGCCCGCACCTGCGCCTGCACCTAGGGCCAGTGGAGGAGGATTGACTTGGTCGCAAAGACAAGAAAAGGCAAAGAAGGAGAGAGAAGAAGAGGAAGAACGTGCTAGAACAGCAGCAGCCAAAGCAGCCGGTGTTGGTGTTGGAGCAGGAGCAATTGCCGTTGGAGCAGCTGGAATCGGAGCAGTGGCAGCAAGAGATGATGAAGCAAATGAAATACCTGCTCCGCCTCCGCCACCTCCAGGACCTGGTGCAGCGGCCAACGATGATGATATTGCAGCTGTTACCGATAGTCTACAGAGAACCAAATTGGATGAAGGTACAGCAGAAGCATTGGCTAAACCAAGCGGTGGAGAGACTCAATTACGCGCAGTTGCAGTATACGAATACAGTGCAGCTGAAGAGAATGAGATCTCATTTGCAGAAGGAGATACGATCACAGGTATTCAACAAGTGGATGAAGGATGGTGGAGTGGTATCGCACCTAATGGTCAAGAAGGTTTGTTCCCTGCAACTTATGTCGAATTGATCGAAGGAGCTGGACAAGAACCAGAGCCAGAAGCCGATATTCCGCCTCCGCCGCCTCCGCCACCACCAGCTCCAGCAGCCGCAGCAGCAGCACCAGTAGCAGAAGATGATGTACCACCACCACCTCCGCCGCCTCCACCGCCACCACCAGGACCTGGAGCTGCTGCCATACCTGCTGCTGCTCCTGCCGCTCCACCTGCTCCTCCAGCACCTGTAGCTGCAGAAGAGCCAGCAGGACATTACTGTATCGCTCAATACGATTATGAAGCAGCTGAGGATAACGAATTAGCATTTAATGAAGGAGATAAGATTATCAATATCGAATTTGCAAGTGATGAATGGTGGAGTGGAACACACGAGGTTACAGGTATGACTGGATTATTCCCAGCTGTGAGTGTGAAGTAGTGGCTTGAGGAGTGGTTGTGCATGACTGACAATTGATTTTCTCTTTCCCCCTTCAGAATTATGTCGAACTACATGAATGATTGTATTGAATTGGACGAGGAATGATGCTAATTGTGACAAAATATGCTCCCCCGCACTTGATTGATTGATTGATTGAGCTATTATTTAGTCTGGCGCAGTGCGGCGTGTTTATTATATGATGTGAAAGACGGTAATGCATGCACAAATTATCCGAATGAGTGTTGTAGTGCTTCAAATGAAATTTTAACCGCCTAGACCGGTTTTATATTGGAAAATACAACCGGTTTTAAGGCAAAAGAGCACTGTAACACTGTTGTTTTTCTTTAGTACGCGGGGCAAGTCAAGCAAAGGTCCCTTGAAGTTTGTGTGTTGTTTGTTTGTTTAGAAACCATCTTCCATCACCATCAAGACGTCTCGGGTAGACATCAAGGAGGAATAGAAGGCATTCATCACAACAAGACGTTCACTCAAAGGCTCAGCATTTCTTTCCCTCTCATTCCTAAGACGTTGCAAAGATGGCGGAAATACTGAAAAATGTGGAATCACTCGCCCTCAATCCGGCATATCATGATTTATTTACAGTTTTTAAAGGAGCAAGGAATGGCATGGTATACGGAGCGAAGATTCGATTCCCACATGCATTAGTGATGACATTTATGTTCGGACGTGGGACACCGTTACAAAAGATGCAATATGTAATCAAAGCAACTCGTCAACATTCTCTTAATTTGACAAAATTTGTTGGACTATATAAATTGTTGACAATTTTGATGCGGAATACGAATTCGGCCAAAAAAGAACTTCCACATGAAAGCTTTTTGGCTGGTTGTGTGGCTGGATACGTTGTTTTTGGAGATCGGAATCCGGTCAATGAACAGGTGTGTATCAGGGAAGCTTGTGTTCTGCTGTCTGTGTGTTTGCTGACCTTTTCCTCTGTTTCGACAGATCGTATTATACTGTATCGCTAGATGTGTGGCATCACTCCTACCGCGTGAGCCAGTCTCGGCCGATTATCCTGCTTCCAAGGTGATTCCGATCGAAAAGAAGACATTCAGCATCTTTGCTGCTCTTGTTTGGGGTTGTGTGATGTGGTTGTTCAAGAATAGAAGGCAAAGATTACAAGGAAGTTTGGTGAGCAGTATGGACTGTGAGTGTGAAAAGATAGCGGTGATTGTGGTAAGAAGTGAAGCTGATCTCTTTGTTTCAATCAGACCTATACGTCAATGCGGAGAAATGGAAAGAGTGAGTACATTGCCGGTTAAAACACATAAAGTGGATAGCGGCTAATTCTCTCTCTCATCCTTCACAGTCTACGAACATTATTCTGGCACAACACTTAGACATAGACATTCCACACTGGAACGCAGCCTTTCTTTTATTCTCCTATCTCGGACAATTCCGGCGAACAGGATCATCTTTGTTATCAATATGTGTACGTCAATATATTCATGCATTTCAATTGGCAACAACCGCCGTGTGAAGGAGGAGGGTATTCGGACTGAGATTCAATTCCAACACGATCGCACAGGCCATCATTGCAAAAAAAGCGGTGTTTAAAGCCTTATTTTTAGATTGCAATTGCACTTTATGATTGTGATATAAGCACCAATCGATCCGAACGGAACGCCGCCCGTCCTGTTGGGTGTATTTTGTTTTGACACCGCTTTTCCGTTTACCAGTTGAAGTGCGGACAGAACCTTGCCCTTTTCTGCTACATATCACAACATCCCACTATCCATCACTAATCGGGAAACAGAGTAACACCACTTACATCGAATCGGAAAGAATTGGGGCCCTCTTACAAGCATTGAGGGTGCCATTGAGTGAGATAAGTGATCTAGTCGAATGCGCGCATAACGTGTGCCACCTATGCATGAAAATGACCAACCAAAATCATTGAATTATATCAATCTCTTGCCATAACCTCAACCTTTCTTTCCAACCTCCAAGTCAAAGCGTTCTTTATTTGATTCTACTTGTAAATTGCAATGACTGGATCCGTTCCACCACCGCCACCTCCACCGTTTAACCAACCAAGCGGCGGTGGCAGTATGAACCATTACAATTCACCTCACACTGATCTGTACAATCGCAGAACTTTTCCAGGTCAATTTCCGCAAGGAATGCAACCAGGAATGAATATGGCTAGCGCACCGCCATCAACTTCTCATCGCTCATCTTTCCCACAAGGCCAAGTTCCACCGCCACCACCACCTCCGCCTTCTGCTCACCAACAACATCCTTCCATGTCGCCTCAACAGTCGTATGGAATGCCGATGCATATGCAACAACAGAATCCATATGCCCAATCACCTTATCCTATGATGAATCCAATGGCTCAGCCAGGAATGGGTCAAATGCAAATGGGTTACCCGCCACAAATGCAACCGCCAGGAATGCACCAAATGCAAAGCGGTCATCCTGGCTATATGGGCGCTGCAATGAATCCATACACTGGCATGCCAATGGCTCCCGGCTATGGTCAAATGGGAATGAATCCCTACGGTTACGGTCCAGCATACAATCCCGTTGACGCTGCAGCTCGCGCCTATCACGAGGGTTATGATGGTCACGGTAGCGGTCGTGATTCGCACAGACATCGACATAGTCATGGTAAGTAGAAAATTATTTTCATTCCGAACTCCAGATGGGCGCAACCGTTAAAATTGTTATCCGCATATCCGACTCCATTCACTTAATCTCAATCTCATTGGACTCTCATTCAGCATCTTCTTCTGCTCAAGCGGAAGGGGACCGTAAATGGCATCAAGACATCTTTGATCAAACCGTAAACGTAATTTCAAAATTGCCACCAGCAGTGATTATCAATTTTTGATTTCTTTACTGTTACCCTTTTCACTATCTCTACTGACACTTCAACGGTGCGCCCTTCATTCTGTTTGGTGGACTCACTTCTCACCATTTTTATTTCTGTCTTTTGCACCCATTGATAGACTTTGAAAACGGTCGTGACGGGCGCAGTCGGCGCAGTCATTCAAGGAGCAACTCAGGCTCGTCCGCCTCATCGGAAGGGGAAGCCAAAGCCGGCAGCACCAAAAAAGGAGGGTAAGTAGAGCTTTGCATTAACAAAAGTTCATTCTTCATGGATGTCAACCGATTTTTTCTCTCTTTCCTTTTTTGGCAGCGACAATCAAAGAGTAAAAGATATGATGATCGGTGCTGTTTCTGGAGCTATCCTTGAAAAAGGAATCGAAAAGTATCGAGATCATCGTGAACACAAGAAAGCAAGCAGCAGTAAAGGTGATTAATTAATCACAATCAGAATCGCATTTCGTTTACTTCCTCACACACGCACCCACCCTTTTCCTGTACCTAAAGATGAACCCTCTCCACCTGGTGAATTGACGCAGATCATCGAAAAGATTATCTCGGACGTGGTTGCAAACAAAGTAGGAGAATCGGTTCAAACAGGATAGGATGCTAAATTGAAATTTTGAATCATATTCGTACACGACATTGTAGGTAGAAACGACAAAACGACTTTGAGTAGACGAAAAGCAAGTAAATTCTAGATTCACAAGCGAGATTTGAGAGTGATGAGAGAGTGGTGTAAAAGGTATCTTGATGAAAATCTATTGCAACATGCCACCCATGGCACCGGAAACATAGTGCATCGGTCGCATATCAGGATGTGGTTGAGCTTCAAATTGAATGTATTGGATTGTACCTTGAGCGTCAATACGTGCGAAAGCGCCTTTGTTTCCTACTTGATCGACGTAATTTGAAGCACTAAAGATGGTAACTGTTAAACCATCATGTTCTTCTTGATATCCATCATTTCGAACTTCATGAGAACGTAAGATTGCCGTTACTTTGTTCAATTGACACCATTGTTTGGCAATATCTGGTCCGAATCCTTTACCCACACCACGTTTAGAAGCTGCTCTTCCGTTTGCAGCTTGAGGATCTGCCCAAAGCAAATCTTGAGCGATACCTTCTGAAGGTTGACCGATCTTGAAACGGTTCAAAGCTTGAATCTTGTCAAGCGTTACGCCATCCTCTTGTGGAAGACCACCATGAACGACAAAGTATTGCTTTTTGCCATTTTCATTCAAGATGGGAGATCTTTGTGCCAAAGGAGCATGGTAAGGTAATTCATTTGCTCTGAGTGGTTCTTTAGAAGCAGTGATCATGGTTGCCAATGGTAGAGCGACAAATAGATCTGTGAAGAGCTTGAATGTCAGATCACCGCCAAATTTGGCCTTTACCTCTGCTGCAAATCCGTACGTTTGATTCATCATTGAAGTTTCGTGATTACCGCGGTTCAAGAATGTGTATTCAGGTTTGAGCCATTTGTATGCCAGCAAGATCAATAAGCATTCACAACCCCAATTTCCGCGATCGACGAAATCACCATTGAAGAGGAGCATGTTTGTTTCGCTCGGTCGACCAGAAAGTTCAAATGCATGAAGGAAGTCAAACAATTGACCATGGATATCACCATACACTGTTGCAGTAGTTCCTTCCTTGACTGTGTATTCGACCATGGTTGGCTCTTTTTCAAATTGCCTTCTGGCACCCAACACGATTTGCCAGCAATATCTGAGCGGTAACTTTTTGCCATCACGGAACCATTGAATCATTTGGTTGATGAAAGATTCGCTGATCTTACCTAGATGCTTTCCTTTACGCAAGACATCTTTCTGGTCTCCTGCTTGTTCTTCATCACCATCTTCCAGTCTAGGTCCATCATACTTTGAATCAATAATTGTACCTCCGGTACCCTCGAGTAAATGCGTTGCAACAGATTCCCATGCTTTTGGTCCTTCTGTTGTTGCGATTGCTTTTTCGAATTCTATTCTTCTTGCAAGTTTGACGGTATCGTCCAATTGGTGTCGAACGGTAGGATTTTTTGGTTCCAATTGAACAACTTTTCGTAGATCGGGTAAAGCGGATTTATGATCCAAGATGGAAAGATAAGCAGATGCCCGTCTGTAGTATGCTTTTGCAAATTTTGCGTCTAGCTTGATTGCTTGTGTTGCATCTTCGATTGCCAAACCATGTTGTTCCAACTTTAATTCACATGCAGCACGATTACTCCAAAGAACAACGATTGTTGGATCCAAAGCGATTCCTTCTCCATACTTTTGTTTTGCAGCCTCATACTCTCCAGACAAGAATAGTTTATTTCCTTCATCTTTTAATGCAATCGCACGTTTTGTCTTCTCTTCATCTGGCAAAGATAACTCTTTCTTTGAAGGAGATGGAGGTAGATCTGCCGATGTTGCTGATGTTTGATCGCTTAAAGAAGCGATTGATGACGTTGAAGCCGCCGGCGATAGAGGTGCAGACATTGTCTATGTACAGCGTCTAGCCTCAGATGATAAACTGATGAACAATTGTGATCGATCCTTGAATGTCGTGTGTAAAAGATGGATAAAGGAAAGGTAGCTACGGAATAATTCAAACGACCCTTAAGATTAAGAAGCCGTTGCTCAGGAAGAAAAAAACAAAATTAGAAGCCGCTAACCCGCGTGTACAATCATCGCTTTGCAGTGTATTTGAAAATGGACTCAAGGCGATTAGTAAGGCCAGGCACGCGTTTAGAGATACTTTCTTCTTGCTCTCACTCTTCCAACCTCAACACCTTTGAAAGGTCACTCTCGTTTCACAATGGACACCTCGCCTGATCTATTGGATGTGCTTCGTGAAGCTTTGATAAAACCATCAGCAGCTTCAGAAGATCAATCAGGCACATTAGCAGGCGGAAGGATTCGTTTATTGGATGTTGGAGGACAATCAACAGTGGATGATATCTCACAAGCTGCTACAATTGAGATCGATCAAAGACCATGGCCAAAGTCTCAAATCACTCGATTGGCAAGATCAAGAAATGCTCTAGCTCTACAGTCTGGATCTACAGCAACACCCGAATCAGACCCTGAAAGCTTTTTCCCTCTTGATGCTATCATCTTTGCTCTGTTAATGGCAAACGCTCAAGGTGGTTTGTATGTCGTTCAAGCCACAAATAGAGGTATTCCTCGTTTTGAGGCACTGGAAAGAAATGATATCCTGGCATACCTCACAGGCAAGCGTGCTGAATGGGATGGCGTATTGAGTGTGGTCGAAATCAAGTCAAGAAAAGGTGCAGCAGAAAACGATCAAGCAGGTCCTTCTACAACACCGCCTTCATCACCACCACTTGCTTTAAGACAATTGTATGGATCATCAACAGTCAAATTGCCCACCAAACGAGCTTATGTACCCTCAAAAGCGGATGCAGCATTCGTCAAAAGACTACGAACATCTGGGGTTGAGATCGTTCTGCAGAACAGGAATGATGCAATGCACGGCGCACATCCATGGACGAAAACAGCAGACTTTTCATCTTTCAGGATGGCGCTTGCTCCAACGATCGAAGCGGCACGAAAAGCAGCAGCCCGGAAGCAATCTGGAGCTCCCGTCAGAGGGACAACACAAACAAGCTCAGCAAATGCACCAGCACGGAAGCAAAGAGCTCAAGATCCAATCATTATGCTATCAAACAGTCCTACTGCACTTATCAACATGTTCAATGTCAAGAAATTGTTGGAAGAGGGAATATTTGTTGATCCTGTTGCAGCACGTACAGCTGCCAACGGAGTAACGGAACCAATTGTTGCTATCAGTCATCGTAACCCGGCCACGAGTAACCAGGCATCACAAAACCCATCTGCCAGCGCAAGAGGAGGTCGATTCCTGGTTGTGGACAATGTCGATTCTCTGCAAAAGTTGGCAGGTGGACAGGATGTATGGCAAAGGGTCGTTGTAGTCTTTACAACCGGTCAAACATGGCAATTCAAGAATTATTATTGGTCGGAACCACGTGAACTATTCAGACATGTGATGGGAGTATATGCAAGATGGAACAATGAGCCAAAGAATGCAAACGTTCAAGATTGGCCGATTACTGAGTTAGTGATCGATAGAAGTAAACGACATACAGATCGACAGGTAATCTCTCATTTCTGGCGTTCGGTGGATTCGTTTGTGAGCCGAAGAAAATCTCATTTGGTGATGTAATTTTAGTGTAATAAAAGTCGAAAATGATGACGATTCAAGAGCCGATCAGCCTAGCTGAGCCTTATTGTTCGAAATGACGTAAACCGCAGGAAGCACGGACACCTTTTCTTTTGAGATTCAGAAATCGGTCCGTTCAACGATTGCATAAACTTGAAGTGACCGCTCAGATCGCCATTTTAGCGTGAACAGAATCGATTCGTGAGAAGATAGGAACGGATCCTTTGCGATCGCGGACCGCCTTCTAATAAACATGAAAAGAATATCTACAATGAGTTCAATTGAGCTCTGGCCTCGAATAATACTGTCATCATCGCAACATGGCCTTATCTCGAATTGGGGTCCTAGCCACAACAATAATATGCTTAAACAAGTCGCACCCCAGAAATAAAGTTTTTCTTTCATTGATTGATTGGATCAAAACACAGGAGTGGGAATTCTTTTTTCAGAGGTCAAAATGACAATCAATAATTGTGGAGATTCTATGCAATCAAACGGGTATCTTTGGTGGAAATCAACTTTTGGCTTTTTCTCTTTTTTGCTATCATCATTGATACAAAGAGTCTTTCTTATCGTTTACATTGGTACCAGTAGCGAAATGACCTCAAGAGCTAGTTTGTTATCAAGGAGATCGTCTTCGATTGCCTCCAAGCCTGAAATAAAGAAGGAAAGAATACTTTCTATCTTGAATGGCGCAGAAAATGATGCAATGGCAAAAAGTACTCGACCTTCTCTTCTTCGACGTTCAACAACCTTAAGCGGGTATCCCAAGAAGGAAAAGATCGAAACAAATATCCTGGACAAAGCGGATCCTAGATTATTCAAAGATTTACCTGAACTACCTAGCGAAATTCAGTTTCAAGAGGACAAATCGATTGAAAAGGACGATGTAATCATTGAGGAGAACAACACGAAAAGCAAACTCGAACGAAGGCCACGACTCAAGAAAGTTTTGTCAAGTCCAAACAGACTCTCTCTTTTACGACCAACACCGCTAAAGCTGAACAGATTCCCCGATTGGCTGAGTGGTAGCAACTCTCGATCTCCAAGTAACAAATCAGTCTCACCTTTATCTCAAGCGTCAACAATTACTGAATCCTCCAATGAGGAAAAGGCGAGGTTGACCAGTAAAAAGAGTTTCTACCTCTTATCACCTTCAGATTGGCTCAGATCACCAAAAAACAAATCTATGGAAAATTGCTCAATCGTACCAGGAGAGGCGCAACTTCAACTTGACAACGGAAATGATGAAATTATTTCACTTGCAGAAGAGCTTGATCTCTATCAATCTGAATCAACTCGAACGAGTTTTCATTCAACACACGAATCCATCTTGGGAACACTTCCAGACACACATACTTCTCCTCAAACAGAAACTCCACACAGTGAAGATTCGCAATGGTCACAAGAGAGTGCTAAAGAAATGACTGAGTCTCAACCGCAACAAGAGAGGAACGGATTGCACGTTGACGGGAGTGCAGATGATACAAGTCCTAATCCAGGATCAGATGGTACGATCGATCAAGACAACTACAAAGAAGCACTTGGAGAATCGTCTGATAACGCAGCAGCAAGAGCAGAAATGCTTAAAATTGAAGAAGCATGGACGGCGTTTAATGTATCACCTTGCACTGAGGAATCTGAACGTAAAATCGAGATTGATCAAAATGCATTTCCAATGTCAGTGGATACTTTGACATCATACGATAAATCAAGGTGTACGCCAGACGTATGTGAGCGTCAACAAATTCTCACGGCTGCCAAACCTTCTTTGTTGAGCTCCATTTCAGAACGTACAAGTTCTTTGAAAGGAGCAGAATTTCACTCTGCCAACTCTTCCATGACTGAATTAGGAGAGCCAACAAGAAGTGATGCGGCAAAGCTGACAGAAGAGGTGAATGCGGAAGACAAAAGATGTGAAAGTACTGCAGATTCCAGTCGCAAATCATTTTTCTTGCCCAGCATCTCTCCAACTTCTTCGATGCATTCGCCATTGTCAAAGAATAGCCTACAAATCACATCCATCCCTTCAACGCCAACAAGTTATACTTCAACTGCTCTCTCTTCACCTGACGCAAGGAGGAGTAAACTGTTTTCGCGTTCAGAGTTGGCAGAATTTCAAACACAATCATATTGGTCAGAAGATAGCGGAGAAGACACAGAAGAATTCAAAGAGCTCAACAAGCCAAAAGAAAGAAAGGTGCGAAATAAAAGGAAATTTAACAAGAGCACTTCAAGTTCAAAAGATGAAAATGTAAGAAACAGTATAATCGGAAAGCGATTGGGACTCATCTTTGATCATTCATTTCATCATCAAACACCTCCTCCCACTCCAAATCGGAAATCGTTTGGTAAACGAAAAGGCAACGTATTTGGCGGAGATTCTCCCACGCTTGATGGTGACTCTTCTTTCTTGGATGTTGGCACTACAACCAGCTCATCAAAGAAACCTTCCAGGCTTTTGATGAGCTTGACATATGTGCCTCAACTATTACGACACAAAGGCAGTACAATAAACCTCGGCTCATCAATGTCTACTGCAGCAACGGAAATGCAAAGATCAAAAAGTGCAAATGATTTAGCTTCTTCCTACAAGAAATTTCAAAGTACCGTAGAAACTTCTTCTTTCCCAAAGAAAATTTTTTCTCCAACACAAAGTGATCATTCCGAATCTTATTCGATCCCTCAAAGAAGTGTGACCTCACTTGGAGAATCTCCTCTTTTGCTTTCTCCAATCACTCCTCAAACACAAGCGCCAAGATCGAGAAGGTTATCGCATAAGCCTTCTTTACCCGCTCTTTTGGAAGGCAGAAAGCTGACAAGTGATTCGCATGAAGCTAAACTCAGACAATTCACATTTCCGGCATCATCAGATTCAACAACGACGAAACGATCACAATCTTCTCAAAGATCATCTTGGCATCCGCATTCTCATGGTCAACAGTTGTCATTTCAAGACAATCTCTTTTCCAACGGCTGGACGATGGAAAGAGAACATTTTTTATAACAATGTATTATATGGCAAGATTTGAAATCTATACAGATAAATAATTCAATTAAAAATCACCCAAATCTACATCTATATCAGCAGCAGCAATGGCCAGAGAAAGAGGCGTGCTACTCGTTGCAGGTTTGACAAGCGGACTGTTAGTACCTTGTGTTGCGCCATTCGAAGCGAGACCGTTCAAAGGAGTTCCTGATCGTGGAGGTGTACCAGAAGGAGTGTTTGCATTCGAGTTTAATCGTTGAGCAGCTAATCGATTTTGCAATGCGATCTTTCGTTCTGCGTCAGCGATTCGTTTTTGGTCTGCTCTACGATGCTTTTCGTTCATTTGTAACATGAGCAGCTCATTTGCGCCCGCTTCTGTTTTACTGGATCCGCTCAAATGTTGCTGTTGACGTTGTTTGCTCTTATTGCGTTCGGAATTCTCAAACGCATCTCTTGCTGATCGCTTTTCTTTAAGCATTTGATTAATATCTTGTTCGGTGAAAGGCTTACTGACGAATGCTTCTAATTCATCAGCTTGATCCAAAGTGGCTTCTCGACTGGGATAGACCCTTTGTGCTCGATGGCCCGACATTTTATCAACCCGACTGCGGAATTCATCGTATTCTCGATCGGTCACTTCGCTGTTACTGATAAACTTGAGTAACACCTTTGACATTTTCTCTTCCCCGGCTTGCATTGTGCAGAGTGCATTAGTGTACTGATCGCCCAATTCATAATAATCATCGCCTTGATAGCAATCTGAAATTTGCACAAGACGATATGTTTGAGTGATACGTCCAGTAGCTTTATCGCGATCTGTGAAATTGATACGAGCGAACTTTCCGACAATTTGCGACATCCAGTCAGGCTTGTGCACGAGTTTTGAGAGGTGATCACGTTTGACGCGGGCGATGTTGATATCTTTAAGGTCAGGAAATTTCCATTCACCTCTTTTGGCAAGTCGATCTTGTTCTCTGCTCGGCTTTTGATCAGCAGCAGCGCCTCTTTTGGACTCTCCACGTTCTCTTCTTTCACGTTCTTTCTTTGATCGCCAAAGAGCTTCTGCTTCTTCGGCATCATATTCACTCTCTGAAGTTTCTTGTGCGCTACTCTCGTCGTCATCATCTCCTTGTCTTCTTCTTTGTACCTTTGCTCTACTCTTCTTTAGCTTTTGGAGTTGTGCAGCTTTGCCGGATGGCTTGTCTCCTTTGCGGGCCCTCGAACCGCGACGAGCAGTCTCAAAGTCAGATTCTTCTTCCTCCTCTTCCTCTTCGTCTTCTTCATCATCTTCGTCAAAATCATCCTCTTCTTCATCGCTATCTGCCCTTCTGCGTCTTTTGGATGAAGAGACAGAGGATGCCTTTTTCAATTTTCGAGATTTCTTTTTAGCAGGTTTTGATGAACTTCTCCCGCTAGATTTTCTGCCTGCCAATTGTTGTGTTCGTACCATTGCCCTTAAATCTGCTTTTTGTCTCCTTTGCGTGATCAAATCTCTACGACTTGCCAATTCTGCTTCTCTGTCCAATTCAGGCATATCCAACAGTCTTTCTCGATCTTCTTCATCTTTATAAATACCCTCCAATCGAAAAGGGTTGACGGGTTCATTTACCCCAACTTCATCATCATCACTTCCTTCTGCGTCCAAATCATCGGATTGATCGTCATCGTCATCGCTTAGGTCTCTTCTGCTGTTTGCATTACGTCTCCTTTTTGTTCGTCTCTTTGCCGGTGATCCGGAACGTGAAGAAGACGAACCGTTTCCCACCAATGCCAAAAGTTCGTCATCAACGTCAGACATCTTTTTGATTGATAAAAATGCAGCGCAAAAAAGTGATGGATGTTAGAGGAACAAATGATTAATTTCGGCTGTTTTTTATTGTCTTCTTGCACGCACTTCTTCCGTGCTTGTTAGGCAATTCGCCCTGGAGCTTTGCAAGAAGAACCCAACTCGTGCGACGCGCCATCCACGCAAGCTGCTTTAAGCTTCACACAATACCATTCTCATCATACTCAAAAAGCACACTTACCATAACAAATACAAAGCATGAAATTCAATTGTCGAACTCTATATGGGTGATGATGATGAAGATGAAGTGTAAATTATTCTTACAAGCATTACAAAACTACCAATGGGGACCTTGATGATTCGTTGGAAATTGCCAAAAATCTGACCATTGTTCGGATTGTTGTTGGGTTGATGGTATCTGATTAGGATTAGGTTGTGATTGGGTCTTTTCTTTTGTTTCTCCTCCACTGTGTCCGTTCTTTTCGTTTACTCTTTGTTGCTGTTGTTGCCATTGTAATGCATATTCGTACATTTGATGAGACATAGCGATTGGGTCATAATTCGATCCGGAAGAAGTTGCGGGCATGGTCGGAGGCAAGAATGGATGTGTGGCTTGTGATGGATTGGCTTGTTGTGGCATCGAATTCCATGCCATTGCATCAGTTGGCATTCCTTGATTGGAATGGGGGATAGAAGGCCAAGGGAAATTTAACGTCGGATCACCATGAGGAGCGCTGGTTGGATCGTTGCTTGGTAGTAATGCATCAGCACCGTGCAATCCTGAGGGTATAGACTGATGACCAGGATTGGACATTTGAAGAGGTGCGATTGGATTAATTGGAGTGAATGCATGTGCAAAGGTGTTGGTGCTGTTTGTGTTGTGAATTTTGTGTAGTCGTGGGCTTGAACTTCTGGAAGATGATGCGCTTACAGGTTGCGAATGATTGGAGAAAAGCGAATGAGACGGAAGATTTGCTGATCCACTAATGCTCGAATGGTTGGAATGCAGACATGCCGCTCTGTTGGAACCGGAATGTCCATGCAGACCACTTGACGATGCAGGAGATGCGCCAAATGGAAGAGAAGCCGAAAAGTAGGACGGAGAACCTGGACGAGATTTCTGACCAACAAAGAGTGGGTTGTCCATAGCCATGCTGCTAACACCATTATACGATGATGGTGTTGAATTGGCCATCGAATTGCTTCCTGAAGGAGAAGGTTGATAAGCAGACATCAGACTGCTCATTGCCAGATGCGAAGGGTACGGATTGGTGTGATAATTCTGACGATGAGCACCAAAGTCAACAGGTGATATGCCTTCAGAATTTTGACCTGAATGTATATTTGGGTGATGACCATGAACACCAAAATCAAAAGAAGCCTGTTGAATGAGAGCTGGCGAAATTTGTCCTCCGGGAATACTTGATCTACGTGAAGATCCAGAAGATCTTTCACCGCCAGATTCAGTACCTGCTCTGTTTGATTTCATCATTCCTTTACCTTTTCCTGATCCACTTCCACTAACGCCTTTTGCCAACATTGCCGCTGCTGCAGCCGCACGAATTTGACGATCTTTTTCTTCTCTTCGTGCGATGGATTTTGCCGAAGATGTTTGTGGTCCTGGTTTTTTGGGTACATAAGTGTATGTACATTGAGCATCATTTGATTCGCATTGACGACATTTTCCCATTCCTGTTTCATCTAATCGAATACATTTCACTTTACGAATTCGACAAATATCACAACTTTGCATTCGTTTCTTCGCAGCAGCAGCAGCTGCTGCTGCAGAGGATGCTGAAGCGGTTGCGTTGGTTGTGTTTGTTGCGCTTACTTCTCCTGCTTGTGGGAATAAGACGGTGGATGAAGATGGGTTACTGATATCCAAATCTGTAGCATCTTGAGATTGTGTTCGATAGTGTAATTGTGCCATTTCTTCTTTCTTTGGTGGTGACATGACGGTAGCGCCAGGAAGTGTGTTCATATGTGAAGAGCCTAAGCTGTCGAATGTATGCTGCATCATCGTATCCTCAACATCACCATGAACGCTCTTTGTGGAGAGAATGTCAGGACTGCGGTATGCATTTGGAAATGATAATGTTTGTGTGGCTGCCATTTTGTTCTGATCTTGCTGTTGTGTTGGAACTTGCTCTGAATTCTGATCGTTTTGCATATCCTCAATTCCAATCGTTGTCAATCAATTTTGACTTTTAATCGATCCGATATGACATTGCCAATCGGTTTATCGTGTTTGTAATCTTTCCGAAAAGGTGATCAAAAGATTGATGATTGTGTTTAAATTTGATGATAGTGATAAAGCAATCAATCAAAAATTCCAACTCAACCTTTCTGATCTATTTGCCGAACTTTCTCTGTTTGAACAAGAGTCACAACGGATAGCATAATGGAACTTTGATTACCTTGCAGCTTGTTTCAGGAACGATCAAGAGAGAGAAACTTTTCTTACATTACACTGACATCTTCCCATTGTTGTTGATTGGATTATGTACAGTCCGTGCATCTTCTTGAAATGCAATATGACGGTCATTCTTCTTCTTATTTTTTGATTGTCATGGTGTTGTTCTTTTTTGGAGCAAAAGGCTGCATTAAAATATAATAAAATATGCATCTAGAATCATGTGCATTAGGACAGGTAAAAAACATAAACCCAAACCAAAACCTGAATTGTTGGGTGGGCTATAAGAATTAAACGGGAACGCTAGACTGATATTCTGGCTTGAGAAAAGGCAAAAAGTGACACACACTAAATATTTAGACCAAAATAAGTGGTGCAGAGCATATATGCACATCAACATAGACATATCATCATGTTTTTTTTCTTTTACATTTTATATTCTTCAATCGTTTTTCCATAGTCATACTATTCTCGTCTTTTACTCGGTCTCTACTCGATTGGAAGTAACTGTACATAGACAGTCTCAATCAGTGCGATCCAAACACGTATAGGCCCATGTCAACGTCCAAAGCTCGCTTAGATTAAGCACAAGCGAGATTGTAAAAAAAGGTATGATCCAAAAATTCGATAAGAAAAACTTTTAAGAGGGAATGCATATGTACAATACAGTATTCTCGGCATCTTAGATTGATTTCGTGGCTTTTTGTCTTCGCATCGATCATGGACAAGGAAAAAAAAAAAAAAAAACGTTGGGGAGATGGGAGGGAGTTTGCAATGAACCCTAAAAAGAAAGATACAGCACAGCAAATGCACAAAGTTTCGGATGATTGCGTCCGCGTAATCAAATGCATCAAATACATGCACACGCACTTTATCCCTCTTTTTCTTCTCTAGCGTGTAAATAAATCATCAACACACCGAGAAGCACCGAACGGCCGTTAAGTGTTTCGAAGTTAAAAAGAAAAGGCTCTGCGCTCAATTGCCCAAGAAGCGAAAAACCAAAAGGGGGCACATGTATGTATGTCTCTCCTACCTTCATGCTATTGCTTTCCTTGGAACATTTCAGACAAAATTTAATTAAAACTTACCCTGCACGATCATCAACGCATTTAGGAACTTCATCTTCAGCCCGCCACTATCAAATGAAATAAAGTGTGGAAATGCAATCTATCGTACTGTAATGTACCTAAAGCCAAAGTTCTAATCTAATCTTATCAAATGCCGTGATGCCGAAATTGAATCAAAAGATATATGAGAAGATAAAAGAGTGTATATTATTCTGGTTCGCGTTTTTGATTGTTGTGTTGCACAGGTAAGTGTAGCATGGTACATGAGAGTAGGAATCGAGCAAAAAAAAGGAAAAGAAAGAAAAAGGCAGAGAAACAAGAGAAGAGGTATCTGGACTTTTTAAGAAGCCGTACCGTTCTATGCATGTATATATGTGTGTTGTGTGTATGTGCGTGCCGAACGGCAATAGGAAAATCATCTTGGAGTACATGTGTTGTGATAAAAAAAAAAGAGTTCTTCACGCACACAGAAGGGGTATGATGTTGAAGAAAGACGAGGTAACAAGAAGAGCATTCAACGTTTTTTAAAGCCCTGGAGATTTTCGTTTTTGTTGATTAATATTCATCGCAGCCTGTGCATCCAAGCCCATTTGATGAACGCCTGAATTAGATGCAGTTCGTTTCACTTGCGTTCTCATCGCTTTTGCATTTGGTCCAAGCATACTTCCATCATCTTCCGATAATCCACTTCCACCATGTTGTTGTTGCTGTTGTTGCTGCATAGCTGCGAATGCCATCCCATTAACAATCTGTGGTGAGAGCGGCGATTGACCTGGTGCTCCACTCGCTTGCGGTAGTGTTCCAGGAACGCCGGCAAAGTATCCTTGATTCGGGAACGTGGCCATAGATGGACTTGCAGTCAAGAACGAAGCGGAATCATTCATTCCATAAGGCGTATTCGCTCCACTTCCTGCACCGCCCATTTGTGCATGTTGATGTGGAAGAGGCGAAGGAGGCAAAGGTGTATTGATTGCAACCTGCATTTCACCATTCATCGGACTAGGCAATCCCATCACACCCAAACCAGGATTCGATCCGATATGCGTCGTTGCCAAAGCTGTATCGATCGACATTCGCGGTGGAGGATGCATGCGTCCTTGAGAATTTTGCATATCCATTCTTTCACTCGCCTGTGATCCAGCAGACACTCTTCTTGACGCCATTGGCGAAACTTGCCCCATTGCACCTAGACTGAAAACATCTTGCGGTGAAGGTTGGAAGCCGGGCTCAGTGATAAAGATCGAAGGTCCATCAAGCGACATATCTCCCTGTCCAAGCATAGCACTGGCATTGCCTCCTGCAGCAGCCGCAGCGGCAGCAGCAGCGGCGGCGGCGGCAGGATTCGGAGATTGAATCCATGGAGGTGGTGGTGGTCTTTCGGCCATGAAAGGATGAATCATTGGCGTGGGTGGAAGATCAGGTATTGGCAATCGAGCATCAAACGGCAATTGTCCTCCATTGTTCACCTTTATCCAATCTAGAACATTTGCCAACGAATCACGCAATCCCAACGTCATATTCCTCAAAGCAATGTTCATCTCCAGCATTTCTTCCAATCTGTATTGTTGCTCATCAACCTGTTGTCGAAGTTGCATATGTCCAACGCTGACGCTATACTGAAGATCCCGTGCTTCCACTCTTGCATGTTCCGAATCCAAAGCCTTTCTTCGGATATCGTCCAAAAGGTCCGGTCTACCACGAATGAATTTCGGATGGGAAAATTCCCAAATTTGCGTATCAACAGCATGTCGATGTCCTCTTGGGGTCTTGTTGACTTTATAGAATCCGTACATGTTCAATTGACGGATAAAACTGCTGAAATTGCTATGTTTGAAATGTTTGCCCAAAACCTCTTTTGCAAATTCATCAAAATTGGTTACCACCACACTCGTTCCGTTTGCGTTCCAGCTTATCAAATGTTGATATTCCGGATCACTAACCATTCTGAACAATTTGTGTACAAATTTGGTTGAAGAAGCATTATCTCCATTTCCGCCGCTATTCATCGGATCTATACCCGGACCTCCGGAGCTGTTCGCTCTGACCGGCGTACTCTGTCCCAAAGGAGAATTTTCCACCAAACCAGAAGCGGGCTGTGAAGGTACGGTATGAGATCTGCTAGGATTTCTTTGATTTGCATAATCCATTTCGCCTTTGACTTGTATCGGTGATGCTGTTCCGGTTTGTTCAGGACTCTGTTGGAACGGAATCGAAGAACGCAAAGGCGAAGGCGATGCGCTCAAAGGATTGTTCGGATTCAAAAAATCGGATCCGGAAGGTGATGAAATACTAGGATCGTTTTGATATTGATTTTGTTGCATCATCGTATTCACACCAATCATAGGTCGCATAGCATTCACTCTTGGTGAACCGGGATTCGAAGAGGATGAGAAGAAAGTTCCCGATTGACTTGAGTCACCGATGCTCTGCTGTGCAAAGGGTAATGAGTTGTGTCGAACAGGTGTAGCAATTCCGGGATGCAGTGAATTATTGGATGCAAATGTTTGATTTGCACCGCCTGGCACTGCGGGTATAGAACCTGGTGAAGTGTTTGTTGGGTATTGTTGTTTGAATGAGATGGTGGAATCCAACGTTGTGCTCGCTGAATCACCGTTTAAAGCTTGATCGCGTGAAGTAGGAGAAGCAGACGAACGCAAGAGCGAAGAAGCTGGTGAAGCGATATCTGTCGCAAATGATGAACTGCCAGCAGGATAACCTGAACTTCCGGCCAAGGTACCGTTACTACTTGAAACGCCTGTTCCGTATCCTGAGGATTGAATTTGGTGACCAGAAGTACTACTGCTACTGCCGCCGCCGAGGCTACCGATATGTAGAGCGGGACTTTGACTTTGACTGTGAAATTGATGAGATTCTTGTTCGTGTTGTTGTTGTAAATAATCGACAAAGCTTTGAGCGTCGTTGCCTTGATCAAATGTGGACATAGAACTTTCAAAAGTGTCCATTGTACGTCAATGTCGGAAAAAGAAAAGAAAAAATTGCAAAAAAGGATGAATGAAATTAACCTTTATGCTTTTTTTTCTCTTGCTTTCTTCTTCAAAATGTGATATGCGTAAAATAGAACAATTTTGCTCTGATTAGCATCGGAGTTCTGTTTTTGTTGCTTTTTCTGTAAATAAGATTATTCAGCCTGATCGACGGATAAGAGCGCACCGATTGCCAAGAGAATATTCCTAATCAAGCTCTGCCTGAAGGATTGATCCGCACCAAAAGAAGAACGGCAGGCAATGCAAACAAAGACGATTGAAGCGTGTCCTTACGAGCGTGATCGAATCGATTAATGAGAGAAAAAAGACGGAACAAAATAGGCAGAACGAAGCTACCTGTAACCTCCTAAACGCGACAATGCAAGCGAAACGGAAACAGATTGCCTATGAACAATGAAGAAAGGAGAGAAGGAAGAATTGAGGGGGACTTTGATGATGACGGTGATGATGATGATAATGAATGAAGTACTTTTGTGATATTCGGGTAAAAGGTAGTTTCAAGCTGATCTAGTGCACGTCCATCAGGAGCACTCAGAGTACTTTAGTTGAATGCACATCAGCAGCAGTAGGTATAAAAGCAGTCTTAACGTTAATAGCAAGCATGTATGGGATCCAATACACGCGCAAACGCGTTGGCTGATAAAGTGCCTAAGAGTATGTATATCAAACATCCTCCTTCACTCTTACTTTCATCTTTGTACGTACAAAATGATGAACCTTTTCAATCTTTATATATGTTGATGATGATGTATTAATCGACTGTTGATGTGCCCCTATCACTTCATTTCCTAAAGATAGTCCAAACAATCAATTCCGTATGAAGAGCACAAGCCCCTTCAAAGTCAAGTAAAGCCAAACAAATGCAAATAAAAAGAGGATCAAAGCGCGGGCGCACACATGGGGGGTAAATCCGTGTTTAAAACAGGGACACTCTCTTCAATTGCCTCTTAATTTGTTTGTCATTTCAATCTTGAAAAAAAAAATGCGCTAATTATAGCCAGCGCGCGGAGGAGGAGGAAGGAGGACAATTTTGAACTCAAGTGCATTTAAGCGGTCATGAATGATTATTGCAAATTGAACTCAAATTCAAAAAAGTGTTAATCAACTCACAAGCCCCTCTCTTCTTAATCCTTCAATTGACGGTCCGCTATCATCATGACGAATTTTCGTTCCTTTTTCGGAATCTTTACAGTTTTGATATAATGTATCAGATCAATGACAATCTTACTTCTTGGCCTTCTTGGCCTAGATAGATTATTTACACGTAAGAATGTTCATCATGACAGCTACCAATGCCCCCGGAAAGATATCTGCAGTGCATGAATGTGCATATTCTCACTTTAATTAATACCAAACCTTTCTCACGCCTTAAGAAAAGCACATCCTTAAGATTACTGACAGTTTAGATCAGCTCGGAAAATATCTTCATGTGAAAAATTGAGGACCCGACGTACTGATTGTCTTTCTTCAAATGATGATAAGATTAATAATGCCACAAAACAGTATAATGTACAAAAACTTGATTGCGCAAACAGCCTTTACCACTGTTTTCAAGGTAGAGGCTCTGCTGAAGTACTCAATCGATTCAAATGCAAATATGCATCTGTTCCATATCCCTCCATACTGATCAACTTTAGATCACCTCCAAAGTATCGAGCATAAAGTCTTGCTAACGGTAAACCATATCCAAATCCAGCCATTGGAGCTTTAAAATCTGAAGCTTGGAAATCCGGATCTAAATCTTCCGATTGTGCAGTGGTATACATGTACGTCCAAACCAATGGCATCTCACTACGTGGAATACCACCTCCTTCATCGCTAATTTTGATCGTAATATCTTCTTGTCCTTCAACGACAATCACTTTGATTGGCGGATAATGATCTTCATTTTCCACTCCATACCGTTCAACAACGGCACGTAATGAATTCTTGAGTAATTCGAAAATCATGTGGTTCAAATGACTTGGGATGTACATGAACATCAAATTCTTCGGGCAGATTAGCTGGACTGGAGGTCCCTTGAAAAGTCCATAATGCTCTTCACATACAAATCGTGCATTTTCGATTGCTTCTCGTGCCATTGCACCAACATTTGTGTTTGTGCAAATGATACCAACGTAATTTTCTGGCTCTTCACCATCCGGACCGGCTCCAGATAGAGCGCCCACTCTCCCTGCTGCTCCACGATCGCTGGAAGGCGTTCTTGCTAAAGCGATATGCTGTCCGATCAAGATACGAATACCGATACGAGACATGTAGAATCTGTCCAAGAACCTCTGTACATCGGCTTGGATATTCTTTCCCTTATTTGCACGCTTGTATTCCAACACACCTTGTGCCACAGTTGTCACCACAGCATCGTGTCTTTTCTTGATTTGTTCGAGACATCGTGTGAATTGTTCATTATAATCAGTCACCTCTGGTGGGACTTGCTTTATGTTGGCGTGATCAGCGTAATATCGATTTTCGATCGGTATTCTTTTTCGTAGACCATTTCCGTTTCCATTATTATTTGATGATTCTTCTGCCAATGCTAATGCACGCTTTCGCATTCTCTCCTTACTTGCCTTTGCTTCTGCATCGTGCCTTCCATCCTCATGTGATTCAGCTTCTTCGCTCAAGCTTGGATTGGGTGTGGATGACGACAAATTCATTGGATTCTGTGAGATTGAATTTGCCAGCTGTTTTGTGATTGAATCAGGTAGTTGAGGTTTAGGGAAATCGACCAATTCTTGAAAAGATTGAGCGTACCATTCCTTTACACGCACAATACTGGGCATCTCATTCAAGCCGTTCGGTAGTTCATCTAGCTCTTTGACACGATGTGCCAAGCGTACAGGCAATTCTTCGCTCAAGAATTGTCCTGCTTGTAAGATTGTCATTGGGGATTGTCTACGTCCATGTTCCACCATCTGCCGTAGAGATACACCTGTTTGATTATATAGTGAAAAGTGATTCACACGTTCCCATAGTTTGGGTGTGATCGAGAACCTCCTTGCGGCCATTTTGACGACCTTTCACCTCCCCCAAATATTCTCGATGGAAGTAGATCAAGTGTATGCTTTGCTAGGTTACTCCTGATCTTGATGGGATGGGAATGGATTGTGTATATGCTGCAGATCCAAACCTTGTTTATTTTGTCACCCGTACTTCCTTACACTACTTTTGAGGCCTTGATCGAATTTACAGTCCTTCTGATGTGATGGTCAGAGAAAGAGAGCAATGTAGTCTGAAGAGAAAGGAGAATGAGAGGAATTGGAATCTATTTGTGTGGGGAGACATTGATTGACTGACTCACACGCATTAAAAGTGATAAAATATAGCGGCGTACGTATCGGCTTAAGAATGAAGCATGTACCAAAAGTGCATGTGAGAACAGAAAAGACTGATAAAGTGCTGTCCCCACGCACGCATAATTAGCCGGAAATACACCAAGCGAGACAGCCCGAATATTGACTCCACTTTCAACACTGATCTAGCGCCCAATTTTAAGCTCTTCCTTCGATCATATCTTCCCGGTCTAACCGATAGCAATCACTGCTCAAGGCTTGACTATCACCACATCAACTTCAGCTCTCAATTGATGGCAGTTGAAATCTTGTTCGTCAGAATCTGAACATTTTCTTCAACAATGATGACTTCTTTCCTGGCTTATCTCTATCGCGGTGATCATCTATCGGCTTTTTGCCTTTATGATCAAAAGCTGGCTTGCCTGAATCACCATCTTGAACAGTATGAATAACTGCAGTTGGAGCATGAATGAGAGAGATGCTCTTTGCATTTACGCCTGGTCGACAAGGCGGAGGCTTGTTTGGCCTGATTTCATGAAGGACCGTAATGCTAGGTGATTTTACACCTGGTCGACATGGAGGCGGATTGTTTGGCTTGCGCTCTTGAATGCTCTCTTCCACTTCTTTCCATTCTCCTAAGCGAGACGTTGCATTGGAAGTCATGAACATAATCTGGAAGAGTAATGTGATAAGGAAGATAGCTCGCATAACTATCGAGACGATGTCCTTATAAGAATAGAAAGTATTGTATGATGTCACTAAAAGGGTAGTCCAAACTTAATTGTTTAAATATTGCATTCGAGCACAGCATTGACAACAATCATAGCAAAAATATATTCACCCTCTACGCCAAATTGTCAAGATGACTTGATCGTCTCACTTCGCAGCCCCGAATCAGCTTCTGGCTCAGATGGTACCTCATCGGGTGTATGACTGATACAATTTGATGACTAGAATGACAAATTGTGATACAGGACATTTGAGAGAAAAAGGATTATTAATAATTTTGATCAGAAAGTGATGCTATTTAGCCACTCTTGCGACGTTTGTCGTCATGTGCATCGCTTCCGGGCTTTTTTGTATGATCTGTATTACCGGATTGACCGGAGTGACCTGAATGACCTGATTGACCAGACGTACCACCTTGTCTCTTTTCACCTCCATGTTTTGAATCATCTTTTGTTACCCATTCTTGAAAACTGAATTTCGAATCTAAAATCTTTTCTTGTTCTTTCTTTTCGGGCTTTTTACTTGAAGGTGCGCCTGCTGCCATACCGGCGATCAAGACGGCCGCAATGAGTGCAATTGTTGAGAATTTCATTGTGTGCTTTTGATTCGACAAGGAGAGAGCAATCCTTCAAAAGTAGTAAAGATGAGAAGTTGAGGAGAAAGAAATGATCAAGTCATCTCAAACTACTTGAGTACAAATACACATTTCTATAAAGAAGGCAGTGCATTGTGAAAAGATGAAAGAACCAGCAGGGTAACCTGGCATTACAACTCTTTCACGGATGACTGCTTGCATTGTTGAATGTAGTCTAACCATATTGTGTTCGTGGCTGAGGTTGTGTATCGGCTTGCAAGCGTGAAACTGTGTTAATGTGGCTGTGAGCAGTTTGAAAAAAAAACAATCGTTTGCTTTCATAAATGACATCCCAATGAATGCGTAAAGACGTTCAAATGTTAACACAATTGCGCTCTGTTTTCAAATGTGTATGAAAGAGATTTATTTATTAGACAAATGATGGAGCAATTCATCAGTAGGCTGAGTATGTTATTCTTTTACAGCTTTTGTGTATGAATTGTTGGTTGTGTTTTGTGTTTTTGAATTGCAGTTCAGCTTCGCATTCTGAAACCGCGGCTTCTGTTGCCCCTACAATACTATGTTTAGTATATGAACGGGATCAACCTCCATCGTTCGCTCAAGAAGTCATCATACCGTTTTCCGAAATGAGCTTTCATCATTGCTTCTTCGTTCGGGATACGAAAAAGTAAGAGTAGCGAAGTGAACACTACAATTACGTACGCCGAAATGGTCAGATTGACTGTTAAGAAGACGGAATGCAGATTATCGAGACCTATCACTTTAAGGAAGGTTGAATTGACAAATGGGCGTGTTGATAGCCCATCTAAGAAAGCGTTGTAGGGACCCATAAGAGCGCCTGCAAGAGTCCAAGCGGATATCAGCATTGCTGTATAGCTAGGATGTGCAAGATATCTGTAAGGACCGGTAGTGATTAGCTTTTGATCCTCGGATACTTTGAGACCAAATGTGAAAGATTTCTTCAAAGTCTGATAGCACCATATACGCATTGCTCCTGAAAGTATCGCGAATAAATTGAAAGCGAAAGCTTTTTCCGAAACAGATGAAATTGGCAATCCACTGTAATGACGATAAATGATATAAAAGCCTTGACCTATTCCGCTAAGTAATGCGCAATGTTTTGTTAAAAAGAATTTCACCTTTATCAACCTTGAATAAATGGAATTACGAAAAACGATATCGCCATCATAATTTGGAGTAGAAGAACTAGCGTTTGGAATTGCAATTAGCTTGTTTCTTGTCTTCGATGGATCACTTTCGCCATGATAGACAGCAATGCCTGCAAAACAGGATGTCATGGCATACAAGATCACCAACAGAGTACTTGCACCGTCATAAGTCATCTTCAAAGTCGAGTAAAGTATCCAAGATGAAGTTTGTTTGCACGGATCGATGAGTGTTTCTTCTTCTTCACAAAATGATAGGCGGCCCGTTCTCAAAGGGCGTAACAGAAGTGTGGGACCGCACTACGGCCGATTAATGAGGGGTCATAGCTCAGAAGTCGGCTTAATCGATGATGCGATCCTTAGGCAAAAACATAGAAGCTAGTGGTGAGGCTGTAAATAATCATAATTGCAGCGTTGGTGGTAAAAAGTGATACTTATACTAGTACAGAAAGGGAATAACATGCCACCGTTTCCGGAGAAATTCATCGTAATGCTTGCCGAAATGCTCTCGCATCATTGCTTCTTCACTGGGAATACGAATGAAAAAGATGACAGAACTTGTCAAAATGCTGGAGTATAGTGCCATAAATAAGTTGAAAGCCAAAAAGATTGATCGAGGGTTGTCAAGACGAATGGTTGTAAGCCAGAATGAATCTGAAAAAGGTTGATTTGATATCCCGTCCAAGAGAGCATTATAAGGTCCCATCAAAGCGCCAAGTAAGCACAAGGTCGAGCATATCATAGCTGTATAACTCGGATGTGCTAGATACTTGTAAGGTCCTGTTGTGATCAACTTTTGATCTTCATGCGTTTTAAGCTTGTATGTGAACGATTGTTTCAATGTTTTAAAGCACCAAATACGCATACCTACACAAGTGATAGCGATCAAGTTGAACATTAAGGCTTCCATACCTGGATTATAATGACGTAAAATCATGTAAATGCCTTGGCCAAAACCATTCATTAGCCCTCCATATTTGACGAAAAAGAATTTAACATGCAAACTTTTGAAGAGGAAAGTACTGCTGTAGAGACGATCGTCAACGTCTTTCGTGGTACGAGAGGTATTTGGAGGAGTTGAAAGGAATTTGATCTTTGTATTCGAAGGATCAACTTCGCCTAGGAAGACAGCTATTCCGGCAAGACAAGAGACGATAGCTTGCGTCACAATGATAAGAGAATTTGCAAACATCTTCATCGATTTCGGGATAGATGGACTGGTGGGAGAAGATTTGACTTGATCTAACATCATCTTTCTCCTTCTTTGACTTAGAAGGCCAATTCGGCCCGCTTTTACTGGCGGCGTTGCGTCAAATGAGATAATTGGGAGTCAGATCTTAGAACTAATCATTAACCAAATCATGCTGAACGAACCGTTTCAAGAATGATATACATTAGAACAATCGCGTCAATACCTTTATGCGCATTATCTTTATGAGCATTATCTTTATGAACATTATCTTCATGGTACAGATGAAAAAGTGCATAAATCACAAAGATATAACAAATTTGACTAATAGACAAAAGGGATCATTCGCCAGCGTTTGCTCAAAAATTCGTCATATCGTTTGCCAAAATGAGAACGTAACATTGCTTCTTCATCAGCTATACGAAGATAAGTGATAAAGTAGAAGAACCAACATGTTGTATAAACCGCACCTGCCATTGTGAATGTCAAAAAGATCGATCTTGGTGAGTCGATGTGCAACAATTTGAACAATGTTAAATCGATAAAGGGTTTATCTTCCAATCCATCCAATAAAGCGTTGTAAGGTCCCATCAATGCTCCATAAAGACTGATCAAAGTTAGTAATAAGCCGGTATAGTTGGGATGTGCCAAATAGGTATATGGGCCTGTTGTGATGATCTTTTGGTCTTCAGTCACTTTGAGCTTGTATGTGAATGCTTGTTTCAATGTATGATAACACCAGATTCTAAGCAAGAAAGCAAAGATTGCAATCGAATTGAATGCAAGTGCTTGATTGGCATATGGCGATAAAGGTAATCCATTATAATGACGCCACAAGATATAAACTCCTTGCAAAATTCCACTTGCCAAAGAAACATATTTGACGATGAAAAATTTCAAAGTCACAATCATACGAGAAAGTGGAAAATTGAAAATGCGATCGTGGTATTCTGTAGCACGAGATGTACTACGTGGAACGGCGATGATCTTGTTGTTCGATTGTGAGGGATCAAATTCGCCAAGATAAACGCATGTGCCTGCTAAACAGGACATCAAGCTATAAAGTGCTACTTGCACAAAACTGCTGTCGATTGGTAACATGATGGGTGGAGTTCGTTTGCGATGGAGGTTATCGAGATGGCTGTGAGAGAAAGGAACGAGAGAGGAAAGACTCGGAGTCCTCCGAATGCAATACCGGAATGGACAACAAACTTCTCAAAATGTCCGCGAATTCCTAAAATGACATATTCGTGCTGAGAAAAGACTCTGGTACTCCTCCGCTCCTTTCAAAGGGGTGCGCCACGAGGGGACGGCTCCGTGAATTAGTTATGGGAAATGACAAACCTCCTCAAAGCTACATTACAAATGTATCAGTGGATTGTATTGATATGCTGAATTGAGAATACATCTTACGTGGGTGCTCGATTGTGCTTTCTTCTAGTCTAGACCGGACAAGTTATCCGACTGCCGTGATGGCTCAGAGGCATTGGCTTGTTCCGGTAATTTTTGTTCTGGGGTAGATGCCTTTTTGGGAGTTGTTGGTTTGGTCTCTGCAGCAGCACGAGGCAGCTGAGGTGCTTGAGGTCGAACATCATTTTGACCTGGCAAATTGGCAACAGCGGCTTTTCCTGAGCCTGTGCTCTCCCCTTCCGCTCCTGAAGCAACCTTTTTGGTTTTCTTCTTTGGTGGAGGTACATCCCAAGCCCATAATGGAATGAAGGAATCAACAAATCCAACATCTTCGAACAAGTTTGGGAAGATCCAAATACCTGGTCGAACAGTGACAGAAGTAATTGCCCATAGGATCAATCGAATGATTGCCAAACCGAAAAAGGCACCAATCAATCCCAACATTCCGATACTCAAATACCATACACCAACACGCATCTTTGTCGGCCATAGAGGGAACATGACACCTGCCAACATCAGTAAGATCATACCGAAACCTGATAGCTGCAGCATCAATTGTGAACCTTCATAGAACCATGCGTAGTACTGTAAGATAGAAAGTGAGTATTTGTTAGAGTCCTTTACTGTGATCTATCTTAACACAACCAGCTACTCACCAATTCCGGTTTGAACATCTGCATTTGATTGATCTGCAACGGTCTGCCTTCCTTTGAGCTGACATCAGCCCGATCACAACGCAAGAAAAAGGTGAACGGGATCACGCTATGCAAAACCTCAGCAGCCTGTTGTTCTGTTTCAACTTTTGGTAACTCGGAATTCTTTGCATTTGAAGCTTTTTGATATGCAGGCGATAAAAGTGCTTTTACAGCACCTGATCCTTTGAAATAATCATGTCTCTTTCCGTTCAAAAGTCCAACTTTTGTCTTTGGTCCATTTGAACTGCGTAAAAAGTTGACCAAAGATCGAATTGACTTTGGAGCAGATGCTTGTGACTCCATCTTTGATTTAATAAATGTGAGATGTGGTGGTCAGAAGGATGAATGCAGTACGCACTTCAATTCGTAAGAATCAAGAATGTCCGAAAGCTTCTCTGGCTAATGATTGCATCTTGCAGCTTTGATGACACGCACTGCTTAGATGCATGCATTAAATATTCCGCCAGCTAAAGGCGTAGGCGTCGTTGCATAAAGAACAACAGGGAATGCAACGAGGGGGGCACACACGTGATTGGGGGCAGTATTTTACGCGTAATTGATTGCTTACGCTTGACAGATTAAGCCTCACACTTCTGTTCAGGCCAAAGAGCAACACGCGATCAACACTCAAATCAGCCTTCACGCGTAAAGCATCAGTACAACACTTTATATTTTGATATGCATAGCAACAACAACAACTCCGAATAACGACCATCAACATCGACCAAGATGTCGTCTTCGCAAAGTGATGGCGGCAATGCGATCGCTTCAGAGGAAGGTCGTTTCTCTTTGGCAGACGAGCTTGTGGCGCATAGAGATGAAAATTATACAATCACAAACGAATTAGAAGCAAGCTCGCTAGGAGATCATTTAGACACACTCGTTGATACTTTGAGCTTATCGCCATCTTCTATCGATACAGAAGAGATCTTTGATCATATCAAATCATTTCTACAGCATTTTGCAATCCTCAAAGGTCCGCAAAGAAGCAAATTGCTCGATTCGCTTTCTTCAGCATATGTGGTACAATTGGATGCAGCAACACGAGATCTCGAAAGTGAGGGAATAGAGAGATACAAAGAACATTCAGAGACATTAGAAAAGTATGCATTTGCCATGCAATGGTTCATTCATGCTGCAGAAAAGGCATTTAACAGTCGTGAAGAACGAGCAGCAGCTTCAGCTGGAGGTGCAAATACAGAAGCAAGAGGTAAAGGTGCAAACAAGAACAAAAACACTTCCTCATCTTGGGACTGGCAACGATCCGTACCTGCTGTCCTTGCTACATTGACAAAATCTTTACGTCTTTCAACTTCAATCTTGTTCCCGCTTTCGGCGTCTCGTGATGCTTTCGTTTCAGGTTGCGTTCTGCGTCCAGCCCTTCTTTTGCAAGAGAATGAAGCTCATCTCAAAATACCCCTGATCAAGATGAGCATCTTCAAGGTGATCTGTAACAGTGTCAAAAATCATGGTCAAGCGTTTGCAGTTCAAACGAGTATCATGCAAGCTTTGGCCTACTATGAACACTTGCCTGAGCCTATGGCTGAACTTCTCACATATCTCCGTACAGAATTTGATTATGAACGGTTGGGAGATGAAGTATTGCGCGAAGTGGCATCACGCGAATTTGGCGGTTTGGATACCAAAGGACCAAGATGTTTTGCACGCTTTCTCGTTCGAATGGCAGAACTCAGTCCCAGAAGCGTCTTGCGTGTGATGGTCGTCCTCAAGAAGCATCTAGACAGTGATTCGTATCCGATGCGAAATGCAATGCTAGAAGTGCTCGGGATACTGATCAAAGATCTAACAATGACCGATGATGCTATACCCCAACCCTCGGAAGGAGACGGCGCAGATGATAGTGGAGCAAATGGCAACAACTTGAGCTCCCAAGATGACGAAGATGATGAGAATAGACGCGAAAAAGGAGACGCAAGAAAGAAGCAGATCGAACAATTCTGGGGATTAATCTGTGAGCGATTCTTGGACGTGAATAGTTATGTCAGATGCAAATGTATCGCGGTTTGTGCAAAGCTGTGTGAATTGGACGCCAAATTCCCATCTCAACGTACAATCTTGACAACGCAAAGCATCCAATCACTCTCGGATAAATCATCGACTGTGCGCAAGAATGCCATCAATTTGCTTACAAGGTTAATTCTCACTCACCCTTTCGGTATGCATGGTGGTGATTTAGACAAGGAGGAATGGGAAAAACGATTGGCTACCATTGACAATCAGCTCAAAGAATATGATGGTGTGTTGGATGTGCCCAATGAACCAGAGGATCGTACCATACAAGACGAAGAAATGGAATCTGTTGAAGGTGAAGATAAGTCAGACAGTATGGACACAGAAGAGGATGGTGATGCAAGCCAAGAAACTGCTACTGCTGGTGACCAGGACGGAGATCAGACGACCACAGCAGGGAAAGGTGAAGCAAGTTCAGAATCTCGCAAGAAACCTCGTGCCAGCATCGACTTGGAAACTTTGGCTTCGCAGCTTTCACCTGCAGATGCCGAGAAGGTCATTCGTCTGAGATTGACAAGGCGTTATCATACGGATGCCTTGGCTTTTATCGATCAATTGTCATTGGCAGTGCCCACTCTTTCGCAATTACTAGTCTCAACGAGCAAAGCAGAGGTTTTGGAGAGCATGGAATTCTTCCGTGTGGCGCATGAGTATCAGGTGCCTGGAGCACGTATTGGTGTACGCAAGATGATCCATTTGATCTGGACGAAAGATAACAATACCCTCGTCATGGAAGATGGCAAAGAACTGAAAGGAATCAAAAGCCGATTGATTGAAGTGTATAGATCTTTATACTTTGATCCATTGCCCAGCAAGAGTAACACGGACAATATCAATAGAATCGCACGCAACCTCGTCGAGCGAACATTTGACGTCACTCTTGCGGAATTGACAAGCTTGGAGGAATTACTCTCCACAATGTGCGGAGAAGGAATGATTGACGAAAGAGTGATCGACAAGCTCTGGTCTGTTTATTCATCTCCTAAGGCCATCCCTCGTGCTCAACGTCGTGGAGCAATCATCATCCTTTCTATGTTGGCCGTTGCACGAAAAGAGATTGTAGCAGATCATATCGATACCTTGTTGGGAACTGGATTGGGTGGTCTGGGTGCAAAGGATGTCGTTTTGGCCAAGTATACTTGTGTCGCTTTATCACGTGTGGGAGGAAGTGTAAAGAAGGTGAAAGGAGCTTTGAGTGACAACCAGTTACGCTTCCCGATGAATCATCCAATGTTCGCTCGCCTTCGTGCTGCAATCCAATGGCCTTCAACAAGTGGTCAATGGTTCAGCTTGGCAGAGCATGCTATTCAAACAATCTACCTGTTGGGTGAACAGCCAGATGCGCTTTGCTCAGAAATGATCAAACAAATGACTGTCAGGGTGTTTGGATCGTCAGGGCCGAAGATGAGCATGGCAGATAGCGCTTCCGTTCCACCTACGCCGAACTCTCATCTCGGCGAAAGTACGCCAGCTCCAAGTACTTCTGCCAATCGCACGTCCGCCTTTGGGTTGGCTCAATTGTTGTTCGTTGTCGGTCACGTTGCTCTTAAGCAGATCGTCTATCTCGAATTGGTTGAACGTGAATTCAAGAGGAGAAAAGCAGAAGCGGACAAGGAGAAAGTATTAGCCAACAAAGATGCAAACAAGCCAGATGAGAACTCCGCAGAACAGCAAGAAACAACAAAAGGCGCAAAGAAAGGAAAAGGAAGCCAACGTGGAAAGAAGAAAGCGGAAGCTCCTGCTGAAGAGGATGCAGATGAATTAGATCAGGTTGCTGGTAATGCAGAAGATGATATCGGTGATGTAGTAGGAGAAGTTCGTGAAAAGGAACTTTTGTATGGACCCCGCAGTTTGTTGTCGCTATTTGGACCTGTGGTCGTGCATATTTGTTCGAATCCTACAGCGTACAAGAACGACTTCCTTCGCAAAGCTGCTGTGTTGTCGATGTGCAAGTTCATGTGTGTCTCCTCACAATTCTGTGAAGCGCAATTGCCTCTGGTTCTTTCCGTTTTGTCTACCTCACAAGACCCGGTCGTACGGTCCAACATCGTGATTGCATTGGGAGATTGCGCGATCTCTTTTGGTAGTTTGATCGATGAAAACAGCGAAAAGCTCTATGCTGGATTGGGCGATTCGGACCTAGGTGTTAAGAAACACACATTGATGGTATTGACCCATTTGATTCTCAACGGACAGGTGAAAGCGAAAGGTCAATTGGGTGAAATGGCAAAATGCCTAGAAGACGAAGATGAACGGATTGCGGATTTGGCAAAATTGTTCTTTACCGAACTGGCAACGAAGGATAATGCAGTATACAATAATTTGCCAGATATTATCAGTCATCTCAGTATCGGAGAACATGCAGTTGATGAAGAAACATTTGGACGTGTGATGCGATTCGTTTTCACATTCGTTGATAAGGAAAGACAAGCAGAAAATGTTGTTGAAAAGCTTTGTCAACGATTCAGAATTTCTCCAGAAGAACGTCAATGGCGTGATATTGCATTCTGTCTTTCTTTGTTACCGTTCAAATCTGATCGTTCAATGAAGCGATTGATCGAAGGTCTACCATTCTATCAGGACAAGTTGTATGACCCAACAGTATTCAAACGTTTCACGGAAATTCTTACAAAAGCAAGGACCAATAGATCCAACAATCCCGGTGGCGCTACTTCCTCAGCATATGAAACAGAGTTGCAAGAATTCGAACAGATTCTTGAATCGGCTCGGGCACATGGTGCTCAAGATGCTGAATTGGAAAGTGCAACTCAAGCCAAATTAGCCCGTGCTCGAAGACGTCAAGGAGGCAAAGGTGCACTACCGTTAACTTCTGATTCTACAAACGTTTCACCCGTCAAACCAACCAGTAAAGCATCTGAACCCGCTGCTGCCAAATCTAAAGCAAAGAAACCTTCCGCTACTGCTGCAGCTACGAATGCTCGCTCTACTCGTCGAACGACACGCAGGACACGCCAAGTGATCGAAGATGAAGACGAAGACTTTGACGAGTAGAGAGGATGGTGCGATCGTGATTGTATAAACATATGTGGACAATGTATAAATTTTAATTAGATTTTCTTCATACATATTTGATTCGTTATGGGAAGAGAGAAGAAGAGAGAGAGACTAGTCGTTAAGGTTTTCATGAATCAATTGGTTCGTTATTGGGAAGACTATTTGTCAGGTAATTCATCGATATGTTGAACATTCACTTCAGGAACGTTTCCGTTCATCTTTCTACGGAAAACAGCAGAAGCATAATACACTTTGATGCGTAAACGATTGATTGATCCCAATGGTTTCAAGTCCTTTCTACCATCCCAAGGATTGATACGAATATTGTTTCTCCAAAGGTTGATTCGTTCGGGTAAGAATGGATCTTGAGGTGGAATTGTGATCTTTGCGACCGTTTCGAATGGGTATTTGTCTTCTGGCCAAGCAGTACGACAATCTTCAATTAATTGATCATCAAGGTTTTGCAATAATTGAACTTGGAAATCAAATTGAGTTTCACCTTTTTCTTCTTTCATATACTTGACCATTCGATCACGATAGGCTACTGCGCCATCATCCTTTTCTGTAATGTTGTCTTGGTTCGTCTTTGTCAATTGAGGAGCATTTTTGCTTGGAACGATGGCGAATTTTGCAACATAATCACCATAACGATAAGCGGATTGTGAATATTGTTTTTGACTGAGAAGAGGTGTTGTCGGAAGATGATTTCTTGCATCTTGACATTCATAATCATCACGCTTTTTCAGTTCACGTTGATGTTCTTTTGGATCTGTATACTTCAAGCGTAAGTTAAGAATATCTCTGCAAATGAATGCATTTCCGAGCTCGATAGCAGGAGCAGAATTGAATTCGAAATCGTGCGTTTTATGATTTGGCATACCTTCTCGAAGTTTTTCGCCATCAACGTCAAACACTTTCATTCCGATTCCACGTGGTTGAGGTAGATGATCGGGTACTAAGTCAGTCGTTTCTGTACTGAATCGAAGTGCAACGGGATGAGAGCCAGGTTTGGCAAAGAAACTTTGAGCGAGATGCTCTGGTAAATTTGGCAAGACTTCAAAGTTACCCTTTACAACACCATGTGTTTTGACATGTGTTCCTGTAAAAGCATGTTGATGTTCGTTAAACACTCTTCTTTGTGATTCGTTGATCAATTTACAGCATTCATCAATCGCTGCTTCTTCTTCCGGTCCAGCTCCGTGCTCTACGCCTGGTTGATCCCAACGAATATAATTTGGAGACATTTTGTTTGAGGTGATGGTCAGAAAGGAAACAAGACAGAGTCCATCTTGAACCTAATCAAGAGGACTGATTATCTCCACATTTTCTGAGAGAAAGGGGAAGAGGTGCTTGCATTTCCGAAAAGAACATCATCAGTGTGTAATCGAGATTGCCTTTAAGTTCATTGGTGCTTCTAAAGCGGGGAAAGGGCGCTAGGACCCTGTGCGTGGGTAAAAAAGCAAATGCCGACGCTAAGAATAAGCTGGAAGTGCACTTCATTCTACCATAATCACAACAATGGATCAAACTACAATTCCAATAAGGCCAAGCAGATCAGATCGATTAACAACGTACTTTCGTAATCCAGAATACCTGAGAGCCGTTGGAGGTCAATTAACACAATATACAGTCTTGGATTATTTCAGTAAATCGGATTACTATGAACAAGGATGTAATAATGCAGTCTTGCAAATGCAATCAGCCGCAAGTAACTTTCCAGTCCCTCATCCGGGAGAGATGCAGAATGGAGCCTTAGAGGGAACAGGTCTATCCGCTTGGGAAAGAAGAAATGATCCGTTCACCATCGAACAAGAGTTAAAACGGTTCACAGGCTTAGAATATGTACTCGTTCATGCAAAACAACCGGATCTTTTCGTGATTCACAAACGCTGGCGATCTTCTCCTACAATTACAAACACTTTGGAAGCATATTATGTCTTACAAGGAAACATAACAATGGCAGCAGATATCCTTGCAATTTTGGGCAACAAATTCGTTTCAACCGTTTCATCTCTACAACAAAGTTTGGAAATCGCAAGAAATGCTCAACCTGATTTTAATCCGCGTGAAGGATATGCATGGAGAATTGCAGCTGAAGCACAACCAGAAGATACAACGGAAGGAGAAGATGAGCAAAGTGTGGATACACATCCAAATCAATCACAACGTGAAGAAGTGATGGCACAAGTAGCAAGCCAAGTCGAAACAGCCTCTTAGCAGTCCCATTAATTTGTACGATAACACACTGTATAGTAAGCAATCCATGATCAAAAAAGACAAATCTATTAGATAGTAAACGATACAAATACAATCAAAAGCATGAGCGAATCCTTAACCGCGCAAAAGACCATCCAGAGCGTCTTGCATTCGTTGCATATCCTCACGCTCTTGATCGTCATCCACTGCTTCCTCAGTAGCCGGCGCTTTGAGTTCGGGTAGACCTGCAGTAGTTGAACCCAATTTACCATCTGTAAGTTCAAATAGTACTTTATCCACTTCACCTTCTGCCTCTTCTTCCAATTCGTCTTCATCTTCTCCCAAAATCCCTGAATCAAGTGTATCATCCATCATTTCTTCCATAATTCCGGCTTTCATCATTTCTGCGCTCATTTCACGCATAACTTTTGAAACTTGAGGAAGTTTGACGAGTTGATTTGAAAGTTTCATAATTTCGGTAGATTTTTGCATACTCCCGGTAACCTTGTACATTGCTAATTGATGTTGTAATTGCATATTTATACTGTTCATTCTTGCTTTTGAAGTTGCTAAACGATTTTTTTGTTTTTGACTTCTTACAACTTCTCTTGCGAGGATCTTTGCACTCTTTACATCACCTTTTTTTGCTAACCTTTTCACTTCTGCTTTTGCTTTACTCGTCGCTCCGTCTATCTGTCTTATCTCTCTGTCTAATCCTCTTTGTTGACTGCGTAATTGAGATTGAACCTGCTTCACCCGTTCTGTGGAAAGAGATGGAAGATTGTTCAGATTAGCGATCTATTGAAGAATCAAGACGTCAATCACTTACCCTCCTGTGACGGTCCAAACAGGAACCGATTAACACTCTGCATGTTGTCCAGATTCCTTTACTGTATCGTCTCAAAAGAGATTGATGTGATCAGGATCAAGATGGATGTCAAGTTGCAGATGAGAATACAAACAACACAAGCATGCATTGAAAGATGCACAGATTGATACACACAGTCGGTAAACAAAGTGGAGCCTTTTGCGCTGGGCTGGGCGTGCAAGCGTGCGTGCTTGCGTATGCTGCTCTTGCTTTATTGCGCGGTTGGGCACCTTTAAGCATAGCCCCGAGCAGCAACAGCTCAGGATGCCTACGCTCTTTACAGGAGTACAAGACGCAAAGATTGAGGAAAATAATATGGTATTGAAGATTTTAAAAAACAAGAAAGGATAACATACATCATCATTCATCTCTAAGTCGTCTGAGATCCCGTTGCCAGGCGTTTCAAGTGTTCCAAGAATACTTGCAAGCTAACATCATCCGTAAAGATCGCAGCTCCTGCACCTCCAGAGCCATACATACCACCCGACATATGCGTTGTACTTGGGTTCAATTTACTCAACAAGAAACGTGCTTGAGAACCACCTGCATCACACAAAACAAAACGTGGTACTGGTAAACGATCTTCTAGCAAATCTTGTGCATCCCTTTCGGGTGCTTCCAATTGTTCTTTGAATCCTTCGTATCCTTCTTGATCTTGATATTTTGCATCACGCCAAGCAGCAACCGTTGAACCTGACCAAATCAATACATGGAAATAGGTATCGAGTAATAATCTCTTATCATCTTGAATCGAAACCGAATCCAATAACACTGGAACAGGTTCTTCTCCGACACCATAAGACATCAAAGTAGGTTGGATCATGATCAAACTATTGTTCACATCCTCTGCGTTCAGCACATGTCGGTAGTATGCCGTTTCATCTGGACTGCTGTTAAACACTTGCATGAATGCCGAACGACGAAGGTGGAACATGAATTGCGGATAAATTGAAAGGACTTCAGGCAAGCGGAAGGAAGAGGGATCTCCTCGATGATCGGCATGCTTTTGACAAAGTCGGATCAACATACGATCCAACCAGCGTAAGACATCCGGTGAATCATCAACTTCAGCCTTGAAGACGGCAATACGCGCCATAAGGACTGCCGCTGCTTCTTGATCAAAGGATGCTGTAATTTGAGGCGATCCACTCTCACCAAAGCTTCTGGCAACGGTGGTAACACGTAAGCGGTATGATCCATTGGCGTGTTGGTAATGGGTGACAAATTGAATCAAACCACGCGAACCAGGTTGCAATGGCTGGCCTGCAGGTGTGACCACTTCAAAGTACGCTCCGATCGAAGTTCGCGGTGTGATACTGCACAACTTCCATGCAGATGTACCACCAATACCGATCTCAGTCTCACCCACCGATCCAGACTTTTTGTTGGACGAGATTGCATGACCGATCAAACCGCTAACCTTGAGCTCCTTGGTACATTGGATATCCAAAGTAGCATTGAAACCCATGTTGAGATCTCCCTTTTCATCCTTGTTAAAGATGCGCTTGAAGCTTTCCTTGAAAATACCCATTTGGAAAGAATCGGCTTGAATCATGTATCCGTTTGTGTAATTGGCCAATGACTTCATTTCGAGCAAACCGACTTGATCTAAGCAACCAATAAAGATGTCAATTGCATGACCATTGTTGGCCGAACGACGTGCCAAAGATTCGTAGAACTTGAGAGCACGCTTGTAGTGACGGGCAGCGTCCTTGTCAATGTCATTGTGAGAACGTAGACGATCACGTAGTTCAGTCGAAACGACATTACCCGGACCTTCGGTACCTGGACCACCACAGAAGAGCATGATCCTTGCACCTGTGTTCAAGTACATGGTCTCCAACATACCCACTGCAACGCTGAGTGCTGTACCAGTGCATCTTTGAGAACGTTTGTCATTTGCTACAGGCCAAGGATCTTTTTGCAACTGTTCCAAGATACTTGTCAATTGATATTCACATTGACTGACGGGCAACAAGAATCTGCTTGCACCGAATGAGCCTTGTTGAGGTCTTGGCGCTTGACCGCTGGAAGGACCGCCGGCGCCTTGAGCTGGTGGACGAACAACATTGCCTCCTGATAAGCCAAGCATGTCTTGAATGGACTTTGGTGCGTATTCTTTTGTACCACGGAAGACATAACTCTTTGGGCAGGCGTCATAGCCGATTTCATGCACTTGAGCCATAGTACCGAAAGTGATCAAACCAACCAGAGCATTGGGAGGCAGCAGGCTCAAACTAAGCACCAATGATTCCCTCAATGCTTTCAAATCATCCTCTTCGACACAAGTGTCAACGACGTACAAGAAGATTGGTGGAACTGGTGCAGGCCTGCTGAGGATGTAATCGATTGTTGTGTATTTTGGCAATACTTCTGGTGGTAAATTTGTATTGCTAATATCACGATAATGGGGAGGTAAAGCGTTTCTTGAAAGACAGAATGGACAGATCCACAGTTTACCTCGCATATCAATTTGACAATACGGATTCAAGACAGCACGACAAGGAGGTTTGCATGTTACGGGTTCATAAGCAACAGGTGGTAATGAAGCTCTTTCTTCGCTCTCTTTCATTGGTGTATACAAGGCAGAGATTGGAACGACAGTACGTGTTGCTTCAGCTTTTGTTGCTGGCCAAACGTTCCAAGAAAGGCGAACTCCATCGCGATCTTCCACATCGTCGACATTCATCTTGTCAAAAGAAGGAGGGTGAAGCGGGTTAAAGATGGTCTGATGTGAAGAGAGGAAGAAGATACTTTCCCGTCGTGTGCAATCTGTTTGATTGAGAGTAAAGCACACGTCCGTCCATGCATTTTAGCCTACATACGTGGCTCTTCCTTCGCGGGCTGGCTGTTGTTGGTCTCACAGAGCCTGGAAGAAATGCTTGGGCTAAACAAACAAGCTAGGCTTCTAGCACGCGCTTGGCTTCCCTCCCTGCTTGCTTCCTTGCTGGCGGCGCATTTTAGAGTTTATTCAGAGACAGAAGACTGATCAACAACAGGCCCTCGCTACACGTGTTCCATATGATGGATGCTGGACAAGTGTTGATATAGAATAGAGCATGTAATTGAGTGCATGGATCAATCTTATCTCAATGATTGTGATCATTAATGTACAGAACTGTGTCTATCAGCATGCACAGCCATGTGCTCAAGTCGAACGACCAAGTCCGATTGTACGGAATTGATCGGCATAGTAACCTCCCCTTTTTGGTAATGACTGGGCGTGAAGGAAGAATCAAAAGGGCTGATTGTTTACGCCCGGGCGCACTGCACACACAGGTTGGTGTATCCGTGTTTTTAACGGAATATTGTAGGCGGCGTAAGAGAAAAAAACGCCTTTAAGCAGACAGAAGAAATAATTAGCAGCTTTAGTGCCGCCTTGACGACTCCACCTATACAGTAGTAGTAGATGTGGGTAGGCAGGGATGGAGAATTCTTCTCATTCAAAACTTTCTTACCTTTCATCCATACTCTAATTTGGACATACTTTACCCTTTCCCTTACAACGAGGAGAATAATCCATCGTCATGTTAGCTGCTCGTCGTTGTTTGAGCGGTCGTACGGCAGCCACTTTACCTCGCCTTTCCGGTAATGTGATCAGCCGTCGTTCGCTATCAATCGCACCAAATGCATTACGTTTGGCAAACAGTTCACATTCATCAAATTTGAAGGCTGACCTATCGAGCGCTCCTCTAATGGTCTCTCAACGTTCCAATTTCCATGTCTCTGCTTTGCAAATGGCTGAAACCGTCAAAGTTCCTCAAATGGCAGAAAGTATTTCAGAAGGTACACTAAAACAATGGAATAAGAAAAAAGGTGATTACGTCAACGCAGATGAAGAAGTTGCAACGATTGAAACCGACAAGATTGATGTTTCTGTTAATGCACCCAAATCCGGTACTATTGTTGATACATTCGCCAATGAAGAAGATACCGTAACTGTTGGACAAGATTTGTTCTCAATCGAAGAAGGTGAAGCACCCGAAGGTGGATCTAGCGGAGGCGCTCAAGAAGAGAGCAGCGGAAAGGGAGAAGAAGAGGATGGAAAGAAGAAGGAAGAGGAGCAACAACAACAACAACAAGAACAGGAACAAAAGCAAGAACAAGAACAAGAACAGAAAGATCAACAGAAACAACAAAAACAAAAGCAAGATGCACAAAAGAAAGAGCAACAACAAAAGGATACAAAGAAGTCAAGCGAAAAGAAACCTGAACCATCTTCCAAATCTCAATCATCTTCTGCTAAATCCGAACAAGCTCCTTCTCAACCCGGATCGCGCGAAGAACGCAGAGTAAAGATGTCACGTATGCGTTTGCGTATCGCTGAACGTCTCAAACAATCACAAAACACTGCTGCATCTTTGACAACGTTCAATGAAGTAGACATGTCTGCTTTGATGGGATTCCGTGCACGTCATAAAGATCGTCTACTAAAAGAGACTGGAATTAAATTGGGCTTCATGGGCGCATTCGCAAAAGCAAGTGCATTGGCATTGAAGGAAATTCCAGCAGCAAATGCAAGCATCGAAGGTGAAGGATTAGGTGATACAATCGTTTATCGTGATTACGTTGATTTGGGTGTTGCCGTTAGTACCGATAAAGGATTGGTTACGCCCGTTGTAAGAAATGTTGAAAGTTTGGGCATGTTGGACATTGAAAGATCCATTGCTGAATTAGGAAAGAAGGCAAGGGATAACAAATTAACATTGGAAGATATGGCAGGATCTACATTCACAATCAGTAACGGTGGTGTATTTGGAAGTTTGTTCGGAACTCCAATTTTGAACTTGCCTGCATCTGCCATTTTGGGTATGCACGCTATCAAGGAAAAACCATGGGTCGTTGAAGGAGGCAAGATTGAAGCTCGTCCAATCATGGTCATCGCATTGACTTACGATCATCGTCTCTTGGACGGTAGAGAAGCTGTCACATTCTTGGTCAAGCTCAAACAATACCTCGAAGATCCAGGCTTGATGGCACTTTAAGCAGCGCTAAACGTATTTCTCTGTAAAGATCAGGGCAAATTTTTCATATAAACCAAATGTCCATTAGATTATTAGCATTCCTGAAGTAAGAAAAATGTCTATGAAAGGCAAGAGAGTAAGTTATGAAGTTTTTCATCGACGGCTTTCTGTTGATCTGCCGAAGCGTCAGGATTGAGGTTTGGAACAGATACAGAGATGGAATTCGTACATCCATGTGAGCTATCTCTGAATACGCTTGATTCAGTCGGAAGCTTGCAAAGCTTTTTTTCGCCGCAAGTACATGTATCAGGACTTGGATCAAGCGTACCAAGGATACGTGTTAATACCCATTTTGACTGAGAAGATTGACAATTGAACTTTGTCTGATCAGGGAAATTAACGTTGAGTAAAGTCCGACTTGGCAATAGGCGTCCTGCTGCTTCGGCTCCCTTATCTTTGTTCACGATAAGTTGATTGATCAGATCAAATGCCATCGCAGCATAAATGTTTGCTTGATCATTGGGGCCGCCAAGTTCTGTGTATTCTCTTTCGGCAGAATCACCTGCTGAAAAGGCAATTGCGGGAATATCTTTTGAAGTGACTGCAAATTTGGCTGCACCATATGTTCCAGAACCGAGGTATGATAAGCCAAGGTTGTTGCCCTGATTTGTTCCAGTGATGACCAAATCAGGATCACTTTTGAAGTAACGTGGACATAATTCGTTCAATCCGTATTCGATACTACTTGCTGGTGTGGAGTTGATGTACCAAACATGATCATCTTTAGGGTCATGTCCTTCTGCTGGAGCACCTGCGGGTACGAGATTGAAAGCACCATTTTTTGCCAATCTTGTAGGTTTGTGTCGCAATCCATCCGTTCCACTTTGTTGCATAGCAGGTGCAGCGATTATGGCATCATGACCAGCAGCTTTGGCGGTGTTGTATAAAGCATGAATATTTGCTGTTCCCCATGAATCATCATTGCCGATCAAGATCTTGAGAGCTGAACAGTATTGCAAGTTGATCAACAAAAGCACAAATGCTATTGATCGAACAATAAATTGTGATCCCAACATCTTCTGGACTTGACTGGAAGTGATGAATGTCAAGAAGGTGTTGGAATATTGTCGGCCTCTTTCTCCAGCGGGAAGGCAACGTGCGGCTAAAATGATGCTTCCTTCTCCACGTCTCTAATGAATGAATGCATACAAGCAACTCGTGCGTCAACGCGCTTGCAGTTCATCTACGCGGCGACTTCAGCGGGTGAGGAAAGAAAGAAAAAGATCAACACTCTTACATGCGTACGTACGCAGAAGGGTATTACGCAATCACTCTTTGCTACCATCACACATTTACAATCAAAACCATATTGCAGCCCTCAATGCTCTTATGACATCTTCCCAGGCTGGTCCTTCGCGGCCAAGAGCATTAGAGCCATTAAGGACATCATACTCTCGTTCAGCAGGAAGGGGTGCGAATGAAGGTTCAAATGCATCCAAAGCATTCATACCTTTGCGACCGAGTGTAAGAGCGGATCAATCAAGTAATAGAATTGCACTGCAATCACAGAATACCCAGAAGAAGGCTCTAGAACCAATTCGTATCACGAAACAGTATGCTGCTCCTGTACAACAACCGTCTGCTAGGAGAGCATTGGAGCCGATCGGAGGAAGGAGAAGTAGATCAGATCAATCGAGCTCTATAAGTGATTCGAGCTGGTCAAATTCGAGCGGAGAGACGAAATCGTATCATCGAAAGAGAGCCCTCGAGCCGATTGAGCCAAGACAAGTTGCACCACGTCCTCAAGACAGGCAGAAGACTGACAAGGCGGACATCGCACCAGTTCAAAAGAGATCTAAAACTCTAGAGCCTATCACAAGACAATCAATACCACGCCTTCAAGACAAACAAGAGGCGGAAATCGTATCTGTTCAAAAGAGAAGAAAGGCTTTAGAGCCCATCAAAAGACAATCAGCGGGTGTGTCTAGTGGAAAATTGATTGCAAATTGCAAGGTGCGAGAGCCTATCAAGTCAAGTACGAACACTGCATCTCCAATTGAAGGCATAGAGGTAGAACAGAGAAAGGTAAATAACAAAGCAATGATCCCGCTTAAATCACGGTTACGAAAGGAGGTGGAAGCTGACAAGAAAAGTGAAGGTGAAAGCAGCCACAGAAAAGTCATGCTTCCAATCCGGCCTAGATCAGCTGTCGATACTGAGGAGGGAAAGAAAGGTAAAGCGCTTGAACCTCTTCGAAGATCGGACAAACAATCCATGGATCAAGTTTGCGCTGGTTCTCGGGCTTACGCAGCTCTTGACCATGCTAGACATGCCACCAAAATTCTGTGTTACGACCTCCAAAGGATGAAGCCATGCTCAAACAAAAACGGAATCTCGCTCGGCACGTATAGTCATCTCAAACGGGAAACCGTATTCGTTCACATTGTTGGGCGTATTGTGGGTATTGAGGAAAAAGATCACAAAGTCAAGTGGCTGATTGACGATGGAAGTGCTGTCGTGGCCGCACATCATGCGTACGATCCGAGACCTGTGGTAGTGCAAAAAGACGTTGAAAGCAAAGTTGATAAGGGCAAACGTCGAGCAGTGGAAGAGACAGTCGATATGGCTTCAGGCATCCCTTCCGAATACATTCGTCCACCAACGCCGATCAAAGTGCCAAAAAGGGAAACAAAGATTGAAGCCATCCTTCGTGCAACTACCAACAACCAAAAATTTAAGCATACTTATCGACATCTACCGATCTGTTCGCTTGTGAGTGTTGTGGGACGAGTAGATTCTTGGTTCAAGGGCGAAATGATCGTTCAGGTCGATCGAATCATTCCGTCTGGTTTCTCAAAAGATGAGCCAACAGTCAGAGCGCCACGCGAAGGGTACATTGAGCTACTCAATAATCCGAACATGGAATCCGAGCATATTCACGATACCGTGCTTCTGGCTACAACGGAGTATGCAAATGATGCAGGAACAGCACCCGCTGAACCACCTCAAGATCAAAGTGTAGCAAACCGGATAAAGGTCGGACCAGCAGGAAGTCGATCAGAAAGACATGAGGAAGCTAATCGTCTGCGCCAATCGAAGAGGAAATTTGATGAAAATAGCACTGAGAGTGAGAAGAAAGAGAAAAGGCAAAACAATGACACAAATACAACATATTCTCCTCGACTATCAGCAGATGTAGAAGCTTCTACCACTTTACCTGAGCAAAGTGCACCACAACGCCGCATGCGAGACTTTCGCAAGATTCCTGATCGGCAAATCAATGATCAATTGTTGCGTATATATGTTCAGAAACATATTTCCGATCACTGTCGTCAACCCCTCGATGCGGAAGATCAAGCTAGAGGGGATTTGCCTCCCACATTCACAATCAATTATCTTCAAACGGTAACCACTTTACGATTATTGGCCGATCGTGTGGTAGACGTTGCGGTGAAGAAACGGGAAGGGAAGAAAAGAAAGATTGAGGCTAATGCTTCAACGTCATCGACATCACATCCTGTCAGAGACGCTGGTAAACGTCAGCGTCTGTTTGAATCAGTGATTCGTAATATAGTGGCCGATGGTATGGTAGTTGTGAGCGATGGCAGGAAGCATCCACCAGTATCGCCTTTCAATGGTGAGAAGCCAAGAGATTTTTCTGAATTCTTACGCTCAAAACAAGGCAAGCTGCTAGATTGGGAAGAAGGAAAGGATGAGCATTCCATGTGCAAATTTACACCGACTGTAGTATCGGGTGATTTTGTTACGGCTAAACAGATGCAAACAGAGGAGGACGTTTCGATGATGCGTTGGAGAGGAAGTCACAAGACGGCACAGAGTAAAGGACAAGAAGTTTATCAAGTGGTCACGCCAACCTTGCTGGCTGATCCGATCCGCGAAGTTGTAGGATTTAAAAGCGGTGAAGCCTTTGATTCTATACCTGCTCATAAGATCAAAGAACGGCTACGATTGCTTGACGATCGTTGGCAGTATATTCGACCGGAAAGTGTTGCAGAATCGATTGCTTATTTGCGAGCACAATTATAGATGAAGTTGTACTGCTGTATTTAGATGCTTTGTAATGTTACAATATTGTACATTAGTCATCATTTCAGAGTAAAGGGGTGAAGAAGGGTAGCGTGTCTCGGTGTAATTGCATGTATGTATGTATGCTATCCGTCAAGCCCGATTTGGATCTGTCATGGTAAAGGGTCTTTTTTGAGAAAATAAAGTTTAATCCGTTGATTTTATCCTGCACCCCTTTTGATTGCATTATGAGACGATTTTATCTCTCTCTCCTTGCCTAACAAACAAATGTTGGTCAGTAATGTAACGTATACCTGGGCGAGATTGTTAAAGCTGTAAGCGTTCTGCGCAGCGCAGATGGCCGGCACAGTGCAGCGTATGTATGTGGGAAGAGAAAGATTAATGCATGCATGAGAACAAGAAAAAAAAGAAAACTTAACTTCTGTGTCTGTGCCTGCGCGTGTCCGTACCTGAGCAGATGAAGAAGAAGCTATGCGTGCATAACCTTTTACTCCTTATCACAACGAGAATCGTACGACTTGAGGAAGGAACGATCATATACATGCTCTCCTGGCATTGTATTATCCCCACGGCGATGAGATAAACAATTGCGGACTTGGAATATTATATTACAAATATAGCTTTATTTGCCGTTTTATTCTCTGTTCATTGTTGTACTCCCTATTTGGGCTCGGATGCGACTCAATCGATGAATAACAGGCAAATAAGAGAAGTAAGACGAAATCCAGATCGAAATACTCTTTTCGACGATCATTTCTCCCTTTTAGCGCCAGCTATCAGAAATTTGTACCTGCATTTTATCAGCAAGGAACGTTTACTAGACTAGTGTCGAACTTTGAACGCAAGCATCCCAACAAGAACGTCATAATCTTTCAATGATGACTCATTCATCCAATATCATATCCTCTTTTGGCCGAGTTGATTGCTTTTGAGAGTGGCTTTCATTCTTTGCTAACAACTATATCATGGGAAAATTAGATGACCCCAATTATACGCAGGGCACTTGGATTTCATGTAGGGTTTGCGGACTATATTACATACATGCTCTCTCGGAACAGTTTTAATGAAGTCGAAAGATTAAACTTGTCGAACAACCGGTTGAAAAAGAAGTGTGCATGCATTTGTTTTTCCCGACTGTTCTAATTGATTAAGTGTAAATCTGCCTAAACGATCAAAATGATCCGCTTAATTCGTTAAGCGTGTGTGCATGTAAACAAAACCAAGCTATTCTCATGTATGCACTCATGCACCTCAACCCCTTTGTTCACGGCGATCAATGCTTAAATAAAGATCTAAATTTGGATCTCTTTTTTCTTTTTGTTTGTTTTCCCCCGTAATGCCGAATTAAATTAAAAAGGGTTGCCCACACAAATTGCTATCCGTCATCTTTTTTTGTTTAACTTATTGTACGTGAGAAAACATTCTTATGAAAGACCTTGCATTAACAATTCTGCATACAATCATACACACACACCCTTGTCTTTCTGGGGAAAAAGTGAATCAATTCTGCGTTTTTCTTTTCGTTCGAATTGGATGCATAGTATACACAATGTTAACAAGACCAGGAATAGATTGGGAAAAGAGAGAAAGAGCGGAATAAGTCTATGAATATGGAATGCACAAGAACCATGGATGAGTGCAAAATGAGAAATTTGTGTCAGGAGGACGCATAAGATGTGCATATACGTTTTTGTGATCGGGTATAATATCGAAAAGAAAAGCAGCAACGAGCCAATTAGAGAATCTATCAAAGACTTTCTCCTTCGGCGTGCGCGTTAATGTTGAAGACGAAATTAGGAGAGAAACCCTTTCCAACCCCCTTAACGAGCCAGAATTCCACGAAGACCCTTTCGTTTTTGTGAATTTCCGTTGGAATAATATATTCTGCTATATTCGTACTGTGGCGGTGAAGAAGTTGTTGGGGAGTAACTTGCTGTTGATGTGTTGGGCAAAGGCTCACAGCCTCCTGATGAAGGAGATCCGCGAGGTGATGGTTGATGACTATTGGTGGAAGATGGTGTAGTGATCTCCCTCCTTCTGACGATTGATCCGTCAAATACTGTAGCATAAGCAACATGTTTATTCTGATAAATTGATTTGGATGGATTGCGTTGATGTTGTTTATTGTATTCCGTTTCATCGAATCGTAAAGATGGTAAATCCGAATGCGATGATGGCCTCTGTGATTCTCTTAATGCAGCTTGTGCTGAACACCAAACGTCACCTTGACGATTTTCAACATCTTCTTGTGTTTCGTAGGATGACATTCGATTGATAGATGATGTTTCTTCTGCTGATGCTGGTCTGTAGCATAATGTTGATAAGCTGTTGTGTACCAAAATGCCTGCTTTGGGTTTTTGTTCTGGTTCGAAACCTGATTTTAATGTCGGTGAATCGGACGAAAGAACGCCATTTGATGAAAAAGAAGACATCGAAGGCGAAGGCAGAGAAGGTCCTGTTGATGCTGGCGAATGTGGTTGTGAAGAAGTCGAAGCGGTTGATGAAGATTCGCAATTGGTAGTGGATTGCGTTTGGCAGCTATTAGGCTGACGAGAGCGGAATTTGATCATCATGCCCATGATTAATAAATATGAGTAATGAGTTTGTAAGTTTGTGATTTGCTGGAGATGATGTTGAGAGTAAAGAATTAAAGAAAACTAGTAAAGATGACAATTAATTATTATTATTGCATTTTGCATTTTTCATTCTTGTTAAAGCCAAACCGTTCAAGCATTTTCGGTTCCTACATTTGAAACCAAATGAATCAACGGAAATCAGAGGCAAAAGAACGGTGTGCCGTAATTTGCTGCATAAAAAGTACGGCATCAGCCTTGTCGAAGTAAATTATTACGCAAAGCATTAGCCCCTCGTTCCTAAATTTACGATCGTTACGACTAATTGTGCCTTTTTTCACTTATTCAGTGTTCAGCCGGGCAAGGTACATGCATGAGAATCGACAGTGTGTGTATATATTTAGACGCAAAGATCCCTCTCTCTCCCTCTTTCAGTGTATGTACCTGACTTGATTCAAAATTGTGCACATGGCGGCGGCGGCGAGAGCGGCGCAGGTACATACATAAAAGTCAAACAAATCAGGCAATTTGTAGCAACAACGCGCGCGTATAGGCAGCGGATAATATTAAGTGGGGGTGTGCATCAAAAAAGGCATTTGATGAGTGTATTGAGAGAAAAGAAGGAAAGATTCTTTACTCACTCTCTCTCTTGGCTAGACTTTTGCTGCAAGTTGCGGAACCGATTTGATGCTTAAATTGCAATCAATTTGTGTGAGTGTGTACGTGCCTAATTAATTGGTGGCGTGCTTTACAAAAGTGCTTTTTCAACCTGTTCAATTTTTCATACGTGGCTTAAGCCGCTTTGAACGAAAAAAAAGAAAGACGGAAAATTCACACATGCAAAACAAAAAGGCACATCTAAGTAGATTTGACAGCACGATCGAGAGAGTTAGTGTCCGATAATAGTGTAATCCCTTCTCGGATAAGCTAGAAATACAACAAAAAAAAGGCACGCCCTCGGGTACCTGATTTACACATACACGGCAACCACACCAAACAGATAGAGTGCCGAATTGATAGGGAAATAATGTATATTCTTTACTCTGCTCATGACGTGCTTTTGCTTGTATTGCATTCAGCCCATCCTTCCCTTTGTACTAACTCAAGCCACGTGCCACTTTATATTCTTCTAACACAATATATGCTTCAATAAGTGAGGCGTTTGTTCTACACCCTCTTCCGGGTTGAATGATTGTGGCTTGTGATAAGCTGAGGAAGGCGTAAAAGTGATAACAATATCACTCTCGTGCTCCGAATTGGTGTGAGATGAGACACTTTTGCATTGTTTATGCTTTGACGTGACTTAAGAAATTCGGCACCGCCGAGAATGGAAGGTGGATGTCCGTGGAGAAGTGAATCAGGAACATATTATACATTGCAAAAGCATGCTACAGTGAATCATCAGCCCTTCCCGTTTGGCAATTGCTCTAATCCTCTCAATCGTCTCCACCAATTCGTTCTAGCAAGGATTGCATCATCCAACAAAAACCAATACTTCTTTGCAAAACTTTCACCAACTTCCCATGCACTTTGATCCATTGGATCATCGCCCCAAATATAAAATGCTGGCTCAGTCACTTTTGCCCCCGGTAATCCTGCTTTGAACACTGCATCACAAAAGTCATCATAATCGATCACCGTATAAAGCATCTTGAGTAGCTTTGATCGCACCGATGGCCATGGGAATGTAACATCAACGTATGGATGATGTTGGATTGTTAATTGATCTTCAGTTGGACGCATATTGTTTGGTATTTTATCCCATTGTAAAGGTCTTGAATGTGTATCGCTGGAGGAATCTGTGCTTTGATCGCTTTCCTTGTTCCCAAAATCGCTCGCTTGTCGTCTGTTTGAAGACGTTTGCTTATCTTTATAAGCTAACCAATCCTGAGCAATATAGCTTCTTGAACTTCTTTTACTCATAAACTTTAGATCAAATCCGAATCGAAATGTATTTTTGATCAATGCTTTGGCAAAATGCATACTTTGCAAAGAAAATGTCTGAGAAAGCGAAGGTGAACAATATGCAAGAGAGAGTAGTTGTGATTCAGATAAATGTTGCGGATCTATATCTCGTACAGATGTCACTTGCCATTGATCATCCGATTCACGATCATTTTCTGGAAGTGCAAGGGCATCAATCACATCTTTTGCATTTACTTCTCCTAATCCTTGTGTTTGTTCATATGGACTAAAGATAGATGATGGATGAGAAGATGGCGTTTGAGTGGTTTCGCTTGTATGATTATGTGTGGACGTCTGTGGCGATTGAGAAGGATTTGATATAATTTGGTGGGATCCCCTTTCACTTGATTTTGCAGAGTCTTTATCATCTTCCCGCTTTCTTTTCTCTCTCCATCTTTGTTGTGACAATCTATTCTGTAATCTTCGTTCTTCACTAATCTCGTTGCTTGTCCTTTTCCTGCCCATCCTTATTTAGCAATGTGTACCTTGATTATTATTCCACTCAAGTGAGCATGTGAATTTGATTATGGTAGTGAAATAAGCTGTGCGTCTTGATTATACTTTTGCTTATTTTTTGGCTTATATTTCGTTCTTTGCCCCTGCGAATAGCATAATCGTAATCGTGCATGATTATTTCTCCCATCCTATCCCACGAACAATGACTTGAAGTTGTTTTAGCGTACTTTTGTTTTACTCAACGAACTTCCCCGCGATATGATGCAAATGATCAATTTAGCTCAAGCATATCCAGACTGATGTTACAATAATCATTCCCATCTAAGATTCACACGTTCGGCTCGTCATGTAGGGTATAAAAGAAAGGAAGATCGGATTAATTGCAAGATGTTGTATCCCAACTTCACTTTATCATCCATCCAGAATGGCAAATTCAACACCTGTTAAAATTCCTGCCGGTCCATACACCTTGGCCGCTTTAACATTTGCTCCTGCAAGTGGTGCACCGGATCGTAAAGGTGCTGCAGTTGTTGTAAGTCATCCTATGACCGGTGTAAAAGAGCAAACATCTGCATTATATGCCGCTCATCTTGCCAAACAAGGTTTCTTCGCAATCGCTTTTGATGCTGCTTGTCAAGGAGAAAGTACAGGTGAACCTCGTGGATTGGAAAATCCACCTCAAAGAGCAGAAGATGTCAAAGCTGTAATTACGTACTTGACAACCCTTAAAGAAGTTGATCCTGAAAAGATTGGAGTCATTGGCATTTGCGCTTCAGGAGGTTATACATCTTATGCTGCCCAAGGTGATGGTCGAATCAAAGCTTTGGCAACCGTGAGTGCTGCTTGTGTTGGTAGAATGATGCGTTGTGGTGGAGTTCATCCCGGTTTAAAGGAAAACTCTGAAGCGATTGCCGGTCTTCACCAAGCTGCAGCTCAATGGCGTAATGCAGAGGCAAAGCACGCAAATGCACCTACTCAACCTGCTTTCCTCGTTAAACCAGAAGATCAAACGCCCACAAGTGATTCATTCTATCGTGATGCAAGTGAATATTATGGTACTTCACGTGGTGCTCATCCAAGATCCGATCAAAAGATGCCAATGATCAGTTATGATCAAATGTTGGCTTATGATTCTTTCAACTTTCAGCATATTATCAGTCCAAGACCTTTATTGATGATCGCAGGAGAAAAAGCACAAACATTGCATTATAGCGAAGAAGCACTTCAAATTGCCAAAGAACCAAAAGAACTTTTCGTCGTTCCGGGTAAGAATCATTTCGATTTATATGATGATCTTTCTGCTTCTGGACCAAAGATAGTTGAATTCTTTGCAAAGGCGTTGTAAGTCATAGTCTGTCGTCTGATATAGTTTGTACCGTTTAATAATATGATCGTTGTATGCAGTTTGAATGATGAGAAGAACAGAGAAGTAAGGTGTACTGATGTGTTACGCGTTTATGTAAGCCGAATTTTAAACACGCACAGACTTTAGCAGGCTTATTTTTGACTGAGCATTTTGAGGATGAAATGATCATTTGTTCGTAGCTATCAACCAACCCCTCAAAGACGACACTGACAAGATAACATTTTGATAGCAAGAATGATTGCTTAGATTTATTGCCTCTCTTTTGAGGTAATGAATGCAATCATACAAAATCACATGCAGTGATGCCGCAACGAAATGGTCAACAAGCTGCTTCCACGAAAAAGCAAAGTCAATCACATCAAACATCTTCACAGAACAAAAATGTCCTAAGCCCAAGCGGTAAAGGTCAAAGCACCCTAAAAAGCAAAATAAGCAAACATACCCCAACGCAATCTCAATCCCAAGTACAAACTTCCAATGAAGAATTAGCAACTTTACAGCAACAAGAAGTGGAAGTATTGGAATCCATCTTGGGTCCAGACTATTCCAGGGTAGATGCAGATGCACAATCAGCATGGCATAGAACGGCAACAGCATCACCTACAGCTAGCGGTCAATCCTCTTGTTCTTTCCAGATCATCTTACGACCAGACACAGATTCACTAAAGTCATCTGTATTTGCTACCACCCGCTTCCGCTTGCCAATTCGATACCCTCTTTTACCGCCAATTATCACCGTCTTGACCGGAAACAGCGCATTCAAGGGACTATCAAGCAACCATGTGAAAGGCTTGCAAGATCTTTTGACGGCCAAGGCAAAAGAGCTGGCAGGGGGTGGGGAGATGATTTGGGACCTGGTAAGTGCTGCTCAGGAATACATCAGCTCAAACAATTTGGAACGCATCTCTGGACCAAACAGAAGCCTGGAAGAAGAGAAAAGATTAAGAGAAGTTGAAAGGCAAAAAGACCTTCGAAAGAAGGCTCAAGAAGAATCCCGTCAAAGAAGCAAAGAAGAGGAAGAAAGGGCAACAAAGATTGCCCAGCTTATTCGCGAACAATCGGAAAAGAATACTGCAATGATGCAGCAAGAGAAAGACAGGAAAAGAGACGCAATGACTTTCTCTCCTTCTGATACGCAGTTGATGGGTTACCTCGGCGAAAAAGCAGAAACGGAGAAGAACTTCGCACAAAAGACGGAATTCTTCATGGACCCAATCAATGTGGATGGCCAACTAACACATCAAGTCATCGTTGGTCCGCTTGTGCGTAGCACGCCCTTGTCTTCGATACACCTTGTTGAAAGCTCTCAAAATCGATCGCAAACATGGCTGATGGAAAGCTATCGGATCAATTCAGCCTACTATGACTCATCGATCGGTAAACGTATTTTAGAGGAAGTAGAATGGGAATTGGAGGTTCTGCGTAAAGTTCATTGCGATAAATTGGTCAATGTCTTGGCAAGTGCTCTTGTGTCTCCTAGTGCCTCTGATGGATCGACGAGCAAGAGACTTCTGGTCATACATGAAAACACTTCAGGTCCTTCGGCAGAGGTTCTGTTGTCCCATTGCGTACAATTACCTTGGTCGCGTGTACGCTTCTATGCTTTGGATCTGATTGAAGCTTTGGACGCTTTGCATAATCGAAACGTACTTCATCGTGATGTTTCGCTGGAAAACATCATTCTGGAACAGAGTCCAGGTAACATTGCAAAAGCAAAGCTCGCACGTTCTGGCTATGCACGTAGATTGTACGATATGAATATTGCTAACCCTTTGACGGATCATTCGACCGCGACAAGCTCATTTCTCAAGGCACGAGCTGGGTGGGATGCACCGGAAGTGACGTTAGAGGAGAAGGAGAACCATGCTGTTGGCGCTGGAAAGTTGACATATACGAGAAAGAGAGACATTTGGCAACTCGGTGTCACAATTCTACAAATGCTATTGGGACCGCAGATTGTCGATGCATACAGATCTCCAGACGAATTCTTCCAGGCTGCTCAGGTAGATAAAACGCTTCTTGGCGGGCTAGAGTCTCATGTAGTTATGCTGTTGAGAGGCATGTTAGAGACTTCCATTCGCAAACGCCCAACGACGATGGAATTACGAAATCGATTTGAAGAATTGGTTCGATACGAAGAAGAAGAACAAGGCTCAGCTACACTAGATGTGCCATATCAACGCAAAATCGGTGGTGATGAGCCTGGCCCTGTGGCACTTGCTCGGAAGGGACTAGCACGAACGAAGTCTGAACAAGAAGATGTTTTCAGGCCAGGCAGCTTTTGGCAATTAGGTCGAGATCGAACAGCGGTTGGTAACACATCCCGCTATGAGAACGATTTTGAAGAGCTTCAACTATTGGGAAAAGGTGCCTATGGATCCGTCTTTAAATCGCGAAACAAGCTTGATGGAAGAGATTATGCCATCAAGAAGATTCGATTGAGCGCATCCGCTGAAAATGATGAAAAGACCTTGCGCGAGATCACTGCTTTATCGCGTTTGTCCCATCAAAATATCGTTCGTTATGTTACTTGTTGGATTCAAACGCAAGATGACCCTGCTGGAACGAGCACTACAGATGGTACAGCCAGCACTTCGACCAATCAGTTCAGTTCTAAAGATTTCATCTTACCTGGACTCAATGATGATTTTCTGAGCGTTGGTCATGACGCCTTCTCGCAAAATGCAAGTCATGTCCGATTTGGAAACTCTGATTCTGACGATGATGAAAGCAGCAGCTACGGCAATGGCTCTAGGATGAGATCTTCAAGACAGAGCAGTGTGGGCAAATTGAAGCAAAGTGCGCCATCTACCGACAGTTCCGACGACGACGACTCTTCAGATGAAAGAAGTTCCAGCGATGACGAGATGACACACAGCAAAATTCATCAAAGCTTCTCGCTACCTGCTCAGCCGAACATATCTGCCAAACCTCGTTGGCTTTTCATTCAAATGGAATTTGTTGGATTTCAAACATTGAGAGAAGTCATTGATAGAGGCTTATCGATTGAAGAAAGCTGGCGATTGTTTAGACAAATGATCGAAGCCTTGGCTCATGTTGCGTCCCTCGGTATCATCCATCGTGATTTAAAACCAAGCAACATTCTCATCTTTGGTGAAGAGGGAAATAACAAGATGGACAATAAGATCACCCCTGCTAGCATACGAACAGGAGATGGAAGTGGTGCAGTCGTGCCTGTGGGTGATATAAAGATCGGAGACTTCGGTCTGGCGACCACTACTACCTCCGGTCAGCAAATGAACGACTCAATCACAGGAGGATTGCCAGCATATGGCACTGGAATTGCGGCGACTGGAGGTGAAGAAAGTGTAGATCAAACGACAGAGATCGGCACAAATTTGTACATTGCACCTGAAGTTCTGAAAGCGGGTTCATCTCGGTATGATCACAAAGTGGATGTATATGCAGCTGGGATCGTGTTTTTCGAAATGTTGGCATCGCAACGGGTTTACAAGACGGGCATGGAACGCATTCAAATCTTACGTGATCTTCGTTCAAAGGAAGTACGGTTTCCCGAAGGATGGAATGAAGCACAAATGCCTGCTCAAACAAAAATCTTACGCAAACTACTAAGCCATGATCCCAACGAACGTTTGAGTCCTCTTGAACTGCTCAAAAGCGATTTGCTTCCGCCTAAGATGGAAGACGAATACATTGCAGAATGCATGCGATTGCTCAGTATGCCCGATAGCACATACAATCTGCAATTGATGGATTCATTGTTCAGTCGAAAAGAAACATTTGAAGAACATGAAGCACGCGATTTCACTTTCGATACTGGCAGCAACGAAGGAGCAGGATTGGATAATCGCTTCATCGGTGTTGCTTCAAGGTATCTGCGAGCGCTGTTCCACCGTAATGGAGCTGTTGAGCTTGAGGCACCATTGCTTATCCCGCCAAATGAATTGTATGCCAATCAGGAACAAAAGCCGGTGGATATGTTGGATAAGACTGGTAAAGTTGTCCAATTGCCTTTTGATCTTGTTGTGCCATTTGCCAGAATGGTTGCTCGTGTTGAACAATCACGTTTCAAAAGATATGCAATTGCACCAGTCTTTCGACCCAATCTGCTTGCTGGGGGTCAACCGCGAAGTGTGATTGAGGTGGACTTTGACATTGTTGCACCAGAGAAGACGTCTGCTGCCGAAGCTGAAGTTCTTGCTGTGGTGGATGAAATGTTGGACGAAGTACCTGGATTAAATGGATCAGAGTGGGTCATCCAAATCTCGCATGGTGCAATTCTGGACCTTCTCTTGGAGCGCGTCCCAACCAGTCGTCGTGATCAAGCAATTGCTGCGATTGGAAAGTTGGCTGGAAGTACGAGTAAGAATGCTGCTACACAAGCTAGGGTGCGCTTATCAACACTGGGCCTTCCTCGCTCTATCACGGATGAGATTGATAGTGCAAATATTTCAGACGATATCGATGTGGTGAACGAAAAGTTGCAAAGACTTATCGCAGTCGATTTACGACCTCGTTTAGCAAGAGCAACAGAAGAGATTCGTCAAGTGATCGAATCCGCTCAACAATTTGGAGTTCAACGCAAATTTTTGTTTACGCCTTTATTGGTCACCAATCCTGCATTTTATCGCGATAACGTGTACTTTGTTATTATGCGTGGAAAGGGTAAGCGAAGGGATGTCTTGGCATCTGGTGGACGATACGATGCTCTACTGAAACGTTTTGCCAGCCCAACTCTGAACCGTGCCCCTGCTCATGCTGTTGGTGTGCAGATCGCATTGGGACGTATTGCAATCGCGCTGGCCAAACATCAAGAAGCAAAGATGATGGGAGCTTTGAATAGCGGAAATGATGAAAGGACTTTATTTGGGCCATTCATGCCAAGACGATGTGATGTTTACGTTGCAAGTGCGCCCGGATTGTTGTCAACACGCATGGAGATCTGTAGAGAGCTTTGGTCAGCGAACATCAGTGCGGATTTGGCATATGAACAAGCCTTAGAAGAATCACCGGAATTATTGGCTTCAACGTGTAAAGCTGAAGGGATCTTGTTTCTAGTTATTGCACGATCACGCGGAAGTATTGTGAAAGTCAAATCAATCGTCACCCGATCCGAACATGAAGTACATCGATGGGAACTCGTCACTTGGATTGCAGATCGCATTCAAAGGTTGCGGAATCAGGTCTCTGGTAAAGATGCAAATGAATCCAATCTGTCTGCTTTGATGAGCGGTGCAATGGTGACTGGAAGCGAGCATCGAGCGATCACAACAACTGGAGCAGGTGGTAATGTCGGTGCAGCTGGAGGTGCAGGTGTTGCATCCTCAGTGACGGGAAATGCGATTCAACAATATGCTGGAGAAGTGGAAGTGCTCTTACCAGAACGTCAACATGAAAAGCGTAGAGCAGATAAGCATGGATACAATGATACCCGAAGAGGAAGAAAGCAGGCTCATTTGGGTCCATTGCAAGAGAATGCTGCCCGACAAGTTGCCAAGATGATCGAAGAGATGACCGGTAGCGGAAGCAATGTTATGGTCAATACAACAAAGTTTCCCATCTTGGCAGTGGATGTTGGGATGAATGCAATATCTAACGCTGGTAATAGCATGCAAAACACAATTGCTTCAGGACAGGGCTTTGCTCAATCGCCAACAGGATTTGCTTCTTCTCAATGGTCATCACAAAGCAATCTTTTTGCATCTCAAAGTGGTGCAAGCGGTGGAAATTATGGTGGAATGGGAGGTACAAATGCGGGAAATGCATTCCATCGTTTATGTGCAGCAGCCATTGCAAGGAACGATGATGGACTATGGAAATTATTCTTAGATACTCTTTCATCGTTCGAGGAGCGGGAATATGGAAAGCAATTACGCAGAAGGATACGAGAGCTCGAAGGACGTGCTTGGTTAGTCTCTATTCGAGTGGAAGGAGCGATCACTTTGATTTAAGTAATGAATCATTTGTATCTATAGAATCATAACGATAAATAGCATTTTTGATCAAGATGGAGTGTTGATTGATTTTACCACGTGTCCGAGCTCGGGATCGCAAACATTTTCTATGATTTAACCGAATGTCGGTTGCCATTTGAAAGAGAATATACCGAAGCCACAACCGGTGTTTGTTATAAGATAATGTCCGTCGGCTGTCAATCATTGTGTGCAATAAAATGTCTCACATCTTTTGATCCCTTCATTTAACTTGTCAAAATCGAATTATTTTTCAAATCGGCACAGCCTCAAGATCGTAGCACACTGATCAAACGCTAGTTGCAAGCCGTTGACGCAGGATGCAAATCAATCTCATTGTTTAAATTCATAAGCTAGTTTATGCATTTTCTCAACAGCTTAAACGCATTAAATTTATTCATCGAAAGTTCTTTTTAAACAATTTGCCTGCATTACACCACAACAACAAACGCGTCGCGCGAAGAAATTGCTCCACTTTATTGACCATTCCAACTCCTTGAATTACCGGTATGCATGCACTTTTTCACTAAAGATCAAATGATTTGATTTCCCGATAGGACCCACTAAAACTTTCTCTTTATTGTACAATTACATACGCATCTAGTTTGACTTATATGATGAACAGATGACAGGATAAATTGTATGCTGTGTTGAAGGGAGCATAGGCCGCCAAAGAGGCAGTGAAATCAAATGACATCGGGCACTTCATCATAAAGTCTAGACTTTCAACATACCCATAGCCGATGTAAGGCAAATGAAAATTGACATTGCTGAGATTGAATAAAGAGGAGGTCAATGATTGCATGATGCATGCCGAAGTAGCGGATCTAATAAAGAGGTCATCTTTCCGTTCGGAGCGTCGCGCAGAGTGAATGTGCATAAATACATACGAATCAAGTTCTTTTTCACGCTAAAAAGCATCATTCTCACACTTTTATTCTGAACAAATGCATGCACTAGACCAGTAAACGTGCATCTTTTCTCGATGTGGAATTTTAGCGTTTTGTCTTTTTATTTTTTTCTTATCATTGTTTTGTGTTTTTTTCGATTGAATACAGGGATCAAATGCACAATTGGTTAAACCCTCGATCTTTGTGTGTGTTAATTGAGCGAGTATGGGAAGCGGCATAGGCGGAGTATGTCAAAATGAATATGTGCTAGTTTGCTTGCGTTCTCTCTTCTTCAATGATATATGCCAAGGATACAACAACGTCACTTTCAAGCAAATTACGTGAGCTGAACTTTGCTTCCTGATTGAGTCTTGTTTCTTTCTTCACCATCATCTTACTTCTCCTCCCTTTGCTCGTTCATTGGGTGAAACGATCTCAAATCGTTGCTCATTGTCGTATCGCGCGGTTCGGATCCGATCAAAAAGCCTGCGGCCAATCCCACGTCTTTTAATAAAGCGGAGGCCGACAGAATCTCATTTCGAGTTCCTTTAATCGGAATATTCTGAATCTAAGCACAGCCTTAACCTTATCATCTCTTATCACCATCCATCGCAATGGCCGTCAAGATGTCAAACAAGGCCTTCCTTGCTTCGGCAATGGTGGCATTCACAATGGTCAACCAAGCAAAAGCACAAAGTAGCAGTACAAACAGTTCAACTTCCACAGTTATCTCTTCTTTGGTTTTGAACTTGGTCATCTTCACAGTTGAAATGACTGCTTTCTTCATCTTGCGTCCCAAATTCCCAAAAATTTACCGACCAAAATCATACCTTGGATTGGAAAGCGAACGAGTTGCACCTACTTCTGATTCCTTGTTTGGTTGGATCCCAGAATTCTTGCGTACACCAACTTCAGTCATCCTTTACAAGAACGGTTTGGATGCCTATCAATTTGTTGCTTTCTGTGAAATGATGATCTGGTTCTTCGTTCCAGTTTGGCTTTTCACTTGGATTTTCCTCATGCCTCTTTACGCAGCTAATTCTAGCATCGGAGCACAAGGTTTCAACATGTTCACATATGGTAACGTTGGTAAGTCACGCAGTCAACAATTACGTTTGATCGGTGTCTTGTTCGCCAATTGGATCATTATCTTGTACTGGATCTGGGTTATGCGAAGATTTATTGCCTCTTTCATCAAGAATCGTCAAGAATTCCTGTTGTCTCCTGAACACAGAGCTTCAGCACAAGCACGTACAATCTTGATCACTGGTATTCCCAACGATTTCCTCTCCGAACGTAAATTGTCAAACATGTACTCTCACTTCCCTGGAGGTGTTGCCAAAGTTTGGCTCAACAGAGATTTGCAAGATATGCCTGATTTGTTCGATCAACGTATGAAGGCTTGCAACAAATTGGAAGGTGCCATCGCAAGTGTTCAAAAGATTGCATTCAAGAAGATCAAAAAGGGCAAAGTTACCGCTTCAACTGAAAATAAAGATGCTGAACTTGATCTAGGTGTTATCGAAAAGTATTTGACAAAGAAAGAACGTCCAACACACAAATTGGGCGCTATGGGATGCTATGGTGAAAAGGTTGACACTTTGGATTGGTGCCGTGAAGAGATTCCAAGATTGACAAAAGAATTGGACGAACGTCGTCGTGCTGCTGAAACTGATTACGAAACCTACCGTCCCGCTTCTGCTGCTTTCATCATGTTCAACACTCAAATTGCCGCTCATATGGCCGTAAAGACACACGCACATCATCAACCATACCGTATGGCCAACCATTATCTAGAAGCTCATCCATTGGATGTAATTTGGGAAAACTTGGGCATGAACCCTTACGCTGTCAAGATTCGTACTGCTATCGGTTGGGCAATCACCATTGGTTTGGTTCTCTTCTGGACTTTGGTCACTCTCGTCGTTGGTTTCATTTCAAACGTTACCGGTACAGCTGAGAAAATCAGCTGGTTACATTGGTTGCTCACTATCCCAAGTGTTGTCAGAGGTATTATTCAAGGTATCTTGCCTGTTGTCTTGCTCGCAGTTGCCAACATCCTTTTGGTAATGTTCTTGCGTTTCTTGGGTCGCTTCAGTGGTATCCCAACAAGATCTGGTGTGGAATTGTCGCTATTTGACCGTATGGCAATCTTTAACATTATTCAAAACTTCTTAATCTTGACAATCATTTCTGGTGTTTCAAATGGTATCAACCAAATCGTTGGTGTACTCTCTAAGCCAGCCGGTTTGCCTGGTCTTTTGGCACAAAAGGTTCCAAATGCATCAACATTCTTCTTGTCTTTCGTCCTTCTTCAAGGTTTGACCGGATGTGCTTCTGGCTTCTTGCAAATTGCACCTTTGATCATCTACTATATCAAGAAATTCTTGTTGGCCTCAACACCACGTAAATTGTGGCACATCGAAAACGATATGCCTTCAGTCGCTTGGGGTACTTTGTTCGCTAGTACTACCTTGTTGAGTGTGATCGGTATCGGTTACACAATCATGGCACCAATCATGAACGGCTTCGCAATGGCTGCCTTTATGTTGTTGTTCGTTATGTACAAGTACAACTTTACCTACGTTTACAACATGTCAGGTGCAACTGAAACTGCAGGTTTATTCTTCCCAAAAGCAATCAACTTCTGCTTTGCAGCAATGTACTTGCAAATGCTCATTCAAGCCGTTCTTTTCTTCATCTCTCAATACGCTTACGGTGGTCAATCTGCTATTCCTGAAGGTGTCTTTATGGTGATTTTGATTGTGATCACGATTGGATTCCATTACTTCTTCATTGATTCTTATGGATCTTTGTACACCGCTTTGCCACTTTCTCTCGTTCAACCTGAAGAAGGAAATGTTACAGGCGCAACATCTTCCAACACACCAAATGAAAAGAAAGGATTATTGTCCGACACACAAAAAGGCAATGCTGGTATCGTTGACGCAAACAGCAACAGAGCCGCTTCTGGTACTGCTGCTGAACATGAAAACGGTCACGAAGATCCCGAAGATGCATTCACACCAATCCCACTCAAGGAAAACCAACGCGCTATTTGGATTGCCGATGATGTTTTGGGCTTGGGTCGTGCAGAAAATGAACGTAACCGTTCTGCAGGTATCTCAACAACCATGCGTGGTGCTACCCGTGATGATAAAGGCAAGATTGAAACTGATCTTCACTGCCCACCAGGAGAGATTTTGCTTTAATCTTGATCTCTCTTTCAGTTTGCTTCACTTTTTAATTCTTCTTTCTTCCGTCTTGCATTAGTACATATAATGACGTTAAACTTTCTTTTCTACTATTTATAAAAATCGCTTTTCCTTTCTTTTACCTCGCTTTGTTTATTACCTTTATATCCGCTCTGCAATTCTTGCAAACAACTTACAATCTTTTCTATCAAATTCCCTTGAATCTTATTTCTGACTTTTTCGAATGCAATGAAATTTCAGATCACTTTACGAATACTAAGTTGTATCAATGCCAGGTGGAGGCGGATAAGAATCATAACATTACCGTGTCTTTCCATATGATCTTGAGATGACCGTCACTAAGATGATGGCAGTGCAATGATGATCTTTCTTTAGAATGTGTAAAAGCCACTATTGCTGTGCTATGCTGTGCTTTTATGAATTGGTAGAAGCACTGCATCTCACCTAAAAATTGGATCAAAGCCCTATTATAATCGAACGAGTTGGCACTTTATCAGTTTAAAAGAGATATATGATCTACTACGCATGCTAATCAATCTAATGTATATTAAAAAGCTGTCCAGTTTAGCCTAAATTCATTCAGTAAAATGGATTTCGAGTGATTATATAAAAGCTTTCCTAAGGTGCAAGATGACGTTTTAAATGACCGCGTGATTTTCATAAAGAGTGGCACTAAAGAACTGTAAGAATCAAGATTAATAAACAAGGAACAGACAAAGGTCATCTTCTTTTTGATAGAAAAGGGTTACTCCGCATGCACGAATATAGTACGGGCCTTTCGGGCTAATGGCACTACTTAGCTACCTCTCCCATTCCCCCCCCCTTTTGCTTCATAATCATAAAACTTTTTTGACCGGCGGACATATATAATCAGGTGTGAAAGATATAAACTTACGTTCTTTTTATTCCAACAACTATCATCCACATTTTATATTATATATCAACATGCAAAACGAAGGGAACACAGTCATCTTTGCTCGTGACGATCTAGTCCAGCCTTATTCTGCACAAGAGATCAGCTTCTTACAGCGAAGAAGAGGTGGCGGTGGAGGAGGTCGAGGTGGTGGTGGCGGTATAAGCAGCAGTAGCGGAGGAAGAAGTAGTGGTGGCTCATCATCTTCTTCAAGTAGCGGTAGTAGCGCAGGCCGTTCATCATCATCATCATCATCAACTGCAAGTAAAGGTTTCACACCTGGAAGTGTAAGTGGAGGAAGAAATGTCTATGGATCAACGGGAGGATTTGGAATCCCAAATCGTTATTCGATCACTTCAGGTTCTTTTGTCGGTCGTCAAGCAGGTGGCGGAACACGTAATAATGTTTATGGATCTCCTTATTATGGAAGTGGTTATACCGGAGGTTATGCATCAAGAGGTTTACTTGCCGGAGGAGCTGTTGGTGGTTTAGGATTCCCATTCATCTTTTGGCCTGTCACTTTTGGTGCCTATAGTGGATATTATGGCAGTAGCCAATACAGGAATGGTGATAGACCAGGAGGCAATATGACTCAATATTCTCTCACTCCACCAAGTACCGTTACCAACACTACGGCTAATGAATTCGCACTGTATGGGGACGCAAACAGCGTTGATCAAATCTTCCAAAGTTTAAAGGCAGATTGTGGAGTTCAAAATCAATTGGCTTCAAATTTTACCATCAATCCAAATCAAGCTGTTCAATATTATCGTGGAAGTAGTTTCGCAATCTTATTAAACGGATACAATAACACTCAACCAAATGTTGATGGTGATGTGAGCGGAAATACAACCTCCAGCGATTATTCAGCAACTCCTCCCCCAATCACAACAGTTCAAGGTGTGGATACCAATTACTTCAACTGCCTGAATAGCACGACAGGAAACAATGTTCCTCTCATTGATGGTGCTATGACATTCTATCAAAACAATCTAATGATCTTGCTGCCCGCTGTGTTTGTTACTATGCTCATCAACATTTTCTCATAATGCTTTGTATTTGCTTTATACCATCTTTGCTTCTTATTGCGGAATATATGCTTGCTTACATACCGGTCAATTGGTTGAATGTTTAGTGAATTAAAGTACAGTGATAAAAATACAATATTTGTCTTTAAGCAGCCCTTATTCATCTGGACCATCGTCATCGACTGCTGCTCCACCTGCTGCCTCATTCTGCAGCATGTCCATATCGTCATCAGGGTCAGCTATTCCCTGTTGTTCGTATTCATCTTCAGGGCCAACATAGACTTCTTCGCCGTCCTGTTCATCAAAGACTACGTCTTGCTGATCGTTCATTTCTGCATTTGCGGGCATGGTAGTATTTCGATCTTGATAAGCTTGTATAGCTTCTTGATCAAGTGGAAGATGAGCTGAAATGATAGTAAGAATATCCAGTCTTTGATCTGCTGTGAATCGATCTTCGATTTCTTCCACGAGCTGCAAGGTGAGTAAAGGGCTATACAATTAGTCAACCTTTCGAGAGCATGATTAGCCAACTGACAAACTTACCGGGTACAGCTCAATCTCTGTCGTAGGAGCATGATTGATCAACATCAGTCTTTCTCCTTTGGTGAGTCTCTTTTCCCTCTCGATGATCGTTATTATTCCACCATCTTCTCCTCCTTCGTTCAATCCTGGTACACCTTCAACAGGCTTACCGCGTTCCCATGCATACAGGGCATCCATGAATCGAGGTATCTGGTCGGAGGATTGATGTGCACATGGCCTTTGTACGTTTCGCAAACATTCCAAAACTTCATATTGAATGGTTCGTAAATTTGAAGGTAAAGATTGCATTGTTCTTTCTTCGATTGAAAGTGATTCTGTTCCTGTGTTTGGTTTTATGGAATTCATTGTAGTGACTTTTGTTGATTCTATATTTTCTGAATCTTTTGCCATCTCTGCATTTAGCTTTGTTGATCCAACAGATTCTTCTGCTTTATTGGATGCTGCCGCTGCTGCTGCTGCTAATTCGTCACTCTTTAACACGGCCATTTGTTGTCTTTTACCCATCTCACGTAATACCTGCAATACCTCGAAATCGCTCAGCTCAGCAGCCCGAGCATTTTTGACCTTCATCTTGACTGGTGCTGTCGATGTAAGATTGCAATCGTGATGAGGAAGGTGAAACGGAAGAATGATTTACGCTCTCGGAAATTTCTACTTTTCATTTTCTCCCGATTTCCGCTTCCATTTCAGAAGTTGACTTCACGAACCTCTTCACTAAACAGGAAAATGCTTCCGCGTGGACTGACGCGTATGTTTCGCGTTACTGCACTTGAAGTAACACTTGCATGAAAAGCTTAATTTTTTGTGTTTTGCTTATTTGCCGAGATTTGACTCAGGGGCTCATTTCAAGCTTTAGTGAGTACATACATGAAGGTGCATATAGGATGGTGGAGAAAGTGAGCTAGGAAATAGAATTGATGATATCCCTCTAGATCTGAGAGTTGCTCTTGGCCATCAAGTCATCAGAGACCGGCAATTGGATTCTGGTGGTAACATCTCATAACCGTTGAAGGGAGGTGAGAGAGAAGCATTCATGATGGCATCCTCTTCAACTTCCACAATGAATGTTCTATCCGAAAGAAATCTCAATTCGATCGCATTGCAATCGAATTCAACATTCAAAAGCACTTTTAAGCCTGTTCCACCTCCAAAACCAAACCATCTCTCGACAGCATTCACAGGCACTCTCAATTCAGACGCATTGAAGAGCTACATAAAGCAACAAACACAAAGACAATCGATTGCATCAACAAGCACCACTCAAAGACACTCTCGCAAGAATAATCTGACTTCTTCACAATATGCTCATGACACATTCAGGACCTCAAGAGAAAGCTCAACAGATGATGATGAGGAAGATGAAAATGCAGCTTGGGGAACGGCAAGGCAAACGCCAAGTCCAATCCCGGGCAAACCTGGATTAGTAGATATCTTTGCACCTCTTACGATACCCGGAAGTGATTCGATGAACTTGGATGCTAAGAGTTCGTTTACCATACGACAAGATCCAATAGGAAGAAGTCAAAGAGATACAATCCAACCAAGCATGAATGAAGTAGAAACACCAACAAAGACACGAAGGTCTCCATCTTCATCAACTGATACATACGAAGACGATAAGCAGGTGGCTACAATCAAACCAGGAAAGAATGAAACATTAGGATTCATGCTAAGCGATGGCGAACAGATTGATCCGCAAGGAACACATCTTAGAGAGGACAGTAGTAACACTGCTCGTCAACCTTCTATGATTTGCTCATCAGAAGAAGGCACGATCAGATCCCGAGAGCCTTCAATACTTTCTCGTTTGTCAACATTTGAGGATGACTTTGATGAGGACGATGTCCATAGTCCAGGCAATGGAAGTGGATCTCAGGGATCACATGGAATCGAGCACGAAAGCACACCTCGCAAGAATTGGATGCATGCCCGTGATGGAAGTGCATTTGAACGTGCAAGCCCATGCAGTGGTTCAAAAGGTGGTCTGAGCAGAATACTCGGAGAGAAAAGCAAGATCAACGTATCCAAAACAAGTATCAAAGAGTCCGAAGAGGCGGACACAAAGACAGGTCTGCCTCTTCAATCTCGTGGACTTCCGATGCTCGTTGCCGGTCCTCCTCCAATTCGTCCAAAGAGTGTAGTATTGAAGGTATCAGATATAGAAGAAGGTCAAGCAGAAGCAACGGAGAAAGAAGAAGTTGCTTCAATCGCTACCCCGACGCAAGAAAAGAGTCAGGCTGCATGTGAATTGCGTGTCCCTGACACCGCTTTCTCATCTACTGTGCAGCCAGTCTCAGAGTTAAACGTAGCACAGCCCAACGTCAGTAAATCAAATCTGTCTTCTAGGCGACGGGAAGTGGAAAGAGGTACAGGAAGACAAGCACGGGCTTTATACGAATTTGAAGGTGAACCTCGATTTAATGAATTAAGTCTTGCGCCAGGTCAGGTATTTGAAATTTTGAAGGAGGATGTTCAGGATGGTTGGAGTCTTGCAGCTGCCGAACAAAAGAATGTGTGGACAAAGGGCTTGATCCCTCAAGGTTGGTATACCTACATACAGGAATTCACCGTTTCACCAAATGTCGCCCCTACCAGTACTCAGACAGCCGAAGGAAGTAGCACCTCTCTTGTTGTTCCGATGATACGATCTCACAGTTCCATTAGCGCAACCAGCAATTCGGGCAACCGTGATGAAAGTCAAAACATTCGTTCACGTCAGGATTTGTCTAGGCCTGCATCAGGAGTAGGTCAAATGTCTTCTTCTTTTGCTGAAAGCAAAGGTGCTTTACAGCTTTTGACGCAAATGAAACAACAAACTGGAACAGTGACTCCTCATCCGCAGTCTGGATTCCGAGCTGTGTCTGGATCAAGGATCCAAGCTCCAATCCGTGAAGCATCCGTAGAAGAGGTGCGACCAGAATCGATGGATTTGACATCAAACGACAGCAACATGAGTGGCGTCTCCAACAGTGTATCTGAGCCAAGCTTGACGGCAAACGATGCGAATGTCGGTGCAGATACGTCAATGGAAACAAACGTGTCTACAGAAACCGCATCTTCGTCATGGAAACCGCCAGGAATATTTGGAGGTCGATCGCTGAACAGATTTGCACCTTTCGTCACAAGTGGCGTAGAGGGCTACATTCTCTCTGATCCATCTGCGAAGAAAGCTATCGAGCCAGCTACGGAAGATAAAGAGCAACAATTCGCAATCTCTTACGGCTATCATGGTGGACCTGCTTGGAAGTGTGATGGTGTTAGCCTAATCGTTGAGGTACATTCTCCAGAAGTGCATGTTGACGATCTTGGAAAAGAGTATACAGCCTATGTTGTACACACATCCTTTGTCCTTGCTTCAGAAGAGCAGGCTGAGGTGCAAGACTTACTTTTGGACCCATTCAAAAGACCAGAAGAACCTTCGATGACTTCAAGTGTTTATAGAAGGTTCAACCAATTCCGTTGGTTGGCCAATCACTTGTGCAAATATTACCCATCAATCATGCTCACCTTTCCTCCAATGCCAAGTACCAACCAAGGAGCAGGAAGATTGGCCAGATTTGATGAAATTTTCGTGGAAAGGAGAAGAAGGCATTTACAAAGCTGGCTATCTTGTGTCGTTCGACATCCATCTTTGTCAAAAGATGCTGGCGTTCGGTTCTTTCTGGAAGCAGAAGAAGAAGGAGAAGAATGGTTACAAGCAGCAAAAGAAATGGTTCAAAAGGAAAATCAAATGTTCAGGTATGATCAATTGACTCCTGCAAGTCATATCTTCACTTCTACTTCTCATCCGATGTTTAATTTTGAGGCAAATGAAGCAGAGTTGGAGGCAAAACAAATGACGAAATTCAGCGAAATGTATGAAAGGTGTATGTCCAACGTCAACGAAGGAAGCGGAGTTTTGAACACATACAAAGGCTTCCGCTCGACCACCACAAAAAGTAGCGAATCGTACAGACAGCTATCCTTGTCCATCTTGAGGCTGATCACAGGCTCTGATGCAGGGGATAGTTCAAGTCACTCTTCTAATGCCAACGGAAGTATGATCAAATCACCCTCACGTATGCTAAATCAAGGCTTCCTGCCCCCAATGGGTAATGTTGGCAAACGTGGTCCTAGTGGAGCAACGAACGAAGATCGTGCATGGTGCTGGAGAGAAGGTTGCCAAGAGTGTCGTCGTTTGACAAGCGCAATGCAAATCACTGCAGAGGCTTTCCAAGTGGTAGCAAATGATTATCAATCACATGCTGAGGGTAGCTTGTTTGACGTTCATGATCGAATGCATAATTTGGCAAAAGCGCATCAACAACAACAGCCGTTAATAGAAGTTCATCGAAATGCATTGGCAATGTATAGAGCAGCAACAGGTGAGAAAGCCAGCGAAGATGCTCATCAAGCAACACAAGATACAAAGGCAAAGAGAGCAAGTAACGAAGAACCGCATTTACACTCCAAGGTAGCAGAAGGCATGGCAATCAGATCTGAAACAGTTTTGAATGTGACATTGAGCGAGATGGATCGTATCCATGCTCAACGTGTTCAGGATTGGAACGCACTTTCTCGTGAAATGTTGGACGAACAGATCGCATTTTACAAAGATATTCTACACCATCTACAAACTGCTAGAAGCAAGGTAGGAGATGCATTGGGTACTCCTTCTTCTAGATCGGCAAATCATACAGCAAGCAATAGTCAAACTAGCAATGAAAGTTCTATCTCGACTTCAGCCTCACAAGCACGAGGCCCACTGTTGCCTTCGCCCTATGAAGTGCAATTAGCACATCCAATTGTTATGCCTGCGCTTGAAATGCCCTGTATGCAACTGACCGAGCCGAGTGCAGCTTCAAAGGCAATCCGACCTGTCGCATTGGCGGGAGAAGTGTTGAGCGATTGGCTTGGTGGTAGCAGTGCAAGTAGAATCTTGTAAATACGCAATTCATAGTGTACAATAAGCATACAAGTCATCTTTATAGTCCCCATCCAGCTTTCTGAACTCTCCATAGGTACGTGAACAAGATTAGTCGAGCAGCTAGTGTCTCCAATTTTGCACTTTCTACATTGGCAATGCTAAATCGTAGATCACGATCATCTTGCGCTTCTTCTTGTGGTCGGAAGAATGATCCGGGGAGAACTACGATTCCCACGAGAGCAGCCAAGCCTCTAGCAACCAATTCACTCGGAGTTGATTCGAAAGGATGTCGAACGTATGCATAATACGCACCCGCACTTAGATCTTCCCATCCCAGTTCTTTCGGTGATACGCTTTTGTTGGAGCTAATGTCCTTCAATGATTCCAAAGAGGCGATCAGTTCTGCCTGTCCATCAATCTTGAGCTGTCTTTTCACATCTTCGAAAGTGATCGCTGTCTCGAGGGACGAAAAGAAAGTCTTTCGCCTCTGTGCTAAATCATTAGCGATATCCAAACGCCATTGCTGATGTTCTTCATCTTGAATGCATCTCGCCACTGCACGTTGAGTATCTGTTCTGGGTGGACAAATTTGCATATTGTCCAAGCTTTTTGCAAAGCTGCCAAATCGTGTTCGTTTAATCCCATCTTGATCAACTTCTTCGCTTATCAATAAAGAAGGGTGAGCAATTATCGCTCCTAGACGATGACCTGGAATCGCATATGATTTGGAGAAGGAGTGTATTGAGATCACACAGTCCCGCCAATTCTCTTTGCCGCTCAACTCGAATAGATCATGTGCTTTCGCCAATGGTCGCTGCTTTGATGACTCATTCGCAGTGGCCTTTGCACTTCCGTCTCCTTCCAAGAGGAAATCCCTATATGTCTCATCCAAGATCAGCGCAATATTGTTGGAACGACAGATCTCCGCAAATTCTCGAAGCAGAGAAGCCGGATATATGCTTCCTGTGGGGTTGTTTGGAGTGACAAGAACGACAGCCTTTATCCTAGATTTGGTTCCTTGCGTTCCATTATGTTTGTCTAGCAATTCTTTGAGTGCTTCTGGTTGCGGTATAAAAGAAGGAGCTTTTGTGGACAAGGGGATAACGTTGATACCAAGAGATGCCAAAGTCATTTGATGATTGAAGTACCACGGTGTTGGCAATACGATTGCTTCTCCAGGACTGGCGAGAGAATGAAAAGTGACGGCTGCTGCTAGATTTGCTCCAGCAGTGATGGCTACTTCATTGGAAGACACATCACCTCCGTATCTTTTGACGATGTCTGCAGCTAAAGCTTTACGAAGTTGTTCATCTCCAAACACACCACCATAGCCATGCGTTTCCATTGGTTTGGCATTACGTTCTTCATCCATGCAATCTAACAACCTCTTTTGGGGAGCGTGTCCTGGAACACCTTGAGCAAGGTTGAGTAGCGGCTGCAGTGGTTCAGATGCATTCTTTACATGAAACGGAGATGATTTACTTGGGTAGCTAGCAGCCCATGCCTTGGCCATCGGAACAGGCGGTTCGGGTGTATTTATGCTAAGCTGTTTGTTCAACCCATAAGCGGGAGAAGAAGTTTGGGTAACCGAAGACATTTTGTAAGTGCGGCTATACGAGTTGAACTTGTTGAAGTTTTGCAACAATCTTATAATGATGATACTGTTGCGTGAATGCATTCGAATATGCCATTCGTACTTCTTGAAGACTTCGTAGTAAGAACAGAAAGGCGAAAAGTAACACATTGGTGCCTTTCATCATGCTTTGCATCGATAAGCGTGGGGGGAAGGGTGTACGCCTTCTTTCGACCTCACGCGCCTCGCCGCTCTTTTTCTAATTACACTCTCAACTTTCAAACTCTTCCTCTTCCATCCCATGTCGGAAGAAATAACACGCTTGGCTCAGTCTTGTCAAGCTGAAAGAGTATCCTCATGAGACCTGCTCAGCACATACTTTCGACAGCTCAATTTGTCTTACTTCTTGCTGGTCCAATGCCGTTCTCAGTTTCCAACTGAAAATTTAGCCCTTAGTTTGTCTTTCACACCGATCAGTATTCTTTCGCACATGAAACATATAAAGTTGATCTTACTTGTCCAACAACTTCTTCCTCTTCTATGTATCTCTCCTCCAGCAATCAATCAGAGCTGCTCTCTTAGTTGTTTCTGTTTACGTTTACTTTTAAAATTCATTAGTCACAACACTTCTCTTTCAAAAAGAACGGCCTCCTACCTCGTAGGAAGTATCAGAAATCTTTGTCCCGCGCTATTTCCAAGCATACGATCTTCTGAAAGCATGTATCCGATGTCAATTGGTCGAGAAGCAGCAACGATGAAGTATGAGAAATCCTTGTCAATGGTAAAGGCTTGGCTCAAAAAATTTGATCTCGATGAATCTTTGCTGCTCTTCTTGTCACCGGAGTCTCTCCCTAAACCACTTTTCCTACGCGAGAGTCCTGAAAGACTGAATACATACGTGCTTCAATGCTCAGCGTTTTATCATAGCTATGGTGGCGATAGCAAAAGTCTCTTTGCAGAGTTTAAGGAGGACTTTGAAGACAAGGCACACTTTATATTTATAAAAACTTCGAAAGTCTTCCTTGAAGTACTTAAAAACACTCTACTTTATCGTGGTGTATAAACCGCGAATGTTGGTATATTACGTTCTCAGCTTTCTGCGCTCTGTAAATCTTATTAGCCACTGAGCTGGAATAAGGAAGACCTCAAATAAAGCTTTATGAAGCTGTCGCCCGCTTTCTAAAAAGAGGTTAACTTACGAAAACTTTTGCTAGAAGACTTCTTATCAGCTTAATTATCAAAAGACCAAAAATCAGGAGACATAGCATTACCTAGTGCTTCTGAAGGAAACAAGGAATATAGGCGAAATGAACCTAAGGCTGGTCACGGATCCGAGTCAAGTCGAAAATTAAGGCGCCGAGATTAGATTATTACTTTAAACTATTGATTGATCTAACTCTAAGGCCGTTTTTAGTAATGATGAATAGTGTTCTGCTGCCCTTAATCTTAGAAAGAAGTGTTTCACAATTGAGTAGCTGTAAGCATGCAGACAAAACAGCACAACCCTTGTATATCTTACTCTTCATTCTTCGAATCAACAAATTGAAAATTGTTTGGCCACTTTCTAATTATATTTGATTCAGGAAAGACCTGAGAAGGGACGACCATACCAAAGTGATATACCTACATAAATATGGAAGTTTCAGTGATCTACCTCTTCGGAGCTAGGTCTATCCCTTCTTTCGAGTATCATTCAGAAATCTTTAATTTCTCACTTCTGTAGTACCGTAGGCTCTTAAACTCCTTCTCTAAGGGCAGAAATGTTATCACATATAACTCGTTATTCGGTGTTCCTGTTATGATCACATTCTTCAGGTGTGAACTGCTCAGCACGCAATTTCCATCACCCAATTTGTCTTAACCGTGCCGTAGTTTGATTCTCAGCTGAAACTTCAGCCCTCGCTTCTTTCTTACACCGACTGGCACATTTGTCAATATAATTCTGATGATGTAGGGATGAAAATTCTTCTCCTCTTTATCCATGCCCTAGCTGGTTCCTTTCGCATTTGATTCTTTCTCTCACGTCCATATCCTCGACTTTCTCGATTTCTCTTCCTATTGAATTTATTCATTTCTGCTCGCCCGACAGTCGCAGCTGGACACCGAGATGATTCAAATGACAAGTCAGCAAGTATCATTGTTGAAGGGCTGGCTCAGTAAACTTGATCTTGATCCTTCTCTTCTAGGTGCTCTATCGCCAAGATGTGCGTTACAACCTATGGAGAAGGATTGGCATACATATGAATTCAACACATTCGTACTTGGGAGCGCGATTTTTTATCATAGCTGTGACGGTAGTAGCAAGCGTATCTTCAAAGAATATAGGCAGGATTTTGGAAATTGGTCATATGATAATTTCAATAAAACTTCTAAAGTCTTCCTCGAAGCACTCAAGAACACCTTGCGCTATCGCGGTGTGAATCTAGTCGAGCTTGGTTCAGTACGCTTTAACCTTGGCTATAACAGCAAGCGTGAAGCTGCACCAGATTGGGATAAGGAGGATCTTAAACGAAGCTTCAAGGATCTCTCGCTTGCATTCCAACAAGAAGTCATCGCAGATAAGCTTTTACCAGAAGACATCCTGGCAGCTCTCGTGACAAAGTATTCACAATTGATAGTAAAGGAGGCAGACGCTTCTGCTGAAGAACACATTCAAGATGAAGTGAAAAGTGAAACAAAACTTGAAACATTACCTCTCAGCAACGCAACTGTAAGATCTACCATGGACGTGACAAGATTAGATAAAACTATTGAATTGGACCGTACGAAAGCAGACTGCCTTATTAGCTTCGCTCAAGTCTGGCGCAGTGAGAACGATTACACTGGCGATTTATTTGATAATCTCGATTACAAGATTATTGAATTCAAATGGTGCATGAATATTCTGCAAATTAAATCCGAAAATTGGCCTTGTTGTTTCAAATTTATCCTTCGTAAACAAGCAGACTGTTTTGCTCGTGATAGTTTTAAGGATGAATGGGCATTCGATCAGATGGTAGAAGCTTTGAAGGATCAATTCGAAACAGCTGAAAGAAAGCAACTTCATCGTTTTATTTGGGCAAATATCACGTTCAAATCAGTCGTGAGCGAGAATCCTACAAAGAGCAAGTCAGATAATTTACAACTTCTCATCACAAAATTACGTAAATGTCAATATGCGTTAGGAGGTCAATACGCTGCAGACATTCACATCGTTGACTGTCTGTTACGTGCATGCCGTGATGAACCTGACCTAGCCATGGTTTACGGCAGTATGCCCAAAAGCTTCGAAGCTGTTTGTGCTGTATTCCATAAAGCACTGGAGGGGAACTCACGTTTCCAAAGTACTACATCAATCTTAACGGAGGAGTATAGCTCATCTGACTAAAGGTGTATTGTGGGCGTTTGAGAGCGCACGGCTTCGAAGTTATATGTCGAGGTGCGTTTGGTATCCCAAAGCTTCATTCGTAGATTTACATTCCCAATTCGTTCTCTTAAGACAACTTCAACTTTCCTGAAAATCAATCTCTTGTAATTACTCTGAATTAAATGAATTGACAGAAAATGTTCGTGACAATGAAGAGTTAGCTATAGTACATTTTATTGACGCCATTTCGTCCAACATTACTCGTTGACGTCCATTGACTCGATGCACAAAAGTGCAGCTTGAATGAAGAGGCTGACATCATTCGCATGCATTGCATCTTCCATATTTGATCGGATAGTGGAGCCTTTAATCGCGATTCGATCTGTCAATGTACGTCCGCTTGCTGTTTCGAATTCAAACGAAGACATCTGGCCGCCAAGGGTATCGAAATGGATGATCACTGCAACCTCTTCACAGACTTGCCTGGCAGCTTTGTTGGTGACTGTGTATAATATACGCATGCTTGATTCGGTCGGTGCATCGATCGATTGAACACCCATCAAGCCCTGGAACAGCCTTATACGTGCTCTGTGATCACGACAAATTGCTTCCACTTTACGATCCCTTTGCTTTTCGGCTCCAGCTTTGGCTTCTCGAGCAAGCTTTTCAGCAGCACTCTTTTCGGCATTGAGCCTGTCAACAGTTTGCATGCTGCTTGCCAGCTGTCTCTTTGCACTTTCGATCGCTTTGAGAAGGTTGGATTGATTCATCTCTAAGCTTTCCATTTCGATCAATTGCTCATTAAGAACATCTTCCGCTTCTTCTTGTGTGAATGTTCCGATTGCAGGAACAATTGTGCCATTTTGACCTTTTTCAATCTCTGCTCCAATTCCACGAACAGCCTTTAGCCGAGCAAGTTCAAGCTCAATATCTTGTATGCGATTGAGCAATGTTTGTGCTTCTCGTACTCCAAAATCAAGTTCTTCAAAGTTGCCAAATTGTTCGCAAAGACCTTCGATCTCTTTTCGTATTTCTTTTGCCTTGAGTTTCCTCGCTTGTAGCTGTGCTTTCAGCTCTCGTACCTCTGTCTCTAGCTGACGAACATCAGATACTGTATAAACTGTTTGGGTATCATCATTGGTATCATGCACGAATATTGATCGAGTTTCCTGTTCAAGTTGGATCATCTTTAATCTTCTGAAGTAATCACCAATCGCACGTTCTTCTTCCTCCAATCCGCTTGGCCATTGCTTGAAAGATTCCCAAGCTGGATCGAGGAATGAGTGAATATCCTGGGCATCACCTAGTCCAGCATCGTCACTGTTTGCTCTACGAGAGGGACTTTGAGTTGATCGACGTCGACGTTTGGTAGATCTCTGAAGCAGATTTGACTGTAATGACTTCTGAAGCGACAGCAATGAATTCGATTCAATACGATTGGATAAGCTCTTTACGATTTCTTGAACATCTTCTGTTGATGTGGATGCTCTTTTGCTTTTTCTGCTGCTCTTAGGTTCTGTATTTGCATCAATCTCCCTTAGAGGCTTATCACTACTCCTTCTACTTTTTCGAGCTTGATGAGGCTGCTGTGAAGATGTACTTGCTGAAGACATTGTTGTGTGAGATGGTGTCTAGAACAGAGATTGTTTTGATGTGTTGATTGTTCCAATAGATCAACACCAAATTTAACAATCAACGCGTTTGAGTGGTGATTGTGTTGTTCTGTTACTTGACGCGCCGCCTAAGCTTGTGTAGAGTTGTGAGTGTGTGTGTGTTTAACGCGTGCATTCATTCAATTACTCAGCTAAACTCACATAAGCATCATTTAGCGGGGAGACCCTGAAGATTGGATTTTTACTTCTCCTTCAGCCACAATCAATGCCATCATCCCATCCGACCATCAAAGCTGAAGAGATACATAAATGATGACTAGAATCAGAATGATGTCTACGTGACAATACCTATAATTTGAGGCACTATCAAACAATCCAAGGATGGAGACTTATAAGATGGACATCTTACAGACAATTAACGCAAACGTGAACGAACGATCATCCACTTTTCCAATCTATCGTGGAACGGAGAATGTACCGTTTGCATCATCATCGCAAGTAAAGCTCGACCAGCTTGAGAACTCATACAGTGCAAAGACGCCGTTGTGGAATGAAGTACCCTTGCCCATTCCTCGCTCGAGTCAGAAAGCTTCTCCTTCCACAAGTGCACGAAACATCGATTCAGAAGTGCTTATCGATAGAATCAATGATGCTGTACCATTCAGCGAAGCATTGGAAGAGAAGGAGTTTCGTCCATTCTACGATCTAGATGAGGAAGATGAGATGGATTTCGTTTCTGAAAAGCAAAGACTCAACTTGCAAATATTCGAACAACATCTATCGCAATTTTCACATACAGATGAAAATGTATTTGAAGAATCCGACTTGATAGGTATCCTTCCAGATGAACCACTTCCTCTACCGCCTTGTGGACAGCAACCCACACCGCCAGCCAGCAAAGCAAAGAAGCCGCCAGCAAAGCGAAAAAGTAGGGCAAAAGCAGTAAAAGCAGAAAGTAGTAAAGTTGTGGAAGAGTTGACCGAGAGAGAGACTGTTGTCGAAGTCGAAAAGCCCTCTTCGAGACCCAAGCCACGTAGACCAACGAAGAAGAAGTCGGAAACCAGCGCAAAAGTAGAAGCTGAGTCTGACGTGATTCCAAAACCCAAACCAACAGCAAAAAGAGCAAAAAAATCTGTCAAAAAGGCAAAAGAAGAAAGCACCATTGAACCTGACGTGCATCTCGAAGTTCCGAAAATTCTCTTTACTGATATGAAAAATGAACAGATGCAAGCTCAATCTTTAGATGATGATGATGACTTCTTCTTCCACAAAGTTAAAATTGCCCCGAAAGTGCAGTCCAAAACCCATAAAGTGGATGGCGACGATGCAATCCTGAAGCTTGGTATTCGTGATGAGAAGCGTCCGATTTATGCACCATCAGAAGGTACAACGTCTAGTGATTCTGTATTGGAGAAATTGCCCAAGTCACAGACGAAATATTTTGACCCAAATCTCATCAATCCAGAGGAAAAGGCAAAGATGCAAAAATCTCTTCTCTATTTGGCCAATTGTCCTTTGTGTAGAGCGTTTTGGCCAGCATTGAGTGAAGATAAGGATGGCAACATTGTCAATAAGAGCAAAAGGATCTGCAAAACAGCAACTGGACCCAAACGGATCAGTCATTTGCACTTGTGTGCTAAAAAGTATGAACAAACGTACGAAAGTGTTGCGAGCCTTTTGCGCAGAGATACAATCACGTTGGATAAGAACAAACGTTTTGAGCGGATCAAAGAGATGCAAGAAGAAAGCGTTTGGGCAGAGCATTGTGGTGGTAATTTGCCAGGTACTCAAGTGCAAAGTACTGTGCAAAAGATGCTGAAGTCCAAAAAGAATTGGTATAAGATTGAGAAATATGTTCGAGCAAAAGCACAAGAAGAGCAAGAACTTCAAGCTAAAGAGAAAAGCAAACGGGTTCGATCGAGAGGGAATGGTGGAACAGATCGCGAAACGACAATGATCGAAAAGCCAACGAAAGGATCTCATAAAGATGTAGAGAAATGCTACACGTTGTTCGGTCCTTCTAGCTTCAAAAATGTTTCTGACAATGACGCCATGGAGGATGTTATTTGGGTCGATGATTCATTCGCATCAAATTATGATCATAGCGATCAAGCTTGTGAAATGCCTTTTGAAAGCATTTGCAGAGCTAGAAAGAGACGAAGACTGCTGCGAGAAGGACACGTTGGAACATTTACTACTAGCAAAAGTTCTCTCTCAACAATGGGACTTCTTTTTGGCGAACAACTTGCTAAAGCGTTTAAATCGAAATCATCTCGCTATGAAGAATGCTAAACAAGCTTCTTGCTTTTCTTTAATGTGTATTTTATCCGTCCATGTATCCTGTATCATAACATGTATTCATATATTGTATCCAATTTCTTCAACATTGATATGACTATCTCTTGCAATCGGAATCCAATACGCGTGAAGGGCGTAAGGAGCTAGAGCGGGGTCGCCAACGCCTGCATGCACGGCTGCCACACACACGTTTAAGAAGATTGTATCCACCCACAAACACTTGACCTAAAACTACGATCGAAGTACAGCTGACCTCGGCTGTATTGATGAGGTGGCATTGAGATATTCTCGAGCACAACCAAATATGAACAGGAGTGGCAATCTAAGCCAAAAGGGTCATTCGGAGGAAAATGAGGAACAATCATTAATCACTTGGACGTCAAGTAAGCCAATCTTTCAAACATTAAAGACAAGAGCTTGGATTTTGATATGCTTCTATACGACTGTCGTTCTTTCATTGCCATTCTGGCTTCAGACAACAACGATCGAACGATTACCACTACCACGTGAAGATGTACAAAGATGGGAAGCAACTTTACCTTGTCCAGTTCGATTTAGACATACGCTCACCCTTCGATTGCCTGCCGGGATCGTGGCTCGTGAACATGAAGCAATTGTAGCACAAGATTTAGCAAAAGCTCTGAAAGCCGCAGGAGATGGAGTTTGGACGAATGAAAAGGTTCAGCATACAATCAATGGCACGGAAACCTTTCAAGAGGTTGAACAACCGATCCCGCTCGAACATGCTGCTTGTATAGATTGGAACGTACGCATGAATGAGGTGGGCAAATTGGAACCAAGTAGTTTACACTATGTCATCACAATCGCACATGGAGATGCTACAGAATCATTCTTGTCCACTTCCACTACCCGACATTTCACCATCAATTCAGCCTACCCTCTGGAAGGTAGACCGCACGGAGAGGTGGCCTGGTCATTGGCATCGCAACTATCGCGCTTTTTGCAATTACCATATCGTGATTTGTTCTTCCAAGAATCATTCGCTACCATCGGACAAGCATCGCATGGATCGATATCCACTGAAAATGTGTTGCAACGAATTGGTGTCTTGGAGATGGATAAACGACAGATTCCATATACCCGCAATGTTCGAATGGTGTTCACATTGGTCAACGAAGATGTCTCTTCTACAGAGCCTCCCAAGGGGCATCGTGGTACCACTTCGAAGAGGCAACTGTCTAGCGGAGTGGCAGGATGGGACGAGAAGCAAGTGAGCAGCATTTTCAAGAAAAAGATTGCTCCATTGACAGAGGCTTTATATGGCACACATAAACTAGTGACGGAAATGCAAACGATATGGTATGCTCCTCTGCAATTCCAGCCAGTTGAATTAGAGATACCCAAGATCTTGGAAGCAGCAAATGTAAGATCGGCCAAATCCAGAAGGAGGAGAAGGAAGAGTGTTCCTAGTGCGGTCACAGACGATGGAAAAGGCGATGATGATGGCAAGAACGAGGATGAAATCGATGATCTACTTGATGAAGAAGACTCAAAAAGTGAAGTCAAAGCTGACGTACCTGAAGTAGTGGAAAAGGATATCATCAATTTGATACGTCAAGATGATTTGCAAATCTTTGTAAATGCAGGAGAATGGGGTCTCTCTTCGAGTGGTAATGAGATCTCACAATCTGAAGCTGAAATCGAGTCACAAAAAGAGCAAGAGATGGATCTGGAAAGTCTTATCCGACAGAAGGAGCGTACGCTTCACTTTGTCGTCTATGTTCCCAAACCATCTCACAGGCCATTACGAATTGCAGCAGATGAACAGAATAGCAACATAAGTGCCGCAACTGGATGGCTTGTGCCGCAATGGGGAGGTGTCTCGTTGTACAATCTTGGTCATGAAAGTCATGAGGTGGGAAGAGCTGAAGGTGTGCATAGTGACAAGTATAACGGAAAGATGTTGAATTTCCTCAACTCGAACGATCTGGACAAAGCATTCACCTCTTTCGACAAGCAATTGCGATCTCTTTTGGGTCTGCGCAGACCTACTGGAATCAGTGAAGCAGAGGAAGCTGATGCAATGCCATCATCGGATGCAAGATTGGCGCTTGCATTAGATGCACTGGTGCGTAGGAGAACGATTGGCTCTATGCGAGAGAGCGTGAGAACGTTGGCAAGCATTATCCGACTGGTGGACAAGATTAAGATTCTTGGTGTTGGGTCACAAGTACAGGATGACGTACGACAAGCTTTGAAGATGTTACAGACTGCTGCTGATTTGCGAGATGATCAAACTGCACCAATCTTACGTCAAGGATCCTCTTCACCCGTTCCAGCTCCTCTGTCTCCTTTGCGGGCTTTATTGGATCTTCACCATAGCGCTGAATTGTTGAGCTCAAGAGCTTTCTTTAATCCTGCCATGTTGGGCCAACTTTACTTCCCTGACGAACACAAGTATGCAGTTTATACGCCACTTTTTGGACCTTTAGCAATGCCGCTCTTAGTAGCGGCCATTCGATTGATCAAAGAGCGGAGAGCACGATCAAAGAAAGAAGCAAAGACCAGATCAGAAAGTGTCAATACGACCAAAAAGAGTACCTCGAGAAAAACCCAATAAGGAAAACCTTTATAGATAGATATACAGGATCTGACAATGTACGTATAGAAGTTGGAGTGAATGTAAATTAAACCGGTTGCGGTCACATGCTTGTCGATCTGTTTGTTGGTTTCAGATGATGGAGGAATTGCTAGTTGCCGATTATATTAGTAGATTCGCTTTTTTCCGGGTCTTAATCGTGCGACACTGTTCCTATGTTCTGAATTCTTCTCATTGAAGTCAAGTGGCTTCTTGCATATGTGTTTGCTGGATTACTCTCTTTGCGTAAGGGACAAAGTCTATTTAAAGCTGCTTTAAAGGAACTGGGAACTGCCAAATGGATGTATGTACATAAAGCTTAAATCTTCATCCAATCAGACTAGTGTACATGCAATAGATTAAACTCGGGTCGCCCTGCATGAGAAATTGCCTAAGAGAAATCTATCAATTTGATGATCACAAGGGACTGATTTCCAGCTTGTAATCGGACATCAATCACCTGTATGAATAAAATCTTTCGATGAATGTATATTATATTATTAATATGCGGGGGAATGTGTGCGTTGGGTTCCCTTTTACGCGTTCTATAGTGTAAAGCCATCACGCTATTTTATCTTCCCCTTGCTTGCGTTATCCTTACTAGTTAAGTGATGAATATGATTATCATCAGATATTATATTTATTTCAAAGTATTATATTTACAAGTATAATGCCAAGATTGAATGATAATAGCTGTGGCTGTCATTGAGTTGTGTCTAAATATGAATGGTATTGGATCTCCTTCTAATTCTTAAATGCTTCTTTCGAATGTCGGAGGGTCAATGAGAGCAGATCACTGTGAGTAACTGTCATTCACTGTTACTCTGCCCCCTTTAAACGCGCTAAGGAACTGAAAGATCACTTTACGCGTCTTTTTTTTCTTGCCTAATCTGTAACACGCGCGGCACCTTTTCAGTCCCAAGGATCACGCTAAAATCAGACTATTGAATAATGCACTCTGCATGACTTGGCCCCATACGGGTTGACCTTCTTTCCTTCTTATTTTTTAGCCTAGAAATTTGAATTGAAAAGGTATGTGTGGTGTGGGAGGACACTAACAAACAAGTACGGCACGTATCCTGAATCCGCACATGAAAATGAATGAATAGAAACAGATGGATGTACTGATTCTACATGCATGCACACTTGCTTTGTTCACTCATAAAATGCCTACATGTCAATTCTAAATAAAAAGGTATGATCTTCTGTATAACATGCAAGGGTATTAGAAAAAGTATAGTCTAAAACAGCTGCTCTTCATTCCTTTACCGGATCTGCGAACAAAGAGTAGCGTGCAAATCTTCAATGGCTTTCTCACTTAATTTCCGTCTTTAGTCAAACGATCCTTTTTGAACGGTTTTGATCAACGTGTTGACGTTGGATTGGATACCAACGTTCAATTCAACATCTTCTCAACGATCATCGTCGTCATCATTATCATCAACAAAAGATCACGCGTTTATCGTGATTTAGATTTATACCCTAACAAATACACACACATAATAATATACCCACAATCTACAAATGGCCTCTACAGCATCTTCAAGGAGGCCTCCTCCATTGCGAACAGTATCTTCTACTCCCACACGTAAACCGCCTCCAATTCCACCTCCTACTTTGCCTTTATCTCGTTCTCAACAATTGGCAAACGCAATCGCAGCTGCTGAAGCACAAATGAAAGACGCTCTCGATCAATCACAAAAGCAACAACAACGTCAACAACAAGGAACAGAGTCAAACAACGCAGCAGATGTTATATGGCAAGGAAAAGGCGCTTCTTTATTCGAAAAAGGTTTACCTTCTCCTGTCGGTAATCATACTTCAAACGAAGATTCACAAGGTGAATTTGCCGATGCAGATGAAGGTTTCGATAGCGATGAAGCAAGAAGCGTAGATGATAATACCACATTTACAACTTTATCCACTTCTGGCAGTACAACAAAGAGATCAACATCAAATACAATGCCGCCACTACCGTCGCCTTCTTTACGAAAAGGTTCGCTTCCGGCCGCTCCAGCTCGCCCCCAACGTAAAGCACCGCGAAACCCACATCCCATCGCAGATGAAATTGAAATGGAGGAAAACGATGAGGATTGGGGTGAAGACGACATGGATGCAGGAACGACATATGGACATGCTAGCAGAGCTTCTATCGGTTCAAGCATTTGGGCTGGAAGGGGAAAGAAGAAGAATTTCACAGATGATGCAGATATACCCGCTTTACCTTCTCCTGATCTATCCGTGATAGCGCACAAAAGCAATCCAAAAGTACGGAAAGATCGAATCAGTATGGCAGAAACAAGCAGCGTATACAGTCAAGGAGGCGCGACTGATTGGAATGATGATGCACATCATCAAGCACTGGAACAAACGCCACCTTTGGATAAGATACGTCAATTGGGCTCTCATATGTCACCTCAATCTCGTGATGATGAATTCGAAATGATGGATACTCAAAGTGTATATGAAGGTAGAAACAGCATTTCTTCAAATTCTGCCGGTCTCACTTCGCCTACTTTTGCACCAAACACAGCCGAGCCTGAACGTAGATTACCCGATGGTACATTGGTTCCCAAGATGCCACCTTTGCCGCCTCATCATTATTCTCCCGATCCAAGTTCCCAGAATGGTGTTCAAAAGAGAGGCAAGAAAGGACGAAGAAACCGTTCACCCATCCTATCATATGCAGACGGAGAAGAAGAAGAAGAACGTTTAGTGCAAGAGCGTGAATTGCGTGAACATGGTGGTATCGGCGGATTGCAAACAACCGCAACCGGTATGGGACCAAAATTGAAAAAGAATTCTCCTGCACCATGGGAAATGGATAATGATTTGGATTTGGATAGCTCTGCTTCGGTAGGCGGAAGTAGCACTGGCGCAAAAAGATCGACTGATGGACCTTATTCCGGTTTACACTCGCGTCCTTCTATGGAACATTTGTTTGCTTCTGGAATGAAAAATCCTTCCAATTGGGCCCGTCAAAGTATGGAGCAATTCCGTAATCGATCGGTCTCAAACGGAGGTACACCATCTCCTATGCCTGCTGGCCATGCAAACCATCCTGGTGCGTCAAACATTTCACTTCCTTCTTCAAAGTCTACTACTGCTTTTCCGGGCAATCCTTCTAATCCAATTGCTCAAGCTTCAAGCCCCTTAGCAGGTATGCCAAAAGGTGCAAACTGGTTAGATGATGAGCCTTCGTCACAAATGGAAAATGCACCTACTGGAGATGAAGCGCCTTCTAGACGTTCACGAACAAAGAGCATTTCTGGAAGTGCAGCAGGCATGTTGAAAGGTTTGGGCTTGGCTTCTAGTGCTGCTCCGGCCAAAAAGGCATCCTCTTCACGTCTTGCAAAGGCGTTTCAACGAGGCAACAAGAATGGACCGCAAGGTGCATCACTGCCAGCAGAAGGTAATCGTAAACAATCTCTCAATCTCAGCAGAGGTATTAGCTCTGATGATTACGCTCATTTACCGCCTTCGCCTACTTTACATCAAAACAATATCAATTTACAAGTAGCCAATGGATCTTCACCTTATATGAGTCATTCAAGTGCGAATTCCCATTCTTCTCTTTCTCATCGGTCGGATGGCTCTCCTGGTCTTGCAAGCTTTGTGCCAGCGACAGCTGTTCCTCCGATGCCCAAAAGAAGGACGAGCAATGGAGCAAGTACTCACTCTGTCAACCAGTCTGGCTCAGCTGTGCCCAATTCAAGTGCAGACGGACATTCTCTTACCGGTTCATCTTCTAGTCATAACTTACAACAAAAATTAAACGGAGGCTTGCATAGAGCAGAAATGATGGATATGATCATGTCTTCAAATGCGAAAGCACGTGAATCACATCCTCGTAATCCAACTGAAGGATCTGTTGCAGGCTCATCAGATACTGCAGCTGATGCAACTTCTCCTCAAAGACCTGCTCTTAACATTCAAAAGGCATCTCCGAATGGCAAAAAGACTGATTCTCAAGATTCTAGTAATACATCACCCAAACATGCAATGCCATACAAAAACACTTTTGGCTTTGGAGGAAGCGCAGAACGTGCTTCGACCGGTGTTCCGCATCAACAGAACCTCAAGTCACAGCAAGCAGGTCAAGTACGCACAAAAGTTGTAACAACTGGACCAGAAGGAGAGTTGCGTTCGAATGAAAGCATTGGAAGTCAATCACAAGATAGTCAAAGGTCAGGAGAAAGAAGTGCAAAGCCGGCTGAAGGTGGTGCCACTTCATTGCCAAAATTGCCTAGCGTTGGTGCACATGATGGCGTTCCATACAAATTGATCTCTTTGGAGGAGGCACGTTTGCAACAACAAAGGGCAAATCAATCCGCTGAAACAGGACCAGGATTGCCTACGTCCAATTCCGAGAAGAATATGGGTCTCATCTTGAACCAAGGTGAACCTATCACTGGCTCGGAGCGCGAGAGAAGCTTGAAGAATAAGAAAAGTGGTGGCTTCTTGCGTAGGTTTGGAAAGGAGAAATCTGACAATAACCCAGACAATGTCGGTCCTATGCCTTCTTTCGCCCCTCCCAATCCTTCGCAGAACGTGTTCCAACAAGGTGAATCAACTGCTGTTCAGGCACCTCCAACTTTATCAGTCCGTCCGATGAGCTCGATGTTTAGCGGATTTGCTCCTGGCTTTATTGATACTTTGGCAGTCACAGAGGAAGGTGACGAAGATGCCGAAAGACAAAATGAATCGAATGATCCAAACGGATTCTTGTCGCCTTCCAATGCAGTTCAACGTACCCTTGCGCCACATTCACCTGCCATAACTGTTGCATCAGTGGACAGTGGAACATCGGGAGCAGATTATTACGATGCTCATGATGTCATCACATCCAATCCCCCCGTTCAACAAAATAATCTCAAAGCACCCTCTTCAACTGTCAATGGCGCCAAATTACGAGCTCCCACCTCTGGTGCAAATGGAAACCCTCCCACTTTTGTTGCCCATATGTCCTCAAGACCTTCGACGGACAGTACGCAAAGCGACAATTCATCCGCTTTGGGCTTGGTGAGCGGATTCCCCAACCTTCCAACTACTGGGCATGGGGCTACAGCGGCTAGTCTGACCGGTAAAGATCGAGTTGAAGGCACGATGACCGCAACACCCATGTCTTCCGCAAATGCAGATGGAATCTCGTCATTAGCATCGGCTACAAGATCGCGTGCATTGGAAATTGAAGCAAAAATGACCGAACTGCATGCTGAACTTGTGAAATTGCGTGTGTTTGCAATTGATAGCGGATTGGCAAAACCTGTTCAACAAATTGGTTCTCCTGATCTGGGCAATAATAATGTTTTAGCAACAAAGGAAATCGATCCTGAATTATCGGAAAAAGAAATCGCTCAACAAGAAGATGCTTTACTCATTCCAATCGATCCTTGTTCTCATTGTGGCTGTCACTGCGCAGAACAAAAGAGACTTCAATCTTTGAACGAATTGGCAATCTTGAAAGGGATCAGTGTTTTGGATCGTGGTCGTGCATTGAAACCACTTGCCGGTCAAAATGGAAGCAAATTTGGCGGATACCTTGACCGTTGAGAATACAGAAATATACCATGACAATACCTTATTCAATTCTTTCAAATTACCAATCTAGATAGCGAATATGTTATTAGACTATACCTGAATTATAATTCCCGTTATATTGTTTGCTCAGAGTGAAAAGAAAAACCTTCATAATGCTGATATTGAAGAATAGTGTAACAGCGATGCTACAATAATATATAGTACAGAATAAGTGATGTAAAAATGGCAAGATCATAAAGCATCTGTGAATAGAATAAATAGCGGCAAGCATTGCTAGCACAAAATAAAGATCTTTGGATAATGAGCACCCCTTTGCTACTCTATTCCTTTTTTCCCTCCTCTTCTGCCAATAAAAAGTCCAATAACGCCTTAGCACCTCTACGATCGACCAGAGCTTTGATTGCTCGCAATTTTGATAATTCGTCAACGTCCACTTCCATGGCAGAAGCAGAACTTTCTGCATTCATACGATCTGCAGCTACTTTTGCCTCGCGCATTCGCTCCGTTAATTCGGTAACGGCTGGAGAAGGTGTGAGAGCAGGCGAAACCATTGCCAACGATCTTTGGTCAAATTCTTCTTCATATACACCTGGAACGAATGTCTGACGTATTCCACTTTCAATTTCACCATCAACCTTTGATTTCTCATCTTCGGCAACCTCTGTGGAAAGATCCAGATTGGGAAACAAGGTTCGTGCATATTGAGAACCAAAGATCTGTTCTACGCTCCTCTTCGCGTCAGTTTCTCCTCCTCGCTCGCCTTTGCTTTGATTGGAAGTATTCATAGCAACGGATTCAGCATTGGCAATGGATGCCAAAATATCAAGCGGCTGATGAACATCCTCATGAGCTTGCTGCAAAAAACGAGAGAATGCTCGTTCTCTCTCAATCTCTGCTCTTGACCAGAAATCCAATCGGATCACTTTCTCGGGAATACGATACTTGAATTTGAGATTTTTGGATGATGAAGCATTTGTCTTTTGAGAAGTGTTTGTAGCAACGGATGTAGCTGTATTAGGAATGTCTAGCTCTTCCCAACCCTTGTCGTACCCTCTGCCTCGCTGATCTCCAGATCCGCTCACACTGGATGCCAACGATTGCGTGTTCTTTTCTTCCTGCTGTTTGCCGGATTTGTCATTTTGGCCATTTTGTGGTGCAACAAAATAGGTGTCCATAGGATCGGGTATGATATCGATGCGACCATCGTTCACAACCCTTGTGCGATAATGCTTTCCTGGGCCAATACTCTTTTCCGATGGTACTGGTAAATTATGTACAGTTGTACTGTTTGCGATCGATTTGGGAACTCTTTCAGCACGAACGGCATGATCAACATGTGCAGGACACATCCATTTACGACTTAAGCTCGGCATACTTGCCATCGGAGGCTCAAGACAATCCAAATGCCAGTGCAAAGCGCAGAAGTCACAACTGAGGATCTTTCGCCAGCCAATATGATCCCCATCAACCGTATCTTTTGCTGTCTGTCGATCCGTTGCCTTTCTTGGACTGCTTCTCCTTGGTTGATTTGTCCTCTTTCTTCCTTGTCCTGGAGTACGTTCAGATGGTAAAGCAGATTCGCCACATTTATAGCAGAGGATCAATTTCCCGTTTTTATCCTTCAAGCGCAAAGGATCACGCTCTTCGACAACGCCAAGCCTGTTAATCTTCAATGGACGAAGCATATTTGAATCGACATAACTACCATCAGCAGCAGTAGCGACGCCTTTGAAATAATTGCGAATCTCTAGGGGCAAAGCAAATATGGTCGGATTAGTCTGGTCGAGATAGGTGAATAGAGGCTGAAATCTGGCAGCCCCTTTTCCATTCGAATTCGCCTTTGCTTTTTCCTTGCTTTTGCTTCCGGTATTCTTTCCATTGGAAGGTACTTCTGATTTGATAGACTCTTTCTCTGTTTTGCAGACATTGCAATACCACTTATCGTCTTCATCTCCCATCGTGACAGGCAATTCGTCAATGTCCATGGGCGGATTGATACAAGCAAAATGGAAACTACGTGGACATCCATCACAACAGATGAAATGACCAGGTCCATTGCATGTTTCGCAATGTTCATTATTCTCTCCTCCATTATCGATCAAGCCTGATCCTGCATGTACCATCTTTGTACTTTGACTTTTTGAAGCAGAATTACGCAAATTGATCGTCATCGTGGGCTGTTGAGATGCTTTAATCGGAGTGGCGAAGCTTGCATCTGCCGCAATAGCCTGAGCAAGAAGATCTTCGTCGGCTGTGGTAACCGTTGTAGCTGTGAGAGGAACGGGACCTACTTCTTCCAAGGTAGAAGATGCTGCTCGTGATCCATTCGCTGATTCATCCACAGTGGATTGTGCATTATTCTGATCAATCATTTCATCTACTCGTTCTGCCAAAGAATCAGGAGGAGATGGTGGCTTTGCATTCTTTCCGTAATATCCTCCAATCATTTTTAGTCGTTTGTGTGCTTCTCTTGGTCTTCTGGATGATGCTGAGTTGATTGAGTCAGTCGAAAGATCTGCTGCAGAGATATCATTGAAAGATTGATCCAACACTTCCAATTCGGATTGTCTTTTCCGGCGATTTGATCGAGAGCTAGACGATGCCTTATTTGGAGTTTGCCCTGATCCAATTATTTCTTCATTGTCACCCACTATTGAGCTATTGGCATAATCAAGCACTTGATCAACATCTTCCGAAATAGTCACCCTTGCAGCTGAATCATTACCTCCTTCTTCCGCGCTGGCAAGTGTCACGCCTTTAGCCCCGTTTAACGTCGTATCGCCGTGCTCTGTGTCCACACCCATTTCGTCATTTCCTACAGCAGATGAATCACGATCGTCCATCTCACGTACGATTGCACTACTTGCCCTCGAATTCGAGTCAAGAGGAGTGGGATGCTGATCTATTTCAGCTTTGATCTCTCTGATAGGTGACTGTTTTGCGTTCTTGTCTCGATTGTTCATTCTGATGAGTTGTTTGGCGATCTCTTCACGTCGTATAATCGGTATCGGATTACCTTTTGAATCTAAACCATTGGTGGCAAGACCTGGATATTCAGTATCAAAAGGTAATTGCGGCGGTGGCGGTAAGATTTGACTTGATTCATCAGACGCTTTGACGCGAAAGAGGTTTTGCTCCTTTTGATTTAAGGCTAATTTCTCTACGTCTGCATTGGACGCTGAATGTTCATTTGATTGACCTGGTGGCGGTAATGGTGAAGTAGATCGAGTTTGCCGTATTGATAGCATCCTCTCAAGTTGAGATTGAGCCTGACCAGATTGTGGGCTTGATCCAGATTCGAGATCGCTGGTTCGGGCAGACCGTCTTGTGGATTTGGAGATAGTCCTTGATAATGAAGACGAAGGCGGTGCGCTACTTCGCATTTGCGAATCTTTCAATCTGTTTAAGATCCCGTTTGAGACGGAAGTAGGCTCACTTTGATCCTCTGCACTGAAGCCACCATTCATCAATCCCATATGTTCGTCTCCATCATTCCTCATTGGTGGAGAGCTTGCTGACGCTTTGCCATTGGCTTTCCTTCTTTGTGATGAGGATGGTGTCTGTTTAACGGAGGAATCCAATCTCATTGAAGACGAACTGGCTTGACTTTCGTACGTTCCATTTTCTGCGCTACCTTCCCGCAATCTGTTTGTGCCATTCGAAAGGCCTGAAGAAGGTGACGAGGGGGCCAATTGAGTATCGCCCATCACCCCCAGATAACGATGATGCGAATAAATATGATTGTTTGATTCTTTATTTTCTCGAGACGATATCTTTTATGATGACGTCTCGGATGATCGTCTGTATATCTAGACCGGCGAGATCAGGAGATGGTTTTGTTCATTTGCTCGCCTTCTTACGCAATAAGTAGAGTATTTCTTGGATTACGTTCCCTGAAGATGAGCTTCGTTGCGTTGAAAAAGATGAATACAGGTGACTCTCCTTCGTACAGTAATTCTTACAAGTCCTCCCCTTTCTTGATGAAGAGATCGAATGATGACAAAGATATATGAATGAATTTGATTTTACGTGTGTCGGTGGTGTACGGGTGCGGATAGTCCAAATTTGTAGCGCTGCGCACGCGTGATCGAATTTCTGTCTGAATTCCCAAAAGGTTGATGTAGGTTATCGATCGTGATAAAGAATGTCAATTCGAATGCGATAATGACACAGGTATACTCTTGCCACTCAGCCCAATTGTCAATGATCAGAATTGGACCTTCTCTGTTACCTTCTTTTGGTTGGTGGTGGTGGTAAAGAATGAGACGCGCTTTGATTGCCAACGCGTGAGAAATAGAATCGAGCAAAACTTTACAGCAATGGTGAAAAGAGCATTCAGATATTCATCCTTGAAATTGAATTTCATACCGTGTTTAGCAATCAAAGCGGTAGAAATTGAATAAAGTATGTCATTCCAGTACCCTCTTATACTTTTAAACTCCTTTTCTCTTCCTTTTTCAACATTCGCCCTGAAAACGAATTTCAGTCATTGTTTGAGCACAAGCATATATTAATCATCGCATCCAAAAGCAGAAATACAGTAAGGTTATGTTACATGAGCTGTGAAAGTGTATTAAAGGGTGGTATATAGAGTAGTAATGTTCGTTTCATCCATCTTGTTGTGTATTGGTAGTTTGTTCTGTTGGTTCACTGTCATCGTCTGATTCTCTAGCGTTTTCGTCCCCTTCTTCGCTTTCATCTTCTTCTGGCTGTATATTCATTGAAGAATCACTTCCCAGTAAATCAAATCTTCCTGCTTTTCTCCATTCTTTCTCCAACAATTGTCTCCTTTTTTGATCTTCTTGACGTGCGTTCAAATGATGTTGTTTCTCTTCTTTTTGTGCATGTTCTTTTTCTTGTTCTGTCATTTGCACCTTTGATGCACCAGAAGCAGATTCGGCATGCCCACGGTGCGAAAGATGGATTCCATGTAAACGAACATCAAAGAAATTCATATGTGGCATAGAAAGAGATGGCATGTTGAGAGCAGTGATGCCAGGCATGTGTTGCACAGGGTAATTGTACCAACTCTTCTTACTCTTGGTATGCAGCTCTTCCGGTGCATGTGCTTGATCGACGATTGGATCTTTGTCTTCGGAATCAGTCATCGTCTCTGGTTCATCTGTGAGCACTACTGGCTCCTGTTCAGGAGTATGGTCGTGCACTTTCGATTTGCGTCCTGATTCGTTACTCTCTCTGTCATGATCAGGAGATGTGCTTTCTGAAACTGTTGTTGCATTTGTATTAGATCTCGGTGGACTTCTGAGGTGCATCATACTGGCAACATGTTTGACAGACAATGACCCATGACGAATAAGTCTCTCCATCGAAGAAGCAGTTCGTGATACTTCCCTGCCTTTGGATGGTGGAGAAGAGTCGGGCGAATCTTTACTACTTTCGTCCACTTCAGACGTATTTGAGCGGAAGGTTGAAGTTCTTTTTTCATCCAAAGGTTGAATAGTGTTTGATCTAGAAATGCTGCCTTGTTTTTTATTGCCTCCTAAGGCTCTTTTGACCCTCTTCGATCGCTCAAGAGATTGATAGATAAAGTCACGAGCAACATCCAAGCCTTTCTCTTTTCGAATCATCTCTCCAACAACTTGAGCTTTTTCACGTAAAAGAGTTTCATCTCGAGCACGAGTTAATGCTTCAGTAATATCGTCAACCGATAGCGACTTCACTCGAACTCCTGCTCCTAATTTTGCCACTCTTCCACTCCAAAAGTATTGATCTCCAAAGAATGGATGGATTAAAGTCACCAGACCAGCCCTGAGACTAGCACCCGTCGTACCTGCACCTCCATGATGCATCGCAATATCGATCCGAGGGAAAAGCCATTCGTGTGGTATACTGTCAACAACGTATGCTTCTTTAGGTACTTCTGGTAAGTCTACCTCCCCTTCTTTTTCCTTCTTGGCAATCATTCTTCCTGACCATCCTTTTGCAACAACTGCTCGAACATCACTTCGACGAATAGCTTCATATATGTTTCTCTGAACGCCGATAGGATCAGACATTGTGATCGAACCAAAACCGATATAGCAAAGCTTTTTGTTATCGTCCTTTGCCTTTTGAATGAATGTGAGCAATTCTTTGGGCGCTTCCCATTTGGTTGCATCATTTGTCAAATTCCAATAGCCAGTCACTTTAATACGATCTCCCCAGTCCAAAGGCGGAGGTACGACTGCTGGCGAGAAGTTGTACATGAACGGCACAGAGCCTTGATCGAGCTTATTGAGATCTGTTGATTCCAAATGAAGCATATGTCTACGCCAACGATTGATTTGACCAGAACTTGCGAGCCATAAAACTTGATCGAAAATGGTATAAGACATTGAGTTATACTGGGGACCCAAATCCACATTGGGTACGGAAAATGCTTGCGGGTAAGTTGATGTCCTTGTCCATGGCATCGTGAACGCTCGCATGTAATAAGATCCAATCGCTTCAGCAACATGAATGCCTCCGAAAGTAGAAGGCGATTCGATGATTAAGTCGGCATCCCAACAAGTTTCCATGATTCCGCGCAAGAGCTCATCAAGCCAATGTCTAAATTTGCCCATCGCTTCACGATAAAATTGTGGAGAGAAGAGCATTTTGTTATTGTCCACACTGAGCTTCATCAGTTCACCTGGATCTCCACCGACCGCTCGGAAAGCGATTCCATTCCCTTCCACCCATTCTCGATACTCTTCATGACTGACGATCGTGCACGTATGGAAGTCTTTTTGTAACCTCTTGCAAAGGGCAACGTACGGCTGAACATCACCACGACTTCCGATCGTCAGACAGTGGATCTTCATAGGTGCAACAGTGACATTGACGCTGCGATCCATGTTGATCGTTCTTGGTGCAATATTGATTTGACTAGGTTTCAAAGTGATTGTCTTACTGCGATCCTGCAAGGCGAGTATGTCCGTTTGTGTTGATGGTTGTTTCTGGACCTTGTGCTGCGTACCACCTACTGTCGGGGGATCAAGCTGAGGGTCTTTCTCTTGAACCTTTGTCGGTTTATTTGTCTTGCTCGCTTCTTTACCTTGCTCTTCAACTTTCTTTTTGATAGCTTGCATGATCTCCTCTCGTTGCCCTTCATCTTTGATTTCCATAACGATATCTTCATGTGCAAGAACGTGAATTCGTAAGCCTGAATAATGCCATGAAAATGCTTTTGTTTGCTCTGCTCCTTTAATGTCCCGGAATGGAATTCGAATTCTAGTATCTGCTAGGCCTGTCCATCTATGTCTGCGATAGAAGCATAGATGTCTTGGTGTGATTGCCAAAGTTCCGGCCAATGGGAGCGTGCGTACAAGATGAACTTTGAACGTATTGATCTCTTCAATAGAACAGTCCAAAGAGAACTGCTCCAGAAATACCGCTGCTTTACTGTGTGGACCTGAAGCATTCTCACTTCCAGTCTCAGTTTTATTTGATTCACGATCCTCACTTTGAGCACGAGGTCCATCAATATCGATCAAAGCGGTAGGCAAAGTGTACCATAATGACTTTTCCACATTCGCTCGTAATTCAGCCGGCCTCTTTAAAGCGGGTTGGAGGTGAGGCAGCATTTTCACTGCATCATTCACAAGTGCAAACAAGACGTCCGTAGTACTGTGAGGATCACGATCAGAACGATGTAAACGTGGGATTCTATGTTGCGGAGCATCGACATCCAAAACATCAACGTGAACCATAGTAGAAATGTCAAGGAAATCGGTAAAGAATAATTGAGCAATACGAACCAAAGGTATGCAAAGTCGGATTTTATCAAAGTTGTGTGTTGACATAAAGATTGCCGCATCAATTTCACGTTGCCATGCCATTGCAGCTTCAGACGTTTCGAATTCTAACGACACCTTTTTGCCCCTTACACGGAAATGAACTGCTTTTTCATGAGGAGACGGTTGAACGTCATCGATATCGATCAATCTTGCACCACCAAGAGGTTCGTATAGTTCTGTACTGCTAGGATATGCGATGATATTCTCGCTTGTCAAAGTGAACCATGCTTTCCTCTTTCGTTTTGTAAGTCCTGGTCTATGAATGATAGCCGGTCCTTGTTGAAGGATACGATGCTTTGTAGGGCTGGCAGGCAATAATGCAATAAAGCATAGTCGATGCGTTGTGAGAACCAAGTACCCTCTGATCAACACTCTCCTTACCAAGACGGCAGCTTGAGAGCCTAAAACGCTTTCTTTTCCCAACTTTTGGCTTTCTTTGGCATCTTCGATCTCAGGAGCAGGTCCAAATTCTTCGACAATTGCTTCCAACTTTTCCTCATCGCTCATCAGAGGTACAGGATTGGTACTTTCGGAACTGTGACTGCTGGTACGACTGATTGCAGAGAGAACGTCATCGTCCTTTTCATCACCTTTGAGGAATAAGTGATCACTTGCATCTTGTGCTGACGCATCATGCTCTCTTTCGATTGGCTCAAGAGGTGCAAGATTAGTGTAGAATGGCGCTACGGATGAAGGCCTCTGAGCAGATGTGGGAGCTGGAGTGCGAGATCGAGCAGAACTTGCTTTTCGAATCCTTTGTAGTAATCTTGTTCCTTCATCACTCTCGGTACTTGAGCTCATCGACTCCATCTGTTTTAGTAAATTGGCCTTTTGATGTTCAGGGAAAGGAGTATGTCTTTCATCGGATGAAGGGTTATGATGTTGAAGAAATGCTGGCGTTTTGGCTCTTTGAAATGGTGAGCTCGGTCTTTTGAATACAGAGCTTGGAGTGTCGGGGCGATTGAGAAAAGGTGGAGTGGACTGAGCGTGTGTACGATCGGGTACGTCATCCGTAAGATGAAAAGGTGCTTTGATTGGCGTTGGCGTTTGAGTATCCTTGGCGTTTTCATCGCGATCGAAGTTGAATGGCGGCTTGCCGTGTGAGGCTGAAAGTGGAGTTAAGCCTGCATTCTTTTGAGATGATAATGGCGATTTGGCCCGATTAATTTCGTTACCTTGCTTTCCCTTTTGTGATTGTCTCGATTTAGCTTTTCTTCGATCATCTTCCATTTGAGCTGCTTCTCTTATCAAGAAGCTTAATGATGTGTTTATATCATCATACGATCCTTGTTCGAATGCTTTAGGGGATGGCCTTCTCGGTTGTGGTTTGAGTAGTGGAGGTGATGGAGGTCTTTCGCTTGGTTGTTGTGATGTATGCTGATGATTGTCCGATGTCATCTGATTTTGTTTGTCTGTATCGACTTTGGATGCCATGATGGGCAACAACTTTGTGATGGTCGTTGGATGTTCAGAAGTGCTGTTCTTTTGGAAGTTTTGTGTTCATATCACAATTTGTTCGCTTATGGAATTTGCAATAGTTTCATATCTTTATGTCATGAACGTCACTTCTATTGACATGAAGAGCATTCATTCATCCTAGAATATAACCGCGGCTATTGGTTTGTCAATCCGAGTTTCCCTTTTTTGTATTTTTTTTTGCTGCACTTCTGCGTAATAAGCCACATTTTTACCGGGCCATTAATTCCGATTTATCTTTTACGCGTATAGAATGCTCCACTTTATACGCGTTTGACACTTCCGTATTCCGTATGCTTATGTAAGTTGTTTTCCTCTTCATCGCCATTCCTTTGTTTTATGGTAAGCAATTTGTCATATTTCTATCAGTAGAGCTCAGTTGTGATAGCTTCTGGTGGCATCTACTTGCGAGGACTATACAGAGAGGAAATCGGACATCTGAGAAGTCGACGAGAAATAATTCTGCGTGAAAACTTTAATCTTTTGAATTGATTTAAGTTTTATTACGAAATAACATAATTCCACATTGCCTATCGAGTTACATCTTAATAATATATACAGCAAATGGACATACGGTCTTACACCATTCTAAGACGAGTATTCAGGCAGTACTACGATCCTATCATTGTATCTTATAGTAGCACTAAGGCGGATTCTACTATATTTACTACTCACGACAATACTCACAACTTTGCTAAAGGCAAAGATATAAATTGATGCAAACACATCCTTGCGAGATATGCAAGCACATGAACAACCATCAAAATGTCGTGCAAGCTTCTCAGATCTATGCATATCGAAGAAAGGAAGTGGTGCACATACGAGCTGTAGAATTTGAAGTCTCACAAAGCGGATAAAATTCGAATGGTCGTATTAATCTTCTGACTATAGACCCAACTCTTGCCTTACACAACTCAGCTGTAACGATCAAGCTATGAATCGATCAGAGAGTGCGAAGCTAATCATATACATTGGGTCCGTAAGAGAATGCGATATCCAACTTTGTCACGGCCGTCTCCGCAAAGACAAACACACACTGAAAGCTCACAAACATTCAAGCGTTGACGCATACAAGCACAAAAGCACAGCAACCGAACCAGACATCACACATCAACAAAAAAAACACAACGAAAGCAAAGACAGTTCACACACAAAGTTTGGGGCAGTGGAATATGTAATATTACAGATAAAGGCGGCAGAATACCTCTTGTAAATGACAACAAGAAACAAGAATGATAGGTAGACTACACAGGCACAAGTACATCAACAGCATCCACAAAGGACAAGGATACATGATACTACAAGAGAGAAAAGAAAGAGGATGATCGTCGTATCCTTCCCCTATACCAAATGATCTTGCATTTGTGAACACGAAGTTGCATCAGACAAAAGGGAACCGCTTAATCTTGGCTGGCCTTTGCCTTCTTACCAGATTTGGCTGGCAAGAGTTCAGATTGGATGAATGGCAAGACACCACCTTGACTGATGGTAACACCACCCAACAAACGGGAAAGTTCGTCATCGTTACGGATGGCCAATTGCAAGTGACGGGGAATGATACGTGATTTCTTGTTATCACGAGCAGCGTTACCTGCCAATTCCAAAATTTCAGCAGCCAAGTATTCCAAAACGGCAGCCAAGTAAACTGGTGCACCAGCACCGATACGTTGAGCGTAGTTTCCCTTGCGCAAATGACGGTGGATACGACCGACTGGGAATTGCAAACCAGCCTTGGAAGAACGAGATTGAGATTTGGCGTCTGAACCAGACTTGCCACCTTTACCGCCGGAACTGTGATGATAAGCAGAAGAGGAAGACATGGTCAGCATCACATGTTGTATGCATAGCATCAAGGATCATTTGTTATGTTACTCACGACATGATGATTAGTTATGTATAGTTGGGTTGATTAGCGAAAAGTGCTAAAGAGTTGATTGAATTGTGATGGATGAAGAGAAAAGGGAAAGACCTCCTTGACAAGCAGCAAAAGAGGCTTCCTTTATGAAGGATTGCAAAAACTTGAATAGGTTATGTTGCTTGCCTATCAAACAATGGCGCATATGCAATGCGAGAAAATACAACACTTCATCAGTCAAGGGGGAATGTACACGCACGCATACACAACAAGACGATATACACATATTCCACAACATTTTACTGACGTTTAATGCATCTAGATCAAAATGGCGCGTGTTATTTGGAGCATTCTCGAAAGCTGACGTCAGTATTTGTGATTTTAAATGTCACAACACTGCGTAGAAAGGGTAGGTACACGTATTATTTATTTTATTTTTGAGACGCGCGTCGATTATATTTACGCGACGATGGCAATACGCCATTTAATTGATGCAGAGGAGCAGTGTAGTTTAATTGGAAGATCTTGATGGCGCAGAAAAGGCGACAGATATCAATCAATTGTACACTATCTGCAGAATGTGGCATAGTTCCAGTGATATATCGCAATTGCAATATTCAAGCTGTGTATATTCCTCACAAGAAATACACATCAATTGCATATTGTGTATGATTCAAAGGGACATACTCCGTAAACGCGCGCAGAATCAGTACCGTGTTGCGTGTTTGATTTTGTACATGCTTGAATACTATCAAGCACTGCATGCAAAAAAAAGGCCATCCTGTGATCCTTCATAAAGAAGCACTTTTCAACCTCTGTTCAAAGCCGAACCCCTCTTTTATTCCATCATCACACATCTCTTCTAACAACTCTTTTGTTGTAAGTCTTATAAATCTTAACATCTATCAAGTGAGTAGTAACACAACACATATCACACATAGCTTAACAAACATATTGACATATCATCCTTCATCACCATCAACAGAATGGCACCAAAACCAGCTTCCACCGCCGGCAAGGCCCCATCATCTCAAGCAGGAAAGGCACCTGCCAAGGCTCCTGAAGCCGCCAAGAAGACTTCCAAGTCCACCAGCAAATCCGGTGAAAAGAAGAAGCGCTCCAAGGTCCGCAAGGAGACATACTCTACTTACATCTTCCGTGTCTTGAAGCAAGTTCACCCAGACACCGGTATCTCAAACAAAGCAATGGCAATTTTGAACTCTTTCGTTCAAGATGTCTTTGAACGTTTGGCCACCGAAGCTTCCAAATTGGCTGCTATCAACAAGCGCTCCACAATCTCATCTCGTGAAATCCAAACCGCTGCTCGTTTGATCTTGCCAGGTGAATTGTCCAAGCACGCCATCTCTGAAGGTACCAAGTCCGTTACCAAGTACTCTTCTTCTCGTTAAATTGTGTGATTCACACTCTTTTTCCTTGGCGATCAAGATACGTACAAGTCCATCTCTGTATAACATTCTCAAACATGGTTCATTGTCTTTGATCTTTGTTTGATCCGTGCGTATCCGGATGAAAGGTAGTTCTGTCATTCTCAAAGAATCATCCCTTTTCATTTGTCAACTATATTCCAATCGCATGTACTTTTTCGTGCTTGTCGATGTTCTGTAATATTACCTACCGTGACTTCCCGATTGGGGAAATGTACCGTGCTTATTCTCTTAACCTTGTGTGAACTTGTGATTCTAGAAAGTGTTGATAGAGTGCTGGGCGCAAGTTGAATGGCATGTACCCTGTATGCTGTATGTCGAACGACCTGTAATACACTGCTGAAATTCACTCGCGGTGCAAGAATCATGTTGCTTCAAAGGTTTCTCATTTATACACTATAATACAAGGCCAAAATTGTTCTCGTTCATTGATATCATTCCTCCTCGCCACGGTCAATGTGTTCATCTTCATCATCATCTGGAATGAACTCTTCTGCTTCCTTTCCATTGCCATCAAAATCTTGTCGATCTCGCGATTTAGAATTGTCCACGTCATGGTTGCCTTCCTCATCGCATACACGCAACATGTATGCTTGTTCACTTTCGCCTTCACGTCGTTTGAACGGATTTGCTTCCTCATCGTCACTACAATCGTTCGTTTGTCCTTTCTTCTTCTTGTGTTCAAGTTTGATCAACATACTTTTACGTGCTTTTGGCGGCTCACGTCTGTTGAGATGCAAAGAGGGCACGCTGCGCTTCTTTGTCAAGCCGATCGAGCGACCTTTGTTGAAATGTGAAGTTCCCAAAATCGAACTCAAGGCTAGTCACAGAAAGATGCATTCTTGTCAGTGGGAGAAGAATGAACAAGCACAGGAATACTCACATCTACCAGAATTTGGCATAAGCGTTTGGCTCTCCTTCTTCTCAACTTTTGTACTTTCTTCCTGTGTGGATTGGCTTGGACCTTCAGTCGTAACAATGGAAGTGCCGTTACTCGAGGCAGGCTTCTCTTCTTTTGATTCAACTTTCTACAAGCGGTAAGGAAGATAGCAGTCAGAATACCATTCACCACATTTCGAGACACATCAAATGAAACTTACCTTGTTCTTTTTTGATGATTTCATCGGCTTCTCTTTGTCTTCCTCATCAGGTTTCGGACCGACCTCATTCTCCTGACCCTCTTCATGACCATTTTCGCTGGAGATCACTTGACTGTCCCCTGACTGATTCGAATTGTTCGTTTGGATGATCTCATCTTCTTTCTCTTCTTCGTTGTCTGGAATGACATTCTTCTTGCGCTCTTTCGGAGCTTGCTTGTCTTTCGATGGAGGTACACTCTCTTCCCCTTCTTCTTCGGAGTCCATCAAATCAATTGATTGATTTTGACTGCTGCCATTCCCTTTCTTTGCCGCTTTTGTACGTGTCTTCGGCTTCTCCTCCGATTCTGCCACCGATTCTGCCAAGGAAGATGCTGGCATTTTTGTCTTTCTCTTCTTGTTCTTACTGCTGTTACTCGAGGAACCCGGCTCTGATTCACGTTTTGATTTCTTTGATTCTCCTTTTGCAGCAATTTCGGTGCCATTAGGCGAGCATGTAGGCGCATATGTTGCCTTTGTGGCGGATCGTCTTGGCCGTGCAGGACTCATTTGTTGTGCTTTCTCGATTGCTTCTCGATCTGCAGCACTAATTTCTGCATCGATTGGCTCTGATCCATCTCGACCGCTTCTTACCTCATGGAATTCATTATCAGCCGGTTCGTTTTCCGAGATTCCTTCATCTTTGTTGGATTGTTCTGTAGGTAAGCATAGGAAGAAATTAATGAATATATGCACATAATCTTTCGAACTACAAGGAACAACTTACCATCCTGAATTCTCTCCTGGGAAAGTGTACTTCCATTTTCAGCTACCTCGGTCCCATTGCTGTCTCCTGATGTGCGATTGATGTCCAACTCAACCAATGGTTCGCTACTTACACCATTCCATCGAGCAGCTTCTTTTGTTCCGGTCCATGAGCTGTCTTCGCTCGTATGGAGCACCTCTTCGATCCTCATTGGCGAAGAAGTGAATCAACTTGAATCCTCAACCTGATAAGATTGGCTTGGAAAAGAGCAAAGCGGATAGGTATCCGTTGATGATGAACAAATGGCTTCAAAGATGTTCAAGCTGAGAGCAACACTTTCGTTAATAACGCGTAGAGATACGCGTCAGAAAAAGAGTCTTGCTTACATAAAGCAGCAATTCGTATTATGAATTGCTGCTGTCCAGCCAAGCATTAAGATTCGCCACACGAGCTATGCAATGAAACAGGAGACGCTAAAGCCTGTTACTATTCTGGGGTGTCGTCTATATTAACAATGAAGGGAATAAGTTGTAGATATATCACACAAAAGAAAGCCATCAAAGAATGTCAAACATATAGCACATGGCAGTAAGAACAATCATGATCAGTGAATGAGGTCATTATGCTGTATTATTGTTCTTTGATGACTATTTTAAGCATACAAGGGAGCAAACGCGCGCTACCCTCCCAGTATATTGGGATTCTATTACCTCCACGAATAAAATAAATAAATAAAAAAGTGTATGCCTAAGCAAAAATGGATTGCAATTGAAGCTCCTTTACATCCTATCTTAACCCCATCAACATCAAATCTATCATATTCAGAGGCAAGGTAGCATTTAATCAGGTCTTTAGCCTTCTACATCATACAAGAAAGCGTGGAAAGTTTCAAGCTGCTTTGTTTGCTCAGCAAGTTTGGCAAACAACTACCATCTTTCTCCAACGGCGGAATCAATCAACGTTAGGCAAACGAACGAATTGGTGCTTGTGAATGCAATCATTCTCTTCGTCTACCTTTACATCAATCAGCTGTGAGAAAGAAGCATATCATTTTTAGGCCTTATCCACTAAAAGGCTACTTGCAATCACTATTCTTCGCATGTGGAAGCGTGGCATGAAAAATTGATGTGCATTAAAATCGCATAAAGGTTGGAGTAATTTCAAGAGAAGAAGCATGGTACAGCTGCATGCTCACTCAATCAACATCATAACAACGAGATGAACGAATGGACAAGAGACTATAATGGCTCGTACGGAACAAGCGCAAACTCATCCAATGTGAGTGCGAGCGGAAGCCCATTCCGGCATTCATCCTCATCACTTGCACATCCTGGAACGCCAAATAAAGTCAGAACGGAAAGCAATGCAAGTAGTAGCAGCAATGCACCTGGTGAATCTCTCATCTCTTTCAATGCAAAATCCATAGGCGGACTCACTTCGGCACTTGCAAGGGCTAATTTGACATCTTTTGATCAACATGCTGTTCAAATGGCTGCTACTTCTTCTCGTGAAAGTAGTGCTGCTCATTCAGCCCGAAGCTTTAGTAATGCTGCATCCGATCTTAACAATATGAATACCAGACCGCCTTTCATTCGACAATCGTTTTCAGATGGCGCTCCGATCGGAGTTGCACAGACATATCTTGGTGGACAACCACAACAAAGAACACCGTCTGGTACAGGAGATCAAATCAATGTTCCCGTATCTCTACCAACTACGGGACCTCTATCAGCTTCTGATCCAAGAACGCAACTGTATATTTCAAATTTACCATACAGGGTTCGATGGCAAGATTTAAAAGATCTCTTCCGACGTGCCGGTACAGTGTTACGTGCTGACGTCAGCTTGACTGCAGACAATCGATCGAGAGGTTTTGGTACGGTATTATTGGCAACTGAAGATGATGCATGTCGAGCGTGCGATATGTTCAAAGGTTTCAATTGGCAGGGACGAACGCTCGACGTCAAGATTGATCGAAGCGGAACGCTTTTGGGCGTCGGAGTTGGACAAGCAGATCAAATGAATGCTTTGTCAGGAAATTTGCATTTGAATGAAAGTAGTGATTCACTAGGAGTGGCACCTCATTCACCTTTACCACAACCGGGTAATGGTCTAATGGGCAATTTGGGAAATGCTTCACCCACACCATCACCTCTTGGCAATAATTCGACAGGTTCAGCTTATGGCCTTAGCCCTTCAATGAATGCTATTCATGCTAGTCCGTTGATGCGTGCTGTACCTTCACAGCAGCAGCAATATGGAATGCAACCTCAGGCAGCCAATCTGGCTCAGCCTGGATCGGGTAACTTGCATGCGGGCCTTTCACCTGCCTTGTTGCCCTTCTTAGGCTCTTCATCCCGATCCTCGATCCCATCGCCATCGCAAAATAGTATGTCTTTCAATCCACAGCAAAATTTAACGCCATGGTTAAATCAAAATGCCGCTCAAACATACTTGCAGCAACAAAGGTCTGCATCAATCAGCGCAGGCATGTCAGGCACAATGAATTACGGTAATCAAATGATGAGCATGTCCGGTAGTCCTTCTTTCCTCAATGGGAATGCGGCTATGATGCAGTCAGGTCAGTCATCACCTTTCTATGGGCAGCAGAATATGAATGCTAGGATGATGAATCCAATATCACCTGCACTACATGGAAATAGAGCTGCGAATCAATCGATGGCATTGCCACAACCTCCTCTCAATCTGATGCCAGGTAATAACTCGACCTATTTTGGACGTGTTCTGTTTGTTGGAAATCTTCCATTCCATTGTCAATGGCAAGACTTGAAGGATCTTTTCCGTGCAGCAGGCAACATTCAACGTGCAGATGTGGCTTTGACCGCTGAAGGGAAGAGTAGAGGATTTGGTACAGTTCTGTTTGCTTCTCCTGAAGATGCCCAGAATGCAGTTCGAATTTATCATGGATATGAGTACAGCGGAAGAACGTTGAAAGTGCACTTTGATCGATTTGCACAAGCGACTGCCCCGCCTTCGGGAGCATTGCCTGCATCTCCATCTCAGTATACCGGTGCATTTGCTGCTGCAAATACGCCCATGCCTGTCTCCAACGCAGCTTCACAGCAAGTCCCTCAGCAAAAGGCACAACAAATGCAACTACCACCACCGCCACACCAACAGCAGCAGCAGCAGCAGCAGCAGAGGTCACCGTACTTTTCTCAGCAATTCCAACCCACTTCACAAGGATACGACTCATCAATTTCTCATCAAGATTCTATTGGTGGCTTACAGGCAAATGCTGGGCAAACTTCAATGCAACAAGGATCAGACAATCAAGGATCTTATCTTTCTGGTGGTGCACAATTCAAAGATCCACAGCAATCCATCCAAGACTCCTCCTTTGGTGCTCAAGCTATCAAGAACAATAGCCCATTCCCTAGCATGTTTAGTATACCAAACACACAAGCCAACTTCAATACTACAACATCTGTCAGTTCTTCGACGAATTTGGCAGGCTCCAATGATGGCGATCAAAGTGAAGTAGGACAGGATGTGTCAGATACGACGTCAATCTCTGTCCATAGAGATGGTTTAGATGGTCAAAAGTCTTCTAATTCTTCAAGTCAACAAGAGAAGACGGAGAGTCGATCAGATGAGCAAAGCAAAGGTTTTTCAGCAAACAGCAATCAAAGCAAACAAGAAAAAAGCACTGCAAATGGCAATACTCAACAGAGCTCTCAAAGCAGACGGCCATCTCGCGCTCCCGTTGGCTCTGGTGCTCATCCTGGTCGTATTGCCTTGCCACCTCAGGCTTTCCCAGTACCGAATACTGTTTTACCACCTTACAGTCCTATGCATCATCGTATCAGCGTGCCCATGACACCTGGTATGCCGGGTTTCACCTTCCATGCCGTTCCAGAAACGCCTCCTGTACATCATCAATTCTTGAGTCCAGGATTGGGTGGACCTTTCTCCCCTCCTCTTGCAAGTCCAACATATCTTGGACCTGCAACGCCCGGAGCACCTGCAATTCGACCTTTTGGCGGTCATGGCACGATTGGCAATATCAATCCAGCTCCTGGTGCACCTATTCACTTTAATAATGGCGCTTCTACACCTATGGCTGGAATGATGCAAACTTTGCATAATCAACAAAACTTCAATCCAATGTTCCCACCGATCGGTATGAGTTATCAACAACCTCAAATGATGCCTGCAAATCAGTATACAGGAGGATCAGACTTACCGCAAACGCCTCATTGGAGTCAGCCTAGACCGCCACCGCCACAGAATGCATCATTCAATATGAATAACCAACATCAAACATCTCAGCGAAATCCACCTTCTATGACCAATGTGAGACAACAGGATTTCGCAAAGAGAGATGGTGAAAGGGCAAGTATTGGTAAGGGTGATGGAGAAAATGTGACTGGTGATGTACTTTCAGCATCATCAAACAATGCTAGAGGGTACCCATTTCCTTTGTTGGAGACAGCATCTTCTCAATCAATTGAATCAAATGCAGGTGCAGCAGATGAATCGATCAATGCAAACAGCTTGCTTGATGGAAGCAAGGCAAACGGTGGCCCTACTCAAAGTGTTGGAACCAATTTGGATTTGCGTGATATTCAAGCATCTACAGGAGCGTCCAATACAGAAGAATTGGCACGAAAGATTGCACAAATGAGCGCACAAAAAGCGTTACGAATGCAACAGAGAGACCGTGTGGGCAGTAGTAGCGCAGCTTTACCGTCAGCATCTCAATCTGGTAGAGAATCCCAAAAACACATGCCAACAAAGCTTTCTCTTGAAAGTGTGGAAAAGACAGCCAGTAGAAGATCGTTACCAGAAATGGAAAGCGCTGGAGTGAATTTGAAAGAAGGAAAAGAAGATTTGGGTCAAGATTATAGCTTGTTTGCTGCTATGAGTGGAAGCGCTTTGGATGATAGTGTAAGTAGTGCAGGAAGTGCAAAGTCATTCAAGTTCGCGAAAGAATGATTTCTGTCACCAAACAATCAACATTTGAACATATAGGCAAGATCATTAATTTTGGGCAAGGAAAGGTTTGGATCAAATTAATAGAATCTCACATTCTCATGCAAAAAAGTGTTTTTTTTCTCTTTCTTTCTTCATCTCGTCTCATAGCAATCATTTGTACAATTCGCTTCATCATTGTCTAAAAAAAGTAAAGAACTGGCGGAAGAATGACCTTTGTATTAATTACCCTGTAATCGTGGAATGTGATTGATGAAATGCATAGAGGCCCCTTGAGGAGAGCGGAACGAGCTGGCGACCAAAGCACGCGTGAGAGCAAGCCAGGCTTGAAGGTTGAGTACTCAGTAGACTGACTGAGTGAGGCTAGAAGTTTGCTTATGCTTTGGCTTTTGTGTCGCGCAGCCCAGCGCAGCACTCAATACACACGTCTGCACGCACGCGCTGCGCGAAAAACGATTCTTATGATGAATAGCACAAAGTTCTTCTTTCCTCTTTCACTCGTTAGACATCTTCTCTCTTTTGAATCAGGTGGTGGTCAAGGTGATCTTTATCGACTATCACTGTTCAGCATAGAAGAGGGTTTGGTCTTGTTTGTGATCAAAGACAAGACTCTCTTTTCAATCAAAAGTGAAGCCCCCCTCTTTGACGCCTACTTCTCCCTTTCTCTCAAAAGACGATCGGAAAGATGTTTGGCTCATCCACAGGTGGCTCAGGCTTTGGTGGCTTTGGCCAGCAAAATAATCAACAAACAGGTCAAACTGGTGGTTTGTTTGGTCAATCTCAACCTGCTCAAACCAATACACCTTCTTTTGGCGGTTTCGGGTCTGCTCAACCTCAACAGATGCCCGCTTTTGGATCCAGTACTACCAATACAGGCGGAGGAGGATTGTTCGGTCAATCGCAACAACAACCTTCTTCTGGTTTCTCATTTGGTCAAAATACCAATACTCCTACCCAACCATTTGGACAAACTGCTCAAAATAATCAACCAAAGCCTGCAGGATTTGGCGGTTTCGGTGCTTCTACCACTGGAGCTTCATCTGGCTTTGGAGGATTTGGAGCCAGCCAAACCCAACAACCTGCTTTTGGATCTTCTACAAGTGGAACAAATGCTTTCGGTGCGAAGCCTGCAGGTGGTCTGTTCGGTCAACAGCCACAACAAGCTGGCGCTTTTGGTCAACCTGCTTCAACTGGTGGTTTGTTTGGCGGTGGTGGTAATAATCTTTCTGCACAACAAACTGGTGGTATGCCAACACAAGGAACATCCAATCCTCAGTATCAACCTTTTATAAACAATGAAAAAGACGCAAACGGTACAAGTTCGACCAATTATCAGTACAACACTATCACATGTTTGCCTGCCTATCGTGCCGCATCAGTGGAAGAATTACGATTGCAAGATTACCAGCAAGGAAGAAAAACTGGCAATGCTGGCCCCAGCACGGGTGGCTTCGGACAACCTGCTGCTACAAATGCATTTGGAGCAGGTAGCACTGGAGGCTCATTGTTTGGCGGACAGGCTCAACAATCTACTGGTGGTTTTGGCTCAAGTACAACTGGAGGAGGCTTGTTTGGTCAGAATAATCAACAGCCCCAACAACAATCCGGTGGCCTCTTTGGCTCTTCTACAAATACCAATACAACCGGAGGAGGTTTATTTGGCCAACCTGCTCAGCAACAAAGTGGTGGTGGCCTTTTCGGTCAAAATAATCAACAACAGCAACAAGGCTCAACAGGTTTCACTTTTGGACAAAGCCAGCCTGCCAACAACACAGCATCGTCTGGGTTCACATTTGGACAGAACAATCAACAGCAAAATAAGCCTGGAGGTCTGTTTGGAGGTGGTAGTACGGGCGGATTTGGCTCATCAACAACACAACCTGCTTCGTCTGGCTTTTCTTTTGGTGGTAACACTGCTGCTCAGCAGCCACAAACGGGTGGATTCGGTCAACCAGCAGCATCATCGGGAGGTTTCGGATTTGGTGCTTCGACAACGGCAAATCAGTCTAAGCCAGGCGGTCTGTTCGGAGCTACTACGACAGCTCCATCATCTGGCGGATTTGGTGCAACATCAACTTCTACTGCTACGGATGCAAACAAGCCCGCCTTTTCCTTCGGAGGAGGAGCAGGTGGCTTTGGCTCGACATCTGCGGCGCCTGGACAAACGACCACTGCGGCACCGACAGGTGGATTATTTGGCAATCAACAAAACACAACAGCAGGTCAACCTTCTACAGGATTCTCATTCGGTGCTGCTGGTGCAAACAATAATCAAAGTGGGTTAGGTGGAGGTACAAATTCGTCCTTCTCTTTCGGTGGTACTCAGCCACAACAACAAGGAGCTACGTCAACAGGATTTGGCAGCAACACTTCCCTTTTCGGTCAGAATAAGCCTGCAACAGGAGGTCTTTTTGGCTCCACGCAACCGCAACAACAGCAAACAGGAGCGTTCAGCTTCGGAGGAGCCAACAATGCCACTTCAGGCCAAACAGCTGGAGGAGGATTGTTCGGTGCAGGAGCAAAGCCGGCAACAGGTGGTCTATTCGGAAGCAGTACAACTGGTGCAGCTCAACCGGGACAGGGAGCTGGCTTGTTTGGAAGTAGTACACTTGGAGGAGGTCAACAAGCTGCTGGTGCGACTGGAGGTCTCTTTGGCTCTGGCCAAAATACTTCCGGCGGCCTGTTTGGAAACAATCAAAATACAAACGCTGCTTCTGGTACTGGTGGCCTTTTCGGTGGCTCATCAACACTAGGTGGAGGAAATTCTTTCGGCGGTGCTCAATCAACCGGATCACTATTCGGTCAATCACAAATGAATCAATCTGCTGGCGCAAACTTGCAAACTAGCTTGAATGCTAATCCCTACGGTACCGATTCGTTGTTTGGAGGTGCAGCTGCTTCTCTTACAGGCTCTTTGTCATCTAATCCAGATGCTAGGGCAGGTCTATCGAACAGTCAGGCCATGCTTCCTTTCAATGTAGCAAAGCCATCTGTCAAGAAGCAACCTCCTCTCGTTCCTCCTTTCCGTCCAAGTCCTCGTGCATCCACCCGAATCACCAAACTACGTGGATCGACTCCTGGCGCTGGATTCCGAGAAAGTACTCCAGTTCGAGAAGGAACGCCATCTCTATTTGCATCTGCAAATGCAACAAGCCGTCCAATCTCAAGTCCTTCAGCTGGCTCGCATCTGTTCCGCGGATTGAGCGATGATGTTGCAAGATCGCAACGTGAAGCATCTGTACCAACATCCTTGCCATCGCAGGCTTTCGTCGGCAGATCAAGCGTGAAGAGATTAGTGCTGGACGATCAAACGAACAAGAGTGTAAACGCATCCAACTTACTTGGCCGTTCGCGATCTTTGTTTGGTGGAGTTCGTGGATCAAGCGCTGCACCCGAGCAAACCAGTACCACTCCATCTCACTCGCTCTTTGATAGATCAGCAACTGCTGCCGCATCCCCAAGACCGATCTCATTCAGTCCAGCTTTGGAAACTGCAGCCGTATCAAGATCTCGTCCTGCCAACGGAAATATCACGTCTGATCTGGCTGATGAAAGCAGTTTCGCTCAAAGTCGCAGTATTGGTGGTTATGCTGATTCACCAAGTAAGGGTGTAGAGAAGGGATATGATGAAAGCTTGTCCTCATTGCATGCTGGCCCAACGAGTGCCAAGAGTGCAAAGGCGAACAAAGAAGACATTCTGTTGCCCTTGGATTATTACACCGTCCCGACGTTGTCTGAGCTTCGGGAATGGTCTCACGCAGAATTACGCTCTGTTGAAAGCTTTGTTGTAGGTCGAAAGGGATTCGGAGCTGTGGAATTTATTGAGCCAGTCGATCTGACAACGGTTGGAGAATTGAACAATATTCCTGGAGGCCTTGTCCAATTACGCAGGAAGGAATGTTTCGTATATCCAGACGAAGAAGACTGCTTCGATCCTGAGACAGGAAACGAGCGAGATGGTGTACAACCTGGCTTTGATCCTAAACGTGTTCCAGGAGGTGGCAAGGCTTCACGCGGGGAAGGTTTGAATGTACCAGCTTTCGTCAATCTGGAAGGTTGCTGGCCCTTGGATCGAAGCAACAGACAACCTATCAAGGATATTGACCATCCTCGTGTGAAGCAAATGGTCAACAAATTACGTAGAAGATCGGACTTAGAGTTCAAAAATTATGAGCCAGTATCTGGTACTTGGACCTTTAAAGTAGAACACTTTAGCCGATATGGTCTTGATGGTGAAGACGAAGATGAGGAGAAAGAAGCAGGAACTCAAAAAGAAAAGAGGGATGAATCAAAAGGCAAGACGGCTGCTGCCAAAGCAGGCCCAAGAGAAGAAAAAAGTCGCGAGAAAGACGATGACGAAGAGATGATCAATGTTACCAAAGATCGTCTTCCGAGAGCTTCCCGATCTGCAACACCTAATGTGCAACAGCCTCCTTCCAAGACTGGCTCACAGCCATGGGCAGCCACTTTGGGACTAGAGGCACGAAGAATGCAGGTGATGCAAGCGTCTTTCTTTGGTGGTACGACCGAACAGCCAAAAGAAGTTACCTCACCTGCAAAGACTGTCAAAGGCAAAGTAGGTCGCCCGGCCAGCCAAAGTGTTGAACCACAACCGACAAATAATGCTTCTCGCAGTACTTTTAGTACGCCCATGAAAGTTGACGCTCTGCCATCAAAGGATACCTCGAAGACTGTTCAAGAGCCATCTCAAACAATCAACATCGAATTGGCACCTCCATTGACAGTGCGACCTCGAAAGATTACGAAATTGGCCGTCGACAAGTCTATTGCAGACGATGGCCACGAGGCTGTACTGGATGCAGGTTTAGCAATGGGCCGCAGTTTTCGTGTTGGATGGGGTCCTCATGGTACTTTTGTACATCGGTCAAAAGTGATTGATACAAGGTGCGTTGTTTAGCCGAAAGAAGATAGTAAAATGCAATGAAATTAACTTAAAATTCTTTCCGTGTCTGTCCTTCTCCCTTGCCATTTCAGATTCAATGATGCCAATGACGCTCAACCTGAGAGCCTTTCCGTGGTGAAGATGGGTAAATTGCAAATATTCAAGCCTGGAGAAGAGAAAGGAGAATCCGAGACTATCGTTGAGATGCTCAAAGTACAATTGGAAAATTCAATCATTGAATCAGAGGCAGATCCACTTGTGCAAAACGAAGAAGAGGAAGATTCTTTGCCTTGTCCAATCGCATATCCAAACCCCGATCTACGGTTTAAACACTTTCTTGCCTCTCGAAATACAGCGACGACAGATCATGATACTCTTCAAAAACGATTCGAATCTGCCATCTTTCGTCTTGGATCTGCTTTATTCGACGAAATCGATTTAAAGCTTTCGCAAGATGCAGATGAATCTTTGAAGATGCATGCATTGCGAATGAGAAGAAAGCATGCTTTGTCTGAATGGATTCGTTGGTATGTCGAGCATTCGATTCGTGCCGAGGTTCGAACGCAAATCGCTTCGCCTAATCGTCAAAGCGGAGAAAAGATCGTCTTTAGCCTTTTGAGTGGGGGATATTTTGAAGAAGCATGTAAGCAAGCATTGGAAATAGGCAACGTTCGATTGGCAACTCTTCTGGCTCAGGTGAACGGAGGCGGAAATGATGATGAATTTCGCCTGGATGTATTGGACCAATTGAGCATTTGGCGTGCAGCCGGAGCTGATGCGTTCATCTCAACCGAGTACAGAAAGATTCTTGAAATCTTGAGTGGAAATGTTTTAATCGGCAAGGGCAACGGCAAGCGAACCGAAACAGGGGAACGTGTGGAAGATATTGGCATCTCTGCAGGACTTGACTGGGTACGCACTTTTGCCTTGTTCCTTCATTATGATGCACACTTTGAAGATAGTATCGACGATTCAATTTTGTCGTACGAATCATGCGTTGGGAAAGGATTGAACGATCATCTGATTGTGCCACCCTTACCTCCTTATTTGGAGAGAGATGTGAAAGCTGGTTCAAAGCAGCTTCGTGATCTCGTTCGCGATCCACGTTCATATCCAAAAGATATTCTCTTTGGACTGCTGAAGATCTATTCGCAATCTGATTTTCCTCTTGAAGGAGTATTGGATCCACATCAGTACGGCTCAAGCCCGTTGAACTTCAGCATCGCCTTTCACGTCTCCCAATTGTTATCAAGAGTGTTGGGTATTCGCGATTTCAGTGATCGTATCGATTTGGGAGTAGAGGGAGAGGCAATCGCAAAAGAGTTCAATTGGCGAGGAAATAGCGCTAGTCATGACAATCTATGTGTTCATTTTGCCATGCAACTTGAATCGATGAATCATTGGACTTGGGCAGCCTTCGTGCTTTTGCATTTAGAAATGCCGCAAAGTAGAAAGGAAAACATTGTTTCTCTTTTGTCCCGAAACGTGGATCGATTTGGTCAAATGGGAAAAGATGTTATTCATACCAGCGAACGATCAAAGACAGAGATTGAAACTTCAGATGATGTCAAATTCATCACAGAGAGACTACGAATTCCCATCGAATGGATCTATGAAGCTTTGGCAAATGCAGCAGCAAATGATAAAGACCGATTTGTGCAATTCAAACTTCTTTTGCGTGCTAGATTATTTAGCAAAGCCCATTCGGTTGCAGTCATTTATTTGGCACCTGAAGGTATCATTCGTCATGATTTCACATTAATCATGGAGCTGTTCACGCCTTTCCGCAAGAGTGCTATCAATGCTACAAAGCATCTTCGGGATGAATTTGAAGAGGAAGAAAATCAACAAGATGCTGGTGATCAAATCGACGTTTCCGGCTGGCAAGCAGGTGGACAGACATTCTTGGATTACATTGCTATTTGTCGATCTTTGCCTTGGTTGGTGGGCACCCATGCGGCAAATGTAGTGAACGCAATGGAATCAATCTTTCCGGGAGAACGAAATGAAGAAATCGATTTGCGAGAAGCGTTGCAGGCCATTTCATCCTCTTTCGGTTCGGAAACTGCTGATGCGATCCGCAAGATTGACAGGATTGCTTCAAGAATCCCAAATCTTCTGCAAAGGATTGATGAATTGTTTGACAGTTTCATTGGAGCAAAAGGCGATCAAACAACCATCATGGTAGCACGGAAGCAGATGGTTCAAAGTGTGCATAATTGCATTCGATCCCTGAAGGCGACGAGAGTACTGGCAAAGTTGGCCAATTTCATTCCATCTTTGAATGTTGATTTGAGTGTAATGGCTGATTCGGAAACACGTTTGGCCAGCTCGGATGGAATCTCATCTCCGCAAATCGAGATTGAAAATTTGCACTTTATGGCCAATGCATATTGCAGTGCAATGGTAGAAAGCAGCGCATGATTATGATGGGTACGCTTTGGATGCTCTAGGATGCAAGTTTGTACAGATGAAAAACGGTTGTAATGAATGATATTTGGTTATGTTTCTGTTGGAGTTAATACGATAGATGATTAAAGTACATAGTGTGTGTGATTGAGATGTTCATTAGGCCTCGCTGTGTGCGGAAAGAAGTGTATGTGTGATTGTATGAGAACGGCTTTGCTTAATCCTCTTCCATTGTTTCATCTCCTTTGTAATCTTCATCATTCTCTTCGTCTTCGTGATCGTTTGAGAATGCCAGTCTGTTGGTTGTTGAAGCGTTTTGGTTTTCATCACCTTTCGCATTATCGATTCCAGCCTTTTGCATTGCTTCTGCTGATGAATAATCAATCACTTTATTACGCGAGCTCCTTTGACGTGAAGGTGGAATGATTTCTGTAACGTCCACTTCGTCCAAAAGGTCATCTAAGTCTTCGTCCTGTGGCCATTGTCAGTAAAGGGAGAGGTGTGGTCAGACTCGTGGCTAGAATGTTTTCCCTATATGCATATACGTACGATATCATCTTCATCCTCGTCCTCATCATCTTCATCTTCCTCATCGTCATCCCCTTCTTCTTCTTCTGTTGGTTCAACTGCTTTTGCCTTGCCTTTACCTTTGTCGATCTTTGGTGTCTCTTCTTCGATAGATTCTTGAATCTTTTCGATCTTTTGCTCTTTTTCACTTGTTGTCAAAGCAGCGTTGCTTCAGAAGGGGACGTTATGAATAGTCAATCCTCGTTCAAACCCTTGTTTCGTTCACTTGCTACTCACCTATTCTCTTCTGCGCTCATGTTGTTTGGACTGAATCTGGTTCGTGATGGTAATGATGAGCAATCTTGATACTTCCTCTTTTGAGAGTTGATTGAGCGGTGAATGAAGTGTTAATTTAAATACATTGCCAGTCTTTTGCTGAGCTTAATTCTTGTTGGATCATCGTCCGCCACGCTAGCGAAATCCACAAAGGGAAGAACGACTGTGTGCTTCTGCCACTTGACACATTTGACGGTCAACGCGACGCGTAACTTATGTAATCATGAATGCAGCTCTTCCTTCAACTCACGCCACGTGTTTCATCGTCATGGTCATATGAATACACTCTTCATCTCGATACATTCAAACTGGAATAGGCTACTTTGAAGCAGTCGATATCAGAGTAGCAGAAAGACTGTACCTTCTGATGTCTGTTGTCTGCCTTAGGCCCGAATAGAAATTTCGAAAGCTTTTTTCCTTTTCTTATGATATTTTGAGAACAAATGTGCTCATTTCATGACAAAGCAACATCACGACATTATAATATCAAGGCTGCAAGTATACGGATGGTTCAATGTCTAATATAGCCTGTCACGCACACACTATCTATGAGATGAAGTCAGACAGGCATCACTTTCTAATGCAAAATTGAGTTTGTGAATTTGTATTTATGTTTGAAATGATACAAATATGGTCATTATTTATATTTCACAAACAGTACCTCCAATCAGATTTAATGGAGTAACGAAAGCGGCAAAAGGATAGTCGTACAACTGCTCCCACTACAGGGCGACTGTTATTAGACCCTACAACGATGAAATCAATGCAATAAAGAACAGGACGACGGTCTTTGGTGCAACACAAGATTACATAAGCACTTCATCGAGCATATATCCACATTAAGAGTCTTCTAAGCCATGTCTAACATCATGTACGATCGAGAAAAGGCAGAATATAATAATCAAAGATAAACGCTGGAAGGCCCGTCAAGCATCGGAGATAGAATGTGAATTATGTGTATCGGAGAAGCAGGATAGCAATTAACCCAAATCATGAATAATAAGAGTGTTTAGCTGTGCCGAAATGATGTTGAATTGAAACGACATACGGACAAGATTACGACATTTGCATCTATAAGTGGCTTTTGTGGATTCTTGCTATCTACATTATCAGTGAATATATTTACGTAAACTTACATTAATTTGAGCAATTTTCGATCTTGTTGCTTGTGTATGTATGTTTGACTCAGATTGGAATACATAAGTCTAGATTAAGAATTGCATGAGCGAGCCAGAGCAACGTTTCTTCGGACGCGAATGCAAATCAATTCACAAGCAGAAGATCCATTCAATGTCCTGTCCCGCCCCTTTTCTCACAACACACGGAAAGCACATCGGCCCAGCCTTTTGCAGTAGTGAAGTTGCATACAATTTGGCCGAATTACGTCCGTATGCACAATCTGGCTCACACGCAAATCCGTTTGAAACAAGTGCATATACATGCATACGGCATTAAAGCAGTCAAGATAAACGCGTGAAATGAAAAGAGACTGTTATAATGCAGGTTTGCTTGCTGTTTGCTAGTAGGCACTTTAACAAACAGTACCTTAAAAACTTTTTCATTGTAGTAGCCGGCTTGCGTGACATGTGTTCTAGCTTAGTTTAATTTGTATGTTTCCCGTTCCCGGTAAGACACTTCTCGATCGAAATTGTACAAAGAAGACAGAATGTATGCAACCATATGGACTCGAATGATGATTATATTGCAATAAACAAAACAATATAATCTTTTCCATCGTTGATCCTTTCAATCCTAATTCCTCACAACATTCATTCATTTTCTCACTAGGATATCATCCATCCTACTCAACAATGTCATCAATCGACGTGGAAAAGATGCCATTGACGCCTATTCGTCGGCATAGATTCAACCTAAGAAGGATCATCATCTTGATCTTATCACTCTTGGTAATGCACAGAATCATCCTTTTATTATTCGACACAAAACCGCCAGGCAAACAACACATCGAAGTACAAACTGATAGAGGTTATGGTGAACTGTACAAATTATCATGGCAATCCTTAACACAAGCTCTCAATACTGCCAGACCAAAAGTTGCAACTATTGGTGACTTCAAGAGCGTGCCAGGTATTCCAGTAGAATCTGTGGAGAGTACAACTGCCATCGACGCACTCAATGTAGAACCTCACATCGTTTCTTCCTTACAAGGCTCACATGCCAGCTTTACCAAAATACTCAAAGAAGAAGACAGGCTCAGCGTAATCTATCAAAGTGGACAACAAGGAATCGTTGTAACTGCAACACTTCATGAGTTACCTCAATTGTTAATCTCTCTAAGACTTTTACGCAGGACAAGATCTTCTTTGCCAGTCGAAGTCTTCCTATTGACTCAAGATGATTACGACTCCAAATTGTGTCGCGAAATATTCCCCAAGTTGGATGCTCATTGCTCAATCTTGGAAGAACACCTTGACAGTAGCCCTTTACCCACAATGCCACAAAGTCGTAACGAAAGAAAGATTCAAGCCCAAGAACCTCTCAATAAATTGTTGGCCGTATTCTTTTCCCGTTTCGAAGATGTTTTGGTATTGGATCCTTCCACTTTGGTGTACAATAATCCCGACATTATGCTAAAAGAAGAGCCTTTCTTGTCCACTGGTCTCTTGATTTGGCCTGATTTCTGGGCCTCAACTGTTTCACCTAAATTGTTCACAATTCAAAACGCTCCACAGGTCAAACGTAATCGTCGTGATAATATTCGAACGGTCGATTTTGGACAAATGGTCATCTCAAAGTCCATCCATAGCGCCACTCTTTTGCTCTCAATTTATTACACATACTTTGGTCCAAACTTGTACGATTCTTTACAACAACAAAGCTCTGCTGGCGAAAGAGGTTCTCAAGCAATCAAATGTGCAGCTAGGTATTTGGAAACACCTTATTATATGATGAAAAGACAAGTTGAAGCTGTTGGTTTCCCTGATCTTGATTCGGATAATAAAGGATTTTACGGTGTTGCAATGTTACAAGCATTCGCTTCAGACGATTTCCATAGATTGCCAAAAGATCGTCAAAGACCACTCTTTATTCGTCAAAACAATCCAACCTTACATCCTGCCTACGTCATGGATCGCAACATTGCAGTATTCAAAAAGCAACCCAGCACTGAAAAGGTGGAAGAATCGAAAGCAAAAGCTGATTCTGATCCCAGCAAAATCATGCAGAAAGTCAAAGCAGCAGCACCCGCAGGAGATTCAATCAAGAAAGACCAATCAAATCCATTCGCAATTCCATCCGTTGCACCTACAGATGCAGATCGTGGATTGCATCATCGAATGTGGGAATGGTTTGGCGGTAGATATATGTCAAACGGATGGCGTGATCCTGATCCAGAGCGTGCTTTATGGGAAGAAGTTGCAACTGTTGCTTGTGTCGATTATACACATTTCCGTGTTTGGCCTTCTCGTGATAACAAAGAAACGACTGAGAATTGCGCAAGGATCAACTATCATAGAGGTCAATTGGGCTGGAAAGAATTCTTTGTTCTTTGATAGTTTCTTTCCCTTCTTTCCACATGTAACAACAATTTGCAACCATCTTTATAATACCCTGCACTGCACCTCTAGAGCATTCGCTCACAGAGAATCGTTCAACTTCTTCACGTCAACTCCTTGGGCCTTACTTACCATTCATACACACATAGACTAATCAATTAAATCCAATTGCACAATACTGCTTTGAGCGTGAGTTTGATCAGATGATGACTATTCTCTTTAAAGTTGATTGCACTCTTTTGCAGACTAACCATGTGTACTGGTAACAGAGATTCCAATTTTGTAATGATGCTAAAGATACTATGAATGCAAATGCTGTGAAGATGATGCGGTAAAAGGAATGAAGAAATACAAGGTAGACAAGATGTAAAATATCTATGCGGCATTGTCACTATCCTGTCTCCAACTGCCGGAGAAGTGATGATTGACCATTGCTTGAGGATGAGTGATATCACCAACAACTGCCATTGCACCGCGGTCTAAACCTTTCCATCTTTGCCAATCAGGCTTCCAGAAAGGTGCAAAACCGGTGATGGGCAAAATGGCAATTTCACCAATACGTGTGGCAGTTTGAATGTTGTGCAATTGACTCCAATGAATACCGTAACGTGCTTGTAAATAACTGAAAACGGCATCACTAAATGCTCCAGGCCCGGTAGCCTCGATCAAACTCATTTTGCCTCCCCTTTCTTTATCGAAAGGATCAACAGTTAAGAGCTTACGCAATTGATCCCATAACTCTTGATCTTCTAGATGCTTAATGCGTTCTTTCAATGTAGAGTCGGAATTGGTCAATTTGCCCAACAAGTCGGCAGCTTTTGCCTTGCGTTCGGAATCCCAATCTTTGACTACATTCATTGATTCAACCACACGTCTGATTGAATCAAGGTAGATTGGATGACCAGGAGAGCCAGACATTGTCCATTGAACGATTTGAATTGGTCTTGGCCAGAAAGTTTCCCAACCTGTTACGTCTGGTACATCTACTTCAATACCAACGACAACTTGAGGAGGCGAATAAGCAAGTTCTTTTGTCACTGCATCACCCAAATCCCAAGTGACAGCATCAGCCGTTCCCCAAACATCTACAGGTTTCAAGCAATCTGTATCTGTATCGCTATAATAGCCACCTTCCAAAAAGATGACCAGATAACGCCAAAAATCGGCTTTGAGAACCACTCTTTCCATTCCGTCCCAAACTTTTTTCACCAAACTACCGCCAAAGTGTTGCTTTGACCAACTTTCGAGCAAAGAATCATCAAAGAAGTTGTAGCTTGCCCTTGGATTTTGATCTTGGAAAGAGTTTCGGATTGTAGGAATATCCTTTCCTGTTTGCCAAATTTGGGCAGGTATTCTGTGATGTGCGAGACTTTTGTCATGACGACGACGAGGGCTACGAGCACGAACAGATTCGATAGCCCAAGAAGCAAGTTGTTTTGGGAAAGATTGTTTACTGAATGCAACAAGTTTGGCTTCATATTCTGGCCAATCTTTTGCCGTTAGCTTGTACATCTTATCTTGAAATTCGGGAAACTTTTGTGCTGGATGGGGTTTACTGTTTGAAATGGATTTTGGCTTTCCGTTATTGAACAAAGCTGGACGTGGGATAACCTCTGTCATGACTCTGGCATGGTCTACAACCCAGCCTGAACCTTTTCGTAAATAAGATTTCTGAACAGTGTAAGGCGTAGCAGGAGCACCTTCTGTTTCCATACTTTCTCTTTGGGTAGGAATTAGGTAAACGATCAAGCAAACGATCAAGATAACCAAAAGACCTAAATTGCGTTGCTCTTTTGAAGGCGTTTTAATCGATTTACGTAAAGAAGCAGAAGGTCTGCTAGATTGCGTGACAGGATTAGACAAACTCATGCCTCTCTTCTTTCGTAGTGACAACATTGGCATTGCCATCATCTTGTCTGATTCAACTTGTGAACTTGTAGATTTTCCGGTTGAATGACGAGGAGAGAGTGAAGCTTTTTGAGTTGTGGAGGAAGAAGAAGAAGAAGGTCTATCTTGTTCTTGACCTTTATCGATATCTGGTATGTTTACACTTGTTGTTTCTTGATTGCTCCTCCTTGGTGAAGATAGAGGTGGAGTGGAGAGTAAAGAGGAAGATGAATGAGAAGGAGATGGAAAGCGACCTTGTAAATAAGGCGAATGTAGCCTATCGGGAGTGGAAGGTCCCGTTAAAGGGGGTGTATGCAATGGTTTTGTCATTGTGTATAGTTGGAAAAGCTATAGAATGTTGTTATGCCTGTTTATTGTTTTGTTCACTTTTCAAATATCCTTTTTTGGAATGGAGACGAAAGAGATGAAAGCCATGCTGGTTCGAATGATTCAAGTTTCACCTCTCTTGTCTTTTTCTTGTTATGCTGTTTAGGCCAGATTCATTTTTATGCACTTTAGGTTTTAACCTTTTGGGAAATTCCGTGTTGGAGGAAAACTAAGGCACATCAACACTATGTTTCAGCTTTCCTTTTACGCGTCCTAAACTGCCGGCAACAAATTCACGCACAATCACACTGCCGAAGTAAGGCCGAATGCAAATATAGGCACAGTGAACAGGTCAAATTAAATGCACACACATGCAATGCCTACTAAGCCTGGAACAGGATGGCAACAGCCAGGCCTACGTATAGTGGCTGCACAACATGACAGATTCAAACTTTTCTCTTTTACAGAGATTATGAAATTATGCAGAATTCAACTCTTACTGCCATGAGAAAGGTAAAAAATTGGAAGAATTACTCACCGACGCTAATCCCGCTCTCAAACGGGAAAGTTGTTTCAGAGCAATCTTTTCCTTTGCATCCATGAGATAGAGAGCGTTTTGAATATTTTGTATAAATCACCACGGGCCTTCTCTTTCTTATCTAACTGGAATGCTCTAATTACATGTTGATTATTGCCGATGATTGTTGTTTATTTCTCATATGCCATTATAGAGATATCATTCATAGTCATAATACAATCAGCCCTGCCACAACTCCGATCATTGGAGATACATACAATTTCAAAGTGTAATGCTCATCTATGAAACTGCATAATGAACCCTTTTATGTAGAACAAATTGACATGACATCTTCTCATCTTCCTTATAGATTGGCGATCATATCATCATCGCTCCTTTGGCCGGATGATAGTTGACATTCATTGTTAATGTATAGCATGTCTCATTCATTCTTCTCGTCCGTATTACAATTTAGCGCTCCCTTTTATTTTTAATTCTTTTCCCGCCCTTCCCGCCGCTTTTAATAAGTAGTAGTGAGAGTTTGCCGTTTGTTTGTTTGTTTGTTTAATTTGAAAAAGAACGCTAAACTGTTGTACTGTGCATATGTTTAAGATTTCTTCTCTATGCTTAAGATCTTGATGGAACACAGTCCATTCGCCTGCTTTACGCTAAAGAACATTCTTTTCACATTTTCAATTAAAGTACGTTTACCCAACCAACCTATTGTTTCTTACGATCGAGACAACAAACAAATCATCATTGTTCGTAATTTATCATTGATAAGCATGGCACGTTTCATTCAATCAGGGGAGAAATTGAAACGCTAATTGGAACATCTAACGATTAGCATAATGTGCCTACCCTAAACTGACTAAAGTTGCCAAACTACAAACAATCAAATCTCAATCACGCAAACAAATCATAAATTTAGGCCTTACGGCACCCTACCCTTCTTTGCATGTTGTGCCGAACATCGTACGCAACACCGGAGTCAAATGGCCGGTGTTAATGGAAAAGCGAGGATAAGAATTTAGCGTAAAAGTGTATAAAGAAGAAGAAGAGTTGTGATTCTGAACACACCCTATAGGAGAGGCAGTGAAAAAGTTTGAGGGTCTCTTTTTTAGTATAGGACTTAGCGCATGCAATACCCTAACCCTCTTTCTCTTGTCTCAACTTCCTTTTTAGCTTATAATCAATCTTAACGATCATACGAACAAAATACGCTAAACATAGAGTAGAAAATTCGATCATTATTTTCAACCTACTAAAAAGCCTGTGCTGCATCATGGCAACTAGATCAAGAAAATCTTCTGCACTCTTTTTGCCGAACCGTACTTTAAATAGCCTTGATTGAGTTTCAGATTTGATAATGATAGGCATGATATCAGTGAACATCTATTGTCCGCGATTGCAGCTTTTGAAGGCCGTTGTCAGCTGTCATTGACTGCAAAGTGACAGTATTACCGAGATTAATGATATCTATCGTAATTATATCTGCCAACCCGCTATCCATTACCGAGTCTCATCATTTCCTTCGTTACGACGATCACATTCATTAATCCCTCTCCTCTCCTCATTTCATTTCATTCTTAATTTTCCCCTTTTCTAATCATTTTATCTCACCTTTTCAACCGTCGATCCGTTATTTTATCATATTCAACTCTCAATTTATTCGACCTCTTCACCTTCTCAACAGTCAAAAACAAAAAATAAAGCTTTTCAGCCATGGTGACAATTCGATCTTTCGCTTTTGTCCTTTTGGCCTTAAGCACAGCATCTCTTTCATTGGCAATTCCAGAGAGACCATATGCGCCTGATCTTTATAACCGTGATTCATTGGACGAAAATTCCAATATCATCAAACGTTCTTCTCCTTCCGATTCCGCTAAACCTTATTCACCTGATCTATACTTTCGATCTGCATTAGACGATCAATCCGCTTTTCCAACAAAATCCGCTCCACAATCTTTCACAACTCAAATAAATAAACGTTCACCGTCTGTTTGCAAACGTGATTCGGATTGCGGTGGTGCTCATTTCTGCTCAAGTGGAAGTTGCTTTATGCGTAAAGCAAAGCGTGCTTTGTGTGGCCGTGATGCAATGTGCACTTCCGGCTTTTGTGGCTCTCAAGGAGCATGCTTGGAAAGACGCTCGATCGGAAGTTCATGTGCAGACAGTACAAACGCTTGCGCAGACGGTTTATTCTGTTCAGGAATTGATAAAAAATGCAAACAGAAACGTGGAATTGAAGAAGCTTGTCGATTCTCCGAAGGATGCCAAGAAGGTTTGAGTTGCTTAAACTACAAATGCGCCAAATCATTGGTAAGCAGAACTTTATCTTCCGATGACGAAGACGGGGATGATCAAGAAGACTTCATCTCAGCTTTGCAGCACAAATTGGATGACTTGAAGGAAGATGGTCAAGATTTCATCAAAAAATGGAAAGCAACACCAAGCGGTAGCCCTGATCAACCAATCTGGTTCGGCAAGAGATCAAGTCCAAGCGGTAGCCCTGATAAGCCAATCTGGTTCGGTAAGAGATCAAGTCCAAGTGGTCATCATCATGACCCAATCACCTTGCAAGAGAATGCAAATGAACCATCTCACCCAGCGCCATCTCTATGAGAGTGCAAGTCAACTTAGTAATTAATAATACCCATTTGAAGTAATCGTTTGGGTCGCTTCAACGATGCGTTAGGCATAGAACATACACAATCATCTTTCTTTTGCAATCTTGCCATAAGAACACACACTCATTGCACATTCGACTTCTTTCTTGTATACAACTTTTATCATTACCACTTCTGTTTTGTCATTGCTTTTCATTTCATGAAGGCAAATCTGACCAGATCCTTTTCAATTCCTCGTGTAATCATCTTTCTACTTTGTTTTTGAAATATGATTACACTTTACCTTAACAGGGGTGTATCTGAAAAGAACACCCCACGTGCAAGTTCGAATATTGTTCGGTACATTGGTCAGCTCGGGATCGAATTTTCACATCAACCGTCAACCGGTCCCCATCCGAGACAACGAAATCTAGCAAAAAGAGATCTGGACAAAATTGTCTCAAACAATGGTGAGATCGAAGGTGAAATTCTGAAACAGGGCTTACAATACAAGTCTATTCGAGTGCCTCAACAAAAGCCGGCAGAAAGTAAAGAAGTTTATGGCCAACGGATTTGTTTGTTGTTCGGATAGGCAGTTTAAGAGTCTTTTTCCCATGTAAACAAAAGAGAAACGGCATTGCATGCAGCAACGGTAGCTTGTCGGGTTTCTAAGGCCCAGGTCTGCAAAGACAGGGCTAAAGTGGCTTAAAAAAGGAAAGTGAAACCATAGTATGATGCACTGCATGATAAGTTTGCAGCTTTGTTCCCGAACTTCCAAGAAAACAAACAAATCGATCTGAAACATATTTTTGTTTAAAGGCACTTTAACTGTGTGTATATCATTTTATTTGTTTGTTTATGCAGCGCGTCGGCAAGAAACAAAGAGAACAGTTTAGCGCCGGGGCAGAATGGGCAACGGGAACAAACATCACCATACATGAGAAAGAAGATTCTCATGCAGATCAATCAAACCAATCACATTGAATTACACAGAGTAAATGACATTTAGCTTCAAAAGAACAGTCTTTTAGAATGTGAAACAAACAAATACACCCGAACAGTAATAAACATACCGAAGTAAGACCTCTTGTTTGTTTATTCAATCATTTTACGCTAACTTATATGCATACAACGGGAAGTCCGTCATCCCTTTGCCCGTTCCACCCTCAGACGGCAAGATCAGGCACATTTTCCAGCCTTTTAGCATAGAATCTAGTCCTTCTTTTAAGGAACATGGAATAAATTCATTCTCTTCATTTTGCATATTGACACCTTTACTGCCTCATATCAGCATAAGTCCGGGCAAACTCTTTCCATAGATGTTTAATCGTGGCTGGACTTCATATTCATGTAAATCATGCAAATCGTACACTTACGCACATGTATGAGCATGGGAACAGAATTCCATCTGAGTCTTTCTTGCTTATCGGTAAGAGAAAGATTTCAAACATATGCACATACAGTTTGCATTCGAGCACCCCTTTCCGATGCTGTAAAACTCATCTGATGTCTGCTCAATTGCCGTTTGCATGTATCATATTCAAAGATTCTTTATAAAGGCCTTACAATCCTTCTACTCACCTTAACACATCCCCGTTACCATCTAAATCTCCTCTTCGCCCCTTGTTGCGATCCTCTCCCTCAATTCGATTTCTTCTTCTTCTTTCTTCTCATCAATAATCGATAAAAGATGGTCTCCGTTCGTTTTGCCTCTGTCATCTTTTTGGCAGCTTTCATGGCCTCTTCTACCGTTCAAGGTGCATCAATGGCCAAACCTTACAGTCCTGATTTGTATGCCCGTGACGCTCTCATGGCTGAATCAGACGCAACCCCTTCGATCGGCTTGGTAAAACGTGTTCAAGCCGCAAAACCATATGCACCCGACCTATTCTCCAGACAATCTTTAGAAGACAATGACGAAGATGTCGTCGAAGAAAAGCGATCAACAGTCGTCAAACGTTCAGTTTCTCCTGCAGCCAAAGCAACATGGAGCCTTTTCAAACGGGCTACTGAAGAGTCCGAAGAAGACTTACACGAACGTGGCTTGGTTGACGATGCTCAAATCGAAGCCCGTGGAGGTTGCGATAGCGATTGGCAATGTGGCTCTGACCATTACTGTAGCTCGAAGCGTAACAAGTGCTACAGAAAGATTCATGATTACAATCGATGCAGCCGTGACGGAGCTTGTGGTTCAGGATACTGCTGTGAATCTGAGAGCATTTGCAAGCCCAAAAGAGACAATGGTGACAGATGTCATGGTAACGATAGCGCATGCGACAGTGATTACTGCTCAGTCGTTTCCGACAGATGTCATCATCAATCAGGCAAAGGTGACGGTTGCCGTGTAGACCAAGGATGCAAAGGCGATCTTTCGTGCGTCAACGGTACATGCAAAAATTCCGGTTCCAGCCAACCAAGCAAACCCCACCACCCAAGTCATCCTGCTCCTTCTGGATCAGCACGTCAACGTCGTGCTTTGTCACCTTTGTAAGCACACAATGCTTACATTCGTTCGTTCGTTCAACTTACGGCTACACACCATCATTGCACATTATACAACCCATCCCAGTATACCTTTCGACTTCATTCAAAACAATCTTTCATCCTTTTTCGGGCTTCACTTTTATCTTCCCCCTCCCCTACAATCATTTGTGTGTACAATATCTATCCGAAAGTGTTTCTCCGTTTTATACGATGTTGAGACCATTCTGCTTTCACCTTTTGCAATACGAACATTCGTTTCATCCCTAACTTCTATGCTGTGATACCGAGCGATAAGAAAGTCGATCGTATTCATGTAAACCATCATCATAAGTTTCTAATCCCATCCACATCCATTAGAGACATTCTGGCTGGATTCTTCCCAACCACATCCGTTAGAGACATCGTGAGTTGGTTCTTCCCACCCACATCCGTTGGAGACATCATGAGTTGGTTCTTCCCACCCACATCCGTTAGAGACATTCTGGCTAGTATCTTCCCATCCACAACCGTTAGAGACATACTGATCGGAGCTATGAACGTTGGTGATACGACTGTCGGTATTATGTCCGTTGGTGCTGTGTCTATTGATGCTATGACCATTGGTGATTAGACCATTGGTAGACTCTTTCATAGATTCAATAATCGAGTCTGCTGCTTTTTGTATTTGCGACAAAACAACTGGATCTGTATCTCTCACAGTACTCGATTCTGGCTGACCATGTTCCGAAACAGACAAATCTGTCTTGTCAGCTACTAAGTTATACTTTGCCTCCTCTACAAAACGATTCATCATTCGCTGTGCTTCTTCAATAGAGATGTAGCGTGATTCATTTTTGAGAATCACACGCAATGGTGGATCTTGAGCAGCATCCATCTTTAGGAGGATGATGAAGATGGCTGTCAATGGTTCGCGTTATGCAAGAATGTGAAGTCGTTCTGGAGAAGATCCAATGATCTACAGCGGTCACGTGTTACACTTTTTCCATTATTCAATCTCCGAATGCGCTGCGCCTGTAAGCAGCGCACGCTTTGGCTGAATGCCTTTCATCAATTTACACGCTAAAGAAGAAAAAGGTTGACGGGCTTGTAGCAGAGAATATTCGAAACTTGTGCCTTGAAAGGTTACCGGACTTGCGAGGATTAATTGTGGCCAAAGTGCTCCGCGCTGCACGCTTAAATGACGCAAAAGCCGCTGATTGTGCAGCACAAAAATTGGCCAAAACCATTGCTCGGGCACATGCGCAGGCAAAAAGGGTCTCCTAGTTCGTAGTCCGCCTTTGTCCTTTTTCCCTTTTGATAAGGGGCCAAATTTCCTCACTCTTACGCCGTGCAGTTGAAGGATTGTTTTTATTTTATTTTTCAATGACCCTAGCGTGAAATTGTACGCAATACAAACACATGGTCAAAGAAAAACAGAAGAGAATCACTGTTGGAATGAACTGATTTATTCGAATTTTGCCTCCTTTCATTTACACACACAAAGCCGTAGGCGATTAAGACATGTGCTTTTATGCACTAATCAATGCACTCTTTTGCTAATCGTCATTCATACTGCTGTACCTACATGGCTGCATCTGTCATTCATAGAAGCCCCCTTCTTGATCCAATCCGATCTTGTTTCCAATTCAATGTTTTGATCACCATCATCCTATTTTTGAGCAAGTAATTGGTGCAAGGCAAGAGGGAGATTTACGATTCAATTCAATCGTATCGCCTCTCAAGCATTTCAAATCCTCAAACCCTCCTTCCGACATCCTCTCCTTCCTTTTTGTGTATAGTTTCGAATCAACAATTGTATCCCTAGTTTCATAAGCAACCTCTCAACAATCAACTCCTTCACAAATCGTCAATTAAAATGGCAAGCTCATCTTATGCTCCCGTAGAAGGAGACCATTCACAAGATACAAATGATAACCTTTCGCCTCATACTACCCCAAAATTAGGCGAAATGGATTTAGGTCGAATGAGCTTCTTTGAGAATGGACAACAAAAAGGACAAAGTAGATCATCAACACCACTTTTAAGAGCAAGTAGTCCTGGTGTCACCCAATCATATGATGATGAAGGAAGAAGAACACCAGGATCGCCTGGATTGAATCAAGCTTTCTCTTCCGCACAATCGTATGCTCCTTTGAGCTATGATTCTAACAGACCTCCAACTCCCGGTACTCCTGGAACGCCTGGTAATGATATGCTTCGATCTCCATCTTCTCAGCCGTGGCTTTTAGGCGCTCATAGCGACAGAGGCTCTAAAAGGTTGTCCATCGCCAGTTCACACATGTTAGCCAACTCTGATTATGGAAGTCAACATCAATTGATGCGTTATACAGATTCTGGCGCAATACCAATGCATGATTACGAAAAGTCTTCAGGTTCAAGGGTTAGTACACCTGGTCCAGGCACACAATACATGCCCGTCAATGCTGGAACAGGAGGACCAAATAACGAAAAGTATGGCAGATTTGGTCGTGCGCCAATGTCACCCAAGAAGAAATGGGGAATATTTGCTGCAGTTGTTGTTGGTCTAATATTGCTAGCGATCGTGATTGCTGTTCCTTTGGTTGCAGTTCATGATCGTCAGCATTCTGATGGTGCTACAGTGCCGGGTACAGGACCACACGGTGAAGTGTTAACCTCGGGTGGGAATGGCACCGAGATCCGAATGGAGAATGGCACAACGTTCACATACATAAACAACTTTGGCGGTGAATGGCGAAGTGATCTCAACGATGATGGTGCAAGGGCTCAGAATTATACTCCTCCCCTCAATCAAAGTTGGGATTACACAAAGAATGGAATACTTGGTGTGAACTTGGGAGGATGGCTCGTAATAGAACCTTTCATTGCGCCGTCTCTCTTCGAACCGTATGAGAACGATAGCTCGAAATATGTCGTTGATGAATACACCCTGATGAACGAATGGAATACCGAAGGCGGCCAAGCATTAAAAGAAAAGAATTTACGTCAACATTACGACACTTTCATCACCGAATATGATTTCATGTTGATCGCTGCTGCAGGCTTGAATTGGATTCGTCTACCGATTGCATATTGGGCGATTAATACGATGCCAGGGGAGCCCTTTGTACAAGGAATGTCTTGGGAATACTTTTTAAAGGCGATCAAATGGGCAAGAAAGTATGGTTTGCGTATCGAGCTCGATTTGCACGCAATTCCCGGCTCACAAAATGGTTACAACCATGGTGGTCGACTGGGCGTTTTTAACTTTCTCAATTCGCCCGTCGGGATGGTTTCCGCTGAAAGAGCATTAGACATTATCAGGGTTATTGCAGAATTCGTTGCTCAGCCTGAAATTGCCAAAGTGGTACCGGTCTTTGGTGTTTTAAATGAGCCAAACGTTCCCGTTGGTATCGGTCAAGACAACATCAGAAGATTCTATATTGAGGCGTATTCGCTCATCCGCAATATAACTGGCCTTGGTCAAGGTCATGGTCCGATGATGGCATATCATGATGGCTTCTTGGGTCTACCAGCTTGGTCCGGATTCATGCAAGGCGGAGATCGAATTGCTTGGGATTTGCATCCTTATGTCTGTTTCACAGCGCCTTTCGGTGACAGACAAAATTTCATCAATACAGCTTGCAATGGTTGGGCAGCAAATACACAGCTAGGATTTACTCAATATGGTGTTACTCTTGCCGGAGAATGGTCTTTAGCAACAAATGATTGCGGTTTGTTCCTGAATGGTCCTTTCCAAGGTGTTCGCTATGACGGCTCATTCTCTAGTGGAGCATTCACAAAGACCGGTAGTTGTGTACCTTTTGATGATTGGACATCCTACAATGATACTACAAAGCAAACAATGTATCAAGGCGCCATTGCAGCAATGTCTAGCTTTGAAAACTTTTTCTTCTGGACATGGAAGATTGGAGATAGTTTGCGTACGGGCCAGCCAGTCAATCCAAATTGGTCCTACTTGCTTGGATTACAACAAGGATGGATGCCAAAAGACCCATATAGAGAATCGCAAAATGCTTGTCAAACTTTGCAAAAACAAGGATTGTCAGGAATCACCAAAGCCTCAGTCACATGGTCTTCCACATTTGCTGATTACCAGACGGGTGCCGCTTCAACATATTCTCCCAATACGGTCTCATACAGCTGGCCGCCTCCATCAATTACCGTTAGCGGTCAAAGTGGAAACGTGATTGCGGCGACCGCTTTACCAACTTATACGCCCACCGGGACAGTACTCATTCCTCCAACACCCACTTATTCTCTCACATTGACAAACGAAGTACAACCAACAATCGACCCATGGACGCAAGGCGGTAGACAAACGCCTGCATTTACGCCTATTGCAGGATGCACATACTTTGATAGCATTTGGAACAATTATACTTCTGCTTTGCCTGGTTGGCCCTGCGGCGGAAGTGGTGGAGCATCAAGACGAAATCTGCAACCAATGTACGAAATGGACATCTGGGAGATGGACAAAAAGAGCGTTCCATTCAAACATGAAAACGTTTACCGACGTGATCTAGCTGCTGCTCCTGCCGCCACACCTGCTCCAAGAGCATAAAATTCATACGGACATTTTTTACTCGACTTTACCTTACTTTTTCTGATACATGTAAACACCTTTACAGAACTGCATCTTGTCGTAGGATCGTTCTTTGCACTTGGAAGAGAATTGTACCTTTTTATTCATTTCTACTTTGAAGCGTGTATATGTGGACAAATGAAGTTTAAGATAAAAGATAATACACAAAAAGCAAACGGGTCAAGGGATAAGTTATTAGTTCACGATTGATGATGATAAGCTTTTTCCTCATCACCATGTGGATCCGAAACACGATGACCGCCGCGTTGTTTGCGATCTGCTGCCAATGTTTGAGCAAATTTCGACCTTTCACGAATGACTGGACCTTTCCAGTAGAAGATATAAATTGGAATTGTGACAAAGATTGCCAAACATCCTAAAATTGTACTTGCCCATTCGAAATGAAGAGTACCAATATTTTCGTATAAAGGTGTTGCGTAAAGGGCCGCAATACCTGCAAGGAAATCACGAGCCAAAGCATTTCCACCCGTTGCGGAAGCCGAATAAACACCATAAGAAGCAACCATATAATCAATCGTTGCCATATAAATAGCATAATTTGCAATCGCGATTAAACATGAAAAGATCATTGGTGCGATCCAATGAACGTGTGGGGGACCTAAACTTGTCCATGCGAAACCGAAAAGACCAATCGTTTCCAATGGAGCTGTCCATAAAAGCCACCAAAGTCTTGCTTCGGGTAAAAGAGCATCAGGATCCCTTCTACGAATCTGTCTTTGACTGTGAATGCTGGGGAAAAAGCTAAAGAACGAGATAATATAACCCAAATTGATCGGAATGAATGCTAAACCGATTTGAATTGTTGAAAAGCCCCATTGCTTGAACACCAAAGTGAAAGATTCGGTAAATGTGAAGATGAGAGCGTCTGAGAAACCACTCAAAAGCGAAAGAGATAGAACGATTGGCTCACGAACAAACATTTCAAATGGTCTTATCCAAGTTACACCAATCTCTTTCATGCTGAATCGATCCGTGCGTAATTCGTTTGGTCCATAGATATTTTCTCCTTCGGTATTTCCTTCTTTTTTGGCCAACTTTCTGCGTCTTTTTGCTTCCCTGTCTAGAATGATTGTCGAACGTGTTTCAGGTACGAGGAAAAAGTGTAGAATTTGCGTTGCTCCTCCAAAGATTAATTGAGTCCAAAAGATCCAGTATAACGGATTTTTGGCTGCACCTGCGATAAATCCACCAATCAAGGGACCGATCGATGTACCACCAACGGAAGAAAGAACGATGTATGCAACAGCATATTGTTGATCATCCGCATCAAACATATCGGCAACCATACCCAAGGTAACACTACCACCTGCAGTCCATAAACCTCCAAAGAAACGAGCGGCGATTAAAGATTTAAAGTTGGGCGAAAGTGCAGCCCAAATTTGCGTGCAATTGACCAAGAATAAAGACACTTGTAAAATTGGCCATCTTCCCAATTCTTCTGACCAAGGAGCCCATAATTCTGAACCGAAAGCATAAGCGACCAAGAAGATCATTTGACCAACTCGAGCGCCTTGTTCACTTACACCTGTATATCTTGGATCTTCAGTGATCAAAGGAACTGCGCTTGGATAAACGGAAGTGTTGAAATTCATACTCATTTGAACGACGAAGATAATGGTTAAAATCATCCATTTCTTCCATGTTGGATAAGCGTATCCAAGTATTTGCGGTGCCATTTCATCTGTTAATACCACTTTTCCATCCGATCGAGGCTTTTTCGGCTCTTTACCTGATTCGGTCTTTTCTAAGGCTGTCTCATTTTGATCGTTTGATTGTGTTTCTTTTGCTTCATTGGAGGATTTATTCTTTCCTTCTCCAATCGTTGTATCTGGAGTGCTTAACCCGCTCTGTCTTTCTTGTTCTTTTTGGGGTGAAGAGCTTTCACCTTGTTGATTACTGGCATCCACCATCATTTTCGCTTGTGATAGTGCTTGTGTCGATGATGTTCAAAACATGAAGGAAAGAGGGAAAGAATTGATTCATTTTGCAGAATTGCAGTTTTATACAATGGCATTCAAATCATGGTAATTCATTATCCGCACAATGCAAAATCAAGTCGCCGACTCCACCTGATGCGTCCATTGCGTCAAAAGTGATCACGCTTAAGCGAAAACGAAAATCATTAACGTGTGAATACCAATCAGAAGTAGATTTGACCCTGAAGAACCTACGTAATCTTGCATCCGCAAACCCGTTGGTCCTGCGCCGGCGCTTGTAATTATGTAGATGCACCGCTGCGCCAATCGATAAAAGGAAAATCCATCCAGCAAAAATACACAGCTTTTGTGCATCATTCCATTTCGATCGATTACTCATCATTTAGCGCAAAAAAGTGATTCAAGGCAAATAGAGAGAATAAGATAAAGGCAGTGAGTGTATTTTGTGTTCAAGTACAATGTGATCAAAATGTCGTTAGAATCAGACGATAACCAAATCAAATAAAACAAGGAGTGATGGTTACATCTCCAGTCGTTCCTGAACAATAAAAAGATGAAGTACTGCAAGTCTTTTGTGCCTACTTCATCCTTGATCGAATGTCACTTTCCCCGATTTGCCCATTACCCCACATCTCTCAAAGTTCAATCTTCTTGCGTAATGATTGAAGTCCCTGCCAAGAAAGCAAAGACGGCTCTTGTGCAACAGCAGAGGCTTGTCCTGCCATAAATTCGGTATACTTTCGTCCTATCCAGAGTGTGAATGGATCTTGACCTTCTTGGAAAATATACCAAGCAATAATCCAAGATGCAAGTGCAACCACTCCCATCACCAAACAGATGAAAACCATGATGATCACAAAGAATTTAACCATTTCCTTTTGTTCGCGTTTCTCTTCTTCTTCACGTTCCGTTTGCGTCATCCCTGCTCTACGTGGGTCCAATTCTCCTCCTGTTTTAGGTGCTTGCAATAATCCCAATGCCATTGCTTTTGCTTTTGCCGTACTATGACGTTGATTAGTATACTTTGTCAAAGCTGCTTGACGAACATCCCCTTCTCGTACTTCGGAACCAGGAGAGATGAAAGAAGGATAATACGTCTCACACCATACTTCAATCTTGCCCAATTCAACAGACCATTTGAGAAAGTTGGGATCAGAAGGATCAAGTTTGGCACGCATCTCGCGTGCAAACGTTAGGAATTGATAAGAAACATCTCTTGGATTGACCGCTCTGATGATCAATTGAACAGCTTGAGATTTGCGAATCTTGACATTGCGCTTGAGCACATTTGGATTGTTAAGCATCAAATTGAGCGTAGCAATTGCCATCACTTGTGGAATCGCACAAAAGTTGAAAACGCTTTGATCTCTTAACAGGCTCAAGTAGTCCAACGCTCTCGTTGCATGACGGATTGCATCTAGTAACATCGAATTCAGCACAAACATCGCCCTCTTTCCTTCAGGTCCCTGTGCTGCTTTGAATTTTCCACTTCCTGGTGAAGTTTCAATGATGCCTTTCTGTGCAACCTCAGCCTGTGAATTGAAATCGGCTCCTGGTTGAGCCCAGCACTCTCGTGGCCAAAAGAATCGTCCTTCAGCACAATCTTCTGCGTAATCACGAATGATGTTTGTCTTTTGTAAGAATAAGCCCATGTGATTCGACAAGGTTAATTGATCGCCCAACCATGGTCTCTCAATGCCCGATTCTGCGAACAAGCGTGAAAGACCTTCTCCAACAATACCGGCAACGAAATGGCAATAGAGATCGTAGTCTTGCCATCTGTCCACTTTGAGTGGCTCCTTTGCTGATGCCTCAATGTACGAAGCCATTCCTGCGCCCATCTTTGCGGTAATGTCTGAGATGACGGTTTTGTATCTAGATTGGAAGAAAGATGTTAGCTGAGATATTCGGATATTCACAATGCGCATTCACTCACCCTGCTCCTAATTTGTTGAATTCTTCAATCACTGTATCGAATTCGATCAATAATTGGCGATCTTTTTCATTTGGTCCGCTTTCTGTGAAAGTCCATCCTGGCTGTTCTAGACGTTTGTAGAAATCGCGCAAGAGAGAAATCTTTCTTTGTGGATCGATTGTCATATCATCTTCGATTGTATCCAATCCACGTAGAGGCAGATAGAATAAACAGATTACCCTACTCAATTCACCATTCAATTCTTTAATCACCGCACTGAAACTACGTGAAGTAAGATCGAGTAACTTCCAACATCTTTGCATGGATTCCCTTTCCCAACCAGAATCGGGATTCGTTTTGATATCATTCAGAGGATCACGCCATACTTTGTACGTGACCAAAGCACGCAGCTCTTGCGGATGCAGCAATGCCAAAGAGATGATATCGACGATGCCCATCTTGTCTCCTCTTTTATGATGGATGAGAAGAAGAGTGAGTATATTCCGTGCTCAGTTTGAGCAAATGATCAGTAGCATGAAAATTAAGACTTCTTTGTGCCTGCGCTGCGCCGAATCTTCCCTCTTTTTGCGCACACCCCAGCCAGTACACAAAGTGTGTGGGCGGGGAAAAGTTGTGTTATTAAGATTGCAATCAAGCAATCGCTCTACCTATTGCTTCTTCAAGTACAGCGCGCCCTTTCTGGATTACTGTCGCGCGTGATTATGTAAGTTTCATTTCGATTTTTGCTTTTTTTTGCTTTAGCGCCTCCTTGCATAAAGCACATGTTGTTCCTGTCATAAATGAGAAGAAGGCATCTTAGCAGAGGAAGTCTTATCCCTTTATCTTTGACAGAATGAGCTAGACAAAAAGGTAGTTTTGCTTTGATGCGAAATGTCAGCCACGATGAGAGTTGATGGCAGTAGGACTGGAAAGTGCGGAGAGCGGATACATGCAATGAAATCGTCAATTTGCCTTGAAACGGGGACTGGAAGTTGCATTCCGATTTGCCATTCTTTCGCTCTGCCATTGTTCCATCAAATGAAGGCAGTCAAAGCTGATTTAACACGTATCCAAAATTAGACAACAGAGCATCACGGCTCCGCTTATGAAAAGAAAACGCCTTTTTGCATCCGTGCTTATTTTGGCTATTGGCCCCCCCTAATTTCATACGAAGAGCTCTTGCCTTTCTTTTCCTTTCACCACAGCAACCCCGACTATTGTATGACGAAAGTTCTCCTATCTGACCTTCAATCAACCTCCTCTTCGCTCCTCATCCATCACTAAAAAGTCACCCTTTTCAAGCAATCACAGTCTTTTTTCAATCTCCCTCGTTTCGTCGCTCTCAAGCATATATTCACATTCGCATACGCGCATTCACTTTCACTTTTACCCTCTTTGAAGTCAATCAGCCTTTCTTTGCCATACATTTCAAGAAACTCTCAATATTGCATCTTATCGCAAGAAATGATCGCTAGAAACTTCTTCGTTTGTCTCGCAGCAACTCTGCTTGCCTTTTCATCAGTGCAATGCGGTGATTTGACGGCTGTCAAAGCGGAAGATGGTGTCTCCCAATTGATGCGAAGGGTTCCTTTGAATGACTTTTCCGATCCATCAACAAGTCTTTCTCTTCTAGAACGCGAAGATGATGACACTTCTAACGTTCTGGTCGAACGTAGCCGAAAGAATCACCATCGCAAGGGAAGACGTAGATGTAAGAGTAAAGCTCGGAAGTGGAATGGTGAAGGTAAAGGTAACGGTCAGCACCGCCAACAACAGAAAAGCCAAAAGAACAAGCAAGGTGGAAAGAAGAAGAATAATTCCCCTGCAAAGACCAATAACGATCAAACGGACAGACATCCTAGCACATCTTCATCCGGTAAACCATCTTTGACCCCAAACGGTATCAAAGCGGGCATCGCTGGTGGACAAAGTCTTGATTTCATCAAAGGTGCAATTGGCTGGTATACCGAATGGACTCCAAATCCATATGGTCAAACGCCAAAAAATGTCGCTTTCGCAACAATGATGTGGGGTCTCGGATGGACAGACCACGATAATGACTGGCAACGCTTTCAAGATTTCAAGAAGATCAAACCAGGCACCTACAAATACGTCATTGGCATGAACGAAGCAGATTTTAAAGGTGGTGGCAGTAGCGGTGTGATTCCAACTGACAAAGCTGCTGAAGCATGGGACCAGTACATTGCACCCCATGGAAGGGCTGGATCTCTGCTCATTTCACCTTCGTGTGCTAAACAAGCCGATGAAACTTGGATGGGTCCCTTCTTGAAAAAAGTTAAAACAAAACCAGATGTTGTAAATGTACACATCTTCAAGAACAAAGCAAGTCAGATCAAAGGAGTTTTGGATCATTACGCTCAATATGGGTATCCTTTATGGGTCACAGAACTTGCTTGCATCAATTACTCAAACGGTGCTCATGATCCTTGCAATCAAAATGATGCAGAAGAGTTTGTACGAGAAGCTGTCAAAATTCTTGAAGCAGATGATCGTGTCAAAGCATATGCTTGGTCAGATGCCAACAATGGACCTGCTTGCAAATTGACTCAAGCCGGCGGAAAACAGCTTTCTAAGACCGGTCAAACGCTCAAGAATATGTTCTCCAGCTTCGCCAAGAGAGACTTGATCGAAGATTGATTCTTTCTCCGTATATACAACAATTCGTAAAGTCACCCTCCCTAACTTCATATTCGTACGTGCACACAGCCGCATGATACTTTGCTTGATGCATTCTTTCGATTTCTTTTGATTCTCACAGGTGAGACCATCCTTTGGTTCTTCCGTCATTTTTTGTTCTTTCGTCCTGACTGTTGATCAGTCAAATGTATCCCCTCCAATGTCATCTCATCCCACCATTCTCTAGACTCCCTTTGATCTATGAGTCGTGGCTTACTTGCCCATGACCCTTCTGTACACATTTCACACTCATCTTTCGTGATCGTATAACACACTATAAATACAATGGTTCGCTGCTGGGCAGCAGATTGGTATGTACAATCGCCTCTTCTCTCTTCTGCATGTACAGATCTCTTCTGATTTCACGTAGATCGCAGCTTCTGAGATGGTCTTCGTCTCCCACTTCAGATTTCCCATCAAAGATGGAATGCAGGTTGTGCCAAAGCCATATGGGCTGATGGATTGTCCATCTGAGCTTGTATAGTCGACAAATCTCCTGTTATACGATGGTGAGCGCTATCATTGGTGTCCCCATACGATGCAGACGGTAATCCCAATGCGTATGCTAAGGCATGCGCACCTTCGCCCAAGTCAGCCAAATCAAACGATGTATGAGCCCATTGTGCGTTAAATGGATCATCTTGACTTGTTTGGTTGTCCAATTGTTGAGGGGGTGTTTGAGCGATTGATGCAATGTTGGGATGCGTCATGCCATCAAATGGATGCGCGAATGGCGCTTGATTCGCTTTGACTTCACTTGGCAAGGTCGTTGGACCATTTTTGGGAAGCGGTTCATTGTTGTTGAACTGAAATGGCTGAGAGGGAGCAGATTGCGGCATGTATGCTGGACCAAAACTGGTAGGCAAAGTTGGACCTGGTCGATGATTGGTTGGTATCGGAGGTTGTGGCTGATGCTGTGTATAATACTGCTGTGTATGTTGGAGAGGTGGATGAATGCGTGAATCTTGCGAAAAGTTGCTGAGAAGACGAGATCTAGCTCTGTGAGCCTCTTCAACCCGCTGCCGATGGAAATGATGGTCTACCAGATCTTCCTCTTCATCTTGCAAGCCTAATCGAAGTCCCATACTAGGTGCGATACTCTTTGCTAGATCTGAATGTCTCCAAAGTTCTTTTGCGTATGCTTTGTCGAATTGTGGAAAGATTTCACCAACTGGCATGCGTGAGGATGATCCTTCTCCTGCATTTCCTACATCACCACGTTGAGCGAGATTGAGCATGATCGCCTCGCCGTCATCCAGTCTCAACGTTCTGAGCGCATCTTGTTGCATAGCTGGAAATGTGTTTACCAGATAGCCAAGGATGCTTTCCAATATCTCAATTTGACCTTCTAGCCTTTGCCTTACTCCTTGCAAAGGTCCACGCTTTCTTTCAGGTCGATCGTATGTGCATTGTCTGTCCAGGTCTCTGCAAACACGACAAATCGGTTGTGCACCATCACAACGATCCTTCTTTGCAAAACAGGCATCGCATGCTCTTGAAACACGCTTTCGCTTTCTACCCGGATCTGGAGAATATGAAGTTGATGCTTGACGTGAATGACCTTGTCTGGAATACTGAGCTTTATCCGATTGATCGTAATGCATCATTATCGTCTCATTTGATCGTTGTTGGAGTGTGACGATGTTGATGGCAGTGAATTGTGTTTGATATGCATGCATTCATTTTCTCTCATGACTTTCGCATGATTTATTTTTCACAGCTTTGACGCGTGCGTTGGAAATCAAATTCACGCTAAACGGCGATTAAACAGATTAAACGCGGAGAAAGTGAAGATGAACATGATGACATAAGCGGCACAGAAATCAAGTCAGCATCCCATCCTATTCAACTTCCATGAAAACACAATTCTACAATTTTCACACAATAGGTAGCTTGCAGTACATATGTTAGCAACCATGTGGTTCCATACATCACTAATAGCCATTACAAGTCAGGTGAATACCTCTACAGCAACTGAAAACATTGATACGCAATTCTGAAAATATTATTTCCATTGAAAGACAAAACGACAAATAAAACACAATTTGTTTATACAACCTAACAAAACTGATGTAGGTTATCGTAATAGTAATTCAACTTAGTACGAGAGGAACCGTTGATTCAGATAATTGGTCTTTGCCCCTGTCCGAACGGGCAGTGGGGCGAAGCTACCATCTGCTGGATAATGGCTGAACGCCTCTAAGCCAGAATCCGTGCTAGAAACGATGATGTTTGGTCCCGTGTGTATGACACGCGTTTAAATAGAATGTTTTGCATTCGTGAACCATAGATGGGCTTGCTTTGGGTGTGTAACGGAAATGTTGCATATCTGCGCAGGCGAATAACAAAAATACATATGCACGGGGGTGAATCCTTTGCAGACGACTTGAATGGGAACCGGGTGCTGTAAGCAGTAGAGTAGCCTTGTTGCTACGATCTGCTGAGGCTAAGCCTGTGTTCTAAAGATTTGT